AGTTTTGATTCCCTGGATTCCCTTGATTCTATGGATGTTTCTTTAAAGAACCATTTTTTTGTGATTGAGATGTGCTTGTGTGAAGCAACTGTCCTTGTAAAAGTTATATTTTTTCCAATAATCATACATTCCAGCCAAGAATCAAAGGTTCAAGGAACCTTTTATAAGAGCGTAGCACCAGTGTCACAACATGACCATGAGCTCAACAGTAACTGAAATGTGCTGTCTGTCCAGAATATAGCTATCATTATAACTATTAAGTAATACTAGAAGTTAGCCCAGTTTGTTAATTACATTGTAATTATCTTACCATCAGCAAGCTATAGGGTAAAGTCCTGTAATGCACACGTTGCACTTCATAACTGAATTTGAATGACAATACTATTGGTTACTGCAATAATTGTGTTGAGAATAATTACTTGTCTAAATTTATATTATCATCCATGTTTACCCAGCAGGCCAGCAGGCAGCTTTGTAGAAGTGAGAAAGGGAAGTTGTTGTGGTTAGGAGGTTGTTTTGGCACGTGCGTTGCCCTGCTATGTAGGGAAGCGCTTGGCAGTTTTTTGGCCACTGGGTTACATTTATTAGTTAGTTTACTAGTTAGTAAGTCACATTTACTTGAATAATAATACTTCTACTAATACTCAAGTTTATTTGAGAGAAAAAGAATGTAGTTCTACTTACTTTACATTTTATACATTAATATACAGCCTCTGTTTTGCTTTGCACACTCCTTATTTTTGAGGTTCATCATTTATTTTAGACAAACAGCACATCAGGGCGAAAAGTAGTACCTAACAGACAGTCAGTTCTTCTGCTGAGTGTACCAAGATACTCTGCTGCAGTTGTATAAGTTACTCATTACTTAAGTAGTTTTTTACATGTTTTCTTTGGTGTTTTGTTTGAAAAGATACTTTGTCTTGAGTTATTATTTGAATAATACTGAAGCAACACTACTTTCACTCCTACACAAGTTTAAGCTATTGCACAAACCTCTGCTATGTGACAAGATGTATTAGAAAATGCATAGCTAAAAGCACTGAAGTGTAAAAACAGCTGATTCTAAAGCTTCCAAAGAAAAAAATCCAAACCCATATTAGTACTCACGGTTTTACTATTAGTATCAAGACTAAGTGGTATTGTGCCATTTTTAAAATTAGGTAGCAAAACAATGAATTAATTGACCTTGGCACATTCAAAATCTTTGAAAACTTTGCTTTTCATGGCAAAATGTTATTGTCCTATAATGTAGTACTATGTACAGCTGTATGTAAAAGTTTTGGCACCCTTGGCTAATTTACATAATTTTGGGAAAAAAAACCCACAATTTCAATAAATAACAATTTCTGCATATGTTTATGCATAGATATTTCATTCTTGTTGATACTTGATTTTTTTTTTATATAAAAAAATAAATAAATAAAACAGTGGCATGTGCAAAGGTTTAGAGACCTGTTCAGGTGTAACATCAGAAATTACTTGACTCGCTAGGCCTTAAGTGCCTCACTGAAACTGGCTAGGCAGGTCAATAAATGTTAGTAGAAATTGTCAGCTGATGACAATACGAGAGCATGTAATGAATTCTCTGACTCTTCACACCTTCCGCTAACACTCAACAACCATGAGTTGCGCTAAACAGGTAAGGCTATAAATAGATATCAAACCACCTTGAGCTAAAACAACATTTAGATAAGCCAGAGGCATTTTGGAAACAAGTGATGCTGACTGGCAAAGTAAAACTGGTCACCATGGTCACCACAGGTATGTTTGGAGAAAAAAACAAGCAGCATTTGATGAACAGAACACCTTGCCAACAGTCAAGCATGTGGGTGAATTCCACTAAATACTAGCAAATTTTGAAAGCAAATGTGACACAGTCAATCAAGAAACAGAAGCTGAAAAGAGGCTGCCTTCTGCAAGGACAATAATCTAAAACGTACCTCAAAATTCACTGTGAACTACTACTCACTACTGCAAGCTGAAGCTTTTGGGGCTTTTTGGAATAGCCCTTCCAGTCCCTGACTTGAAAATTCCCAAAACAAGACAAGACTCAAAAAACCTTTTCAAGTTATGATATCTGCCAAAAGGTTTGTTACTAGGCACTGACCTAGTAGTGTGTCCAAAGCTTTGCAAACAATGGTATATAATGTGGTTTCCTCAAACTTATGGGTCTGTGAAGTGCACTGCCGTGTCAGTTAGGTGACTTGCACCTAAACCATTCAAGCAGTGGTTTCTATTACTCTGGGTGAGAAGTTACTTGTGTTGTCTTATGTGGACCAGTGGCTCATTTTCTGAAAGAGCTAACTGTACTTCCATTACTGAGGGATGTTCTTTTGCCACTTGAGGTTTGGAACTGACTCGAGGGAATGCTAAAGTTTGCTTTTCTTTTCTTTGCAAAGCTCCAAAAACAGGCAGTGATGACAGCCATGCTCAGGCCCAGCATTTTCAACACAAACAGATAATCAAAGCTTACATTGTTGTAGAACAGCTACTGTTTTACTTAATCTGCACCATGAAGACTGCAATAATAAAATGTTACTGTTTTTGAATTAGCGCTGAATTCTTTTTTGACAGTCGTTCTGTGACTCAGACCTTTGATGTCCAGTTCTGGCTGTAATCTCCACTGTGTCAGATATGTCTCAGTTTTCTTATTGGCCAGAAGCCTCTGCAGTGATTACACCTTAGCTGATACATAACATCCAGGAGCACGGCCTCTGTGGTTAAGAACTGCTGGTAATCACCAGTGGCGTATTTGCTGAGCTCTAAAAGCCCAAGCCTTGGGAGATATACAGGTAACGAGAGTAATCATCCCAGCAGGCAGGGGCCTACTTATTGGACATTTTCAATGCAACAGTAGAGAGACAGGCTGAGAGACACCAAGCAGCTCATCTCTGCAGCTGTGTTGAGCTCAGCTCTCCTGCAGTGCACACTCTGCCCAGCCACATTTACTGCGCCATTACAGCGCATCTTTAGCCGACAAGAGAGGCACAATTTGCAATCATTCACCTCCTCAAATCAGCCCCAAGGTGCTTAGAACTAAGGCTTTGGAGAAGCCAACACCTTGCTCCTTTGGTTAATTTAGCTGTTTATCCTCCATTTGCACTCTTGAGTGTCTTTTTGTCTTTGTTCTTGGCTTCAGAATAGCAAAGCAATTTCTAGTTTGGCACCGCTATAAAAAAACAAAACAAAACAAAAAAACAACAAACTACCAAACAGGTCCAAAGACTTAGAGCACCAAGGACTTGAAAAACTTGCATTAATCTGGATCAATGAATTAAATTTTGTTCACTTTATGAGCTTTAACTGTAAGTAAAGTTTCCAGTAAGCAGAAGACATCAGTGCGGTGCTCAGTATTCTGTTGTGATGTTCTCATATTCCAAGGTAATTCTGCCCCTATACACAATATATCTTACAATATACAATATACTATATATATATATATATATATACATATCGCTTTTTAATTACAAATTGGCTTGCTTGCTCATTCCTCATTACGTTTATTATATGGTGTTTATTATTATTATTATTATTATTAGTGGTCAGTATTGCTGTTTAGTATTATTTGTATTAATGTTTAGTATTTGTGTTATTAGGTTTTAATATTAGTGGTCAGTATTGCTGTTTAAAATGTAGTATTCCATACTGGTGTTTAGTATTATTATTAGTGGTCAGTAATGCTGTTCAGTATTAGTGTTCAATATTGGTGTTTAGTATTAATATTACAGTTCAGTGTTGGTGTTTACGATTAATATATTTATTCATGCTCAGTTTTGGTGTTAAGTATTATTACATTTGTATATTAACATATCCGTATATATATTTATATTAGTGTTCACTAATATTGGTGTTTCCAATTTGTGTTCAGTATTGGTGGCTAGTATTTATATTAGAGTTTAGTACTGGTGTTTAATATTAGTGGTCAGTATTAGTTGTCAGTATTAGTGTTTAGTATTACTGCATAAGTGTTCAATATTGGTGTTCAAAATTAGTGTCAGTGGTCAGTATTGCCATTTGGTGCTAATGCTAGTGGTCAGTATTGCTCCTCAGTATTAGTGGCAGTAGTGTTGCTATTTAGTATTAGTAGTATTCTTTACCATTAGTGTGCAGTACTAATTTTAATGGTCTGTTTAGCAGTTAAGTATTAATGTAAGTGGTCAGTATTACTGTTTAGTATTAATATCAGTGTTCAGCATTGCTGTTTAGTATAAATATTAGTGTCATCACTGCCACTTAGAATTAGTTTTCAACATTTAGTATTTATATCATAATTAGTAATGTTGAGTCACTGTGCTGCATTTAAAGGTAAATTCCATTGAATTTTCTACATAATTCAGTGACTGACATGTAAACTTTTGGAGTAGTTTGATGTGAAAGAGAAACCGAGTCAGAATTGTTCACAGTGGTGGTGAGAGGAATCAAATCTCTGAAGCGTTTAATACCTATGAATATGCTGCCTGTTGCTTACATGATTGAATCGTGCAGTAATTGTGAAAAATCCCTTTAGCTTACTTGACTGAAAAGTGTACATTGTTTCCACATGAACAAAGTAAATCACGTGAACATAATTGTTGCCAAAAGTAAGCAAAATTCAGTGGAAACCCGATGTGATATCTTTTGTTAATGTGTAAATGATGCATACACTTAAATCAAGTAAGTTCAATGTGTTATTTTTGTCAGTGTATTAGCTCTTAGCATTAGCATTAGTGCTGCAGTTTCTATTAGTGTCTATTGTGAATGAGTGTTATAGTATTAGTGTTCTTCTTGTGTCTGGGTGTTTCTACTTTTGGACGTCTAAAGGGCTAAATTACTGTCTTACTCTTTCTTTCTGTCCGGCTAGCTGGTCACAGTCAGTGACTTAGCCAGTAAAGATGACCTCAGTGTAATTCAGCCTCTTCAGCTACTCAGCCCTCTCTCTCTCTCTATCTCTCTCATCTGCCTCGACTGGTGATGGTTTGGCGGGAAAGGTCGGAGGTGCCTCTGGTGGGCGGGGTTAATGACGTGGCGCGGTGCAGGATAAGTAGGAGCGCTAATGTGAGCAGAGAGAAAGCGAGAGGAAGAGAGACACACGGTGAGTCAGTCAGTCCGTCAGTCAGTATGCAGTGCTGAGCTTTAGTACAAAAGCCCAGACACTTGGGAACAGATAGACTTTAAGGCAGACTGGCTTTCCTCGCGTTGTTTTTCTGTTAGACAGTCACTCTGTGTATCGAAGGGCGCTGACACGCAGAGCAGCTGCATATCCGCGGTGGGAGAGACGCAGTGAAGTCAGTTTGGGTGACAAAGTCTTTCCCCGTGTCACTGTGAAGAACTGTTAATGTCACTGAATCCGACGCAACAGGTAGGCAGATGGTGTTGCTATGCTCGTTTAGAAGTTTGTCTGTATTTGTCCAAGTTAGAGTTGTGGACATGGCTGACATCTGTTTGTTGATTGTTTTATAACAGGTTATGTTAGAGTCCAGTAGACGTGTGTCGATGTTCATTAATAGGCTATCGCGATACTTAACACGCGTGATATTGTTATCGTGCACACTGAAATATCGTCTCTGCATTTTAGTCAAACATTTAGCACCATGTGTTTTTATAGGTACACAAAGTAACTCTGGTTTCACGAGGTCTCACTAACGTAGCACATTATGATACCATGAGTTTTTTTTAGTTATTGTTCTGAGCGCCTTACTGCTCTCAGTGAAGGCTGCCGTGCTAACCTTTCATGCTCTGACATGATGTCAATTAAGACTATCATAAAAACAGGATTCCCGAAATGAATGAAGACTGCTGTACCATTGTACCAAAACCATCAAGAAGACCAAGATATGTAACCACCAAAACATTTTTGCTATTTATTATTAAAAAAAGTCAACACTGAAATGTATGCACGTGTATTATCTTGTACTTCCTTGTATTTAGTTTACATGATGTCATAAACTAAATAAAAATAAAAGATTAGGTAATTGTCCTCATTTTAACATTTTTATAGCTGCATTACAACAGTCCTGCCTCACTGTGGCATATTGTGGAGATCAAATCAGTATGTATGTGTGTACAGATAAAGTGTCAGGTTTACCTGGAATGCCCTCTTTTTCCCCACTAACTGATTTTGATTTTACTTTTTAACTCAACCTCAGTCTGTAGTCTTCAGAGAAAACCTTGCTGTTGCACGTCCGAGATGATGTTAAAATGATGGAAATATATAGGCTTAAATGTTGGGCTGGTGTTAGTTGCTCACAAAGAGGACACATAGTTAAACACCCAAAAGGTAAAGTGCCAGGCAGATTCATTGCTGAAGTCTAACTGTTGCCTGCAGAGCACACAGTAATTGAGAATTGTGATGCAGACAGATTAGCTATAAACCTTTGGACCAAATGTGCTTTATGCTAAAAGTACCGTATTATTTACAACCACCTTTATAACAGTCTGAAAGGAGACTGTGATGGTGCAAATTAAAGACTGTCAGCCATAGTGTCCACATTGCCCTAAAACCTCTTGATTTATTACTGTTCTTTGGACATCATACAGATACCCTTTGCCATGGAACGCTAGTTACTTGATACGTGGGGGTGTCCTGTCACAAAAATAGCCCGTAGGTCGATTGCTTTGTGCTGATTTGTTTTTGTGGTGCATCATTTGTCAAATGATGAATATTGGCTAATCCATAAGAAACTATTTTATTATAATGTGGTTTACACATTGTCCCAGTGTATGTAACTAATGATAGGGTGATTGGGGATTGATTTATTTTCTTGTGGATATTATTTTCTTATTGGACATCTTATTGTTTTTAGTGTAATTCCCATGTTCTTTCATTTTACTTATTATATGGCAGTATTTGCCTTTTCCCTCACTTTCCCATTGCCAGTGTAATGTGCCAGTTGTGCAAGTTGCTGACAGGCTGTAGGCACAGTGCTTGCTATCACTGTCTGAGCTGAAGATGACTAAGCTGAGATCTCTCTGGTTTTGGGAAGTGTGTCTCGGCAATGATTTGCAAACAAAAAAGCCCTTATTTTGTTCCAAAAAATGCCTGAAAAGTCATATTTTGGCACCTTTTACCTTAACCTCTTAAATGGCCCAATGTTCCATTACACTTTTTTATAATCTAAGAATAGCTCAGTCAGTTTTACATTGAAGACCCTGTAGTTACTGAATTGTAAGCCTTAGTATGTAATAAGCTCAGGATTTTAACGGGTTAATAACAACTCTCTCCAGTTATCACTTACAATCAGAAGACAGTACTGATTGAACTCCGTAGTTATCCTGTAATACTGAGCAATCAGGGAAATGTGAATGGAATGCGTGACACTAAGTGCTCTGTATTTTGTCCTGCTTTTGCAGTTGTACTTCATTTGTAACTCATTTTTTGAGGTGAAACTCTCTGTCCTCACAATGATTCTGTTCTATTACAGTTCTTTAGGAAAATATTGAGTGCATCACAAAACCTTCAGATCGATGCACTGATGCATTTTTATAACCTTATTAGTATTGTTAATGCTTACACATTTCAGGCACTTGTTTCAGACAGTGCTGAGCTATACTGGGTGTAAGGTTTTTTTTTTGGGAATGTGACACACCTTTCTCATTGGGGTGGAAGTGCTGGAGGTCTGGTTCCCACTCCTCCTTTTGAGGGAATGGTTTCCCTCTCTGCCTCTCCCTTATCCTTTTTCCGCTGCAGAGGAGAGGGAGTGAGGGAAGCTGGAGTGGGGGATAGCACCGTGGCCTTGGGCTTTTGTTTCTGGTATGCACCACTGGCCAGGAGTTTCCTCTATCTGAAACTAACCTTCTCTTCTTTCTATAACCATTTAACTTCCTCTTTCAGTTAGTACATGAAAATGACAAAGTTATGAAGAAAATAGACTGATTTTAACCCTTTAAACTCTACAGAACCTTCAGAGGGTTCAGACTTACATTTTTTCACTCCCACACCTTACATAGTAGTACTGACTAATTCATAATTCATAGTAGTTACTAGATAATTAGCTTGAAGCTCAATTTATGAATACTAAGCCTTCAGTTTAAGGGGTTAATACTAGGGGTTTCCAGTGATACCAGAGTCATATAATTATTGCCAGATAATTGCTTAAAAACATATATTGACATCCAACAGATGTTTAGATTTGACTGATATTTCAAACTCACCGCAACCCAGAAGGATAAGTGGTTTAGATGATGTATGTATGTATGAACTTACCCTATACAAATAAATATTACATTTCTCTGTAAGGCTAATTCAAGTGGATCTCGTCTCAGTCTATCTAAGCTGTTTATCTTCCCTAAAATAATATTTTTAGGTAGTAAAAAATACTTTATTATTTTAGTTTTTATTATAAGTGTCAACTTTAGGGGACTTTCAATATAAAAAAAAACATAAAGGTTCTGTGCAGGTACATTTTTCATTCATCAAGGTACAAACAATGTAAATGTGCCCTCAAAGGTACAACAGTGGTATTAAGGTCTAATTGTGAACCTTAAATAAGTTTTTTTTTGAAAAGTACATATTTGTACTTCATAACCTAATGTTTTAAAACAGCACAATAAAATAAAAAGCCTGGAGACGAGACGGGGTGTGTGGAGTCAATACAACTTAGAGAATATAATTTCAATGGATTATTGTACAATTATGTTCCCTGACTAAAGGTACTGAGATGTACTCTTGAGGGTACCACCCCAGTGACAAGAGGGGTACTGCCCCAGTGACAGTTTTCTACCTTTATTTCTGAGAGTGGGGGGTAAATTATGCCACAGCTGAATACATTTGTGCAGCAGATGTACTCAGCAGTAGCATCATTTATGAGGAATAAGTTTTAATGGAGGAATATCACAGTGATCAACCAATTTACAGTCGTATGCAACAGTCTGAAAATTATAGATTTTCTAAGTGAAGATAAGTTTAAAAAAGTCTTCTTCGGGGAACAAACGTTATTTTTTCCCCCAATATATTACATTCAGAGAAAACAGCAATTGTGCGTCAAGTGTGTTCTCTGTGGAAGATGTGTTAACTTATTTTGACTTATAATAATTTGACTAGAGCACCAAAACTTTTTCAGTCAGCAGTGATGATCAGTCTGTGGCCATGGCCAGGATAAGAGGCCAGTGAAAGCGATTGAGAGAGTAATGATGGATTCATTGACCAACTGTAGATATGCCTTTTAGGTTGTGCTGTAGAGATTTTTTTCATTGTGTGCTCTGTGTGCAGGCTCAGTTGCCTCGCAAGTGTAGTTGCATTTGAAAGCATTTCACAGGAAATTGCTTTCAGTGTCAACCTCCCTCTGTGACATATTGGATATGAAACTCTGTGTACCTCTCCTGAATACTAGAGCTCTTTCGGCCAGGCACCTCACTGAGCTTTGTTAAGGGTTCAAAAGTCCTTGGCAGACTCCGATGAGTTCACTTTTGGTTGATCGTGTAGATCCTCTCTCCAGTTAGTAACAGGGATGTGCTGGTAAGTAGATCTGCAAAGTAGTTTCTGCCTCTATTTACTTCTAGGTACTACTGTTACTTTGAAATAACTCAGTGAAGTAGCATAGCATAATTAGAGCAGAACCTAATTTTGTTTTATTGGCAGAGTGCAACAACAGAAGTAGTGCACACAGAAGGAAATTTCAGAGAGAAATTTTCCTAAGAGGTAGAATGAAGCTCTTGAGACTTAAGCTTAGATTAACGGTTCCTGTACTTACAACTGCCAACAGTCAGCGAAAAGTTCAGTGCCTGGTACTTTTCAGTGTTATTTTATTGTGGTCTTGCGGAATAGATTTACACAATCGTACAGCCGTTCTCATTACTGATGTGAAACAGTTCATACCTTTTTGTATGTAGAAGAAATTTGTACTTTGTGAAAGTCTAACAAGAAATAACATTCATTACTGCCACACATAAAGTGTTAAATAGTGTCTACGCAGCACAAGATGGATTCATTAGTTGTGTAAATATAGGATGATCTTGTTTGGTGCCCCTCTCTGGCTCTGTTAGGTCTTGTTGTATAGTTTTTTCATACTTGGGTTGTTTGTTGTCTGGGCTTGTCACCCAGTGAGTCTACTTTAAGAACAGACTTTGAACAATTATTAACCCAGGGATGCATTGTTTTTCATACCTACTGTAATATTAAAATACTGAATGCGTTGTTTTTTCACTGTGAGTGTTCTGTCTGTGTTTTGAAGAATCAAGGCATTATCTGACAAATTTTGGTCAAAATAATCCAGATGTAAACCAGTAAAACAGTATTATATTTTGTCCATATAGTGTAGACCTGCTGATATCGACCAAATTGCTTCAGCACTACCAAGTATTGATCAGAGATCAAATTCTGTCATTTACTATCAAGTTTCATACCTTTATCAGCATCAGTGAACAAATAAGCATGCGTGTTCCAAAGTCTAGGTTTCTGATTGGTTGTATAAACTATGAAAGTAATCTATTAACATCAACACTTAATTTAATTCTGCACTGTGCATGTCTGGTTTTTTATTGCAGTCTGTTGAAATTTATGATGTTTAATGAAATATTTTTAGTATTAAAAAATTTTTCCAGTATTGATATCAAACTCAGGGTATCGGTAGTGTTAAATTTGGATATTGAAACAGTATCCTGCTCTGAAGAACCAGAAGAAGAAGAACTAAAGAAATTATATAATTATTATTATTAATTAGAGTATGTTCACCGGTTTTTCTTGTTTTGTTGTTGGCTATATACAGTTGTATACAAAAGTTTGAACACCCTGGTCAAATGACATGTTTTGTTGATTTTCTAAGTGAAAATAAGTTAACACATCCTCTACAGGACAAACTTAAATATGGTATTTTTCTGCAAGTGTTAGTGTACAATTTCTGTTTATTTGCTGAGTTTAACACAAAAAGAAAATAGAAAATATTAAGTGTGCTGTATCTTTTGCACAGGCCACAAATTATGTGTTTTACCCAGTATGGTAAATTCAGCAAATAAACAGTAATTATGAATTCAAATGTGTAGAAGTGTGTTCTCTGCAGAGGATCTGTTAACTTCATGTAGAAAATCAACAAAACATGAACATTTTCATTCAACTATATCTATCTTTCACTTATCCTCTTTTTATTCTTTCAGTGTATATTAAAAGGTGCCCTGATGAAGATGCAGTAGTCCTCCATTCAGTCCGACAGCCCCTGAAGCCCCACATTTCAGATTGCTGATTCATTTTCCTGGTCTCTCTGCTCCTGATGTCCCACATTGATGATGTGACTGTCCTACACCTGGCCTGAATGCTTTTGCTATGTCTGAATCTCCGGAGGGAGACACCCCCTTGCTGCAGCAGGTGGACTCCAGCAAAGCAGGGGGCCGAGTGCTCTCCCCTATCTTTAACTCCTCCTCTTCCCCCGCCCTGCCCATGGAAGGTCACCCCATCTGCATTCCCTCGCCCTACACGGATCTCAGCCACGACTTCACCACCTTGCCTTTTTACAGTCCCAGTCTGCTGGGCTATAGCAGCACATCCCTCTCCGACTGCCCCTCAGTGAGGCAATCTCTCAGCCCCAACCTCCTCTGGCCCTCTCACAGCTACGTGTCCCCACTGACCCTTCACTGCTCACAGACCCACACCCAGCAGAACCAGCTCAGCAGTGGATCCTGGCAAGATCTAACACCCTACGCACCTGAGGAGAACAGGTACTGCTGCCCACATCAACCTGAACTTACCTGCCAACAATTGCCTACTTGAAGCTAACCTGAAAGCAAAATTGATATTTTTTACCTTGTACATTTACGGACTTACACATACTAAGCATGATTCATCAAATCATTTAAAAGACAAAGTTCATGTTTCCCATAATCTTCTATCAAAATGTAATAAAATGTAATGCAATGACTCGCTGGTAACACTTTACTTAAACCCTGCTACGTAACATTGACATAAACATGCTAAAAGCTCTAGTCCTGGTCCTAGAGATCTACCACCATGCAGAGTTTAGCTACAACTCTAATCTAACACACCTGATCCAGGTAATGGAGGCCTTCAGGGGCATCTAAATATAAGCGGCAAGGGTGTTGGATCTGAACTCTCCAGGGGGGCGGGGATTGGGCACCCATTTCATATGCTGTCAGGAGTAGTAGAAAATTACCCAACATCCACTTTTTTATGTCTTTTACACAGTCCTCAGTATTATTAAATTAAAGTTTATAATCTGATTTGGTCGATATATACAATTGTATATCATCAGCGTAGCAGTGGAAGTTGAAGCTGTGTTTACTGATAATGGTACCCAATGGTAGCATGTATAATGTGAATAATAAAGGTCCTAAAACAGCCTTGTGGAACACCATGCCTTACTTATGTATGAACAGAGGATTTGCCGTTTACATTCACAAACTGATAAAATCAGTTAGGTAAGATCTGAACCAGGAAAGAGCTATTCCTGTTACTCCTACAAAGTTATTTCAGTGTTATGTAGCATGGTTCAAGTAAAGTGTTATCGACCTGCCTCTAAAACGTCTTCTGATTTTTGGCTACGTCACAGATCATATGTTTCACCTTGCCCTCCTGCTGCTCTCACATGTCATTGAGTGAAAATACTCAGATAACTCAGAGACCCTCTCTAACACTTTATGGAAGAAAAATGTGTTATGATCTCTGATTTATGTTTACTTTAAAGGATTAGTTCAAAGGAATAGTTAACTCCTTTAGTTTATCACTGAAACTTTGAGGCTAATGTAGCTAGGAGGTAGTGGAGGCTGATTTATGCCAATTAGCATCATACCAGACTGACTGATGTTCTATTGACTATAAAACTGGCATAAGGCCATAGGTGTGAATTTTATGTCATACAGTCTCAGCAAACTTCATAAGATAGTCTGTGTTGATTTAGGTATACAGTTTGCTGAATGCTAATTTTTGGAGTATAAGCTTCCATTATTTGTTAGCTGCATTAGCCTTGTAACTACTGCAAAACTAAAGAAGCAAACTTCACTGACTGTCATTAGTCAGTGATTAATTGCTAACAAGCAAGCCTACAATCAAGGATACGTGCCATCAAAATATCAGTTATACAGCAGAAACTTCCAGATCTAAAAACTGACTGGCTAAGCTATATTTGAAGCCAGTGTAAATTGCTTGATATACACAAACCTGCAGTCAAATGCAAATGTTTGAACACCTCTGGTCATCTACAGGGAACAAACTTAAATATGACCTCTGCAATTTTTAGTCTCTGTTTGCTAAGTTTAACATATTGGGAAAAAAAACACTCAAATTTAAAATAAAAATGTAAAACTTTTGCATAAGCTGCAAGTTTTTTCTGCCCCAATATGTTAAATTCAGCACATAAACATTAATTGTGCAGGAAACTGTGCATCTCTAGAGAGGACTTGTAGTTATTTTTACAAAAAAAAATAAAAAATCAGCAAGACGTAATCTGACCAGGGGCAGCCAGACTTTTGTGAACAATTGTATGAGCACACATATCAACTTCTGTAATCATTCTGTATTTATGCACTGACATATCGAAGAGTGTTCCTAGTATGGACCTCAGTACTGATAGATTGGGCCAGGGGTCAGCATGTATATGAAGTAAAGGGCTCTAAACCATATTGAACACATCCTACATAAGAACCCGTTTTTTATTTTTCAACCAAGGGAGTGATAGTTTCCTTTTTAATGAAAAAGTTAATGAAAAAAAAGTGGACAAAATGACTGAAATATAATGATGGGCTACTGAAGGTTCTATATTCTAAAGCTCCAAAGATACATTTACCACTCACTTGTAGCCAAACATAAATGGCTCAACGAAAGCTGTTGCCATCCACCATGTCCTTCTCTATAGTTTCACACACTCATGTCTGGTTTCCTCACATTGCACTGCTTTCTCACACTTTCTCTAGAGAACACAATGAAATAGTAGTCTGTCTAATTGCTTGAGCATGTTTGCTTTTGATGTGGCCTGTTGCGCCCTCATGAGTACAATTCAGAAAAACATTTCCTCAACTTAAACCTGCCTATTTTAGTAGGAACTGATATTTAAGGAAATTAAATAAAATTTTATTATTTTTTTTAACAAATAGAATTGGTCAAACAATTGTTTATTAGTCGGTTAAGGGTTAATTGGTGAATCACTTGCGTCCCTAGTCTTGGCTACATCTGTAGCGATTGCTTTAATAGAGAAATACAAACTGTATCTTGTGTCTGACGTGATTTGTGCTCTCCCTCTGCTCCAGCAAACCAATAGGGAAAAGGTCAGTGGAATGTGGGGAGAGCTTTAACTCTGTAGAGAGTAAAACAGACATGCACTTCTGCGCCGTATGCAGCGACTATGCCTCTGGCTACCACTACGGCGTCTGGTCCTGCGAGGGATGCAAAGCTTTCTTCAAAAGGAGTATCCAAGGTAACAACTCCCCCAAGAAAACTTATAGCATGAAAATGCACAAAAGCTTGCACATACACATCCACTGACTTGCATTAGTGCTTATGGTGCAGATGACCCTTTTATTGTCGTAAGTAAACTGCACTCTGCTTTGTTTACCGAGTGCCCCCTCCAACTCTGATGGGTTTATCTGCAGTGTTTAACTTTGTCACTGTGACCTAGCAGCTTCAGTGTTTCACTCATCCTATTCTTCTGATTAGGACACTAAGCGAATGTTTTAAAAGTAGAAAAAAGCACTTGCTTACACACAGAGACACATTGGACGCATGCAGAACTCATTGTCCTAATATGTCTTCACACTACAGCCATCTTAATGAGACCCTCCTGTCTCCTGTCTGGGAACTTGAGTTGGTTTCTAGCCTCAAGGGCTTTTAGAAGCACAGCATGGTGTTCTCTCTTTAGAGTTAAACCAGAGCCAATAATACCATTAGTTTCTGTTATTGTCTTTTTAAGTGTGTTGTCTCAGAGGACCTCAGTTGCACCTGTTTTGCTCCCTTATGCTTTATGTCCAAAAGTATCGAGACACTGCTTCTAATGAATTCAGCTACTTTAAGGTGCACCTGTTGCTGACGTGTTCAGTTGCACATATAGTTTATATTATCTCCATAGAAAAAGGGTTGCCAGTAAAATGGGATGGTTAGAGCAATGGTTCTCAAACCGGTCCTCAGGGACCCCCAGACGGTACTGATATTTCCTCCAACCTAACTTAGAGCACAAAAGGATTGAGCAAAAATTCTGACCATCTAGGGGGCCCTGGGGACTGGTTTGAGGACCCCTGGGCTAGACGGATAAAGCCCCTAAACACTGGACTATGGAGCAATGGCACTATGTTCTCTGGTGTAATGGAGCTCCATCCAGTACCTCTGGGATGAATTAGAGTGGTGTTTGTGATCCAGAACTAACCATCCAATATCAATACCAGACCTCACTAATGCTCTTATACTGAGTGCAGTCAGATCCCTAGGGCAATGGTCCAAAATTTAGTGTAAAGGCTTCCCAGAAGAGAACAAATGAGTGGACAGGCTCCCTATTAATACCATTGATTTTAAGGAAAACATCAGGTAAGTAGGTGTCTACAAACGTTTGGATTTATTGTGTATTTAGTGTGTCATGTTCTGATTTGAACTAAAATTCCTGTTCCTTTTTTCATATTTACACTGGCACATCCTGCATCAGTTGGCAGTCTAAGATTTTCTGAGTGAATGAGTGCTAATAGCTACTGTTCACACATATTCTGTCTCTTGATAAGGCCATAATGACTACATCTGCCCTGCAACCAACCAGTGCACCATTGATAAGAACAGACGCAAGAGCTGCCAGGCCTGCAGGCTTCGCAAGTGTTATGAAGTGGGAATGATGAAGTGTGGTAATTGCCATTCTCTTTTTCTGTCTATCTATTTGTCTGTCTGTCTCTATTTGTTTATCTGTCTATCCGTCTTTCTGTATTCTCATGCTACACTACTGTCTACCATGCTTTGCCAAGTTCCATCTGATAATATGGACTTTGTTTTATGCTGCTGTTCTGGACTTTGTCAGCTTTGTCAGCTGATTTGATAGTGATATAAAAATCTAGTATATGTAGGGTGATATGGTAATTATTTGATTATTCATGTGATTACTCATTGTGCCTCTGCACACTCACAAAATAAAACATGAAAATCTCTGCATATTTTGTGACTGTAAGTGTATTTTTATGTTTTATGTGACTGTTTGTTTTTAGCTGTGCAGATAGAACATTTTGTTAAACACTGTGGCAAAGGTGAATATCTGAGATAGCTTACTCACATGAGAAAAATAAATAATTAGCTCTGAGCTGAATTAAACCTTTGTTTCTGTGGAGACAGATTTTTCCATCACTGCTTGTGCAGTGATTTTATATATATGAGGTTTAATTCTCAAGCATTTAGTTGTTTATTAAGTTTTCAGGTGTTGTAGAAATACTCTTAATTAATTGTTAAGTTTTGAATGGAAACAAAAAAGTTAAATTCTTAACACAGCCAATGGAAAAGGATCCAATCAGGATTTTTTTTTTTTGTGGTGTCTATGCAGATAGAGCCAGTCGAGCTATCCCTTTGGTTAGGACTTGACCTGAAATGAAGGCTTATTGTATCAGACTAACTACCGGTATAATTGGGTTTTAATCCACAATGGCCATAAGCTTTGCGCTGACATACTATTAGAATCCCATAGGTGCGCTAGCAGAAATTGACATTTATGGCCTGTACTGAAGGCCTACCTCAAATAGTCAGGGTTTGATCAGTAGTGTTAGTGTGGTGTACTTTTGGGGTGACAGCTGTAAGTTGATCCTCTTTGTGTGTGTGTGTGTGTGTGTGTGTGTGTGTGTGTGTGTGTTTTAGGTATGCGCCGAGACCGTGGCAGTTATAGTCGTGGAGGCCCACAGTCAAGGAGAGTGACACGATTCCCTACGAGAGCAGTAACGGGCAGCCAGAGACAAGCAGAGCGAAGAGGCTTGCCACCCATCAGGATAAAAGAGGTTTTTACTGCGACACTGAGCCCAGAGGAGCTCATAGCCCGGATCATGGATGCAGAACCACCAGACATTTATCTGATGAAGGACATGAAGAAGCCCTTTACTGAGGCTAACATCATGATGTCACTCACAAACCTGGCTGACAAAGAGCTGGTCCACATGATCAGCTGGGCCAAGAAGATCCCTGGTGTGTATATACGTGCGCATGTGTGTGGGCTTGTGTGTGCAAGTGTGAATATTCCAATCTCTGCTTTATTTACATTGAACATTAAGTTCATGCACATTTTGTTCAGAGTTTAGTTTTCTGTTCTGCTTGCCCTATTATGTGTTTGCTTATTGGCCACATTTTGAGAAAATAGATGATCTGTTGCTTGCAGTAACTGATGCTGATTTCGTAATGCTGATATAATGATGTATATTCATTATAAAATTAGGAAAAGTTTGAAATAAGCACAAATAAATGGAAGAAGCTATTATAACATAATGGAAACACATGAAAACACTCAGCTTCTCAGCATCATCCGTGTTGTTTTTTTTATATTGTATTGCTGCAAACAAAAGCTAAATGCTGCCTATTCTTTGAATCAGCAGTGGCAAAGTAAATGTTATGAAAATCCACACTGCTAAATTTTCTAAAATTGTTGCCAGTTTGGAAGTGTTATTCTTGTGGAACTGACACATTTGAGGTGCCAACTGTTCAGCTGATTGAGATGCAGGTGTTGTTTCTGTTTTGTAGCTAACAAGATGTGCCATGAGGTGTGAAGGCACATTGTGCTGAAGCTGATGGAACAATGCACTAGTAGGGTTATGAGTTGGAAGTCAATTGTGTAATCATCTTTTTAACAAGGATGTGTTATTATATTAATATATTAAGTGATGGAGAACCATCAGATAAGCTCATCAGTATAATGAAGATAGTTGGCGCTGTTAAAAGATGCTGCAAGATTCTCACAGGGTCAACTTCTCACATGCAAAACTTTAAATGTCAAAAGCTGAATAATGCTGAAAAAAATTGACAGGGTACTATAGTTACAGCTCTGTGGTTGACTGACAAGGTAGGTGTATCTAATAAACTAGCAGCTCAGTGCCTTCTCAATCACTGTCTCATTACTGTATAATGTATATTCTGCAAACATTGCTATGAAACATGAGTGTTGTGTACACAAATGTGCTACAGACATGACTGAGAAGTCTGAAGTAACTTATTGCACATCTAAGCTGAACCTTATAGTTGAAAAGATACTTTGCTCTTCTCAGTGTTACCTTGATAAGCCACATCAATCACCGAGCAGAAAAGAATTTACCTTGTGTAGAAGATGACTGTATCCCATGTAATGTTAAACTATTAGCTCTAGTATTAGCTCATGTACTGATTTAACAAACTACTTGGTGGATTAACGACTGACAAAGCAATGTTTCAGATGATTCTCAATCAGATCGCCAATCAGAATGTAAACAGTACCTAAAGGAGTTAACTGAGTGGTCTTTTTTGGTTCCATGTCTGCTAGCTAAATTGTTTCCATAGGATAACATCTTCCTCAGCATGTTAAGCCGCAACACTATAAAGGAGAGTGCCAACTTATGCAAGTTTAGTTGTATGTACAGTGTGCATATGAGTTTAAGCTTAGTGCATTAACTTTTGACAGTGTCAACCATTCTCATCACACCAGACTTAAAATTTGTGACATGCAGCATTTCCTTTCTAATCCTTGATTACATGTTCCCTTGCCTTAATAAAAGCATCGGTCCTGTCAGGTAAGGATCACACAAGTATCTTGAGATTTCCTTTCCATTATATCTTGAGTTCCTGTCAATTTCAACCTACTCTTCCATAAAGTAGTTGCACATTTGAGCTGGAGTTTGTGTGTGCCTATTTCAGCATTTCACTGTTCCAAACTGAGAATTTAGACTGAGGTCCAGTGATTTTGCTGGTCACTCAATGTGTTCCCCAGTTTTCAGGAACCCTACAGTTGTCATACTGGAATGGGGGAATGTCAGTGTTCTGCTTAGACATAAAAGATAAAGTTAGTGGAAGAGTGGGCTAAAATAGACAGGAGTGTCAAGACACTGGTCTAATCCTACCTGCCTAGATTGGCACTGTTGTCAGTGCATCTGGACACTTAACCAAGTATTTAAAAAAAAAATGATGCATGCAGTTTTTTGTCGGGAGAGCTTACCTTTTAAAATGAGTTGGAAAAGTGTTTGTGATCCAGAACTAATCATTCAACATCTAAATGCTCTTATGGCTGAATGTAATCCAATTAGAGACAATATTAGCTTTTCTTTTCTGATACTGATACTGAACCCTTGAGTTTTACCTGATACAGATCCTTTATTTTCACTTTAAAAACTACTAAGCTTTAACAACATTTTACAGGCTTCAGATACTCGCTGGTATTTGCAAACTAGTATGCGAATACTCATTCTCAAATTACCCTAAAAAAACTGTAGTCAAGCAAGCGTAACTCTAAAAAGTAATGCTATACTTACATTAGGGGTGGGAATCTCTAGGCACCTCACGATTCGATTCGATTACGATTCAGAGAGCTGCGATGCGATTATAAAACGATTATCGTTGCATCTCGATGCATCTTTTTTTTCTATATAGCATTTATATTTTCTCACTGTGAGCTCAAGTTTCGAGTTCAGGTTTCAAGTTTATTTGTCATTTGCACATGTCAGGACATTTATGCATTGAAATGCTTGTGGAGAGGCTCAGATCACTCTACAGAAAGTAAATAAGTAAAAATAAAAATACAAGAAAAACCAACTGAAATATATTAAATATACACAAAATATACACAGAATATAGAGACAATATACATTTTAAAGTGACTAAGTAACTCTGTGTTATTGTTATTTAAAGTGACTTGGTACTTTTAAAGCAAAGTATTTGCAATGATCCATAATGAATTTACTTCCAATATCTTTTTTATTAAAACAAATAGAAGTGATGTGGCAAGTGAACTACAAGGCTCTCATTCAGTGCTCTCGTTTGGAGCACGAGAAGCTGCTGCTACTCATCTGCGATAAAATGCGCAGTTACGGTGAAATAAGATCCTGTGGTGATGGATGTCCACGCAGCACATGTTACAGCTATTCTACCCGTTTTCTTTAGTGATTTTATAACTTCGGTTTTGGTCTCGTTGTAGAGACGGGGGGGATCGCTGTGTCAGTAAAGTATCTTTGAGACGGGACGTGTGCAACATAGCGCGAAAGCCCTGTTTCGCAACGACTGAGAACCGGCGTGCGGACTGCAGGTCACATAGCAGCGATGTGTTATTCGCATTTATAAGCAGCGCAGTTGGTTTCCTGGTACGTTAAATCTGCAACGAGAGACTATCAAACACTAAAAAGTGGCGAAGCTGAAGTCGCTTCTCTTTCGAATTCTCCCATTCCACCTTAAATGGTGCTGCATTTACATTCGGCATCTCAGTTAGAATTTAAGGTGGAACGGGTAAATTCGAACAAGAAGCTGGAGAATAAGAAGCGACTAAGAATCGATTTTTTCCCGCACCCCTAACTTACATATTTCAGATGCTTTATCAAATTTGTTGTCCCTCCATGGTATACCAGCCGCTCATCACAGATTTATCATCCAATCATTTAAAGTGCCCACACACATGATTTCATACGTTAACACTAACTCCTTGATTTAAAGTCCTTTCCTGGTGAAATGCATTATACTTTAACCTACAACGTTTGTGGCAAATTTTGTGGCTTAAAAACAACCAATCTTCCAAATACTAGAAGGAGAAACGGACACCAACGTAATGGACGAATATTTGAGTATTCAAATTATTCAGGCCAGCCTTCCTTTTTTTTACCTAAAGCGCTTCCCTTAAGACGAGCATCTAAAATTTGGCTATCATGCTCAAACTACTCAAACACTCTGTTACCTCACAGGAAGAAATACATAGCTAACATCACATCACACAATGTAACTGTGGTATTTCTTTGAAATTTGTAATTTGTGGTACATTTTTATTAGGATTGGATCGGATTCATTATTTTTCTCTCCTGTACTCAGTCCAGCATTTTCTGCTGTTATCGGTCTGATACTGATACCTGGTTTCGGAATGGTGTCATCTCTAAATCATATCCTCACAGCAATGTTCAAACATCCAATGTAAAGCCTTCCCAGAAGAGTACAGGCTGTTTCTGCAGCAAAAGGAGGCAAACTCCCTGTCAGTACCCTTGATTTCAGAAGAAATGTTGACAATAAACATTTCTCACACTGTATTTTTGTGTGTGCAGGTTTCATGGAGCTCAGTCTCTTTGACCAGGTCCACCTGTTAGAGTGCTGCTGGTTAGAGGTGCTGATGTTAGGGCTGATGTGGAGATCTGTTAATCATCCTGGAAAGCTCATCTTCTCCCCTGATCTCATTCTCAGCAGGTACACCACTGTTTGTCTATCCTAAATGAATGCTCATATCTGCTTTATCTAAATGTTTGTTCACTGTTCAAAGCTCTAACCATGCAGTACATGAATTGCGGATGTAAATGATTAACCATTTTCCATTACCCGGCAAATAAACAACTGTTCCTCCAATGTTATTGTTTAAAACCAATATCTTCCTAAGTTCTTTCTTAAATTTGTTATTGAGAAAGTTGCTAAGAAGAAATATACATCAGATTCAAGACATGTTCTTAAACCAAAGAATTGTTGGCACCTTTGTGCTCTTCAGTGTGTGTAGATTCTATTCTTATGAAGAACAAATCCCAAATGAGAAAACTTTGGTGAATGTCAGAATCTTAGTAAAAACTGCATAAGTGGGTTTTCAGAAGAAATTTCTTCTTAAGAACAGTTGGTGAAAGAGGCCCAATGTTAATTTGTTTTCCTTTCCAATGAACAGCAGTTCCTTTTTGAATAGGCCGGTTTATCATTCAAGTTGAGAAATGTCTTTGAATTGTATGCACAATAGGCAACTGGTTGAGATACACCCACTCAAAATGAAGAGAGCAGCTAAAATAGTGGTGTTTGGGACCGCTTTTCAAGAGGATGGTAGTAACTACAACAGTGTACCATATCGCAAGTAAACATCCACCTTCGAAAGACACAGCTATTTTGTCCATGATCTCCGAGAGAAAGGCTAATGCATGGAGATGTGAGGAAATCACATATGGGTGTGCAGTATTATAGAGAATGTCTTAGAAGATGGCGACAGCTTTTAGGAGCTACTGAGGTACACTGAGCCAAAGCTAGGTTGAACTTAGGCTGGTAATGAATGATAAATATAAAACTTTAGAGTATAGAAATTGGCAGTTAACTATAGATTTGGCTCACCAGTTAAGCTGGTTGCAGACTAATGATAGTCAGTTATTGGACAAAGAATTTGCCCATATTTGCATCCCTAATGCCCCAGTTGTTGAGTAGAGCCATCTATGCTCTTTATCCAGCTACATTTCTGAATGGATAGAGGGTAAAATACTTCTCTAAGGGTGTGTTTATCTGTGTATATGTGTGTCTGTGTAGGTCAAGCGTTATGTGACTTTAAAGGATGTCAAATAACCAGCACATCAGACTTCACATGCACGATTTTCATTATGTGCCACATGCTGGTTTCTTCGTATTCCACTAGTAAGCCTTGCTGCTTTTGACCCTGCTCGTCTTCATTCAGTAAATTTGACAAACTTTCTATCTTTGCTCCAGTAGTTTGACTCAGTGGCTTGCGAAAGAAGAAGTAACGCTCTCTACCTTATTCAAACCAGTAATTTAGTAGATCTGATTCAATTCTGCTGCATTCATTACTAGCCTGTTTAAGTATAGCTGAAGGTGGCCTTTCTCATTTTTACAGCTTAAAAATGCATTTTCTCACAACTAAAGCAGCCTGGCTAAAATCTATTTCCTGGAGTAATGGGACTCTATGAGGTTAATGTTGTTCTCTGCCCTGCTCCTTTCCTCTTCTCAGTTAATGATGTGCTGTGACTCACACACTTGCAACACCTTCCTGTATGCCCTAAATTCTAAATTTGATAGCTGGAACACGTTCCAAAAAGTCGGGACAGGAGCATGTGTTACATCAGCTTGCCTTTCAAGGACACATATTAATCGTTGGGGATTAAAGACACCAATTAATACAACTTTAAAAATGCATTTTTTGCCATTCTTCTGTTCCAAAAAACTTCGGCTGTGCAACCATGTGGGGTGCATGTTTTCAGGAGAAGACAGGTCTGGACTGTAGGCAGGTCATTCTAGCCATACTGTTGTAACATGCAGAGTGCATTGTTATATTGAACTAAGTATGGACAGCAGCTACAAGGCAACATATATTGCTCCAAAGTGTATGTATATCTTAAGTGTTAATGGTGGCTTTGCAGATGTGCAAGTTACCCATGCCATGGATAACTTGCACTCCCCCATACCATGTCAGACCCTGACTTTTCAACTTTACACTGGCAACAATCTGGATGGCCATTTTCTTCTTTGGCCTGGAGAACAAGACATCCATTATTTCCATAAACAGTCTAAAAGGTTGACTCATCAGACACAATACACGTTTCAGATGAGCTTGAGCTAAGAGAAATCGGCAGTGTTTCTGGACTTCTGCTGTGCATGAATGCATAGTTACAAGCAGTGTTTATTAACCACAGTTTATCAAAGTACTCCATTCATTTGGAGACATCCATGACAGAAGCGTGTTTTTTAAATGCAATGCTGTCTGAAGGATTAAAGGTCATAGGTGGTGTTTGTGGTCTTGTGGTTTTTGGTGTTGCCCTTTATGCACAGAGATTTGTCTGGATTCCCTGAATCTTTTGATGATCTTCTGCACCGTGGAAGGTGAAATACCTACATTTTTTAGAGTTGCTCATTGAAGAATGGTGTTGGATTATTCACTGATGAATTTTTTTGGGGGGCAAAGTACCAAGCCCATTCATCACAATGGACTAGGCCTTTCCTATATACTTTCTATTTATACCTGAGCATGATTGCTTCACATGTTTAAGATGTTTCTTTAACATTTCACAACATTTCTAGTCTTAAAAGCAGTGAAGTTCTAGGATATTAAATCTTATTTGGTATCAGGTAAAGCTCATCTATAAATCTAATGATTCTTTGTTGATGGGCAGGGATGAGGGCAGTTGTGTTCAGGGCTTCGTGGAGATTTTTGACATGCTGGTGGCGGCCACATCCCGATTCAGAGAGCTGAATGTACAGAGAGAGGAGTATGTCTGCCTCAAGGCCATGATCCTCCTCAACTCCAGTAAGTGTGCCTATGTGTAATCCTCATATATAACATGGTGTAACTTCATCGAATTCTCAAATTATTCCAAAATGCAGAATTTGCATGTGATTACTCCAACATTCATTTATTTATCTATTCATCCATCCATTCATTGTGATTGTGTGTGTATGTGTGTGTAAGTGCACATATGTGTGTTTGGGATCACAGTGTTCTCTTGAATCTGGCCCTCTTCCACAGCCCTGTAACAAGTGGTCTTTGACCAAGACCCATAGATCTTTGAGAAATTTTACTGGAATCCTGTCTTTAATTGAAGGGAGTGTTGGCCAGGGTAACTAAGAGAATCACTCACACGCTGTAAATGTCTATTGAGAACAACATGCTTGGTTTGGGACTCTCTCAACACATATTTCAATTTCTTTTAAATGCATAAGTAAGTAACAGGTGGTGCTGTGATACTGTTGTGTGTCGTAGCGAGATCATATTTCTTCTCTCTGATTCCCCTAAACCTTTCATTTATCTCTCCTGTATTTTTCTGTGCTTCACAATGAGATTCTGAAGTGCTCCACCATCTGTTTCTCATTACTCTCCCTCACTAGACAGTTTCAGAATAAACAAAACACAACATATGTTCTCTGCTTACTTGGCAAATGCTTTCGGCTTTTTTAAAAATCTTTTTTAGAAGTAAGGATGTGACTGTGGTGTAACTGGCCGTGTGGCTGTGTGCTGTTGCAGACATGTGTCTGAGTTCAGCTGAAGCAGGAGAGGAGCTACAGAGCAGGACCAAACTGCTGCAGCTGCTGGACTCAGTGACAGATGCGCTGGTCTGGGCCATCTCTAAGACGGGCCTGAGCTTTCAGCAGCGCTCTGCACGCCTCGCACACCTGCTCATGCTGCTCTCACACATACGCCATTTAAGGTACAGCCCCTTGCACCTCTTCTCAGTAGGTAGAAATCTAGATAGTAGGTCTGGGAAAAAAATGACCATTACTGATAATGAAATAATTAATGATAATAATGATAATTATTAAAATCAAACAAATTTTGTTGATTGATAATGCATGTTTGAGGTGTTTTTGTGCTGTTGAATGTTCTGTAGAGGCTTGGATTTTGAGCTATTCTTTCGTCTGTATGCTGAGAAGTGATATGTACATTTCACTTGCTTGACTGTGAATTGGAAGAAGTGTTGCCGTTCACACATAATTGCACAAACCAGAACCAGGAACAATTAGGGGAGTTAGCTAGTGCACTAATTGTTAGTAATTGGGAGTAAAAAGCCATGAGACATCATCTTAGCCTGAAAATACCGTTTACAAGTAAAATTGAGCATTGAAGTCCATATAATAAATAGAGATAAGTCATATTAAATGATATGAAGAATGAAGAATGTATTGTGATGATTCTGGTCTTATTGCCCAGTTACTAGAGTCATACACTATAGTACACAAAAGTAAGTTTTTTTTTTTAATTTTCAAAAATAAATTTTGTCCAGTAGCAACACAAAACAATGTGTCTGCTGACATCTAGGTTATCCTAAGAGTTTGCTACAGAATATCCCATTGGTTTGCAAGAGTCTTAGAGAAAGCGCTTTATTCTCTTTAAGTCTTTAACTACTTACTTAAACTCCTGAATTCCTAATTGTCCACCTGATTGAGTGGATCAAGCTTTCAGGAGCATCTGAATGTGAGATCTGGTGGATATAATTAGGCTTGCAATAAAACTCTGCAGGATATTAATCACTAATCAGGAGCAAATGGAGAATCAGTTAGTTGTACACTGTTCCTGCAGACATTTAGTCAAACCTTTGTGTTTTATATTGATAAACATGTTCCTCACCGCTATCTCCCTGCTTTATCATCTTTAAGTTAGTCTGACTTCCGACCTTTTGGTTGGTAGAGTACATACAGTGTAAGTCAGTCTAGTCAGATATTTGGATATACTCTTAATTACGATCTGATTAATCAGTTACCCAGTTTAACATCCAGAGGTCTTCATAATGAATCTCACACATACGCCATTTAAGGTACAGCCCCTTGCACCTCTTCTCAGTAGGTAGAAATCTAGATAGTAGGTCTGGGGAAAAAAATGACCGTTACTGATAATGAAATAATTAATGATAATAATGATAATCATTATCATTAGCAAGGGGCTGTACCTTAAATGGCCTTGATTTCATTGTATTTCTTTATCTGCTGTCAGTACCAGTAGATATGCAGGCATTAATCAGTTTAGCCAGTTTTTCTGATCTAGACTGTCTTCATACAAAGACTGTCTTTTCTCACTTCAGTAACAAAGGTATGGACCACCTGCATTGCATGAAGATGAAGAAGGTGGTGCCTCTGTATGACCTGCTCCTGGAAATGCTCGATGCTCACATCATGCACAGCTCACGCCTGCCCCACGCTGGTCCGAGAGAGCCCACTGTTCCCAAGGACAGCCCCCGAGCACAGGAAGCTTACAACTTCTCCTCTCATCAGTGGACCCAGCCTGGCGTAGAGGCCGCTTTGGAACTCAGCCAAACTGGTAAACTCAATACTTCTACACATTTTTCCATATAACCTTTGTTTAAAAGCTGAATTGGCAATCTGTTGCATTATATATTTTTACATTAAAGATGGCAATGACATTTTTGACAATTAGTCAAGCCAAAATCTCTACAGTCTTCCTAGCCATTATGTCATTAAAGAATTACAAGCCCATTTCCAAAAAGGTTGGGATGCTGTGCAAAATGTAAATAAAAGCAAAATGCAATGATGTGCAGATCCTTTAAACCCTATATTTGATTGAAAATAGTACAAAAACAACATATCAAATGTTGAAACTGAGAAACTTTATTGTTTTTTGAAAAATATTTGCTCATTTTGAATTTGATGCCAATAACATGTTCCAAAAAAGTTGGGAACGGGGGCAACAAAAGGCTGGTAAAATTGTGTAATGCTAAAAAACACCTGGTGGTTAATTAGCAACAGGTCAGTAACATGATTGGGTATAAAAGAGCATCCCAGAGGGGCTGAGTCTTTCAGAAGTAAAGATGAGGAGGGCTTCACCACTCTGTGAAAGACTGCATAGGCAAATAGTGCAACAATTCAGGAATAACGTTTCTCAACATAAAATAGCAAAGAACTTTTGCTTTTCATCATCTACAGTGCATAATAACATTAAAAGATTCAGAGAATCTGGAGAAATCTCTGTATGCAAGGGACAAGGCCAACAACCAGTATTTGCTGGCCGTGATCTTTGGGCCCTCAGACGGCCCTACATTAAAAACAGACATGATTCTGTAGTGGAAATCACTGCATGGGCTCAGGAACACTTCTGAAAACCACTGTCTATGAAAACAGTTCATCACTGCACCACAAATGCAAGTTAAAACTCCAGAAAAAATCCAGAAACGCTGACACCTTCTCTGGGCCCGAGCTTATTTAAAAAGGACTGAGGGGAAATGGACAGATCAACAGATCAAAATTTGAAATTCTTTTTGGAAATCATGGATGCTGTGTCCTCCAGGATAAAGACCACTCAGCTTGTTATCAGTGCACAGTTCAAAAGCCAGTATTCATGATGGTATAGGGGTGCATTAGTGCACATGGCATGGGTGACTAACAAATCTGTCAAGGCGCCATTAATGCTGAACGATATATACATGTTTTGGCAACATATGCTGCCATCCAGACAACATCTTTTTCATGGAAGGCCTTGATTATTTCAGCAAGACAATGTCAAACCATATTCTGCATGTATTACAGCAGCATTGCTCCATATTAAAAGAGTCTGGGTGCTAAACTGGCCTGCCTGCAGTCCAGACCTGTCAGTACTGAAAACATTTGGCACACTATGAAATGAAAAATACAACAAAGGAGACCCCAAACTATTGAGCAGCTGAAATCCTGGGAAAACATTTCACTTTTTTGGAATGTGTTGTTGGCATCAAATTCAAAATGGGCATATATTTTTCAATATGTTTCAAAAAACAATCAAATTTCTCAATTTCAACATTGGATTTGTTGTCTATGTTCTATTTTCAATGAAATATAGGGTTTAAATGATTTGCACATCATTGCATTTTGTTTTTTATTTACATCTTGCACAGCATCCCAACTTTTTTGGAAATGGGGTTGTATTATGAACTCAGCACCATTATTCAGGCAAACATAAAATTACCTGGTAGTTGCTCCCCCTAATACTCTTTGGTTTAATGGCACTCTTGTGTATGAACTGAGATCCATTATTACTATTTGTAGGTAGAAATGGTGACCTTAGATACCTACCTAATGACTCTCTTCTGGAATCCCATTTATTTGCCATATCTGGCCAACCTAACCATAAACCAGCAAAGTCTTGCTGTGTGGCTTTTCTGATTATGAATGCTGTGAGTCAGAATTGCATTTATAATTACTGCTAAACGTAGCACATATCGCTTTTATTACTCTCAAGCCGCCTGTACAGTTTATCAGATGGACTAATCTCATGAGGGTACATGATGCAATACCTGGGCTGTCCAGTCACCTTATTTTTGGATAACATTTCTACAGTCAAACAGGGTCTGCTAGGATAAATTGCCAACAGCCAGCCAGAGTTCAGTTGTGATTACACAAGTCTAACATTTGCTGATCAATACATAATCTTATCAGTCGTATCCAGTGCACATTGCAGTTGTGCAGTTTTATTTGCATAAAATCTGCTGCAGAAACCTCTGTTGATGACAGCAATTGGATAATAATTAAACTGGGTTGGGCAGATGTGCAGGTTTGGCACTGAGAATAGTAGACTGGCTCCTGAGCCACTGGCTAAGAGTTATGACACAAGTTTGAAGCCCAACGATGCTGCAGCCTTCTGTGGTTGGAAGTCCAAGAGACCTCAGTGAGTGGGGACTGGTAGTGATTACCACTGGGGAGAGAAGTGGGCAAACATTCAAAAAAGAGAGAATCACAGGCTAATCTGGCTCCTGCTTTCTCTTAGTTAGACTGCGCTTCACTTTGGGTTTTCTTAATTATTTTGGCTGCTGTCTCATCAGCTGTGGTGAATCAGGTTTTTCCACAGATCATTTATTTATATACAAGTTGTTTACAACGAATGAATGAAAAGTCTAAAATACACATTATGTGGTAAAAAAAAATGTTGTGCTGTGGTACTGGCTACTTCAAAATATTTGACCATTCTGCTGACCATGGTAAAATGTTAGGTTCCTCACTTATCATCTCTCCTTTTCTTTTGCCAGTGCACAAAAGTGACCTTAGCATTGTGAAGATGGACTGAACCAGTACAGGAAGTGGATGTTTTTGTCAAGAAGGCTCATTTTCTGTGGACCTAAAGCTGTCTTTGAAAGAGGTCTTCATACAAAGCATTGAGGCTCAAAGAACCGATCACCTGTACAAAGCCTTAAACTGTGTAGTTTTATGAAAATGAGGATGGCAGCGTTAAGCATTCCTGGAAGTCATCAGTGATCATATTCATCAGTAATCAGTGGTTTTACACGCTCACAGAACAACCTGCATACTTTGAAGCAAAACTTGCATTTATTGTGCGTCTTTATAAGCCTTTCTTTTATATAGTACACTAAGCTGAGGACAATCTTAACTTTCCACTGTGATTGTTTGAATCACAGGTCTACAAAAGTGACATGAGTCACTCTTGCACTGTAAAATTTATAGTTATGACCCCCAAACAGGAGTTCCGAACAGTTGTTGTAATCACCATCTTGTGCCTGTACTGTTGTTTTAAAGGCTGTAATTTTGGACTAGTATTTAGCCTTAAGCCTTATTCTTAGGCTTTAGGATTGAGACGCCCCATTTACAGGGTAAATCCAAGACTACTGTTGGCTTAATCTGCCAAATATGCACTAAATACATCATGAAATTTCACATTAGAGCTGTCAGTGATGTAAACAAAAGCTCATGCTTAAGTACACAGAATGTAATATTGAGAAATGTTGGTACAGTTATGTAAATAAATCATCTAAACCTAATTTGCCATAGGCAGTTTTGTACTTCAGCAATTAAGGGATCAAAACTTTCTCAGCCAAAGACAAACAGCAAGCCATCATGTTTAGTGTGTGACACAATAGCCAAATTTGCATCCAACTATATGATGAAATGCAAGCAGTTTGGTGAGACGCACATCACTGTCATGGTTTACAAAATTACACTTGCAGTGTGGGGATATATAAAGCCAGATTTGTCATTTAGGCAGCTTCTGAATGTGAAGCATTAGCATTACGTTCTTCTCACAGCTTTCTGGGTTCCTTTTTCCTAAATGTGGCCTGCAGATGAGTGATTAGTATTCTGTTCTTGGCTGTTCTTCACCAAAATCACTAGTGGCTAACGATGTCTTTTGCAAGCAAAGCCAAGGTTTCATTATGCTGTTTTTTTTATATGCCTCTTCAAGAATGGGAATATGTAGGGAGAAAAAGATGCAGAATTTTTGTAAAGAAGAAAAAAGAAACATTCACCTGTGGTGACTGTGCAGAGAAAGCTGCACTTTTTTACATTCCAAAAAAAAAAAAAGATGAAAAAAATGTTTTTCACATATTGAATTTCTGTTGAACTGCTTGTAACTTGTTTCACCATCAATGTCTAAACGTAGGACAAACCGCAACTCATACGACAGCTATGGATTTGAAGCTTTAATGCTTACAGTTGTATCAGTGGTAACCCACGACTGCATGAAGTTCATTCCAACATGCCGAGTCTGACTTGGTTTGTCTTTTTGTGAATGTTGTAGCTGAGCATGGACTCTTATTTAACTGGAGATAAGCTTGTGTAAACTGTGTTATAGGGTTATCAGATACCAAACGTTCATCCTTACAAGGATTTCATCATTCAATAAAATGTTGTGTCATCTTCAAAAATGTGTATTTCTTTCACTGGTACTATTGTTATGTTTCCTCTGTTGCCAGTGATTTTTGAGCGGTTTGTCCAGTACTGAATATTCTGTATTAACACTGCATTAGTGCCTTGCTCTTTATTAGAGCAGTGTCTGTTACAAGTTTTGTCAGATGCCATTATAAACCAGCTTGATGTTTTCATTTGGTGCATAATTATTATTACTTACACATACACATTTCATAGTAATGAATTAAAAGAAAACAAAAAGTTGGCATCACATCACTTCATTTGAATAAGAATGTTTATTGCCAAAAAAGAGAATACATTCAATTACTTGTCAAAAAATGTGTTACTGTACACACAAATGTCCTCTTGGAATTCACATACTACAGTGCACTCTCACTGATCCATATTCTGTTTACACTAAAGCAACTAAGGGTAATGGCTCAATATGAATATATAAATTGCCATTTTGTAATGTTTCGTGACTTCACACTTCACACACATATTATCTGGAGTAACAACAGTCATTCTGTCTCGTTTGTGTCATTCTGTGGCATCTATTTATCTTTGCATGTTAAGCAGACACACACAGACGTGTAGATTTGAAATAATGACCAGACAACTGATTACCATTATTCTCAAACTCAGGCTTCCATTTGAAGCATAAAAATCTGTTTTGCATGATTATAAACCTGCATGAATCAGTGACAGTCACATTAGTACAGGGACACACATACAACCTGATTGGACTGGATCTGTAGCATTAAAAACGTCTCAGTAGTATGGCTCTCACTGGGGAATAAATAGTATAAAATTAAATTTATAAATACAAAGGTTAAAAATACATTTTTGGACAGTAGCAATATGCACACCTTAGTGCTTTGGGAGTCTGGATTTATGGGCGTTGGATGCAGGCCAGCCTGTCGGTCAGTGTATGTGTTGTCATGTGGGAGGAGGTCCGTTGGTGTAGCGCAGCATTGGATAGAAAGAGCGGGCAAAGTTATTGGAGAGAGTGCAGCTGTAGTCTTGCTCAGACAGCGGCACCAGGCAGGCTAGAACCAGCAGCAGGAGGAAGAGGAGGTGCAGGGGGAAGGCAGCTCGCAAAACCCGAACGAAGAAAGAACGCTGAGGAGAGGGGTCCCTCTTCTCCACCCTGAAACATTTCAAACATTTTATTAGAACTGACATTTCCCTTCTTCTCTCTACAACCAACTGTAATATATAAAAGACAACAATGGACATTTCAGCATTTTAATGTTCTTCACTATTCTATTAAAATTCAAGCTTATTTATAGATAATATATATTATATAACAAACATCATAATCACAATAGATCATATCTTGATAAGCCTATCTGATTATATTGTAGGTATTGTCTATTAGTACAATGTTTCTCAACTCTAGTCCTGGAGGCCCACTGACCTGCACATTTTAGTACTTTACTTGCTTTTACACACACTTCAGCTCAGTGAGGGCTTGTTAATGAGCTGATTAGTTGGATTATCTGTGCTGGGAGAAGGGAAAACACTAAAAAGGTGAAGGGCAGTGGTTCTCAAGGGCCAGGGATGAGAAACACTGGTCTAGTACCCAGCTTCCCATGGTGTGGCCTGTGAGCCAGAGAGAGGACATTTAAATTGGCCAGCCAGAAATAAGGTAACCTAACACCACCTGCCCACCCAGTGAGAGAGCAAACTTATCTTAATACTATTTATAACTTTTCAAATTCCTATTTTCCTTTCAAATAGTATTTTTAGTAATAGTAAGTATTTCACTAATATGGTGTAATGTTATAAAATACATTTTTAAAAACCTGATTTAAAACCTACTTCATTTGTTCTTTCTTTTGTCTTTTTGGCCCTCAGCCCATCGTTTACACTGCATTGTGAGGAAATTGTAAACTGGCCAAATGGCAAAACATTGAACAAAAAAACCTTTTTCAGAAAATCAGTTCTGTGTATTATTAAGTATTATCGTGTTATTTTTTGCATATTGGTCGACCCTACAGTAGTTGTAATCACAACAAAATGGTCATTACATTCCTATTTGGTCATCTATTCAAATAAGTCTTAATAGCTACTGCTGTTCAATCTGAAAGTTGTACAGTACCTGCTGGAGCCTAATGATCTACTCCCAGCACCAGCCTCAGCTGCCAGCTCCTGCAAACACACAACACACACAGATAAGCTCAGTCCTACATGCAGCACTCTCTTGTAGTGAAAGTGCATAATTTTACTGAGAAGTTCTGATTCTTGGAGAATGATACGCAGTTCATGCTGCAGCCTACCTTAGATGAAGATCCCAGACCTTGTCCTTTACTCATGGCCACTGCCTCAGATGACTCCTGTAAAAAGAAGATACAAGGCAAGTGTTTTTGTGATTTTTTTTCCAAAAGTAGGCCCACTGACTTTAATGTTCACAGGAAAAATGACAAGCTTGACCACATCATATGAAGTGATCATATAAAGGGCAGCTGTTCTACTAGCGTTAAAGACGTTGTTCTTGTGTGCTCCAATAGCACTTCTGCTCTCTGTTCCATCAGTGCATGACTGCTGTCCACTGTCAATAAACAAGGTGATCAAGAGAGCTTATTCCCACAGGAGAATGAGTTGAACTGGTTTTGAAATGCTAACAGATACACCTACAACTATCAACAGGCCTGTTTCAGCATTGAGGTAAAGGGCATGTAGTGATACAATTTATATTTTCATCAGTATACTGCAAGATACTATGGATGTGACACACATTACTACACAAACCAACAGACCACCCTTTATTTATTTGCATTAAGTACAATTAATTTATTTTTCAGAAAGCCTCAATAACTAAATATAATATTCAATATTAATGTTCAGTATTTAGTGTGTTCCCTCTTTGCCTTTATTACAGCTTCCACTGTATTCAGGGGACTTGTTTTTCAAAGAATTCTGCAGGCATACTTTTCCACACCTCCGAACTTCAGTCTTAGAAGTTGGTTGCATTTTCTGCTTCTCACAATCCAAGTAATCCCAAACACATTCGATGTTGGAGTCTGGACTATGGGGTGGTCAGTCCATTGTTCTGACAATACCAGCAGCTTCTTTGTTTGATTTTTTTTTCCCAGTAATGCAACCTTTCAAATAGTTTTTTTTCCAGTCCTGAAGTGAGAAGGGAATTTATCTTCAAAGAGGAAAGCTTTAAGAGCTGTTTCTCTGTTGGGGGCAGTTTTTGTGGTCTACCAGGTTTTGCACAGTTGTTAAAAGTCACATTGCCCCTGTATCTTTTGATAATTTGTCAACTCCAGACTTTTGTCTTCCTCATACAAGTGGATTCTCCTATGTTTAATCTTCTCAGAAATGTCTAATGAAAATAACTTATACTTGGTTTCTTTTTTGACTGGGAATGTACAAAATGAAGGGTGACTCTACTTTACAATAGAAGAAAATACAATGCTGATCCCTTGATGTAATGCAGCCTTCCTTAATACTATTATGACATTAATGACCTGCATCATTTTGACTAAAATAATTTTGGTTTGTTGTTTCATGTTTACATCTTTGTTAAAACTAGGATTTTCTGGTAATAATAATCTCCACAAATGGCAGGAGAAACATTTTGTTCTCATCAGAAGCTTTTATGTTATACAGCAGCACAATAAGCACTTTAAACCAGCTCCCATCATTCTCTCCGAGGAGCTGTTCAGAAAATGCCAAACATTTGCAAGCAAACCCAAAGTACCTTACTGTGTGCACATATACACACACACACACACACACACACACACACACACACACACACCTCAACCTCTCCCATCTCCTACTTGCGCTTTTGCTCTCTGCCTCATAACCACTTCAATTAACAAATGCATCACCTCACAACAACCAGTGCACCATAAAACCCCAACTACTGATGCGATCACCACTTAATCTGAGCCGGACCTGTTCTGGGAAATACTGACCCACTGCATTCTAGGAAATATTTTGAAGCATACAGCAATTAACAGCCTAATTCTAAAATTGGACTAATTCTTCAGTGGAAGACTAGTGAAAAGAAAAAAAAAGCTGGTTTAATATCTATCTCTGAATTTCACCATAACTCTTAGGCCTATTTTTCTTGGGGGTTTACATTCAAGCTCATTGGTGCTTTTGTAATTAGCCTGTGTGGAACAGCCTGGAATGCCAGTGAGCTTCAGTAAGAGAGAAAAAAAGCAGTTTCCAAACAAGCACAGCAAATGTGTTTAAACAATAAAGTGCAATAACAGTAGATAATTCCACTACTGATCCTCTTATCAATAAAAACAAAAGAAATTCTAATTTTACCACATATAAGTAGCAGACTGTCACTATTGGAACAGAATCTTGTATCTCCAAAAAAGCAACTGTACAGGAGAAGGGAAAATGTTCTTAATTTTCAGTGTAAGTTAAGATTTTTGGACCATTTCTTTTGGTCTATTTGTCATGAAATGTCAACACAGTGTAAACACACTATGAAAAATGGAAAATACAAGGTTTTGTTCCAACAGTGACAAAATACAAATCATTATTTTAGGATTACTGCATTATATTTAAGAGACCTAAAATAAAAGGCACTAATGGTTTTTTGAGAAGAAAAGCTTGGGACAAACATATGGATTCATATGATTATTACTGCTGTTCTTTGCCGTAGTAGGGCAGCATTTATTTCTAAGATAACTAGTCTAGTGCTTTCAGTCCCTGATTTGGCAGCTATTTTAAATCACTGCAGTATTTCCTCACCAGTCGCTCTTGAACAGTCTGGAGGTCCTGCTTGACTTGCCGCAGTAGCAGACGTAATTTGATGCCAATGACGTGGAGTTTCTCTCTGGTCTCGGAGTTATCCTCCGCCCCTGACTCAGGGAGCAGCTCTGAGGCGATCTCCTGCAGAGAACCCACTTGCTTCTGCCTGTTCTTCAGCTCCTCTTCCAGACCCTGCCACCAGGGGGTGCAATACAGGCCATTAAAGCAAAATAATTAGTGAATGTGCACAAAATGAAAAATATGATCCTGCTCCTTTTTTAGTGGTTTGGTTTTGACAGTTTCCAAACACTGTCTAAAAACATACCAGTAACTAAGGCACTGGCATGTTCTTTTATACTAATAATGCTGTTTAGAGGTGGATGTACAGGAATTTGTGCACTGTACTGGACACCAACACCCAGGACTGCAGTTCGCCACAGTTTGTCAGGCAAATATACACCATATGCTATAGACGCTGCTTTGTTTGCCAGGTACATCATATGAATGAACAAGCTAACATTTACACTTTCCAGCTAGAACTGATTTCATTCTCACCATCAATGCAGTTTTGTGTTCCTGCAGCTTGGAGGGCGGTACAGCGGGGTCAAGGATATTTACTGTGTATCTCCTGCTCTCAGCGTGGGCCAGCCACAGTAAGAGAGAATGCAGCATTTCATGGAACTCCTAAAAGAAAGCAGAAAACAACGTTCAGAAAGAAAATCAAAAATCAAATAAAATCTTCCCACATCTCAAATGTATTCAGTCAGCCAAGACATGGACAAAAGGACAAACCACGGACTAAAATCAGGCTTTAAGTTGGCTGCTAACAGTTGTGTAACATCCTTCTGTCCAATTTCATAGATAACAGTGTGTCTTACAGTGTCAGAAACACCTGACAGCAACTCAACATGGTCTGAAGTGTGCAATGATTTAAGCGTGCAGTTTGCACAATGCTAATGGATGGCTATAAGCTTTCATTGCTAACTAAATAAGCCTTGTAGCTCCAGTTCAAAACTCAAAAAGCAGATTTCAGATATCAAACATTTCTTGGTTGACTGCCTACATTTGAGGAAAGTGGAAAACTGTGTACATTTGATTTTTGGCTAATTTGGCTAAACCACTGCTTCAAAAATGCTTGCTGCCAAGTCAGCAGTACCATTTGAGTGTGACATCATCTTATGTGTTCACTGCATTCTGGCTGTAATATGGGAATCTGACCTGGCAGCGCATGAGTGAGTTTCGCAGACTGTCTTCCCAGCCCTCCAGGCCCATGCAGGCCTGGGTCCAGCCCTGGTTCATGTTGCGCAAGCCCTCCTGCAGCTGCTGCATTTCAGTACTGGCCTCACACTGCAACTCTCGCCCACCCAGGTTCAGTGACAGCATCAGGGTCTTATAGCGAGAAAAGGCCTTCTGCATTTCCTGCAAGAAATGGAAATAACTATGGATGTAGATGACTTGATGTACTTATACTCTGTAGTGGTGCTAAAGTGTTGCATCACATATGGCATAGTCACTTTTGTATATTTGTACAGAACACTGTGTTTTAACACTTGGGACCACTGAATATATGATTGTAATAAGTGCAGAGCAGTCTTGATCAAATTTAGTATCATGATATTTTCCAAACACATCACAGAACCAGATATTTAGGTTTGCATTAATAAAATGAATGACAAACCTGACATGGCTTGTTTTGATCAAACTGTTCTGGTCTGTTTTACTTCTTTTAAGATTACAGTAAAGGGAACAGACCAAAACAGTCCAATCACTAACACAAACATTAACCAGACAGAAACCATGTAAGGAAAATACTTAGGCTGCTTTTACCCCTAGTTCATTTGCTAAAGTTTACAACAACTTTTTTTTGTAAATTTTATATTTGGTTCAGCTGGTTTCACATTTCAAAGGCTAAAGTGGTCAGAAATTTGCCAGGGTTACAAATGCTCAGTTACTTTCATTATTTTTATTTGCCTCCATTAGTGTCAAAAAAGCGCTTATTTTTAACTTTCACTAGCATGTCACTGTATAAAAGCCAGATCTGTTTCTCAGATATGTTTTTGAGAAACTGTATAATCCTACCAATTATATTTCACAAAAATAGCGACGCTTAATGTCTACGTGTATCATGTATTAGAGTAATTAAAACACACTTCTCTACTTCTCTATGATCCATGGGTTTAATTACGCACCAGTTTGAAATAACACAGTCAGATGGCATATACCTGACCCTATCTATCAAAAATATGTTCTGCAGTTCAGGACACAAAATCAAATGCTTTGCTATTGCTCATCTTTTGTAGGCAAATGTTAAAACAGGCAGATTACGTGGCCTGTACAGCGCTGGCATGCACTGAGAAAAGCATGCTCTGATGTTGAATTTACTCAACTGTTGTGGTTTTATTACTCTGCACCAAACAAGATAGATGCCCTTATGTAATCTACCTCTTTCGTATCTGGAACTGTTCAATACAATTTTAAAGCAATCAGAAATACACAAGAGTTGATGTTTTGTTTTCTGTCATTACAGCTAAGACCCAGCAGTAAATGTAATGCAAGGTCATGATGAGCTCATACCTTAAGCTCTTTGACTCTGGCTTCCATGATCTCCACACTGACAGATGTCTCAGCCTTCTGGAGTCTCTCCAGCTCAGGGGTGACACGGCCTAACCAGGAGGTAATGTTTTGCAGATCAGATGTCAGCTTTTGAGGATCTCTGCTGCTGCACTGTTCCTCACTGACCGCACGCGCCTGCAGCAGCTCCCAGCGCTCAATTACTCCTGCACAGCACATCAAAAAACAAAGAGAGAATAAAAAAAAAGCCTAGAAGAAGGGGCCAGTGTCATGTATTAAACCTCCATTTCTTAAACCTGTACTGAATCTGAGCTTTGAGTGCCATTGCCAATCTCTAGATTAACAAAATGAGGTGGAGTACATTCTGAGATCAATGTAACAAGCATGCATAATACCACTGTGGACTGTATAATGAGCTGTCAGGACAAAACCTTGTGTGTAATTTTTGTTGTTTTTTTCTGTATAATTTGAAAAGCCATCTGCTCTCTACACTGTGTATAAAATTCAAGAAGAATGGAACAGAAATATTACAAAATGGAAAAAAAACTTGTCACCTTGACTTACATTAAAAGAATGCTTTTTCTTCTCCAGTAAAGTTACCTTTTTGGAGATACAAGATTTTGCTCTGACAGTAACCATATACTACATAGTTCAGTGTGTAGTCAGCAGTATGCCTGTTTGTTTGCTGTATGGTAACTACATTAGCCCAGGACAAACTAGTCATGAAGGCTTTTGTGTACTTTGAGTCTTGGTGGTGTTATTAGATGTGCATAGGCGTGATGAGTGTACCTGACTGTTTGTCTGCAGCAGTGAGTCCAGTAAGGCCATGGTCCTCCTGTTGTTGCTCTGCATCCAGGATCAGAGACACTTTCTTCACACTCTTAATGCTGCCCGCTGCACTGGGACATGAGCTGAACCTTTCACATAAACACAGCCTGATGACACGTCAGCCACATCAGCAGCCATATCTGATTCTAACTGAACAGGCAGTAAATTCAAATACTTATTCAAATTTACAAAGAGATAAAGAAGGAGGAGGGAGAGACTGAAAGACAGTATAGACCTACTGACCACTTTATTAGCTTGTTAGGAGAGCTTACAGGAGTACATTTAGACACTGTAGCGTTTTTTTTTTTAACATACAATTGTGTTGGTCATCGTCTAGCCTGTCGTCAGTATACTATACTATATACTATACACAATATCTTCTACACTGTGGATTTAAATATTACACTATTCACCAAAATGTATTCAGAGATGTTTTAATTTAATATTTCAAGAATTCTGTGAACACCAAGTAAATATTATGAGACATTATATACTGCAACTATTACTTTACATTTTTTTTAACTTATCTGCCAGGAGATCTTTTATCTCATTTTTGAAATATGATGAATTCTGGATATTAATGTTATTATAACATCGTTCTTGATGCTACACATACCTCTGTTGATCATTCTGAACACATATAGAATTTCCTAATTTTCATTTACAGCTTCCTAGTGCTCTACTAATTATTTAAAACCTGTGAAGTTGTACAGGGCTCACATATTAAAATAATTTTATACTCTGTCTACAACCAAACCAGACGTATATGATTGAAAACATTGATTCTACACTTCAAAAACTTTCGAATCACTGTTCAAAACAGTTGATGTAGAGGTTAGAAGGAGGCTGACAAATTATGCACAGCAACAGATGGGCTGCAGTCAGCACCTGAATGGAGGGTGTACCTGATAAAAGTGCCCATTTGACAACTGACTGATTGATATGTACTATTGTTTGCGTGTACTCACATAGTCTTGTTTATAGGGTGTGCTGGTTTGTGTAGGTGAGGGGTGCTCCGTATCAGCAAGGTCCAGGGTGAGGGGCTTCCTCTCTGGGACAGACTGGGAGCTCCAATTCTGAGCCACAGCCACGTCCTGTCCTGGAACTGAGAGGGAATGAGAATAAAGGCATAAACTTAATTAAACCTCTATAGGAATGTCATCACATATATAATTGGTGCATCATCTCTTCATTCCTGAAGTGAAAAACACGCTAGTATCATTAGTGTTATCTTTGCGCCGTGCCATGCGGCAGAAAGTGCAGTGGCTGTGGAGTGGGAGGACATGCAGGTGGAGAGAGTCTGCTGAGAGAGAGGGAGAGTAAGGAGGTGTAACCTCTCCATGCCCTTTCTTCTCTCTTTCTCTCTCCCGGACAAGACCATCTCTCGGCTTCCCTCCCCACACGGAGCCAAGACTTTCATGCTGTGAGTGCTGAGCCAGCTGGGACAGGGGGAGGAAAGGAAGAGGCTTTGATTCATGAGAGAGAAAAAGACAGCCCAGGGCTGCGGGGAATACAAATACAAGGCCTTTGTTGCAGTGCATGCCCACTCTGTTCACACACACACACTGACATACACAGCACCGTGATGTGAGAACAGCACAAGAGATACAGAGAAGAGAGTGATAAATCATAAACAAAAGAGGTGAGGAAAGATGTGGGAGTCTGGAATAGATGGGGTGACATGTCCAGCTGAAGCTGCATATCTGCAGACTGGGCAGCACATAAGGAGGCTGATGCCTACCCAAAGTTGGTGTCAGAACCTGTATTGTGGATTTAACAAATGCCTCTGGACTGTCTGTGACCTCCACACCTGGAAGTAGGGAAACAGAATGGGGGCACAGTCTTCATCAATCTCAGAGCACATTAGAACCTTGATCTGCTCGCCAGGAGTACTCTGAGACTGATCATAATTTACAGTACTGTGCAAAAGTCATACACTACCCTTCATTTATTAAATTTCTGGTGAAAATAGTCTTTAAGTACATAGTAGTAAGTTATTAATATTTCATCATACATTTACATATATGTAACAAAATATTTCACAGAAGCCTTAACTTAATATCACATTTTCAGTATTTAGTGTGTCCATCTCTTGTCTTCATTACAGCTTCCATTCTGTTTGGAAGACTTGCTTTTATTTTTTTAAGGAATCTGCAAGGATATTTTTCCACATCTCTAAAGTTCAGTCTTAAAAGTGGGTTGTATTATATGCTTCTCATAATCCAAGTTATCCCAATAAGAAATTTAGACTCATCAGTCCACAAGATCCTGTTCAGTATCTCAGATATCCAGTTTCAGAGTTCTAGTGCAAATGTCTATTTCTCAGTAACAGCTTCTTGACATCTACATATCCTTTCAGACTTGAGCTGTGTTGAGGTGTCATGTCACAGTGGAAGGATGGGCAGAAACACCTGTGGATTTTTTCAGATTTGAAGCAGAAATGCAGCGCTTGATTTTCTCCTATCTCAAAGATAAAAGCTTAATGTATTGTTTTCTGATGGTGACTGTTTTGGTAGACTCCCAGGTCTTGCCTAATTGTTTGGAGTCCCATTTTCTCTGTATCTTTTAATAATTTTTTGAGCTCCAGTTCCAGTTTTGGAAACTTACATATCTTCCTTTAACTTCCCTTATCACATTATAAGTAGTTTATCTTATGTTTAGAAAAAATAAATAACTTACTACTACTTACTTAATGTACTACGTACTTAATGACGATTTTGACTGGAAATTAAATCAATGAAGGGTGGTCTCTGATTTGTGCACGGTACTGTATACATGTTTGAGCCAAACAGCAAAATACTGTGCAATATAAAGAGGAAAAAACACAATCTGTTTGAAATCTGGTGAGAGAGGATGTTTATCCAGGACATTTCGGACAGAAATGCCAGCTGACATACTCAACATTATGTAAAAAATCCTTTAATGCTTTACAATATGTGGAGATTTTTAAATCTTCAAAAAATCATTCATTTACACATTATTTCTGCCAATCATTTACAAAAATGATTATCTGAAGAACCATCCACAGAAAGGTTCTTTAAGGAACCAAAACTGTTTCTTCTATGGCAGATGCGTCAGATCGTCTCTGCTAAGGGCTTTCTTTCCAAGCACGCCAGATTCCACTTTTTTAATCAGTTGATCTTCAAGCAACTGATAATGTGTGCTTTTGCTGTGATTAAATAAAAATGTGCATATCTCACATTTATGTTACAGCATTGCTGCAAAGAACCCTTTTGGTGCCTTGGTAAGTGTTCCTGCTTGAATGAAACTGTAAGGGTGGCATGGGTTGGTTGGGGTATTTTTACATTAGATCTACACTTAATGAATTTGTAACCTTCATGTGATGGTAAAAAACTACAAATGTGTTGATGAAAACAGCAGCAGATCTAGTTACCTGAGAGACTACTGAAAAAACTGCCATCCTCATCTTCCTCATGTGAGGAGGAACCCCCCACGTCTCCTGTGTGGTCCCACTCCAGGGGGATAGAGTCCACACTGACAGGTGTTTCTCGGCCTGAGCGCTCCTGTGGTGGGGCCAGGAGGCACATGGATGGCTGGCTTATGTTCTGGCTCACTTCCGCCAGATCAGAACCTTCTGTCTCTGCGGTGCTCTCAGTGCCACAGAGCTCTGGTTCCTCCAGCAGCAGCTGGGAAGGACACAGAGATCAAAAGTGGATAAGTAATACAAAAAAAGCCAAACAATCAAAACCATTTATACAAATGTGCATTTAGAGAAAAGGCGTCCCATTCCTAGAGGGCCAGAGTCCGACACAGTTGGGTGATTTCCCTGCCATTAACACTATCAAAATCCAGTTCCTTTCTTAAACGCCATGAGTAGTTGGACGAAAACAGGAAACTGAGGAAATGAAAGCATATTTTGGGTGCAATATGTACGTCATAAAGGGAAATGAGCGAGATGTGGCGTACAGGTCGAGGGCTGGTGAGGCGCTGGTGAAAGCGGGCCACTCGACTGAACACTTCCTGGCAGTAAGAGTGCAGCTCCTCCAACTCATCCTCTATAAGAGCAGCGTCTAGCGGAGAGCTCCTCTGGATCAGGCCCTCCCCAAACACAATTAGCGCGTCGATCTTATTTGTGTTCAGAGTGATCTCCTTCTTAAAGCCCTGAAATCACAGAGAGTCACAGGTTGTAAAGCAAGTATAGCCCTATGAACAAAATACACAGTGTAAGCACAATAAGCATGATTGTACTGTTTATTTAAGAGGCTGGCTTTTTTGAAAAATTATGAAGAATAGGTTAATGGGGAGAATATAGATGTTTCTATTTACATTGAGCTGTTTTAGCTTTTGGTGGATGTCGCTCTCTGAGAAGTGCTCCACGTTGGTCAGCTGCAGGTCCATCTCAGTCAGCCAGACCAGCAGACTCTCCCGCGTGCTTTCAAACTCCTCTCTCTGGGCTGTGAAGTGCTGCAGGAACAAAAAGAGGAGATGAATCCAGTAATAAGAAGAGTATGTGGAGAGATGTACTTATAGTGTTATATAATGTACAGAGAAAGATTTGTGGGTCTAATACTGTTATGAGATGTCGGTTAAAAACAAATGAACAATCTACCTACCATCTAGTGCAAATACTAGAGACAAATACAACTCAATACAACTCAAGCAGGAATATATTCAATATCTGCGCTGTGATCAACATCAACAGAACCTTTCCCAACCCCTATTACAATCCAACTCCTATTAGAGATGTATCATATAATACTGTTGAAAATTTTGTAATTAATAGTAGAATGTAATTTTATTTAATAATAACTTACTTTAGGTACTTTATATAAAATATCAAGATTTTGGGAGCAAGAAGATGTTATTAAACACTAAGAAATGTATCTTTTAAACTGGACATGAATGGCTTATTATGGTATTTGTGTAAGATGTGTTACCAAAGTGCAAAGTTCATGTTTTTGCCAATGAAAACACTGGCTTTCACAGCACTGTCGGAAAAACTAATTCATGGGCCACTTAGTTTTGTACATCATGAAAAAGCTTGAACCTATCATAGCCCAATATACTAAAATATGTTAATGAGAAGATTACACTATGGCAACAGAAAACTCCAGAGCAAGTACTAATGTAGCTCACTTAATGTTTGAGATGTCTGGACTGTGCAGTTAGCAGTTAAAACAGATAAATAATCAGGGAAATTAAAAAATTATGATGCTGACAAATTTATTTTCCACATGTATCTGGTAAACAGTCAAAGAGTTTATTAAACAATATATTGATAATACGCTGCTTTGTTTAAACAATGTTTTGTCAATATTTGAGTATATATGTGGGCCATTCTGGATGCTAATTTCATCATAACTTTATTCTTCACGTGATACGACTTTCTCAGTCGTTATGGAATCACCTCTAGGTCTGATCTTTGTTTCAGCATGCATAAAATGACAATTTTTAGAGCTTCCTACCCATTTGTAGCATATTAATTATTAGTAAAGTTAGACAATACCAGGAACCTTATTAGAATTATACATGTATCTGCAGCAGAATTGGTTTTACAGCACTGAAAACAGTGATTCCATACTTATGAATAGTCATGTAAATCCCAAGGTCAAGCCCCTTAGATGCTAACATAGTTGGAGTTCTCACCCTCAGCCTGCGTATTATGGCTGCCACTCTCCTCTGCAGCGTGTCCCAGCGCTGATTGCCTTGGTGCACCATAGCCCGGAGTCTGCTGGCTGTGTCTGTCCGGTTTTCCCGGGCCAGACGACGATACTGGTTATTAATGATCTCCAGCTGGGTCAGCTTCTCATGCACTGCTCTCTGGAATGCCTGAGAGAAAGTAACATACCGAAGCGAGGCATTTAGAGATTCTAACAGCAAATTAATTACTACAGGAATGCAGCCCATTAAAACAAATGTATTACATCATCTTCAATACCTCATGTTTGTAATATTTTGACATAACAAATTAAAATGTGTTGGGAGTCTTTTCTGGTGTATAATGGGTATCTTTTATAACAGCTTGTGTAGTTAATGGTTTCATAATGAAAAAAATGACATTTTTTAAAGCTTGAACAAACCTCATATCTTTTGAGCTCTTCTTTGGCAACAGTGTAGAGAACATCAGAGGAGTTGGGTTCTGCCACTGCACGCTCAGTCAGATTTAGCCAGTCCTCAAAACGTGAGTAGTCCTCTTGAAACTTAGACCACAGCCGCCATGTCTCCTCAATCCTAAGGAGTTAGGTGACATTAGTTTTACTATAATGTGATTGTATTTTCATATCTAGGCCCTACGTAGGCCATTACTATGCCAATAAGAGAAACTCTTAACATTACGTTCATCTGCCATCGTAAGTCATTCTGGCTGAAATGTAAATGTACCTCATCCTTCTTTCCAGGGACATGGAGCAGATGTTTCTCCAGCGCTGATCCAAGCTGCGAGTGGTCAGCTGAATGGAATCGTTTTCACTATCGCTGCTGCAGGCATCCTCATCATGCAGGAGCACGTCGCACAGGGTGAGGACCGACGCTACACCCTCAGTATGCTGTTCGATGTCCCGCTGCAGCTCCTGAACACGAACAGAGGCACATGCAGACATGTTGGTATCATAAAGTTCAAAGTTTTCAGTTTTTTCTGGTGTTTTGCAAACAAAGTTAACATCTTGAACTCAAATGAACTGTCAGCAGGTACAGACTAACATCCTTCCCTCTTGTAACTATACAGTAGTTTCATAGTACATTTTCAACAACAGAGGCACAATCTTAGGAAACACTTAAGCTGTCTAGAACCATTATTTTATGGGATTTTCTTTAAACTTTAAAAGGGTTCCTCACACACACACTGATTTACAAAAACTGTTCTTCCACTTGACATGAACCAAAAGAAATTCTTCTGTAAAGAATTCGATAGAAATTGTAAACATTGGTATATTCTAGCAGATACAGTTCTGGCTTCTCATCAAAAATATAAAAAAATTTAACTATGTTGGATTTAACTAGCTGTTGTTTGCATAGTGTATTAGGAAAGTGACTGGTAGTTTGCACAGTCTTGAGCAGCCTGTCTCTGAAGTGACAGGATTTCCTTGCATTTTTGTTAGATTACAGTTTATTCATACAGAGGTTTTATTATTATTATTATTATTATTATTATTACTATTATTATTATTATTATTATGTTGCTTTGGTATTCCAATCATGATGGTGTTTTGCGTTTCAGTTAGACTTATCATGTTTGCATATATCTTCACATACTGTACTGCATAATGTAGCAAAACTGAGGGCCTCAGGAAGATGTGGGTGCACATTAGACCGCATATAAGCAGTACATGAGAAATACAGAGGTGCGGGAAATACAGTAATCAACAGTAAAGTATTAAAATTTTTAGTACAGTATGGGTGCTGAAAGTCATCAGTACATAAAATGTACACCAGCACAAAATCCCTTTTGGCACCTTTTGTTTTAAGAGTATAGTTACTGAGTAATTCATAGTAGTTATTGTATAATAATCCACAAGATTAATGAATGAAAAATAAGCCTGGAGTTAAAGGAGTTAAGCAGCAGCCAAGAAAAAAAACAACAAATAGCTGCTGGATTCACAGAAATTAATATTAAAAAAATCCAGTTGTTGCTTGCCTGCTGCTCTGCTAGTCTCTTCTGAATCTCATCTCCATGGCAGATGCTGTAGTGCACGGGTTTGGCCAGCTCAGCCTCAATGCGGGACAGCCATGTCCGCAGGTTACTCATGTTCTTGTCCAGCTGCTGCACTGTTACCATAGTCTCCTTCAGCTTGTTCACTCTGAACACAGAGGGGTCAGAAGTAAGAAAAATGCACATGCAGACAGTCCTACTCTCAGACAGACACAAACATATACCCATATGTAGGCACAACATAAAGGTGAATATTTTGGATAACTGCACTGTATAATTGCAGAAATCCATGCATTTGTTTCCTGTATGTGAGCACTGATACTTTACTAACTCGCAAACTACAAGTACAGCGTACACGACCTGATAACAAGTAAATGCAGCTTCACTCTATAATTCTACGAAAGGTGATTTTTAGCACTTGTCCACTGCTCTTCTCCTCCCCCTTCTAAAAGCTTTCATCTCTTACAGCGCACCCCAAGGTGTCTCCCCTTCTCTCAAAAGTCACCATGGTAACATGGTAACGCACTACTGTGAATCTCCTGTTCAAAACAAGTAACCATAGTTACCCTCACTTCAGATACTGAGCATACAGAGCTCTTAGTTCAAAAGTTGCCAAAGTGGAACAAACCTATAGCCTAATTAAAGAATGGCATAAAGCAACTTTTGCTGCAGAAGCATTTTATATATCACAGATTTTATACCTAAAATGCATAAAGTACATGCATATATAATATATAGAAACTGATGGATTCAGAACATGTAGAAGTACAGCTGAAAGTATGTGAATTCCCAATATTCTGACCGGGCTTGTGTAAAACATTTCTCAAGAATCAAGAATTTCTTCCCATCTGCAAGCATGTTCAGAATATTTGTGAAGGATGTTTTTAGGCTTTTATTCCCAGCAGGGCCACATCCATCCAACGGTTGCGAGTCCAAAACACTATTGGCCCTGTTCTTGCTGGGTGAGAAGAACAGCTTATTTCCTCTTTCTCTGTCAATTCAGAGCAAACCAAGCCAATTCTGTATAAAGAACCAGGAAGTCAGGACTCTACAATGTTACATGAGTAGCAGCTCAAAAAGATGCAGAGGCTGGTTTCACGTCACTGAGAAAGCATATGTTTGCCTTCTCATGCTCCACGATACACTATTATCACAGTACATGAGCCATAAGTCTATTCTGAAAAACTGCGATATTCCAATACTGTGATTTATTACTTTAGACTGCAAATTATTCCTCCAAAAGAGAACATTTTCTGTTTTATCAGAAATCTTTTTCTTCAATTTAATATGATACAGTGGAGTGTCTGAAAATCTCCCATATATCAATGCTTCCCTTTTCAGTTTTTTGGAGCATTCAATAAAATTCAATAAAAGTATAATATTTCATAATAATGAGCTGGCTACAAGATAACATGTATCGCTGAATTATATGCTTTGCCTCTTTTTGGCACTTTTTTGCATAATTTGACATGTCCAGTTATTCCTCATTTCAATCAAATGAATCAAAACTACTTGGAATAAAATCTGTTACATTAACTTCCATTAAAAGTTGAGGATGTTTTTTTCCTCCTGTAAAATTACCGATTTGGAAATATGAGCTTTTGTTCCATAGGAATTGGTGCTGGCTAATATTATCAAGAAAATCTGGTAAGATCAGGATTTTTTTTAGTGTGTTTGAATGGAGAAAATTCTCCATGCTACGCTTGAATCTAAACTCTGATAACCTCCACTCAGATGGAACCAAAACACAGATGCTGGTTGCTGACAGCTGCTTTGTGCTACACAAAGATTATGCAGAGCAATTATATGGCAAAATCAGAAGGCGTGCATCTTATTGTGAGGAGCAGCAATGACAGCATGAGAGTACAGGCCAGCAGTACATACAGACGGCTTGCCGTGACCACTGTGCACTGGGCTCTACACTGGCCGCCTGACCCCATTGTGTCCCTTTACCATGATGGCTAATAAGAGATGACAGACCCCCCCCCCGGCCCACGCCAACGTACACACGTAACCACGAAGGGTGGTGCACAAAGGGCTGAGGACTGGTCACAGCATCCTAACTGGCCATATGGCAAAGCCAGAGCGTCCAGCACTAGTAAGGGCTAGCTAAATCCCCCTGCTTCTACCACTAGCACCATCTGGCTGTCTCTGTCCATGTCACAGACTGGAGCTTTAGCTGTGAAGAGACACATGGGAGGATAGCTTCATCTCTCTAGGAGTGTCCAGTGCTAAACTTTAAACAGGCTGCTTTACTCTGCTTCAGATTATTCTGTCAATTATTCTCTACTCTAGACCTGTAACATGACAATATGTGATATCAACATATGTTAAAGCTATCCTGCAATTGTATTTTTTTTTAATTTTACAGCAATTAGATGTAATATATTTACATTACCACAAAAGATAAAAGTGGTTTGAAAATGAGGAGGGTCAGACACATGCTAACTACATATAATTATCAGAAAGATAAAGCACACCAGAAAGAGACCATCCTGTGAAACTGAGACTATGACGAAAGCTTACAAACGAGAAAATCATTAGGCATTGATACAAAGCTTTGGGACAACAAAAGAAAATGATACATACAAATACCAAGTGTTTACACCTGAAAAGAGCCCATACAGCCACATATCCAGTGTAGAAGTGTTAGACAATTAGTACTGAAATTAGTTGTAAAATAAGTCATTTAAAGGGTCATCTTCATTAATCTAATATAAAAGCCTTAAAGTAATTTTAGCCATGGCAGCTCTTTCTTTTGTTTAGTATTATGTCTAATAAAGGAAGAATCTCTATACTTTCCTGTGGAATTCAAATGCTGGTAGAGATATACTTCTTAAAACCACACTTTTAACTTATTTCAAAGTCGACAGCTGCTAAGCTAAATAGGTGTTTTACGCACACTAAATAACCATACAAATAACATTATCAATTATACATCATGCACAGTCTGCTGGCTGAATATTCTACCCATCCTGTTATTTGTGATGTGTTATTTTTTCACGAGAACACCTTTCTTTCCACTGCAGCATATATAACACAGAAAATTAATATCTAGGAACACTTAGATAATATTTGACCTGCCGCCTGTTTGGTTAGATTCTGAAGAAACAGGCTTGCATCAAATTCTGAACCTGTTCTTGCCCTTAAGCAAGCTGTTCGGTCACCAGATATAACAACTGGGGTTAGCTAGAATCTGACAGCATACAATTTGGCAAAACAAATGGGCACTGAAATGCTTTACAGACTGGCTGGAACAAAAGGACATTCAAGTTAATCAGGCAAATATCAGAAAATTTAGCTGAACCTGATATTGCATCTTTTTCCATAATGCAAAAGTCTGCTACTTTTTTCCCCCAGAAGAAACTTCTAATATTAAAGCAATATTAAAGCATACAAAGTTTGGGGCTTCTTTAGTTTACTTTTTTCTTTATTTTGCAGAGCTGTTGGATACAACCAATAGAACACTCAAGGTTGTTTACTGTGACAAATAACCTCAAGGGCTGTGATTCAGTTGCAGGTATGAGCTGAATTTGAGTACTGTAGACCTACACAGCCATGATGTTATTCATGATAACACACTCCCTCCTGTGTTCCATTTCTTAAGTACAATGCTATTATTACTTTAGCACCAAATAGAGTGGAATATTATTCTTTATCTGATGAAAGACTGAAAGGAGGCGACACATTTGAGTGGACACAGGTGCTTCATTTACAAATCTGAAAAGAGGCCAATGATGCCAGGCCAATGCAAAGCCACTCGTACTCTCACGTGCTCGCATCCCTGTTTTTCTCACCTGGCCTCAATGTGGTCGAACAGGTGCTGCCAACGGTCGTTGACATCACGCAGCGCTCCGTGGATCTCGGCCTCTTTGGCACGGTCGCTGGCTAAAAGGAGCTGCTCCCCCAGCTGCTTCAGGTGGCTCTTATTCTCACTGAAGAGGTTAATCTCCTCCATGCAGTCCTGCAGAGACAATAACAATGTGCTCCAGTCACTTCAGCCAAATCTCTTGCATGTTTTACTCGTTAACAAAGCTACCTTAAACAAAACCCCAAACTAACCGCATATTGTCTTGTTTTAGGTCCTGCAGCTGTCAAAACCAATGCCCTAGCACTCTGCAGGGTTCCTCTATAACCGCTGAGTACTTTCAAGCTGCCTTTCAGGTTGGCGGTCTTGTTCATTTGAATTTGGAGAGACAAAGACTCCCTCTGATCCCTTCGCTTTCTCTTTCCATGACTAGAGTAAGCTTTTTGTGGCTTCACCTGTTTTGTTTGGTCTGGCCCGAATCCCTTTGATCAGCCGTCCATTGGCTGTTGCCAGTGACAACGCCATAGAAAAACAATGGCCACTTTCTGGTCTGTCATCATTATTTGTACACCCCAACCCAGAAAAATCTCAACCTTAAACTATGTGCTAATGACTGTCCTGTGTATAACACAACAGTACTACATGATGAGAGAGGGGCTGCATATATAAGCCCATTGTTGTGAAAAAACAAAAGGGGTAAACAAATAAACAGTTGTGGCCTACATAGTACAACATATTCTTAATAGAATCTAAACTAAGAATATTTCTTAGATCTTCCTCTATCGCTTTGAACACTGTCTGAAATGATAATAAGACCTAACACTGGTAACGTCCCCACTCTTCTGGATTGTAAACAGTTCAGTACATAAAAAATGACCGACTACATATTTTTGCAACATTAAATGTAGCCAAAAAAGTAGCATGTGATGCTTCTCATGGGAAAGCAGATACATGTTGCTTATTTGAGGCCCCTCATAATCCTCATATGGATACTCATTATACTATACAACTGACCTATTTATCCCTTGCACCAATGTGCTATATGAACCTGAAAGATTATAGCAGAATAACAGCACCGTAAAGGCCTCTACTCAAATGAAAACTGAATAGTACTCCAAAGTCCATCTCCCACTTCTATAATTATCAACAGATAACAGCAAGATTCAGAAAATGACAACTTCTGACAATGCAAACCTCAGTCAATGTTACCTTCTTAAGTTTCTCCACCATCTCCTCGATACTGAGGTGTTCATTGCTGTGGGTCACCTTTTTTTCCATCTGCGCTAGCCACTCACAGAGCTCCTTGTTTTTGTCATTGAAAATGATCCATGCATTCAGGCGATCAGCGATCTCTTGTTTGCGCTTGGACACCTTCAGGCAGAGACAAAAGAAATGAGCTTGAACTGATGTTTAGCAGCAGGTTAGGCAAGTGCAGACAAATTAATAGCTTAAATTGTTCTTTCAACACCAAGAACATCAAAGTATTACTGTGTTAGAGACTGAATACAGAGACTTCAGTAACAAAATCTGGACATGTAGAGATCTATAATTCTTAGGGGGGCGAATCTTACACAGAACTAAAGAAGGACCACTCACTGATGAACCATCTTTTTTTCCTCTACATCCATGAAAAGGCTCTTGAGAAGACAGGTCAAAGCACTGCACTACTTCAAATAGGAGTTATACAATCAAACATTTAAGAGCTTTTCTAGGAAATAATAATAATCAAAAAACAATACAATATCTAGCGATGTGAGGCCCTGAAAAGGCTACAAAGGCCTTATATGTGAAGGCCTTTTAATAAAATACATTAGTGTCATGGGGTGAGATAGATGTTTGAGTGTTAAGCTGTGAATAAAAGTTATAGCCTATACAGCCTCAAAGCGCCACCACTGTCTGACAGTTCCTTTATTGGTATGCCCAAACACCATAGCACAGTAGGGGACATTAATGAGACTTTTTCACTTTCCCTTCAGGCCCCAGTGTCATTCAGAGAGTGCTAAGGCTTATGTGTACCCTGTTTTCAAAGTTCCATTAACTCCACACCTGGGAATATAAAAAAAAGTGAAATGACAGGATGACAGGCATAATATTTTCAAGCGGGGTGCTATTGAGAGGAATCACAAAGGAATTAAGACCTACATTAAAATTAGCAGGTACATTTTTATAATGACTGACTGCTTAGCAAATGAAGTCTCCAGTTCCACTTAGGTCAAAGCACTAGGCTCATTTCACACCCACTGTTTTAATCATTTTGGCCTCTACTGCGATTTCATGAGCTGGGGGCCATACCATTTAACACAGTAGTTAACTACTCCCCCAGAGACTCTGAGCTCTATTGTGATTCCCGACGGCTCAGGAGGACCTGTGCTTCCCTCAAAACGCACAATGGATCTGGGCCTAACAGACAGAGTATGACCCTGCCTAGCCATCTGCCATCCCATTCCAGTGACTGATTCCACCTGCAACCTGTTGTCCTCTGACACATATGCCAATGTGGCTTCAAGGCATGGTTAAAAACAAGCCAAACACATGACAGCTACACAATTAACAGAAATTATGTTTTACTGAACAAGCGTCTCTGTGTTATCTAATGAGAGGCTCTATAGATCACTGGAGGCCTCTTGAATGCTGTGTTCTTTCTCTGCTAACTGCTCCATCCAACTATTTACAGTTTGTGTAAGTGTCTCCTTTGCATTCAACTGTCAGTGAGCCATTCAGACATTTAACTTCATGGCCCAGCTGGACAGACACCTGCACTTTAGATTAAGTTACCTCAGTGATCTAAACATGTGTCAGCACTTAAAGACCATAAAAACTTGTGTATTTTAAACATTCTCAAAGTTATGCTTCAAATAACAAAATTTTAAGAATGTATTTACTCTTTTAGGAGCGACTAAAATCATTGTGTCACTGTCCAAAAAAAAAATACTGCTCTACATCATTTGAGCACAAAACATTGTGAAAATTTCTTAATAAACAGATCATTAGAAATGTTCCAAAATTGCTTGGAATAATTCTGTTTACATTAACTTACATTAAAACTAAAAACCTTTTTGTATTCTCCTGTAAATTTACTATTTTGGAGATTCTTTTTTTTTGGACAGTGACAATTTGTTTTACTCTAGAAATAGAACAAAACAAAACAATAATTCCTTATCTTCATTTCCACATGACGACAAAAACAAAACTTTTCATTTTTGACTTTCATTAGCTAGACACTTTCCAACATGGAAATATTATTACTTCAATGGGTGGTTTTCAAGTGTTGTTTACAAGCAAAAAACCAGTAAAATGTAGAATGCATATGCTGCTCAACCAAAATCACAAGCTGCTAAAATCACCCTACACATTTATGTCACCTTTCTAATCATCATCAACATCCATCAGTTTATGAATTGCTACTGTAATACTGCATGTGAAATGCTAACATTGCAAATATTTTGAACCTTTTGCCTTATAAACCTGAGAACAGGCCAAACAAGTTATACTTTGCACTCATGATACATATAATGTCAATAAGCTTGAATTGAATTTCAATCAGTTTTAACATTCTTTTTCTCTCCCATGTGGTGATGTGAAGTGCTTCCCCCACACCTCCAACAGCAAACGCCTTGTATAGCTGAATACCAGCCCCCTGCCCCTCAGCCTCCTTTTCCCTCCATTTCCCTCTTTCCAGTTTCACTCACCCTCAAGCAAAGTTCTTCCCACTGACTGTGAAGTTCCTCCACCTGTCCCTGGAGCAGTGCGGCGTCCGTGGGCAGCACGTACTGGGACACATCCGCCTTCATGGTGGCCAGCTCCTTCAGTCCTCCTGCCCACAGTTCCAGAGAGTCCCTGTGCTCCTGCATAACACAGCAGCCAGCACCAAGTAAAAACCCCTCTGCTACTGCACACTAAGCCTAGTCCTCTCTCTCTCTCTCTCTCTCTCTCTTTCTCTCTGTCACTCTGTCGCTAGCCTGCGGGATTAAGGCCTGCTAGCTGTGACGGGGGAGGGGAGGAGGCAGGGGGGAGCAAAACGGGGAGTTTTGAGGGGGAGGGGGGAGGATTACATCCATAATAGCCCAGTAGGGGAGGTGGGGGAGAACCCCAACTTGTTGGTAGTACCACTGATTTCATGTGTTGTTGAAAGTTTCCATGTTTTCCCAGTTGACAGATTGTGTTCTTGCTCCTCCCTTTTATGGCTTGATCAACACGGCACCAAAACGAGATTAGCTCAGCTTTAAAGCTACATGATTCCATCAAATCAGGTGTCTTCTGATTAGAGACAGACTGTGCTAATGGTCATTTAATACATCAATGGCACCACTTCAGATGGAAGTATAAGAAATGCAAATGTTCTTACTAGGGCTGTTAAATTAATGAAAATAAGTAATAGCGATAAACTGTATTATTTTTGTGCAGTTAATCACAATTGATCACATTTGACTTTTTTGCTCAAATTTGACCACAAATAAAGATTTCATTACATTTAAAAAGAAGTGCATTTTGTTACAGCCATATGAGTGGACAAAATAAGCTTAATCAGAATGTATTTGTGGCCATTAATAATTTAACATGGACCTGAAAATAAAATCATGTGAACACAGGGTGAACATGAAAATAAGCAGTTTCCAATTTCCATCACTGACATCTAGCGAGAACAACAGTGATTGTAGCCCTCTTACTGTCATACTGCTTGTTACGTCTTGTTTCAAGGGGAACTAGAGGTTTTCACTTCACTGTTGCTTTTGCTTTAGTCCACTGCTCTCTTATTCATTCATTGTTCTCCTGTATATTTTTGTTATTGTTATTTTTATTAATAGATGCCCGCATACATCACGTTCACTGATGAATGGTAGGGAGGGCCATCCTTCCCACCAATTATGCTCTCCTGGACGTCTGTCCACAGATGGCTGTGGCATTGCCAGGAATCAAACTTGCAATCTCCAATTAGTTCTACATTGTTTCAGTTAGACCTTTAGTACCTGCAAGAGCTTCTCTTGAAGCTCTAAGTTGTCCCCCTGCTGCTTCAGTTTGACGTTAATCTCTCTCAGCTTGAGCGCATTCTCAGCAAGTCCAGTCTCACAGTTATTCCAGTTCTGTAACAAAGCAGGAGAAATCACATTACTAATGTGGAAGGTATTTTGTGTTTGAATTTATCATCACGAAAAGAATTGGCTCTATATTGGAAATGTACAACACCATTTCCAGAAAGGTTGGGACGCTGTGCAAAATGTAAATAAAAACAAAATGCAATGATGTGCAAATCATTTAAACCCTATATTTCATTGAAAATAGTACGAAGACATATGAAATGTTGAAACTGAGAAATTTATTGTTTATTGAAAAATATTTGCTCATTTTGAATTTGATGCCAACAACACGTCACAAAAAAGTTAAGACGGACAACAAAAGGCTGGTACAGTTGTGTAATGCTAAAAGAAACACCTGGTGGTTAATTAGCAACAGGTCAATAACATGATTGGGTTTAAAAATAGCATCACAGAGAGGCTGAGTCTTTCAGAAGTAAAGATGGGGAGGGCTTCACCACTGTGAAAAACTGCATGATCAAATAGTGCAACAACTCAAGAATAATGTTTCTCAATGTAAAAAAAGCAAAGAACTTTTGCTTTTCATCATCTATGGTACATAATACCATTGAAAGATTCAGAAAATCTGGAGAAATCTCTGCATGCAAGGGACAAGGCCAACAACCAGTATTTTCTGGCCATGATCTTTGGGCCCTCAGGCAGCACTGCATTAAAAACAGACATGATTCTGTAGTGGAAATCACTGCATCACTGCAAAACTCTAAAATGCAAAGAAGAAACCATATATAAACAGGATCCAGAAATGTTGCCACCTTCTCTGGGCCCGAGCTCTTTTAAAATGGACTGAGGGGAAGTGGAAAAGTGTCCTGTGGTCAGACAAATCAAAATTTGAAATTTCTTTTTTAAATCATGGACACTGTGTCCTTCAGGCTAAAGACCACTCAGCTTGTTATCAGTGCACACTGTTCATTGCTCAGTTCAAAAGCCAGTATTCATGATGGTATAGGGGTGCATTAGTGCACATGGCATGGGTGACTGGCACATTTGTGAAGGCCCCATTAATGCTGATCGATATATACATGTTTTGGCAACATATGCTGCCATCCAGACAACATCTTTTTCATGGAAGGCCTTGTTTATTTCAGCAAGACAATGTCAAACCACATTCTGCATGTATTACAACAGCATGGCTCCATATTAAAAGAGTCTGGGTGCTAAACTGGCCTGCCTGCAGTCCAGACCTGTCACCACTAAAAACATTTGAAGGGTTATGAAATGAAAAATACAACAAATGAGCCCCCGAACTGTTGAGCAGCTGGAATCCTATATCAAACAAGAATGGGAAAATCTTTCACTTTCAAAACTACAGCAGTGTCTCCTCAGTTCATAAACACTTACAGAGAGTTGTTAAAAGAAGAGGTAACGAAACAATGGGTGGTAAACATGCCCCCATCCCTGTTTTTTGGGACGTCTCGTTGGCATCAAATTCCAAATGGGCATATATTTTTCAAAAAACAATAAAATTTCTCAGTTTCAACATTTGATATGTTGCCTTTGTAGTATTTTACTTTAAAAATATGGTTTACATGATTTGCACATCATTGCATCCTATTTTTATTTGCATTCTATACAGCATCCCGACTTTTTTGGAAATGGGGTTGCATTATAAAGTCGAGTGATAAATTACTTGTGACCATCCTAACAAGAAGGGCAGTCCAGCAGTGGCTATTTTAGGTACCCCAAAGCTCCTGTGTTTTCTCAGACTCGATCCCACTATTGAGACAAGGAATGTCCCGTTTACTGTGCTCACAGAGAACTGTTTGGACTCTGTTGCACTGCCTGGCTGTTATGTGCTGCTTTTGTGAGGTTATAACAACTGGGGTGATCCCCAGGTCAATGCTCTTCCCTCACACAGTCAACACAAGTGAGGTCATCATTCCTGCTAACCACTGGCCCAAACAGAAAAGCCAATCAGAGCTGGCTATGTGTGGGTGTGACTGTGACGTGGTAGCCATCATAAGTGTCAAGACAGTGAGAGGCAATAAGGATCTCAGCAGAGAACAGAATAGAAGAGAGAGAAACTGACATAGCATGTTTAGAGTTGAAAACGGGGTCAAAGTTCATTTTTCTACAGCCTGGGTCCTCCACGGTGCTAACACACCAGGAGGATTACTGTAATCTGCACCAGCCCTCTTATCTCAGCATGCTACGGCACACTACACCATCCTGCCATGTACCGCATACAACACTGTGCACAAGTTGGAGACTACCCTTTATTTATTTAATTTACAGCCAAAAGGGCCATTAAGTAGGTTAGGTAAATTATTCACTGTTCTGGAGGCTTTTCTAAGGAGATTAGCTATTACATAATTCATAAGTATAAGGAAGATTAGCATAAGGAAAGCAAAGTCAAAGGAAAGTAAGTGAAAAAATACAAGAGCTTTCAAAACTGGTCAAAAAGTTTTTAAAAGATACAGAGAAACTGGGACTCCTCAAAAGTCTAGTTCAGTGGAGGTGGTAATGTTCCCATGTTTACACCTTATGAATGTCACTTTAAATGGATTTACACAGCATTTCCCAACTTTGCTTCTGGAAATCAACCACTGCATGAAGCATTTTTCCAACTAAGACCTTACAAACCTTTAAACAGAAATAAAAGTCTAATTTACTGAGGTTAGAACTGAACTCTGCAGTTAGTCTTCCAGCGCAGTGTGAGGCACCATTAGCATTAAATGGGCCCACACTCTCCTAGACTGAATTACAGCAGAGACCTTGAGACTATTCTGAAAAATGTCACAGACAGAGGAAAAACATATAAAAATGGCACAATGTGGTAAAACAGCCAATACTGGCATTACAATATATTAATATTATGATAATGACATTTGTAAAATACTCTAAAAATAATTTGAAAAAGGTTATTGTGCCTAGAGAGAACATCCACTCTGTCTCTCTAAACTTCACCCAGCTAAAGGGCTTGTGTTTGAACGTGTGTCGGCACTCCTAATTAAACTGTTGGCTTGCTACAGTAATCTGTAACTCCCCATTTCCACCAGTCTCTCAGAATGATAAAACACAGCTGCCTCATATGTGGATCATGGCAAGATTATTTCTGATCTTCTATCCACCGACTGCCACACTATAATAGAGTAATGCACTGGAGTATGTAGGTCAAAGGCAGCTAAACAAGCCCTCCATGCAAACCACTGGCTTGGCATGGTGAACAAAGGATTCAGTGGTGGATTTCCAGTGCAGGGAGAGGTATCACCACTAATGAGGATCTTGTCATGTCTTTTGAGGCCTGACAAGGTGAGCCTTGGTGTATCTCAAGTGCTCTGACATATGTGTCCTTTGTTTCTGTGAAACAACATCAAGGTGAAACATGTATTTGGTTCAGTTTATTTAACACCGCAACTCGTATGCTATGCCTTTACTGTACAAACCCATGTTCCAACACAACATCCTTAATCCAGCTGTAAATTAATCTCTAAAAGCAGGATGAAAATAAATGCAACCAAAGGTTCGTTTTTTGCCGAATAAGTCTGCATCCACACATTTCAGCATGTCCAGCATTTTGTTTAAAATGTCTGCTGATACTCAGGCTGAAGAATAACCACAGTTAACTCTACATCTTCATCTAACTCTAAAAACTATAATTCTGTTAAGTTTGTATCCTCTTCTGCTGAAATAGATGAATAAAAACCAGAACAATCTCTAAAGCATGAGGTTTGGGTCATATACCTGAATGACAGTTTTTGTGAGAGCTTTTCTCTTCTCTACCAGAACACGGCTCTGCTCCCAGGCCTCTTTCAAGGCCCCCATCTCAGCACTCAGCTTGGTCTGTGTCTGGGCATCTGCCAGGACAAGGATCTGCCTGCCTGTCTGTATGGTCTGGGTGTAGAGTTCTTCATGGACACTCAGTTGTTCCTCAGCCTGCTGTGGAAAAAAAGCATTTAAATTTATAGTGCATGTCATTCTTGGCCAACAAAATTAAACAAAATATATCAAAAGGATTAAGCAAGACTAAATCTCACATGCAACAAATTCATTCTTTATTCCTCTATAGTCTTACCTCATAGTCCTGAATGGAGTGTTGGAGCTGCTGAAGGCTGCAAAGCGCCAGGCCAGCAGGGGGCAGGAGAGGTTCTAAGTCTCTAAGAAGCTTCCACAGAGTTTTCAGGTCTGTACTATAGAGTCTCCATTTATCTGTCAGCTGCTCCAAACTTCTGCTGCGCTGTTGGACCCTACATAGTGTGCCCTGCCAGCGCTCCTTTAATTGGGTTAACCTCAGGACCAGATCTCTCCTAAAAACACCACAGAAACCAAGATCAGGCCCTTGATGGTGTAAATGTGGTTATATTCACACACCTTCAGTACTGTGAAAAAGTCAAGGACCACCCTTCATCAATTTAATTTCCTATCAAAATTGCCACTGAGTACAAGTAATTCATTTTCCATGTGATATTTCTAATCACATTGGCTATAAGATAATCCATATGTGTAAGGGAGGGGAAAGTCAAAGGGAAAAAAATGAAGTTTTCCAAACTGAAGCTATGCAAGACCTGGTAGACCACCAAAACTGTTGCCATCAGATAAACAGAACTTAAAGCTTTTATCTTTGAGAGAGAGGAGAAAATCAAGCTCCACTCTTGGTTCAGATCTGAAAAAATCCACAGGTGTTTCTGTCCAGCCTTCCACTGTGAGAAGACAACCTAAGACTTTGGGTCTGAGAGGATGTGTAGCTGTCAAGAAGCTGTTACTGAGAGAATAAAATAGACACAAATTTGAAAGAAGCCGCTGGTGTTCTAAGAACAAGGGACTGTCCACCGCAGACCTCAAAATCACTGAATGCGTTTGGGATTGCTTGGATCATTAGAAGCAGTAAATGCAACCAATTCCGAGACTGAACTCCAGAGGCGTGAAAAATTATCCCTGCACATTCTTTTGAAAAACTTCCAAAAAAGAATGGAAGCTCTAATATAGGCAAAGGTGAACATGCCAAATACTGGAAAAATGATAATTAATAGAATAAAATATACAATTAATACGATTAATATAATAAAATTATAGTTGTTGAGGCTTCTGTTTAAATTTCTATGTTTTCCTGACACTGAAAAATAATTTGTACATGATGTTTTAACTGTAAATTTAATAAATGAAGGATGGTGTTTGACCTTTGCTCAGTATTGTACCCTAGACACTACTACTGTACCCCAGACAAATACTGACCCGCATCTTATAGCAGCTTCTCAACAGCAAATTACTGAAAACAAAAATTAAGAATGACCGTTTCTCATTTCTCTGTTGGCAGAACAGATCGCTTCATTTCCTGAGAGTAAGTTTGTCTGTTTCAGAGGTGAACTCCCTGGCACCCCCCCTACATGAATTATGGTCTCAGCTGGATCACTCTATTAGGCCCCAATGGAAAGAATGCTGCTGGAAAACCACTATTTTAATTGCTTCAGATGACATCCTTTCAAGTGAATATCTCATGCTTTCATTTCCTAATCATAGCACACAAAACCTACTCTAAGACTGTGAAACAAGAACTATAGATTAAATTCAGTTAGTTCAGCCCTTATGTTCACTGTTTCTCACCTGTCCACTATCTGACCTTTCTCCAGAAGTCTCAAAGCTTCACTGACCACAGTATCCAGGAGCTGCTGACCAATGAGAACTTCCATCTTCAGCTTCTGAAGAGACGCACATGAAGAAAATACTAACATAATCTGCGTTCACATTATTCGGCTTTTTCTGAGAACATATCAAAAATTGCCATGGATTAAATGGATTTCCTTTGATGAGTAAATTTCTGCAGCAATCAATTTTGATGACAAAAGGGAGCCGCAAATTGTCTGTCCTCATAGTTTAAGTATTGTATGCATAGGGGAGAGTATAAAGTGCTGTGTAGAAGAGGAAAACGAAAAAAAGATATCTAACCTGGTGAAGAGAAAGTTGTTCTCTTACTGAAGAATGATTTCCAGAAATGTCATTGGACAGGCCGGACTCCACATTCTCCAATAAATCCATCCACGCCTGGCACTTCTTCTGGAAACTCTGAGCACATAACTCCTCACTATACATCCCCCTAACAAAAGAACCCCAAAAATTATTACATACCACTCCTCAAAAACTAGGACATAATCACAGCTCTGTTTCAGTGAGTGAAAACAGCAACTCCAACTCAAATTATGCATAGGTAACTAACAAAAGTTGTGGGTCCCAAATGAGAACTTCAGGTGATATATTGCAAAGGAAAATGGACCAAAATAACTGATCATTCAAACTAGATATATAATGCACCTGTGCTTGGCTGTGGCCTGAGAGAAGACCTGCACCCACTGTGTGTTGAGGACTCGCAGGTGTTTGGCCTCACATGCACTGAGGGTCAGTGTGAGGCTGCGTTTATTCAAATCTCCAAGGTCAGGTGTCAGACCACTCTGCTCCATAAGACCCAGCTTACAAAGCACAGAAAGAGAGAAAAAAGAATGTGAAAGAGTGAATCGATTTATGGGAGCCTACAATTATCTAACTGAAAATAATAGTAACTATAAGGCATTTATACTGTTTTGGGTTAGAAAACAAGGAATTAACTGGTTTACCTTTAGGCACTCTGTGCTTGCAGTGGTGGAGACTATTAAGTTTTCATAGCTTTTCAGATGCTGCTCTAAAGATTCCAAATCAGTATTGAAGCTGACATGGTCTTCCAGTTCCTCCTATGGAACACAAATACATACGAAGTTACAACCCCATTTCCAAAAAAGTTGGGATGCTGTGCAAAATGTAAATAAAAACAGAATACAATGATCTGCAAATCATTTAGACCTTATATTTAATTAAAAATAGTACACAGACAACATATCAAATGTTCAAACTGAGACCATTTCGAATTTGATGCCAGCAACACGTTTCATAAAAGCTGGGACAGGGGCAACAAAAGACTGGTACAGATGTGTAATGCTGAAAACATGGTGAAACATCTCACAACTAATTAGGTTAACTGGCAAAGTCAATAACATAACTGGGTATAAAAAGAGCATCCCACAGAGTCTTTCAGAAGGAAAGATGTGGAGGGCTTCACTTCTGGAGAATCTAGAGAAATCTCTTTACTTATGAAAATCACTGTCTGTGAATAAAGTTTGTCGCTGCACCACAAATGCAAGTTAAAACTCTACCGTGCAAAGAAGAAACCATACAAAAACAAGATCCAAAACTCTGCCTTTTTCTCTGGGCCCGAGCTCATTTAAGATGGACTGAAGCGACGTGGAAAAGTGTCCTGTGGTCTGACGAATCACTCTGAAATTCTTTTGGAAATCATGGACACTGCATCCTCTGGGCTAAAGAGGAGAGGGATCAGCTGGCTTGTTATCAGCACACAGTTCAAAAGCTAGTTTCCACAATGGTATTGGGAGTGGTATACTAGCCATGGGTGACCTGCACATTTATGAAGGCACCATTAATCCTGAATGATATTTTACAGGTTTTGGAGCAAACTTATGCTGCCATCCAGATTACGTCTTTTTCAGGGAAGGCCTTGCTTATTTCAGCAACACAATGCCAAACCACATTCTGCATGTAATACAACAGCATGGCTCCATATTAAAAGAGTCTGGGTGCTAAACTGGTCTGTCTGCAGTCCAGACCTGTCACCACTAAAAACATTTGAAGGGTTATGAAATGAAAAATACAACAAAGGAGCCCGCGAACTGTTGAGCAGCTGGAATCCTATATCAAACAAGAATGGGAAAATCTTTCACTTTCAAAACTACAGCAGTGTCTCCTCAGTTCATAAACACTTACAGAGAGTTGTTAAAAGAAGAGGTAACGAAACAATGGGTGGTAAACATGCCCCCATCCCTGTGCTCTGTGGTAAAAGTGGTAAACTGGCCTACCTGCAGTCCAGATCTGTTACCCATTTAAAACATTTTATGCATTATGAAGTGAAAAATATGACAAAGGAGACCCTGAACGGCTAAGCAGCTGAAATCTTATAAAGTGAAAACATTTCACTTTAAAAACTACAGCAATTTGTCTACTCAGTTTTCAAACGCTGATAGAGGGTTGTTAAAAGAAGAGGTGATGCAACAGAGCGATAAACATGCCCTTGTCCCAACTTTTGTTGCTGGCATCAAATTCAAAATGGGTATATATTTTTCAGAAAGCAATCAAATTTCTTGGTTTCAACATCTGATACGTTGTCTTTGTACTATTTTCAATTACATATAAGGTTTAAATTATTTGCAATATTCAGATCTCAGAAATCAATCACTAATAAGTTTGTAATTATTTCTAAAACTGTCACCTGGAGCTCTACCCTTCTTCTAACCAATGCCTGGCCCAGACGCACAAGATCACGTGAGAGCAGCCTGGTCTCTGTCTGGATCACAGGGGCTGCATGGGACTCCATCTGTGCAATGAGAGGCTTAGAGACCACCAATACATCTGCAACATTGTTCTGCAAGGCTTCCATTTCATTCTCCAAAACCTGGTAAAGTGACACACAGGAGTTGTAATTCATTGAAATAAGAGGGAACGAGAGCAAGAGCAAGAGAGAGAGGGAAAGGGAAAGAAGCACAGATGAGTATTTGCCTTGATTCCCACTTCATAACATGGTCATTCTGTGACTGAAATCCACAGATAGGTCTCAATTAGAACCTTCATCCTTAAAAATACAGTGTTCATCTTTGCGTCATCAGCCTGCTTGTTAGATGCTGTTTTTTGTGGTATTAATCATGATGTACATAGTGAAGTAAAAGCTGGGCATTAAACTAATCTCTCTCTCTTTGTGGAAGAAAAGCAGGGGGCTACGCAGGCTTAGCTCCAGAGAAGCAGAGCATAAGCACCTGAAGGTATTTTTAGCCCTCTGAGAGATGCCATGCGCTAACTCAGAACTCAATGTTCCCTGAGTTTGAAAAGCAACACAGTCCTTATTAGAGTAATACACCACATCCCCCAAAGCTCTCTCATTTGAAACTGCTTTATATGGGTTACATATGATAGTCTGGCAATTAATACACATTACCTGCTGCGATGAGGTCGTATCCTATTAGCATCATCGTACCTATTGGTACCTATTAAGCAGCATGAAACAGCTTCTGTTTTCCAAACAATTATATTTTAATATTTCTATCCAGCATGAGACATTTTCCTGGCTTGTCTGCTGAGTAAGTGCTGTTGAATCACTCACGCTGATGCTGCTGAGCCTGCCGTGAAGCAGCTCTGTGCTGTTCTCCTCTTCGGCCAGGGGGCTGAGGAGCGCTTCATACTGCTGCCATTGGCGGCTCAAGTGCCCAGAGCAGTCTCCATGGAGCAGCCTGTAGTCCTGCCAGAGATGCAGCGCACTTTGAGCCTTCTGTAGCTCCGCACCCACATCCTGGACCACCACCGTCCACCTGATACACATATACACCCACAAATATTTGGAAAACATACTTTTGTCAGTACTCAGACTAATAACATCTCATTACTCTTCTCTGACCTCCACAAAAAAACTCACATAAAAGAAAATCATCTATGAAATAATATGCTTGTTGAAAGATCGAGTTCACTCTGAAGCCGAAAAGAGACATTTACCAACAGCCTTATCAAAAAGCATCAACATACTTCACTTCACTCCAGTGAGAAATCCTTACAGTGCATTGTACCTGTGTTAATTATGCAATGAAATATTGAATGCTATAATACTACTACTACTACTAGTAATAATACATTTAATTAAGTTAGTAAATATAACTAAGTTATTAATTTAATCACAATAACAATTTATTTAATGAATATTGGACATTTCAAGTCAAGTCTGTGTTAATCCTTTCTCAGTATAACTTGTAAATATTTCTATTTTACTATTATTTGTCTTTTGTAAGTTTATTAAAATGAAGTGCAGCCATTAAGACATACATTTCAATTTAAATATAATATTTTGGTGTTGTTTTTTGAGTAATAACACATTTTTAAAAAAAGTAAAAGACGAATTGTTATCTAAATGATACATTCTCTAGAGCGCATAATATCATTAAAAGATTCAAAGAATCTGAAGAAATGTCTGTGTGTAAAGGGCAAGGCCGAAAACAACAACTGAATGCCTGTGACCTTCGATCCCTCAGACTGCACTGCATTTAAAAACGGTTTTGTGATGGACATGACCAATGGGTTCAGGGATACTTCAACAAACCATAGTTAATGAACAACATTTGTTGCTGCATCCACAAAACCAATTAAGACTGAATTGTGCACAGCAAAAGCTGAATGAGGAAATCATCCGAAGCACGGTGGAATCACGTATTGTGGTCTGATGAGTCAATCTTTAGATTGTTTATGGAAATAATGGACATTGTGTTCACCAGGCCAAAGAATAAAAGGAAGTGTGGAAAAGAAAAAAGTGCTTTTATCAAACAGAACACAGATACACAGCTGCACTGACTTTGAGTGCATGCTCAGTTCTGGTACCTCCTAACTCAGCCAATTCTGAAAGCGAACAGACAGTGTTTTTGCGTAAGTCAGTGCCTCTTGATTTAATGCTTCCAGGAATCAGCATCTCCCACAACCTCTTTTAATCACTGCGGACAGAAACTCTCCACAGCAGCTGAGTGAAAGTGTGAATGAGCTACAGAAACATAGATAAGTGGGCCAGGCCAGGAAGAAGTAAACACTCAGAAGAGTAACTACAGAGAACTTTCTTTTAACCTTTAGAAGTCCCAGGTGTTGCTGCCAATAACAAAAGCATGTTATCCAATATGTATTACTTTTCACTCAATACTCATGAAACCCAGTGGAAAATTGTTTTTTTGAAAGTTTAAACTTAAAGCAATACCATATTTGCGTTCATAATTAGAAGGATAAGGATACTTTATCATGATTTGAATGCAAGAAATTTAGTGTTGTGCATATAGCCTTGTCTTGCAGAAAGATAAACTATTCTTTACATCTTTTCCATGTTTTTGACATTTTTTTATATCAAAATAAACAGTGCAGAATGGAAAATGTTGATAAAGGGTGCATAAATGTAATTCACTGAGCAACTCAATGTAGTAAATCCATAATTATGTAATTACTTTTGAATAGTACAGTATAAAGAAATAGTACAACAAAACTGCTGAGGGTCAAATAAGGGTCAACAGCAGCCATGTGTGTATATGACATATCTATATCTATGACTTACATATCTATTCTACAGTTGTATGTAAAGGTTTGAACACTCCCAGTCAAATTACATGTTTGGTTGATTAAGAGAAAAAAAGATTAACACATCTCTCCAGGAAACAAACTGAATTATTGCATTTTCTTGCGAATTTTAATGCACAAGTTCTATTAATATGCTAAGTTTAACATATTGGAAAAATATTAATATGCACGTGCTTGTGGTGGAAATGTAGCACTGATATGTCCAATGTATGTTTCATATGTTCACTTTGTTTGATCGTATATAATTTACTGATATGTTCATTCTACTGTCTCATACCATCATTGATCATGCACGGGCATGAAACATAAAAACAGGGGAAACAACATTTAACATTGAAAGTAGAAGGTACTGTGCTGTAGAACTGGCTTACTGACCGTGTTTTCTCCCTGTCCAGGCTATCAGACCGAACTAGAGCTGCATCAGGGTGGATTTTGCCTTTCAGGTCTGAGCAAAAACTAGATAATTTGGTCCAAGCCTCTTCTGACCTTTCTAGCTCCATCTGAAGCTCCTGTGGACAAGAAGTAGTTTTATACCACAACAATAAACAATATTTAGAGAGACATATGAGTCTCTAAAGCATAATATTTTAAACATCACTTCATCCCTATAACAGGAAAGTAGTCATGCTCGCTGGACTTAATTACTATTCCTAATTACTCTTTTTCCTTATTATTCTATAGCCATTCTTCCAGTCGTACAATGTGTGGACCAGTCTACTTCCTCTTAAAACCCTTAAACTGCAAGCTTATATTTTGTCTATTACATTAAATGGTTATTACCCAGTAATTACTACATATTATGTGGTAACTACTATGAAACTAACACAGGGAGGCAAAATGTTTTAAATGGCAAACTTTTTAATGCCCCTTCAAATGTAACATAAGACCAAATTTGAGGTGATAATATAATAAACATCAAAAATATACAAAGTAACTTGCACTGATGAATTGTTTTCTAAAAACGACACCTAACTGTATGTTAAAATCCAAGACCATCTAAGTGAAAAATTTTCCTAAAAACTGCAATACAGATCTGCAATATGTAATATGTCAAGTTATGAGTCTGAGCCCACTTTAACTGTAGGTGCTTACAGTTTAAAGGGTTAACCACGTGACAACAAATTACAAGGCAGAAGGCCAAACCAAGTCATTGTCCACTGAACTGCATTGTAATGAACTGTAAGTTCTCACCTGGAGTTCTTCAACATGTTCTTTGCTCTGCTGGAGTGAAAACAGTGGGGTTTTGCTGGACTCAAGCTTATAGCTCATGCTTGCTGTGTGCAGAGCTGCATCCCTCAGCTCAGTGTCAAAGTGTGTCCACTGCTCCTTCAGCATGACCAGATTAGCCTGTACAGTACACATCTGGAACAGGACAGATCATGTGGCAGGACTGGCCATAGAAGAAACCATTTCTATGTTTATGCTGTTCAGCTAATTTACTCATTTTCAGTACTCTGGTAATGACCAGAACTCACAGGGGCAGTCTGTGCACTGGGCACAGGAAGGCAGCCATGTAGGGCACCCAAGAGTTAACTGTCCCATGAAAACTCAAGTTAGATATAAAGTATGTGTTGATGTTAAATAACTTATACATATACATTTCAAAAATAACTTGTGTGATTCTGCATTATTATTTTTTATTTTATTGTTCTAGCAATTGCAGTTTTACTTGTTTCAAGCACATTTCCTAAAACAAGCAAAATTATCTGCCAATATTTGAGACAATTTCACTTCATAAAATTACTTAAAATAAGTAAAACAAACTACTAGAAAAAAAATGAAAGGGCCCATAAAAGAGATTAATGTAGTATGTAAACATTGTTAAAATTTCGAAATATATTGTTCACTCCTTAGTCCACATAGGCCATATATCGAACCTAAACTGCAACTCACAAAGCATTGTCAAATGTCTCAACATGCTTCGAACAGATTGTGACAATTCCACTCTGACTAAATCACTATGATACTGAGAGTCAAGCAGCCTCACCCACACACTCTCAAAACAGATCTGTTAAAAACAATAGTGTTGTGTGTCCTGTTAAAAACAACAAGTTTTTGTGTTACAACACATTTCTGTGTTTCTCATAACACAGAAAGCACTGTATTACTTATAACACAGAAATATAAAATAACAGATTTGTTCTAATTAATTCCATCAAATTAAGCATCTCACCAGCAATGTCATGGGCTGGAGGTTAGGGAACCAGCCTTGTGACCGGAAGGTCGCCGGTTCGATCCCCTTGGCCGACAGTACATGACTGAAGGGCCCTTGAGCAAGGCATCTAACCCCCAACTGCTCCCCGGGCGCCGTGGATAGGGCTGCCCACCATACCGGGCAAGTGTGCTCACCGCCCCCTAGTGTGTGTGTTCACTAGTGTGCATGTATGTGGGTGTTTCACTGCACGGATGGGTTAAATGTGTGCAAAACACAGTCGGCTAATGGTTCTGAACGAATTCAATCCAGTCTGAGAATCTGGTGATGGCCCCTCAATGTAATCTTCTATCAGAAGAGTTAAGGTGCACATGGGCCACATCAAAAATGAATAAACATACAGAATCAGTGCTTTCTATGTGATATTGTGTTTCTATCACTACACAAAAGATGCAAGAGGCTTCCTTTATTGTTGCATGCACTGTGATTTTCTTCCAAATTAACACACAAGCTCATTCAGAGAGCAGTTCGGATCAGTGATTATTACTGATTTGTTTACAGCTGCACTATGTAAGTTTTGGGGGTTTGGAGACCTCTCCAGGGAAATATACACAAGAACATTTTGTAACATCAGTCGTGCTTCAGACCCTTTTCCGAGCGAGGACATTGATTTGATTTTGACATCAAATAAATGCAGTAGAAGCTTTGAGAAATCACATTATAAAGAAGAAGAACAGACTAAACAACAGAAATATCCATGTTTTATCGTTGGCAATAAAGCTTAAAAATTTGTGTTCTTGTGCCTGACACAAACGGTGTTACAATAGTGAAAACACTAAATGTGTGCTAATTAACCATTAACCATAATTAACCATTCATTTACTCATTCATTCAACCATTCACCATTAATCATTTTTGAGAGTGCCAGATACAGAGGACCACAGACTTGGTTTAAAATCAAACATTGACACCTCTTCGCAAAAGCCTATGGGTAGGCAACTCTGGACCTGGAGGGCTACAGAGATTTAACCCAGATATCTATTACCAGATTTAGCAACTGTGCAAGAAGATCAGCCCTTCAGGACCAGAGCTGCCCAGCCCACATCCAGTGTCAGGACTAAGACTCTTTTGTGGTTTCAAGGTGATGTGTGTCAAAATGAAAAACTACCTGCTGCCTCAAAGATTGGCACAGCTGAATGGTGCTCTCCACCTCCAAGTTGAATGCCTGATCCATGGGGTGCTGCCCATCTTTTTGGCCCAGCAGGTGAAGAGTTCTCAACTGCAGCAGCTCAGCTGATGTCAAATTCAGCTTCTCCTCCTCCTCCTGCAAGTAAACAAGGACAAACTTCCTAACTGTCCCCTTACTTCAAGAAACACATGTACATTTTAATGATCTAATATTGATTTAAAAATACCAATGCTCTAGTCATTATTCTTGTTATAAAAGTTCAAATACAGACCTTATAATCCCTTAAGGCTTGCTCTATCTGTGTCCAGCTTGCTGGCCTCTCATTAACTCTCATCCTTTCTTGTTGTTCTGAGATCCAGCTGCGCAGTTGCTGCAGATGCCCCTCTCTTTTCTTGCAGTCCTGCTTTTTGTGCTGCATTTCATGTATCTGTAGATAAACAGCATGGTTTTATACCAAGAGTTTTAACATGAGTACAGAAGCACAACTCTGTATACTTAATGTTTAAAAAAGGCTGCACTTTTAATGTGTCCTCATGCTCTATTTTTGTATTTGTTTAAAGGAACACTTAATTATCAAAATGTAACCATTACTACAATAATTGCAAACATGCCTACATGTCACTATAGTTGTGCCATGGTAGCCTCTAGAGCTAGATTTTCTAGTTTAAAGATTAGGAAAACTCTTGTATCTTAAAGGCAGTAACGTTTGTAGAAATACAACGGCTTTGTGGTGGATACATCACAGAGGTCAAATATCACTTGCCAATAGTTGAATAAAGTGTGTGCGCTATGCAAGCTGGGTACTGTAGTAAGTAATGCATAAATCCTTGCAGATTCTCTTTACACGTGGTACTTTGTTTCTGTAAATGAATATCATGTGACAAGTTTGTGGTTACAGTAGCAGCCACCTACTTGGCTGTCAATCGTCCTCTGCAGGAGGATCCAGCGGAGATTAAGGTCCCCCAGTTGCTCAGCGAGGCGCAAACGCTCTTTACGACTGCCCGGGTCATCCAGAAAGCCCACCTCCTCAACAGACTGGCTGAGGAAGTCTACACATTGTTGCCGGCTGGTAACTTCTGCTTTACAGTCCTTATGAAAATCAAGAAATATATTTTTTATTATTGTATGATAATATTATAATTTTATTCTACATTTAAGGCACGATAAGCAAACAATTTAATTAACAGAATTTTTCCCTTATCCCAAATATTGTTAACCAGTCAAGATATGATTGTTTCCTGAAGCTTGCTTCTGTAGTTTGGTACTGGAGCTCAAGCACTAATGAAGCTACCAAGTAATAGAAGCTTGCATGACACTAAATAGCACTGTCAAACTGTGTACCTACATCATTACATGCTTGCCTAAAACCATGACTTATTAAGTAATCTCAAATAGACTTGCTAATGTGGTTTCTGGCACTGTGTGATATACTGTTATGTATAAAAATGGACAAAAGCACAAACAAAATTCAGACTTTAAAATAGCTGCTACTATGATTTTAGCTATGTGAGATCAGATTTTTAACTTGTTTTGTAAGAGCACATTTGTCTTTTTGCCAAATGATCAACTTAACCTCACCACTCCATTATTCTGCTTCTCTATGTGTGCTACTAAACTGTACTGATTCCATTTGCTAACAAAGGAACACTGAATGAACTGGAAAACAGTCATTGTGAAGTGGAGTAAAAGAAAGAAGGAGTGGGTTGTGAATGAGAAGGAGAGTCATACCTTTAGCTGCTGTAGAAGCGTGGTGAGCTCAGAGCAATTCAGGACGTGGTGCTCTCTGGAGCTCTCCTCCTCCAGTCTGCCCTCCATGTGCTCCAGCCAGGAGGTCAGCTCAGCCATGACCTCACCATGGTCCAGGCCTGCCAACAGCTAGTGTAGGGGCACAAAGAGAATGCTTTTAAAAGCAGCAATAATACCATTCGATTCATTTGACTTTGATGTGAGTGTTTTTTGGAGTGAAGATAACACTTTTAATTAACAGCACATAAACAAAGCGGGAGAGAGAGGGAGAGAGAGAGAGAGAGAGAGAGAGAGAGAGAGAGAGAGAGAGAGAGAGAGAGAGAGAGAGAAAACAGACATCTTGCATTGGGTGAAATTGAGGAAGAGAGAAAGTGTGTGAGAGACCGAGAGAGATATAGGGAGAGAGAGCATGTGAGAGAAAGGGCAAGCGAGAAAGAAAGAGGCAGACAGAGCAAGAGAGCACAAGACATAGAAAGAGAGAGAGAGAGAGAGAGAGAGAGAAAGAGAGAGAGAGAGAGAGAGAGAGAGAGAAAGGGAGAGAGAGAGAAAAAGACAGAGGGAGAGAGAGAGACCTACCTGCTGCAGTGTGTACTGAACAGAGGGGAGAGTGTTACTGAGTTCTGTCCAGTCTTGCTCAAGCTGAGTTAAATGTTTGTGCAGTTCAGGAGCATTACTGTCTGACAGCTGCAGGATCTGAGTACCTGCTCTTACTGCAGCAGCTTTCTGCACAGACTTGCTCTCCAACTCCCTACAGAACTCCTACAACACATGACATTTAAAGCCATTTCAAATTAAGGAATTTAAACAACAGTTCTGCAAAATAAATAAATTGAATCAAGAAGCAAAGAATCACTATCAAATGTGCTTTAATATTGCCAATTTATATTAGCTTTGCAGCTCTGGTGAAAAAAGTAAAGAAGCAAACGTTACTACAGATACCAAACATGTTCAGGCTGACCAACTACACTTGGGGAGTTTTTTCACCAGACTATTCCTTTCAATAGGTTTAAACACTGAAGATTTGTTGACAATTACCATGAGTTTTGGCAGAAGCAGTTTTGAGTCTTGTGGATTAGAATCAAAGATGCTGTTACATTTCTGCACTTGGGCATGTGCAGTTTCCATCCACGCCTCCAGTTCAGCAGAGCTGCTCTGAAACCTACAGAACAAGTATAAACACACACACTGCGTTTAGCCTTTCAGATTAGTGTGAAAAAGTAAACAAAGCAATATATGTAAAGGTGTAGTACATAGTGGTTCTCAGTCTTAGTTTTAGAGTACTAAAGCCATGCATATTTTAGAGTTGATGCAGCTAAGGAACTAATTAACAAGCCCTTCCTGAAGTGGGTCTGTTAGAGCAGGGAAGACACTACAGTGCAGGGCAGTGTTACTCCAGGACCAGGACTGAAAACCAACACTATATTGCAATTCTTCTGTTTTTCCTACTCTTTACAGTTATTCAAATCATCCAACAGCTATCAAGCTCTCTGTGAGTCCAGTAGGACATATCAGGTTTATCCAGCTTTGGCTCTGTAGGCCACTTTACCCAGCAATCATTATTTATTTGTGTGATTTATGTGGATGTCAGTGAATTTTTTAAAATTGCGTGTACAACATCTTGCACCCCAAGCACAATTTCTGAAGAAAATGCAACATTATTTTATTCGCTCTCTGTTCGTTTTTTGTGAATGTTCAAAAATCAGTCACAGTTGACTCTGCTGTTGGCATGGCAATAAACAAGTTTACTGATCAGCTGGGTCCAAGCAGCTGTAACTTTTAATAAGTGTGAAAAGGATTAGTTTGTTCTCTGTTTTGTCATACATTGTGTTGTCATCTCCAGAATCAGCCCAAAAACTAACCATTTGTCTGTTTTGTGTGTCTTTTTGCACTTCAAATCAATCCTCTGCTTTTTTATTATTTTTTTTTACAGCACACCTGGTGTGTATAATTTTAATGTGAAAAAACTGTGTCTGAATATTTTGTATTTTGGTGTTGTTTATTCAGATCATGTTTGATGTGTAACGGCCTTCAGTCCAGCACAGTTTGGTGATTTTCCTGCTCAAATACACCTCATTAAACGCACAGATTAATTGCCAGGTTTAGTAGGTATGTTTAAGCAGGAAAATCCCCAAAATGTGCTGAACTGCTATTGGACCTTTGTGTTAAAGGAAACACAAAACAGGCACTACATGTAGCCTCCACAATCATGAGAGAGAACCAGCTTATAACTTGTTTTATTGTTTTTAGCATATCTGCCACACCTAGCATAGTTGACTCTCATCTCCTTTGTGAGTTGGATCTCATGCTCCAGCCGTCTGCAGAAAGCCCGCCAGTTAGCCTGCAGTCCTTCTCCAGGACCAGGCAGACCAGCTCGCTCCCAATAACTGCCCTGGGCCTGCAGTGTTCTGCTCAAGTCCTGCAGCAGACCTAGTTGAGGCCTGCTCTCCTCCAGCATCCCTTGGAACCACTGCGAAAGAGAGACAGAAAAGAAAGCAAGAAAGAAAACAAACAAGAAAAACAAAAACCAAGAAAGTAAGAAAGCAAGATAGAAAGCTACAAAAAAGGCCTATTCATCATCTGCACTCAGTCCTAACTCCCCACATCTATCTCCCTGCATCCACGCCATCTCTTTCAGTGCTATGGCAACATCAGCTCCGTTCACTTCTACCTCTTGAGGTCTGGGCTTTGGAATGGGAATGAGCTCGGTGTAAATCTATTACCAGCATCCAATAGGCACTGCTCATCGTTCTGCATGAGTCAATCGGGCTGAGAAATGAGCTTCCATAATTGTAGGGAAAGAAATAATACAAGAGCAGCCAAAGCGGGAGGCAGAACATGGAGTTCTACAGACATGGCTATCTTTCCAAGTAATTTGGTTTTGGAATAGAGTGTGCTGAAAAGGGTCCCATGCAACCCACAACCAATGAATCCTTCACAAAGGAAAAGACCCCCCTCTCCCATCTACTTCATGCCTCATCTACCAAAGCTGCTTGTGCTAGTTCACCAGAGGGCTTGCCAAATAACTTATCTGAACAGGATGGACCTCCTCATGTCCTCTATATCACAGAGTCTAATGAGTTTGGCGCACAGATAGATGAGCAACACCTGATAAAAATGCTGTGAGAGGAGGGTGGCTATCAAACTCACAAAGGGAAAGCAAAACTGGGTAATCTAACTGTTGTTAATGCACACTAAATTGGAATTTATATGCTTTACACATGCAGAACCTTATCTCTAGCAAAAAGATGTAAGAGAATTTTAGGGGCTTCATTTTTAAACTTTCAGAAGGTGAGTAACTTTTAGAAGCAGATCTTACTTGGTAGGTCTGCAGTCGTTTCTCTAGTTCTGCTGCAGGTTCACTGTCCAGGCCTTCATTGGGCATGGTGGCCTCCAGCTCCTCCAGCTGCTTGCACAGTCTTCCTTTTATTTCTTCATACTGAGACCACTCCTGTAGCCCACAACCAGCAGCATGCAAGAAAAGAGAATGCACACAAGACACTCATTATTTACATCAGTGATATTCAAATTAAGTGCTAGCTGATGGTTTTTACAACACTTACAAGTAACATGTATTATTGATTGTGGTATTCAACATACTGTTTAAATTGATTGTGCTCCAATGACTTTCATTTGCATTTATTCATAGAGGACAGTTAGAAGAGCAGAAATGGGCTCTACATCTACTGTCACGGAATTCCATACTCAGAAGAGATTTTCCACTAAGGTAAAAATTTCTTGTTATACAGTTCTGAATGTTTTCCACCAATTTGCGCCTACATGTTAAATTCATGAGCAATAGTTTGATTTCTAACAATATTTATTGTTTTAAGTTTTTTCATGTGTCGCTCATTAGATGGGAACCACTAGTATTGAGTGTTTATGTGCAAACTGATGATTGCACACTGTGGTTAGAACTGAACGTGAGCCCTCTACATATAGCTGGGACAACAGCAAATAAGGCTTTCAAAATGATAACAAAATAAAAATAATAAAAAAGGATATGATGTGCATGTTTGTTAAGAAAACAACTAAAACTGTTAAACTATTAAAACAATTGCAAGAATCCACTCAATGTATTGGTATTTCACTGTTTTTGGGAGAAAACCTTGAATCTCCATTTTTGTTGTTTTTCAGTTTTTGACATAATTTGAAAATGCCTGTTGACCTTTTACATTGTGTGTACATTTAAAGATGAACCAGCCAAAAGAAACTGCCCAAAATTACTTGAAAACAAATCTGGTTCCTTTGACATGAAAAGTAGTTTTTTCTTTCTCCTGTAAAGTCACTTCTTCCAACAACAACAATTTGTTTCACATCTTTTATAATGGTATAAATGGTATAAATGGTACAAATTCCTGAGGTTGTACCACCTGACCTTGTGAAAGGACTACTGACTTTGGCAATGCACCATGAAGGTCAAGTGGGGTCAATACCCTATCCACTCCTTCTTAAAACATTGTCAGAAATGTTCTTGGCTGCGCCATGTGACATTTAAGGGAATCAGAATTTACAAAGGTTTTAAGGTAAGTTGTAAATACTTTTAGCTGCACTGTTTTGCAACATGCTATGTTTATATTTTAAAGGTTTCAAATACAACATAATGTTGTTTAAGTCCCTTTTTAATAGTTTTTTTTAACCTGCATGTATGCTTTGATGGTGGCACCACCTGACATTTCTAGACTTTGGCAGGCATAAACATCTAAAATTAATTGTACTTTGCACCGACAATGTATTCACATAAAGGAAGTAGAATAATGTGACATCACCTGCATTTTTTAAAATAATTTCATAAGGAAATAAAGGATTTGGACACAAATATACACATCATGTCATCAACCTACCTGTAAGTTGTACTGCATGTGAGCTCCTTGCTCTTGAGCCTGTAAGAGTAATTCAGTGACCAATTGCCCAACTTCTTCTTGACCCTGCAGCGCCTCGTCTGGTAGCTTCTCAGATAGATGCCGTATCATCACGTGGTAGCTCTTCAACTCCTGGAAGTACTTCTGTCAGCACATTCATTAAAATACAGGTGAATAAAATCAGTAATGGACTGAGATGAAGACTTATGGCATGTGACTATAACTGTGATGTGTGTAGATCTATGGAGTTTCTGCCCCATATCTGCGTTTATCATTAAATCTAAAGATTTCATGTGTTTTTGAGCTTTGTCTGTCAACTCAACTCCCAAAATCAACTCTGATTAACAGTGATAAATAGCCAGCACAGTGTTTAAAGAACATTCAGCTACACTGTAATAAAATTACTGGGTTGACAGAAGATTGTATGTGGCCATGTACCTTGTGTTCTTTGAGGAGGCTTTGGAGCTCACTGCAGCTGTGAGGTTTTGGGACTTGGCTGCTTTGCACTCGCTCAGAGCCCAGTTCTAGTAGAGCCCTCAAGGCCTGCAGAAGTGCCTGACAGCTGCGGTGTAGTGCTGGAGCTTCTGCTACTGAGCACTGCAGCCCTCGAACGGAGCTCCATACACTGCCCTGCACACTCTGAGAGGACAGAGGAAAGGGAATAGATAAGTCAGTGACAATGTCCTCTACAGAACAATATCTTTCGGAATGACTGCAAATTATCGCTGCATGATACAGACAATAACACGATCTTGTGATTATATTGCTAGATATCGTGACTGTGATCTTTTGACTGTGAGGCTTTCAATTTTTTAAGAAATTAAAATATATGGCAGGATGCACACAGCACAAAATAAAACCTTGGGCAATATAAGCAACGATCAGTATTATGTTAATGTTCAACAAACAATATATAACGCACTGAAAGTTTAAAACTGTATAAAAGGGAACAGACAATTTACCTGTAGTTTGGGTCGATCCTGAATTAGACTTCTTGAGTCACTTTGCTGAACCTCTTTGGCCTTCAACACCAACACTGGGCTTTCAAGTAATTGTTTCCCAGCCTAAGTAAAATGGATATTAAAGACCTCAATACTGAAGCAACATCCACACTGTGAAAACAACGTAGGCGCTTACTCAGTGATTACTTTTTCTCTTTTCTTTACCTTTAACTTTACCTTTTCTGTTTTATCCAATTTGTTTTATTTCAATCGTATTTTATCATTGTTAAAAAATCTATTATCTTATTGTCTTATTGTAATTTGTTGTTTTGTTTTTGTTCATGCACACATAAAAGTGTGCTATATAAATCGATTATTATTATTACTATTATTATTATTATCATTATTATGAGGAACTAACCTGAAGCTGAGGTGTATGACCCAGCTGTCTGCTCAGAAGCTCCTCTTGGGATGACAGGGCTTTCTGAGATGAGGATATGCAGCTGTGGAGACACTCCAGGCAGGCAGACATGACAGATGCCTCCGGACCCAAGGCCTCAGTGATCTCTGAGCCCATACTGCTTATCTCACTGCTTATAGACACCAGCTGTGCTGATACACACTGAGAGAGGTATAGTAGGGGTTAGACTTCAATAAGGCATGTGTTAATAATGCTCTGAGAGGAATATCTAACTAGCGGTGGAACACTGGAACCTAGTGGAGCATTACATGAGTGTTATTACCTGCAGGTTTAGCAGTTGGAGCTGGCAGGCTTCCTTGCTTCTTTCTGATGGTGTGTGTACTGTCCGAGTGATGCTGGAGAGTGAATGACTCAGACCTGTCAGAGTCTCGCACAGCTCAGGCTGAACAGCTCCCCATACCTCTGCTACAGCAGCCTGAAGGCAATGGCCAGAAGACTCAAGTTATAGTCGTATGCAAAAGTTTGCAAATCACCACAGTCATGTTACACACTTTGTTGATTTTCTGAGTGAAAATAAATTAACACATAAATAAGGCATTTTTCTACAAGTGCACAAAATCTATTTATTTGCTGAGTTTAACACAATGGAAAAAACTAAAATATAAAATGTGACATAACTTTTGCACATTCCACATTTACACACACACACACACACATATATATATATATATTTAGATATACATATATATACACACAGGAACACACAAAAACCGTTTTCTATAGCAATTGTTTCTACTGTTGGGAATAAGCTGATATTTAATTATATATGTTATTATGTTAAATGCTAATTTGACCATTAAAATGATTGGCTAAATACTGAAGAGCATCTGTGATGTGGAACAACATCTATGATTCTAATCCACAACACTCAAAACCTCTGCCAAAACTGATGGTAACTGAACTGAAATCAGTCATTGTTTCAAGCCATTTTCATTTCATTTTCACTCAAAAATAATTAATTGCTAAAGGTTGCGAATTTAAATAAATAAGCTAGCATTCAAGGGTGGTTAGCACATGTTGCATGTTATCTACTAATAACTATATAGTTCACATAAATATATTATTTTTTCTAACAATAATTTTGGTAGCAGTGTTGAATGCAAGCTTTACTCACGCAGCCAAACAATTTTTGGTGTGTAAATTGAGAAAATAGAATAAAAATACTGATGGTCATTCTGCAGCAAGATGAAAATTGAACTCATTCATGAAAAGTGCAAGTTCCATTACATTAGCAACTTTAGCTTCATAACTCCAGCACAAAACTGATTAAATAAACTTTGGACACCAAACTGAAAAAAATCAGGGGAAATTTGATATTTGGCCAAACCATCATCATAACAGCCTAAGGTTCCTCTTTCTGAGGTTTAACTAAGGAAGCTATAACAGTCTCAAGCTCACCGTGGTTCCCATGCTGCATGCATTTTGACGGATACGGCGAAGTTGCTCAGCATGTCTATGCATTTCTTGTATGAGGGAAGGTCCTATATCACTATCCACCTCATCTTCAGCTAACCCTGTCCCCTGCAGTGAGGAACACAGAACAATACATATTGGAACACAAAGGTTTGGAGAGTCAGTTAATAGTCTTTATAGAGATCTGACACAGACCTCTGATGTAGTTCTGTCTTGCACAGTGTTTAAGGCGTCCAGTAGAGCCTGCAGTCTGTGGTGAAGCTTGGTCCACGTCTCTATGGCCGTAGCTCTTTCCACTGCCTGTCCAGGAACACTCGCACCACTGGACCTAGACAAAGACGAACCTTGTTTTTTAGTGGTGGTTCATCAGTGGTCCTCACTGGACAATGAAGGACATCCAGTTCCATTGCACTCCCTTACTGTATACAGTGTTCAGTGAAGGTGAAATGAGAGCCCCCTACCTGGAATGCATTTGTGTCTGTGTCTGCTCCTCTTGCTCAAGATCAGAGCTGCTGCCGTGGCGAGCAATGGCCTCAATCAGATCTCTTTGCTCTCTCAGCTCACTCTGCACCTGCTAAAGAAGAAGAAGTGTTAACTATGTGCACCAATAAGGACAGAATATTTCTTCTACAGTGCCGTATCGAGTGGTATTGTGTCTCAGCCATCAACTAATAAGGGCTTAAAAATAATAACTAACAAAAAAACACTACTGTTCAAAAGTTTGCAAGCAATGTTTTTCCAGCATGGCTGAAGAAACATTATAAAACATTCTAATACGCTAGTCCTGTGCTACGTCACAGATTTCACTTCATAGGAAGGTAGGAATCTGTATAAAAAATGAAGGAGTCCATATCCTACACTTTTCTAGCATTTTATTTTTTTTCCTGAGGTCCACTTTTAATATTTGTGTTATGTACCAAAAACAGTTCATTTTTACCTATTCCTAATTCCTGTTTTTGTTACTGTGCCTTTAAGGCTGCCATATGGAAATTAGTTCTGTTCTGATCGGCTGTCTCGTATTGTGGCTCTTTCGAAAAACAGTCTGGGCTGAAACACTCCTTATACCTTCACAATGAATAGGTGAGGCTAAACTGCTGTAGATTGAATATGTGAATATGTTTTTTGTGAAATAACAAAAAGTAATGGATTTAATAGTTTATATATCATTAATGTTGGAACAAAACTTTCTATCTCCAAAAAAGTCACTTTACAGGAGAAGGAAAAACGATTCTTAAACTTCAATGTAAGTCAATGTAATAATATTTTATTCTATGTCATTTTGGACTCTTTCTTTTGGTTTGTTTGTTGTGAAATTTTGACACAGTGTAAACAGCAGTTGGTATTTTTCTAAATTATGTAAAAATATGAGAAAGATTTTGTTCTGATGGCACTGATATGGACTGTGTGGAATGGGGTTTTAACAGTACGTTCAGAAACAATGTATGCATACTACTCGTTTATTCAAAAAAAAGTGAGGAAAATTTGATATGAGGAAGCTGTATAGCTTACGACAATAGTAAAGTTTATAATTCATATTTAAAAAAGAGTGATAAAAGTGTATTGTGACTATTATGTTGATTTATTATGTGATAGTTCTTATTTCCAGTCATTTAAGGCTACACTACACAGTTAGAAATAAAGGTACTGTGCAGGTACATTTTTGTTCATCAAGGTACAAACAATGTAAATGTTCCCTCCAAGGTACACCAGTGGTTTTAAGGTCCAAACAGACGTGAAGTTTTTCCGCATGAAAAGTACATATTTTTCATAACCTAATGTTTTAAAACAAAACAATAAAATAAAAAGCCTGGAGACGAGATGGGTGTGTGGAGTCAAAACAACTAATTTATAAAAAGTATAATTTTAATGGATTATGGTACAATTATGTTTCCTGACTGAAGGTACTGAGATGTACCCTTGAGGGTACCACCCCAGTGACAAGAGGGGTACTGCCCCAGTAACAGTTTCGTACCTTTATTTCTGAGAGTCTATGTACGTTTTGGGGATTTCAAGACTTATCTGGTCAAAATGTGTAACTGAACACAACATGCAGAATGTTTTGTAATGCCAACACCTCTGACTGTGAAATTACTATCTTGGGCTTTACAAGGTGACCACATTTTAGCATGATTTTTTTTTCTCCTGACTCAATAATTCTACTTCTTTCAGTTTTAACAAAATATCTCTATGATCCACCTACTTGAAATTTTAAATAGGCCATTTAAAAATATTTTTAGTCTAGTCTATATTCACAGCTATAGTGTCTAAGTTATTGTACACTGTAAAAAATGAGAAGTCTGCTCAAACTTAAAATGATCTAGTAACTGATTACATGGCTTTTCTGGAATTGACTCAACTTGAGGACACCAAAGTTTACCCAAGTCAAAAACTCTCCCAGCTACTGTTTCTAGGTCTTCATCTCAGTTGAATAAACAACACTGAATTTTTTAAACCAATTTCCCCAATCGCTGGTGCTCTTCCATCACACAGTCCCATCTGGCATAATTTTCTCTTTGGCTTCTGGATATGGACAGCAACAGTATTGCTGGGACTCAAACTCACAACCTCCTGATGTTGGGATGAATTATTAGACAGTTGTACCACATGAGACTCTGCCATGCTTTATAGTTAAAACAACAAATATTTTCTCCAGCGTATTAAACATCTGTAGACACAAAATCTGAGTTGCTTCATGTGTTCCTGAGTGGTGCAGTGGACTAACCATTTACCCAATTGAGATGCAGAACTAAAAAATTAAAAGAACTTTTGAACTCTTGCGTCCTCAAGTTGAGTCAACTCAAGAAAAGCCATGTAATCAGTTACTATATCATTTTGAGTTGAGCCGACCTCTCGTTTTTAACAGTGTATTTAAAACAAAAAAAATATGACAAGTGATTCCTTTTCTTTTAACGACAGTGCATATAAAGCAGACGTTAAGTGGGACACTAAGGATTTAGTATGATGGAATGCAGTAGTAGTTTACCAGTGCTGTGCTGTTTTGAAGTCCCAGTCTCTGTGTCTGGGTGAGAGATGACCAGTGCAGGCACCATAGTCTCCACCATCTCACTGACCTTACTGACTGATGTGCATGTGTCTTCTTCATTATTTGTGGGTTTGGAGACGGACTGGTCTGTTGATGTCTCCTGAGTCTTTGACCCCACATTAGTGGCCTCCTTGTCTTTATCTTCCCCATCAGGATGTATAGCAGATGTCTCTGTCTTTTCTGATTTAACTGAATCTTTCACTGTCGGTCCTTTAGGCTCCTCAGACAAGGTTTCTGCTTGTTTGATGTCTTTGAGCATTTCCTTGGTTTCTTCATTAATTTCAGATGCTAAAGCAAGTTGCAAAGTAGGTTCAACTGTTACCGGTGTTAGTGTATCAACAGGTCGGTCAGCGATCGCAGGCACAGAATCAGTGTCCACAAAAACTGAGCTGTTTTCTGCAGTAATGGATCCTGTATGCTGTGTATGTGAACCCGTATTTCCAGGTTTAGACTCAGTTGTCAAAGGTACAGACTCCATGGACTTTGTCTCTTTCAGAGGTGATTCCTGTAAAATCAGGTATTAAAGTAAGAACATGACACACATCCCTACACCACTGAGACACTGCTTAGCTGAAAGATGTGACTATTTGAATCATACAATTCTCCTAGCAAGAAGGCAAAACTTACCTTAGAGACAGACAATGGGACCACAATGGTAGCATCGGTTTCAGCAAGCTCCTCATCCATCAGAATCTCGTCCAGGTCCTGGTTTAGATAGTTAGGATAAGAAGAGAGTGTTTAAAAATAGACCTGATGGCTGGAGACTGAATTCTTCAAAGAGAAGAGGAGAGCAGCTGTATTTGACAGGAAGTCCAAGCAGGTTATGCTTAGAATAGCAGATGGATGTGGATGGAGGACGTGGATGTTGCGACCAAAAATGGAAATGAAATAAAAAGGCAAAATGTATGCTTACAATTTCAAATTTGAAGGGGACTTTCACTTGTCTTAATCGTTAGGATGTAAACAAAGTCATTTAGAGCGGTTTGTTGTGAAATAAGCCATTCTAGTATTGTTTACAGTGGTGGTAATAGGAACCAGACAGCTGAATCGTTAATGCCTGTAAAAGTTACATCATAGAAAGCTAATATATAAATGGTTACAGATTCATTACCTGATGACTCTATGATAGTTCTGAGATAAGGTTTTGGCCATTCATGGCGAGGGGTACATGCAAGGTGGTGTAAAGCAAAATAGTACCCAAAGAAAACTTTGGTTTGTTTTGGCTTTACCACTATTTTATCATTATAAACATGCAAATAAAAACATAAACAATATAAACACATTCGTGTTGTGGACATCGCGATTCCTGGTGCCTATTCACCACTGTAAAGAAATCTGAGGCGGTAAATTTCTCTACGATGCACCATCTCACATCCAACCATTTGATATGACTTTGTTTACATCTTAATGACTGAATTATGTAAAAGATTTCTGGAATTCTCCTTAAAATTTAAAATTTGCTTAAAGAGCTTACATTGTTTTCATACAGTCAACAAGAAAAAAATCCTTTTTTTACAAAATACTTTAGTATAAAAATACCATTTTAAAAAGCAGCCTTTTATTGTCTGAACATCAATGATAAGTTTTTACATTATATAAACAGGAAATGCTTTTCCTTCTCCTATACAGTTACTGTTCAGGCAGCACAAGGCTTCTGACATTTATGAACAATTAGAAATAAAGCGAAAATGAAGAAGTAGGACTGTTGAAAAAGTTCTTGCAGTTTGCATTTGGGTTTGTTAGTTAAGCAAGAAAAGAAAGGGATTTGAACATAAGCTGTGCACGTTGGAGAGAAAGTAAGAAAAATGGAGTTTGGGAGAAGGACCACGCCTGAAACTTGTCGCCCTCAACATCCTTCGCTCTACAGACTTTCCCCTCTCCTTTCAGTTTCCTGTGATGTAAATTTCACATCCCATCATCACCCTCTCTCCTCCAACTCTTCTACAACTCTCTTGCTGAGCGACAGGTGAGTCCAGCTTCCTCAATCTCAGTAAAGCTGCTCAGAACTCCTGCTTAGACTTCAGAGTTTCCCTTCTGTCCCATGGTCAGTTTCGGGTGTGGTCCAAACGTGCAAAACAGGCACATTAAAGGCTGACTGAATCAGAGAATAACTAAAGTGAAATGTGACCTGAGAATAATCAAGCATAAACAAAGCTAGAGTTGCTTTGTATTTTGGAAAGAAGTTTGTATTTTGGAAAAAGCAATCAGTGCAAAAGTGAAAGGAATTCAGGACCAAAGACATCCTCCAAGGCAGTGGAACTAGAGCCACCCTGCTCAAGATAAAGAGAGTTGTCTTCTGTACCTCTGGAACACTGCATGTGAGAGTCTCAGAGGAAGAGTGACTGCCTTCATCCTCATAATCATCATCATCCTCTTCCCCAGCATGTGGTATTTCGGCAGGCACCTGCTTTACAGTTCCAGGAGTTTATGAGTTTGTGAAGGATTGAATCATTAACCATCTTCATCAGCTAAATTCACCGTTGTGCTAGAACATCTCATCATTTGAAGGCAATGATTAGATGGAACACAGTATGTACTCAGCTATGCAACGCACATCTGAGGGCATGTGAAATGTACTCAGTTGTTCACTGTGAGAATCGATGTAAAACTGGGTGTTAAACTTACCATTAAATCTCCAGGACACTGCAGGGTCAGGCTGGATGCCATTACTTGCTCAGAGGGAGAGACAAGGTCTACAGGATGACCGATAGCAACCTGTGAGAGGAACACAGTCAGCATCTTATAATAAAGCTCACATGTAATACAAAGGAAATGACAAGGCTGAGTAAATGTTATACCGCCAGCAGCAGTGATGCACTGATATACAGACTATCTGGGCCAATAATGATAACCGAGACTATCGTCATTCACTGTTAATTAACTTGTGGCCAATTTCAAACCCATTAATTTTTGTTTTCTTTTCAAAAACTTCACACTATAATCCAGATATGTGGTGAACATTAATCAGATTACAAGTCTAAAGATTAATGCATGATGTTTAATTTATGATTAATTTATGATTTATATATTACATTATCATAAATCAAACACAACAATTATTGTGTGCTACTGTTCAGAAGTTTGGAATCACTTGCCATATTAATAATATTTGTTCATTTCTATTTTTAGATATTACATCCTAGTTGCTGAAATGGATTTTTAGATGTTTTATTCAATATTTCAATGAAATGTGATGAATCTTAGATATTAATTTTATCATAACTTCTCAATGCTATATTACTTTCTCAGTCATTTTAGAGTCTTGGGATGTGCAAACGGCTGTAATTTCAGTATCAGACAGACAATAATAATGACGTTTTTCCATTTATCTGTAAATAATATATTGGCTTCTGATATATGGTGCCTTCTTATCCATTAGTCTCTATGATATTTCATTTATAAACATTCCTATTTAGCCATGATTCCCACAGATCCACTTCACTAAACTGACACACAACCGAAGGGATGCTCACCTCCTTTTATTCGCACAGACATGAAAGAGTTGGAGAGAAAGACATGAGGTCATTTGGATTTAGAATTTTAATATCCTTTCCTCAGATGATGAACTGGGGTCCAACATGCCAGATATAGTCAAAGGTCTTATATTATGATATTTGATGATACTGGACTTAAGGGCTGACGCTCTCTTAGGAGAAAAGACTGGCTATATTTTCGGCCTCAGCTCATTTCAAATGTTTCTTAACCATGTTTATAGCTGACATTAATTAACCTGTTTCCAGGGCAATACTGCAAAGATCACTGTTGTATCAGAGATGTGCTTCACTGCATCTCTTTAATCACTCTCATAATATCATCCCAGAAACATGATTCAGAAATCCAAGACAGAGTGCTGAAGGTCAGAACTGCTTTCATGAAAGATAAGCGAATCAGACACTAACAACAGCTATAAAACTGTCAGGGATACAGTTAAATGTCTGAGCTGGTCCTAAGAGCTGAATAAGCATTTGGCATAAAGATCTAAGTGACCTTTCAGAGCTTCATAATCATATAATGAGTGTTTTACATCTCAAATAATGATCATGAATCTGTCAAAAACAAAGAAATAAGGGGGTGAATTACTTTCAATGACTTAACAAGCTCATACTACTGAAATTTACTATTCAATTTTCTTTCTTTTTTTATATTCTGTGGCATAATTCATATGAAAGAATGACATTCTTCTCTATTCAAATGCTGAGTGCTTTTAGGTATTTGAGTATAATGTGTATTTCTGACCTAATTAAGTATCATAGTGTGAAAACCGTATAATGTTTACATTTTTTTACAGTACCCCTAAAATACAATTTAAACCTGTTTTGGAGTTCCCTCAGTTGAACTATGCACTAATTTTTTCTTCCATAACACTGCATTATATATTTAACGCATTATATTCCGATGGAAACATATATGTGTATGATTTACAAAACCAAAAACAAAGTACATTTTTGTCTTTTTGGGTGAGCAAGGAAGGTAATGTTTATAAAAGTATTCTATTGTGTTTAACTATTTTTTGTGGCAGTTGTACATGATTATTTGCTATGAAGAAAGCTGCAGTGCTGTCCATTTTATCTCAGCACGGCTGTCTCTGTGGAGAGCTGTGACCTGTTTTCATAGCAGGGGATCCTAACTCCAATAGTTTAACAACCTGAAAAGAAAAATGCTCGACTTGTGTTAACTAACCAATACTATTATGAATGTCATATACCAATAATAAGAATTAAAATAAAAAATAATAATAATAATTTGTGCATGTGGCAAACCAGTCCAATAGGTGATGCACTTATTTTATAGGCACACTGATAAAAACAAATGCTAAAATCTATGTTTTTTAAAGATATATTACATCTGCTTTTGTTTTATACTACTAACAGACTACATAATCATGCCATTCTACCATCTTACAAAACTAAGACGTTTGTCTATTTAACATTTTATTCCTTTCAGTCTTTATAATTTTAACACTACACAGCTTGGTCAATGGAGGGAGCACCTCAAGATCAGTCTACAAACACAGCTATTGGATCACAGGGTGCTAAATACTATTGTTTTATCAGCTCCCTATAGAAAAAGCTGCATAAATTAGGGAGTGCTTCATGTAACAGACATGTAAATAAGGTACTGGTGGGCTGGCGCTTGATTTCACGCATCACTATCACTGATTCATTATCTGCGGTCAAAGTTTCATAACTCAGACGTAGAGTATTTTGTAGTTTGATGAATAAGGGCCACTATCAATGCTCTGACTCACAAACAGTGAGTTATAGAATAATACAGACCCTAATTACACCACTCTGCTCTTCAGTAAGCTGCTGTAGGTCATGGATGGGCTGCAGAAGCTGCTGGGCTCTGTGGAAGGCTGACAGAGTGTGTTCTGCGCCTGCAGGCAGTCCCAGGCCAGCCCTGCACCTCTCAATCTCAGCTATGGTTCTCTTCATTACCTTGAGGTTGTCCAGGATTACCTATAAAATGTAGTCATACCAGAATACCTTCTGAATAAGAATGAGGTGTCTTAAATGGGCTTCCAGAGCAAAGAAAACTAGCGGCCATTATTTTGTACCACTACACATAAATGCGGTTGTGACTGGACTTACCTGTCTGTTCTGGAGATGTTCCTCTAAGGGGATGTCCTCTGTGTCCACTGTAGATAAGATGGTTTGGATCTTTGTTACATTCTTCTCTGTTGTCTTCACCTCTGCTTCAATGGCATCCATCTCCTACATACAAAAATGCTATGCATTAAAAGCCATCGAGAAATCCCAAATGGTTTGTCTCTGCAATACATCTCAGTTATGTACTGCATCAATTAACGGTAAAACCGCAACTACCACGACATAATATAATTCTGCAGTCTGCAGTCATCTGAACTTGCTGATCCTTATATAAGTGTAGCCAGAAACTGTGGTGCTTACTGCTGCTACATGCTGGAGCTGGGTGAGTGGCTCCATAGCGCGGCGCTGCATATGGATGACATTGGTGTGGACCTGCAGAAGGTTCTGCTCTTGAGAACTGGTGTCACACACTGCTGAGATCTCCTCCAGAGCAGGCCCAATAGCCTCCAGAGCACTTCGGATCCCCTCTGACTCACCCAGCACCATCTGTACACCAAACAGCCTCTCAGACACAACTAATAAATACTTATTTAAGCTAACATTTTGTCTGTGCAGCTCACTATGGTGAAAATGAAACATAGCTTACATAAGTAATGGCTTGAAGCAGTTTAGCTAGAAGACAGTTAAGCCAGCAGGCCTTTTAAAAAGACTATTATATGTACGAGTGGACAGACCTGTAAGGAGCTGGCATGGCTGTGGAGGCACTTGGCAGTGGTGTAGGTTTGTGGGGTATCCAACCAGGACTGAGCTTCAGCCAGCCAGCGGGTAGAACTATGGAGAATATCCTCATACTCTTGTAGACACGAAGGGATCTAAATGCACCACAGCACGTGTTCAGAACACATAAATAAACCCATCAACACATTTGTAATAGACAGAGATTCAGAAGATCTTTCATGTGTGGAGTAATGGTGATAAACCAAACAGGAAAACATATTTTTTCTGTACTACTGTTATCTATCAAATAGAGCAAAGAAATATTAACCAAATTTACAGAGTATAAAGTATATCAATTTGGTAACTTACACTGAAATAACAAGAAATTACACATTTTATTAGAGAAAACAACTCGACACAGTCAGTGGCAAGTGTAATTAGTTTTTAGAAAATTTCTTTTTTTGCAGAAATCTTAAAAACAGAAAGTGAAATGGTTTATTATCCAGAGGAGTTGCGCTGTCCACTGTAATATTATTTAACATACATGTCTCTTTCAATCCGTTAAAAGTGTACAGATAGCAAAGAGCAAAGTAAGTCTGAAGCTGCAGCATTTTTACATCTTGACCAGTCCTAATAACATATAATTTTCAAAATATGGTATTGACAGCAACACTTGCTATTTTAAAAGACTGCTACTCAGTGGTGTAACAGTATCTGGATAGGTGGTATACTGTGCTTTGTAAGGGATTCCAAACACGCTGTATGTCTACATCTGCGCACAGTAAAGACACATTATTTTTATGTTTTATATTTATATGTTATATATTTTCACGTTTTATATGAACACACCAAGCGAACGCAAGCAGAAACACAAAAAGGTGTGTGCTGGTAATATGACTCACGACTGGATGAATGTGAGGTCGCTGCTGTCTGTGGTCATGGTCAAATCAAAATCAAGCATAAACATATCTCACTATTTATAAATTTGTAAACAGTGGCATCCAGAGGTCTGAGAGCACTAGTGAAAATGCTTTTATTTTGCATTCTTTTATAATTTAATACAATGTTTGTCATTACATATGATGTTATCAGCATAACAATTTGAGTAAATTATTTGAAGGTTTACATGAATTTCAGAATTTCTTAGAATTTAGTAAGTCCCCCTTTTGCTTTAATGACAGTGTGCGCTCAAGCTGGCAGGGACTCCATAAGTTTGTGCAAAAGTTACTGATGAGTAGACTGAATCTACTAGAGTTGTCTAAATGTGTGTTTCAATAGAAGGAAATGAACTGTAGGTAAATCCATCTTTTGAGAGGTTCAAGCCTGAGGTGATAGTGTTTGCTAATTCTGACCTGTGAAGCACAGGAAGATAATAGAATGGAATGAAAATAGGATAACACTTACTCTGCTAATGAAGGCGGTCCTCTGCTCTGCCTGTTTGGCTACAGCCTGGTAGAACTGCAGTGGTTTGGTGAGCTCATCCATGAGCATGTGAGCTCGTTCAGGCTGCTCCTCAGCCAGCTCCTGAACCTCCGCTTCCAGCTCAGTTATCCGAGAGTGCCACTGATCTAACTCATCCCATACACGCTGCAAGTGTGGAGACACATAAACATAAGCATGCAGACACATATGCATGCGTATATCCACATCTATGAGTGTCTATGAGTAAAAGAACATTGAAAAAATAACACATAAAATTTACTTGTCATTCCACACAATTATTGCCAAAAGTGAGCAAACTAAAAGACAATTGTGCTGCAAAAAGTTTTATTCATCTTGAAATGATGCACACATTGGTATTAAGTTTTTCAAATCATGCTCACCTTCAGTGTGTTTTCAGCTTCTTTTACCATGGAACTCTTTTTTTGGAGCAGGGCCTGCACACAAGTTAAGCCCACAGTCACCTCACCCAGCTGCTCGCTCATTCTGTGAAGAGGGCTAGCTCTCTCAATGGCCTGCTTCACCTGAAACACACAGAGGAACAGTCAAAACTGATATTGGTTTTTGTAAAGAAAATATTCTGTGACAAAACTTATTCACTGAAAAATGCTGTTTGCACAAGTATTCGACTCCTGTGCTGAGAAAGCTCCTAGTTTACAAAGCTGAAAGATATTGCCCAAACAAGGACACAGTGTGCTTACAATTGGCCTCTGCCTGTGAATCACTGAAAAACTTCAACTTTTCTGAATAAAATACCCACATATTTTTAAGTATCACTGGTCAGACTGAGAATCTGAATAAAAGCTGTGGAAATTAAGACTAAAGAGAATTCGAAAGCAATGAGAGTTAAAGTTATAACAAGGAAAGAAAAAGGAAAAACTCTGGATATCCTAGTGAACACTGTTTGATTAACTGTAAGGAAATGGAAACAGTATCTGTACAGTATCTGTACCATACAGAGTGGCCAACAATCACTCTGAAGGAGCTACAGAATTCAAGGCTGAGACTGGAGTGAAGGTGCACCAGTCAACAATATCAAGAGCTCTGGATACAACTGGCCTGTATAGGGGGGTGGCCAGAATGAAGCCATTACTGAACAAAAAAACACATCAAAGTTTTTAGAGTTTGCCAGAAAGCATCAGAGTGAGCCAATTAAACTGTGGGATAAGGTTTTGTGGTCAGACAAGACAAGAAAATTGAGCTTTCTGAGTCTGTTAAAAAACTGAAGCCTGAGAGAAACGTCACCTTTCAGCAGGACAATGACCTCTTGGCATAAGGCTAAAGCAAGAGATGAGTAGTTGAACAATGAAAAATGTTGATGAAAATTGCGCTCCACAAGCGTCATCCAACCAACCTGAACAACATGGAGCAAATCTGTCAGGAAGAATAGGTGGAACTCACTCCCAAACAGTGTGCAAAGCAGGTAGAAAGTTCCCTTAAGAGACTTAAAGCTGTTATTGCAGCAAAAGGTGGTTCTATTAAGTACTAGTCTGAAGGGTCAAATACTTATGCAAGCAGCCTTTTTCAGTCTTTTGTTTGTTTTTAAGAAGGCCTGCTGAAAATAATGAATTTTGAAAATTCGATTGAAGAGCATGTCAGTTTTTTAATAAAAAATATTGTCTGGAAAAATCTGTATTAGAGTTATTTATACTAATTTGATGACTTTTAAGGGAGTTGCATACTTTTCCAAGGCACTGTATACATATGTGCACATACCGTATATATGATCTCTATATTTGTACATGTCTGTATATTTATTAGTGTTTGTCTATAAAATCTTACTATCAGTGATAAAGCATCCATTACAAAACACATTTCATAGGAAAATACAGAAAACAACTGCTGAATACTCATAACACATATGTAGCAACTCGCATATACTTTCTCTTTGACTTCTTGCAGGCAGACAGTGATTTCTTCATGTAAAGTCTGGATCTCCTGAGGTGGCTCATTGCTCCTCTTCTTCACCCTGTTCATAATGTCCTGCAGTCTTGCATGCTGAGATCCCAACTCTACTTTCATCTCCTATTGAGAATGAGACAGAGATACAGCACAGTTTGTGCATGATGTCACAGCATTTAAACCAGCAATTACATAAATTTATGGAGAAGTAGAATCCAGAAAGGGTTCTAATATGGTCTATTACAGTTACAACTAGACATGGGCTTATTTTGGATTTTCTAGAAATACAGTCACTGGATTTTAGTCAAACAAGCTGTAGTTTCACCAGAGATATTTTAGATATGCAGATCAGCTCTGGCTGTTCCCACTACACTGTCACCGTGATAAAAGGTCAGTTAATGATCGTGATTCAAAATTTTTATATCGCCACATGCCTAGTAACAACAAAAATAAATAGTTCAGCCATGGGTGTTGCTCGGCCAGCTTTACGGGAGCTTTAGCCCATCCTAATTGTTATTTCAACTGACCACTCCAAATAAATATACATTACTACTACTGCAAAGTAACGTCAGGTAGGCAACCGCTGAAGCTGAAGACAGGATTCTGGCTTAAAGCTCACTAAAACTAACAACAAAATTTACAACAAACAGAGTGAAACATTAAGTAAAGTTAGTTACAGGAGTGAATGCACCTATCTACAATATGGTTTTGTGATAAACTATGGTCAGTACAGCTGATTGGTTGAGTAGGGTCTGACTGCAGAACAGGAGGCAGCAGTTTCAGGACCGCATTTTCAATACCGCAATTCCAGGACCCTATGTTTTCGCGACACTGCCCCCTAGTGACGTGGATATAAGGACCGCAATTAACACATGGAAAAGATGGATGATGACAGACAGAGTGTGAGTACAGAACGTTAATATATTAAATATATATTATGACACCAAAGTCTTCCTTGTGTCTCAAATATCTGCTTGAGATTTAATGACTGTAAAAGCAATGTGCAACTGATTGCACCTTTATTTTTACACAATTACACAAAATGCAACTCTTAGTAAACAAGTTTAATTCTGAGACAAAGTAGTATTTGGATGGAATAAGCCTATAAGTAAGGAGAGAAAAGAGCATTGGTCATCCACTTCACTAGGGGGCAGTGACGCAAAAACACAGGGTCCTAGAACTGCGGTCCTGTTCTGCAAGAATATAGTGTAGGAAGTTTGTTACCTAGATAGGTTTACGTGAGGCAGAGAAAAGGGGTGATGCCAACACTAGCATTAGTTAGCTGACAAACCAGCTAGTTTAACCTCAGCTCATAGTGAGAGCATGAGAGTAAATGAGCGAGAGAGACAGTGATAACCTTACTGACAGCTCTTAACGTTTTGTTTTTATATTTCTCTTCAGTATTTGGAAACACTGACACCGTATTTGCCATATATTGTTGTTTACAGTAAGGTAGTGTCAGAAAAAAGGTCTGTAGCACGGCATGTGCTACCCCGGGCTCAAGCAGGACGCCGGAGGCAGGGTTCAGTGCTGCAGCAGCCATATTTTCTTTAATCACATAAATGAACACAAACACAGACAAACCCAAACTAAACCTACACTGGCCACTTTTTTCAGTGGCTTCAGACAGCTAGGCTTTTCAGTCTTTTTACTCAAGCTTTTCAGCTCTTCTGCAGTCTTTTGTTGTCGTTTCTGCTGCTGCTGCTCGTCCCTCTTTCTCGCTTTGTTCCCTCTCAGCTCTTTAAAAAGGCGCTCACGCTGCCAGCTAGATCAGCATCAGCTGACTCTCATTAAGGGCAGCGTGAGCACCCTAGCCGAGAGGGAACGAGAGCTTGCTGCTCCGCCTCCCCGTCAACACCCCCAGCTTGCAGCTCGGCCGCTCGGGTCGAACGTGAGGTATCCTGAAGCGGCCTCACTGCGGGGCCCGGGCGGCGGAGCTTGGGACTCGCTCCATGCCCTGGTGCCTCTCGTGGCCGGCACCATCGTCCTCGTCCTCCCGCCGTCCCTCGCGTCTCACATCCCTCGGCGGAGCTCGGGCTTTGGGCTCCGCCCCCTCCCCACTCGCGGCTCTCTCCCTACCGGCTCTCGCGGCCGTCATCGTCGGGGGAGAGTTCTTTAAGCTTTCAGTTAAAATTAACACTGAATTTAAGTGAACTTCACTGAGAAAATATTTGTCACTATGACCAAGAATTTCTGTCACCTAGCTTATTATTATTATTATTAGAACATACCTACAGAGCAAAATCACATTCCTTTTGATTGCATTGAGACTGAACTGTGAATCTATGATGTGTATTTGAATAATACAGTTAGGACGTTGCAGCTTAGAGAGAGCTAAGAGAGAGGAGAGTGTATTGCTTGACTTCAGTAACATTTGCTTGGTCTGTGTATGTTTGTCTGTTGTGTCTCCTATCCGTGAACCTCTACTGATGCCCCTGCTGTAAACACTGAACAGTAACTCTTCATTTCATTCAGCAAAAATATTCTAAACAGGTTCTAAGAACATTGAAATACATACTTTTTTGGCTTTCATATCTGTTGGCCGTAATACAATTTTTCATTCCCTCACCAGAACATAAAGTGAGCACTGACCTGTAAGTGTGAGGGATCTGACTGGTTCTGCAGGACAGACAGAAGTGAGAAAACACCCTGCTGCACTGCCTTCTGTTCCTCCTGCAGGCGACCCCATTCTTGAATATCTGATAGTACATCACGTCTCACCTCACTGATTTGTTCCCTTAGGCTGTGAACAAAAGTGCACACCATTCATGTTTTGGACTATCATGAAATTACAACTAGTGTTATCTTACAGGGGAATTCCACCAATTTTTCTAAATTTCTGCATAATTAATGATTAAGTACCAACAAACAAACATTCAGAGTCAAAGTCATTTACAGACGTTTACTCTAAAATGTCCCATTTTAAAGAAATTTGGCAAGTCAGAACTGTTCACAGTGGTGCTGATAGAAACCAGACCTCTGAAGAGTTTAAAAAAAGTTATTATATATACACAGCATGAACTGGGAAAGTCAGTTACTACTGGCAATTTAAAAAATGTCAGAGCATTGTATCATATAATGTTAGAATAATAAATTTGTAGCTGATATACTTGATGGTAGGTGGCTAATGTTAATGAATACTAGCAAATTAAATCAGATAATGTACGCAATATGCAATAAAAGGTAGCTTATGATGGGCAATAGTCAGTTAGTGTTATCTGTGACCTGTCAATAAAACCAAAAATTCTGAAATTATTGAAACAGGAGGGAAATATTTTTTAGTTTATAATATTTTCATATATTTTCAACAATTTTACACACTCATTTCAGATCGTAGATTAGTTTGTGGGAAGTATGTGTAAGCATTTAAGGATTAAACTGCTGTTTGCAAAGTGTGCACACTTGCGCATTTTCATACCTTCGACAGTAACTTTGAAGAGACTGCAATTCCTGACTCAGCTCAGTGAGTGTGCTAAGATCCTGCAGGTTTGATCCATAGCGCCGCTGCAGAGAGACTACGGTGAGGTGTTCTTGATCTAGCGCATCCTGAAGTTGCTCGGTTTGGGCCAGGATCTCTTGAAGGTTCCCCAGAGATCTTTTCATTTTGGAAAAATCAGTGAGGCTACCACCGAGTCGGTTAAGAGCGTCTCTGGATTTGTTGATCTAATAGACAAAAGAAACAAAAAAAGTCAGCGTAATTCCACTAAATGACACATTTCAAAGTGATTTCAAATCAAAACGTTCTTTAAATAGAATGTTTTTACAGTACTCTGTAAAAATACAACTTGACAGAGATAGTTACAAATGAACTTGGTTTCCTTTACCCTTAGCATCATTTCTTTCCATTCTGTCTTTGTATGCACCACTCTAGATTTGAAGGCATCCAGCCGATGCTGCAGCATGGCCCAGTGTCTCCACAGCTTTCCCAGCGTCCGATCAGCAGCGACATTACAAGCTTGGACCTGGCAACTCTCTCTCAGCTCTTCTAGTCTTCGATCCATGCTTTCCAACTCCTCTTGAAGCACCTATATATACAGTATATAGTCATTACATCTTGTAGTAGTTTTGCATGTCACATGAAAACAGTTGTGGCAATAATGAATGAATGCAGCATACCTTAATTTCTTGGAGCTGATCTTTGCACTTGTCTATACATGTTGGTTTGTGACTGAAGCTTTCTGAGAGTTTGCAGTCAAAATTTCTGAGAAGCTGGTTGATTTCATCATGGTGTTCACTGTGAATGGACTGCTTCATTAAGCACCTAAAAGAGAGTCCGGATCAAAAACATTACAGCCAAATCAATTAAACCACTCTGATTTATTTCAGTTTATTATGACCAAACAGAGATATGTAATTCAGGCTAACTGTCTGTCTGTACAAATGTTTACTGAGGTAAATGATTCCAGGGGCTTCAAATTTTTAAAAGCATAGTGTTCTTTAGTAGTTGAAGGTAGAACTCAATAAAGCAGTTATTGAATCGTTTTTACATTGACTGTTTGTAAAAAATATCACTGTATGGATCATTGTTGGTTAAAAAAAAATGAAAAGAAACTCTATGATAGAGAATAACACTGAAGGTCTGAACTACCTCTGAAGGGTCTTCAGTTTGAGTTGAGCTTGGGCTTCCAGTATGGCATCACTCACAAGAAGCTGGCTGAGCACCTGAATGTGGAGTTTCTCAGTGTGAATAACGGAAAAGCACGCTTGTTGGGGCAATCGGGACTGGATTTCAGCCATGTGAGCCTGGAATCCTTCAGACAGACTAGCAAGGGTTTGTTGACTATGGCGCAGTTCCTCTGTACAGTCTTTAAAGCTGGATGAAGGAATAAGGAGTCTGAACTCAACTTGCTGAAGGAAACCCACAGCTCCACGGACAGCCCACTGGTATTCTTTCAGGGCTTCCTTGGCCTGAAGTAGCTTTTCCTAGACAAACAAACTCAAATGAATGCATTCTGGGCACAATAGCACTAACTGAAATGTAGGTTACTTAATCATTGCTGATATAAATACAGATGTTTGGAAACAACACAAAGTAGTATGTGCATTACTGTGCAAAAGTCAGAGGCCGCTCTTCATATGTAATTTTCAGACAAAATGATGCATTTTTCAGGAGATATTTTTTACAAGACTAAAAATAAAATAATCAACTTGCATCCGGAAAGGGGGACATCAAAGGAAATAAGTGCAAAAACAGGAGTTTCCAAAACTAGACCTCAAAATATTGTTTAAAGCTAATTCCTAACAACCGTGCAAGACCTGGTCAACCACCAAAAACTATCACCATCAGATAAGACAAAAACAAGCTCCACTCTTGCTTTAGATTTGGAAAAAAAAACACAATTTATTTTTTCCATCCAATGCTATGTGCCTAGACCTTTACATCAACACATTATGAATGTGTTGGGAATGCTTGGACTGTGAGGAGCAGAAAGAGCAACCAACTTCTAAGACTGAAAATGGAGGTGTGTAAAAATATCCCTGCAGATTTCTTTGAAAGTCTGAAAACAAGTCTCCCAAAAAGAATGGAAACTGTACTGAAGGCAAAGCAAAATAATGAAGGCAAACCCAAAATACTGAAAAAATAATGTTATATTTACTTTTTTCGATTTGTTGATATTTAGTGGCCTCTGTATGATTTTATGATATATATGTGTGGGTTTTCTGTTTTTTCCTGACTTTATTTATAATTTATAAAAAAAGGAATTATTAAATTATCAAATACTGACTAACTACTATTTATTTGGACACTGTGAAGATATGATTTGTACTAAACATGAATTTATGTAAGCAAAAAACATAATATGCGGGCCCACATATAAGCTCTTAGGGTTTAAGGGGTTAACATTCTCAAACCTAAAGTAGCTGTGTAGTTAAAGCATTTATTTACCGTGTGCATCTTGCATTCTTTCAAAAAATTTCTCCCTGTGTCAGTGATTTTTCTATAGTCTTCTGCTGGTGGATGATCTTTGCAGGCCTCCAACATTCGCAATGCTGACTCCACAGTCCTCTCAAGTGTCCAACACTTTCGTAGTTCATTTGTAATGCTGTGGTCATTGGGCTCCAGGCCATTGCTCTGCTTTAGCTGCTCTTCAGATTTCACAAAAAGTTTAGTCAGTGCTGTCAGCTCCATGGGATTGCTGAGGTCCTCCACTAGAGAGTGCTCAAGGTCTTTAACTTCATTGCTAACAAGATGTTCCCATGCAGCAAGGCTTTTAACCATGCTGCGGATTTTTTGCCTCTCTGAGCCCAGCTGGGATGGATAGAGGTCAGCAGAAATAGCCTCCAGTTGATCAGCAGTCTCCTGACAGAATATCTTCAGCAAGGGCAACTCCACTAGCAGGGTCTGACCCAATCTGAGCCGCTTACTAGCTTCTGTGCTTGCATCCGAGACCAAAGGAACTTTCATCTTCATTGTCTCACTGCAAGCCTCTAAATGCTGCTTGGAGGTCAGGTATTCCTCATGTACTTTGGCCTGCTGGTCCAACAGCCTCGCTCTCCCTTGTAAAGTTAGGATGGTGTGTAGTAGATCTTTCCTCCGGTGCTCCTGGCAGTGCTGTGCTTCCTGCACTTGAGATAGATGCTCTATCAGCATGTGTCTCACAGGCTCAAAAGCAGAAAGTGCCTCCTGTGTTACAGGATACCTTTGCCTTTCAAAGTCAGAAGTCATTTGGCGTAAGCTCTTCTGTATGGCTGCAAATTCTTCTGCAGATGATTCCTGGGCATGCAAGAGTTCCTCCAGTTCCCAGCATGAGGTTCTCTTACGTCTAACAACTCCGTTAACCTCTGCTCGCAAGGTGGTAAGTTTATCTACAAGGTGAAAGCTCTCTGCAATGCTAAGACCCAGAAACATGTCCTTTATCTCATCTAGAAGTGTCTGAATGACAACTAGTCGTCTCTCACATTCATGCAAAGCAACTCTGTGCCTTTGATGATGGACCTTCAAGTCTGCAACGGTGGTTCCAAGCTCAACGGCTGCACTTTTACTGCACTCTTTTTCTAACAGTGAAGTCAGCCAGGTGCGGTTTTCTGTGATCTGACTGTCCAGTCTCTGTCTTGCATGCAACATTTGGTTGAGTTCCACAGCAGCACAGTCTGACATTTCTGCAATCTTACTGTACATGTTCTCTAAGGTCTCGAGTGCAGAAAACATAACAGAGGACTCCTGCTCATTGAGTCCAGTAATCTCCTCTCTCAGCTTCTTAACAACAGAGGCACATTGGGATCTTCTGGATGATATTTCTACCTGGAGTTTGTTCATGTTGTTTACCTGCTGACTAGCCTCCTCAGGAAAGAGAACCAACTTTTTTCTCCTGGTGACTCTGCACTCTGTTTGCTTAGCCCAGGTGAAATAGTCCTTCATAATTTCAGTGATCTTGGTCAGTGAGTGGTCACTGGAACTAGTCACATGAGTACCAAGCTTCTCCTGCATACAATCCAACCGTGATTTCACATTTTGTAAGGCTTGCTCAATGTCCTCCCTCTCTTTCTCCCCTAGAGGACACTGGAAAAGATCCTGACAGAGTTCAAGGAGGTACAGATAGCGTTCATTCATTTCCATAAAGTCAGACAACGTGATCATTCTCTGCACGGCACTTTGGCACTGTACATGTGTCTGAGAGGAGAGTGAGGGAGAAGTTATCTGGAGAGTCTCCAGATCACCTAGAAGAACCTTAGCATCCTTTAGCAGTATAGAAGCTTCTGATGCACAAATGTCTGTATGTCTCAGAGTCCGATCTGCAGTAGCCTCTAGAAGTTGCCACTTCTCTTGTAAGTTCTTCACCTGAAGTAGGCATGCCACTGGGCCTTCGGCTTCCCCTAGATGGACTGATACCTGGCAGCATGTGTGCAGAAGTTCTTCCAACAAGCCCTTCTTCTGCTTCATGCTCTTAAGGAATGCATGTAACTTTTCTGCTTGGATTACGCTGCTCTGCAAAGAACCCCTACAAGACAGAGAAAAGTGTGGATTATCTTCAAATGTAGTAAAGTCTACTATATACAGCACCGTAAAATCTGAACAAAATTGTTCTTTGAGTAAAACAAAACAACATTATTTTAAGGCACATTGGAAATGCATTTCATTCACTATACAGATGATTTAACTCACAGACTCAGTGCACCCAGTTCTGCCTCCAAATCCTCTAGAGTGTCTTGGAGTGCCTGTACTTGCTGATGATACTGTGTGACTTGATGAAGCTGAGCTTCTTTAACCTGTACTGTGGCTGAGGCATCGAGCAGTGCTGCACTCTGTCTCCCCTCCATAGATGGACTCTGCTGGGAATAACCACTGCCTACACTCTGAGGCAGTGCAGTCACCTGCTCCACAACACACTGTCTACACTTCTGAAGAAGCACAAAAGACAGAAGATTGGAGAAAAGAATCAGTGCAGCCTACAAATCACAACTAAAGTTACAGATCTGAACTTTGTGGTATCTTGAACATTCTAACTATGAAAAAAGCAACGTTACAATATAATGTTTATGTTAAATATATTTTAGGAATGACTTTTTTATATGAGTCCAAGCAGAATCATGCAGTTAACTCTACTTGTTTCTGTTGCTCTTTCATGCATGAATACTTTTGGTTGCTAGCAATACGCATGACCTCATTTACCCCCTCTAACTCATCCATTTTTTAGGTATTTAGGTATTCAATTTCCAATAAAACCGGCCATCAAGCACAATTTATTCACTTTACAGTGTCAAAACTTCAGTTTAATATCTAACCTGTTAGTATTTAATTTTGCCCACTCTTTACTTTTTGCACTTTACTGTCACTTTAACTCTTCTATCGTTCCAGACTTAAAACCAGCCAGTTACAGCTGTGTCCTCCGAAACATAAGTTGTTCCCAAAGCTCTCACTAACATTCACACAAACAATGACCTGCCTTGCACATTTCTTTCTCATGTGCATCCAAAATGGCTAAAAGAAATATTTCTGAGGAGATAAAATATAAAATAATCTACCTGCATAAGGAAGGGGAAAGTCTAACTGACAAAAACCACACTTCCCAATACTGGAGTTCAAAAACATCAGAAAAAAATCAAGAGAAAATGAGACTCCTAACAACTGTGTAAGACCTGGTAGACCAACAAAACTGTCACTACCAGATAAACAGTGCTTAAAGCTTTCATCTTTGAGAGAGAGGAGAAAATCAATCTCTTGCTTCAGATCTGTGAAAAATGCACAGGTGTTCCTGGCCCTGCTTCCAGAGGCTAATTCACTGTTATAGATCTGAAAGGATGTAAAGTTTTCAAGAAGCCATTAGTGAGAAAAGAAAATGTGATATGAAGTGGAGTAACGTTTTATGGACTGATGAGTCTAAATTTGTAATTGTCATTATTTGAGTCACGAAGAGGCAGAAGATGCAACCAGCCACTAAGACCGAACTTTGGAAGTGTTTACAAGAAGCATGGAAAAATATTCCTGCTGATTTTTTTTTTTGAAAAACTGAACACAAGTCTCCTAAAAAGATTGGAAGGTGTAATAAAGGCAATGAGTGGGCACACTAAATACTAAATATATATTGTATTTAGTTGTTGAGGCTTCTGTGTAATTTTCTGTTAAATATGTTTTCTGCTTTCTCCTGATGCTGAAAAATTGATAAAAATGAATGGTTTCTTACTTTTGCATAGCACTGTATGTTTGGACAGTTTTACAATATCATGGCGGTTTGTGAATCAGTTTGTGTCAGATATAAAAGCTTGGCCAAACACTCATTCATTTAAGAGTTAAGCTGTCTGTCTGTGTGATTCAGCTAAATTGTGCTGTGAAGTCATTTCATAACATTCTTCAAGGCCTTGTCTTATCAGGTACTTAGTTTATAAACATTAGAGGATCATAAACAAGCAGACCTCAGCTTCCTGAAGTTGCCGGGTCATAAGTTCAGTGTTGAGCTGGGCTGGTTGGTATCGACATCTCAGAACCCTAAGGACAGTCCTTTCCAGTCGGTTCCCTGAGTCTGTGGGTGACGGCTCCAGGAACCAGGTAGCACTTCTAGACTGATTCTCCTGCTAAAAAAAGAAGAAGATATAACGTACGGTAGACATGAGCACAAAAAGCCTGACACGATAGGTTCAGTTAACTCAGCGTCCCAGGACGGCACAGGAAATCTCACTGGCTCAAGCATGCTTCCTGTGCAGTCTCATTCTGCTATAGAGCCTGCAGTGGATACATGACCATCCTACTAATGACACTTCAAAGCCTGCCAGCGTTATCTGATAACCATACCATGACGCGACCTCTCATTATAGACAGCAGAAGAACTCAGTACCTTATATAGAACACAAAAGATCACTCATGTTTTTCACAAAAATATGAAAAATCAGTGTAACAAAAAATGGAAAAAATAAGCTGAAAAGTTCTAGTGTTTAAATAATTAATTCTGTATTACAGCCAACTGAAAGTCAACAGACAGCAACTTTATAGTTATTTTGACACTCACTGGGTAAACAGTGCTGGTATCCATTAGTGGCTGAACATTTGTGATGATGTCCAATAACCTGGTCCATCCTGATCCTTCAGCAGGTTGGTCTTGGATGTGTCTCCTCTTCTCCTTACTTTTGTCTTTGGAGTCTCTTTTTTCATCTTGTCCTCCTCCAGACACACTGGATCTGGACATTTCTTCTAGCTAAAGAATAACAGCACAAATAAACAGCTTTGCATTAGAAACCCCTGCACAAACATTGGCAGCAAACAATAAAGCTGTTTCACTGAAGAAAACCATGTCCCAGCTCCACCCTTGTGAGAATGAGTAAGTCCCGGTGGCAGTTGAAGCAGGAATGCAGACTGGTTGAGAGTTAGGCCTTCCCTCTGGGAGGCGTGGTGTGCCTTTAGGCCCTGAGCAGCTTAGAGAGCAGCTGCAGCACAACAACTGCTGTCTATATAGTAGACCTGGCTTCAAGGAGCACAAGCTGCTAGCCCTACTAACATGATCAATCCTGATGTTAATAACACCTGAACTGCACTCATATAGACTAGCTTCGCTTACATATGCAAAATTTGGTTTAATCAGCATCAGCATCGATAATAGTGACCTAAGAACTCTCAGGTAGTATTGTAGCAAAGACCATCAGAGAAGAGTCTGAGTCAAGACTGAGACTTGGACACATCGAGTCCAAGTCAAGACAAAGACTTTGTAGTAGTCGAGTCCAAGTGAGACCAAGATCAGGAGTGGCGAGACTGAGGCAAGACTGAGACCAGATTAGGATTTTTTTCAGAATTTAAAAATAAAAAGAAGAAAAGGGGAAAAACTGAAACTCATATGTAGATCATTTTATATTTATTATCATTCATTATACATGATATATAATAAATAATATCATCATTTTATGATTACATATATATATATATATATTTATATATAACATACAATTATGATATTATTTATCCATATATATGTATATATATAGTAAAATCTAACATTAGAATAATTTTATCACTTGAATATGAAATGAAAACAACAAGTGATAGTAACATTCTGATCTGCCTTCAGAGGATGCTTGAATTTTGGAAACCAATGAACATCAACAAATAAATAATACCCAATTAAGCCATTATGGAAAGGATCAATTTGATCCTCAACTGGCAGTGAACAGATTTTATTTTAAAATGTAGAGAAAGGACCATTTTATTCCATCTGAAAGTTTAGTTCCCAATTACCTTAGACAGAGGCATCAAAACTCAGCTGGTCTTGAAAACAATTTTTGAGTCCACCAGACCAAGACCATTAATTTACAGACTTTAACGCTACAAAACTACTCTCAGGTGAAAGCACAAATATATATATCAGAAATCAGAGGTGTGCAGTAACTAATTATATTTACTCAGTCACATGTACTCAACTGTAGTTAGATGTAGGGCATTATAAGGCAAATGATCGCTCAAATTTGAGTACGTAAAGACATAACAATCAGCAGGTTTCTCTACAGTGAACCATTTTACTTCAAAACAATCTCAATCACTTTGTTTACGTCAACAATATGGGAAATTACTGGAATTACCTTTTAAGTAGTTTTCTGACCTGTTACTTTTACTTGCCTTTTTTGGAAAGATACTTTTACACTTACTGGAGTCATTATTTCACTAAACATTATGTTTACTGGAATATGCGTTTACGCTACTCCACACAACTCTGCTTGAAATGCAATTGCAATGTCTTCTGTTAGTAAAAAGGAGCAATAATTAGCAATAAATATAAATATAAGCATAGTGAAGAGTGTTCGCATTGTCTCATGTTTGGATGTAAGGTGTATCATTGCTCTCCTACACTTACCATTTTTATATTATTATGTAAAGGAATTCATTATAAAAGCCAATTTAAAAATGAAATACAAAGTTACTATATCAAAAACACAGTGGAGCAAAATAAGGCCAATTTGCCACCAGAAAAGCCTGAATTCTTCGTATGGTATTTTTTTCAAATGTTCATTTTTATTTATATCTTCGAAACAACATAATGAGGTGTCATGCCTGTAATAACCTTTTCAGGGAACTTCTAAAATCATGGAATAGCACCTCTTAATAGTAAACTCCCAAAGAACACCTACAAAATGTCAAACCAGTAAGCCAGAAAGAACATTTTAAATTCATGTACTTTAAAGCTGTTATAAATTTTGCCATTATGGCTATTCCATGCTGTTAAAAATATCTACGTTTCAGAGAGAACTGGAAATTTAAAACTGAATCTGACAAGCCCTATGCACCTCTCAATGAGCAGGCTGACAACCACTTGTGGCATTCTCAATGTGTCATGGCACAATGCACAGTGGAAGAGAAAGAACTGGGCTTCCACTTATGTTTATTATGAAGCAAATAACATCATTAGCAAACGAAAGTTAATAAATGTGCAGGTACCTGTGAGCAGGCATTGCTGTCTGAATCTGAGTGGTCCTTTGAGCTTGCTTCTGCATGGAACTCCTGCTGTGATGGCACTGTGGTAGTGATCTCTGTTTCAGATTTCTGACTATTCATTGCCACTGAATCAGCAATTGGCTTTTGGATTATGTGCTTTACTTCTATTGATGCTGTGTCCAGAGGATGGCTGCTCAAGGCACTGATATGGCTAGTACCCTTGTGGGCAGTGCTAGTTGCAGTAGCTTGTCTTCCATCCATATTCTCCCTTTGCAGGGGAATTCATCAAGTCTATCTGTGTGGTGCTCTTAGCCTCCTCTTGTTTACTGTCTGTAATTAACAAGTCCACAGGTATTGCAGTATAGCTCTGGCTGAGTCTTGTGTCTGTAGTGTCTGGAAACTTTGTGTCAACTGTCTGATGATGTAGGGAGCTGACTGCACTCATTTGTTTGGAGGTAGAGGTCTCTGTTGTCCTGTCTTCCTTACTGTTTTTCTCATTAGAATCCAAAATCATCCTCTTTGCACTATGGGAAGGCTTTGAACACTCGCTGTTTTGAGCGTCTGCCCAGTCAGCGTCTGGTTCATTTGTCTTCCTATCATTTGGCATCACCACCTCTTGTATCAGTACAGATGTGGAATTTTGCTGGTAGGAAAGCTGATCTGGAATTATACTCATTTGTTTGATCATGTCTTGGATTGTGCAGCACATCTGCTTCTGTAATACCCCTGGCTGATTCTGTAGCAGCCTGATGACCATCTGTGGCCCACTGACTTGACTCCAGCACATCTGCTTCTTCAGTGAAACTCTTCGTACTAACATGTGTCTGAAGTTGTTGAATACAAGCATTTGCAGCCTGGCCTGATTGCACTGCTTCTGTGAGCGCAGCTGACTGCATTTCCTTTACCCTACCTGAGGACTGTATGAGATTCCCGGTTCCCTCACATTTTGTCCTCTCTGCTTTAGAGCCCACAGATTTAGCATTGTCAGGATAAAAAGGGAATGTTCCAGTACTAGTGTCCACATCTTTAGATGACTCTACTTGCTTGTCAGGTTTCAGTGTCTGTGGATTTGATATAGTGTCTAAAACTATGGTAGCCACTTTCTTGGGAGCTGGCTCGTCAGGAGAGCTTTCAGCCCATTGTTGGCTTGTAACATCGGCACTGTGTGTGGTGTCTTTGTATTCTGTTTTCGTGGCCTCATTGTGCTGTAACATTAGAAAAGAAGTATGTTCGGGGCACATCTTGTCGAGGAGAGGAATCTACAGAATCCAACATTGGTCTTTTTTGATTGGATGTGGAAAGATCAGTGTCTGGAGCTAAGACAGAGTCAGGTTCAGGAGCATCACAGTGCTGCTGAGGAGGACAAGAAGCAGCAGAATCTGCCATGTCTTTCATTACAGATGTAGGCTGAAGAATTTTGTTTGAAGGATGTGGTTCCGTTCTGATCTGGTCATCTCCAGTGTCCATGTCCTCCTCTGTATTGTCAGAAGCTACCTGCACAAGAATGATAACACATATGATCTCAATTTAGTTCTTATGAAAAGTAAAAAAAAAAAAAATTAAGCTGTTTTTCTTCTCAGCCTTATTCTGTGCTACATTACCATTGAAAACGTTACCAACGACCATATCCAACATTTGTCTTGTATTTTACTTTTTCTGTATTGCATTTTATTAAAGGTTCACTTCTAATGGAGGTTTTATGTGTAAGAAAGGGTCATAATTTATTTTTACATGACCATTTTCCAACTTTGTTTATTCCTTATAATTAAGTAGGCTGTCGTCAGAATGAACATACTTTGTCAAGTGTGTTACACAGTGTACACCCTGCTAAACAGACCAGACAACAGATATTATACACAAACTATTTGTAAATATTAAGAAAACAAGATATTAATAAAGTTAAAACTGCTAAAAGGTAACTATGTTAAAAGTTAAGTGTTACTGTACCTTTAAGACTGATATATGTAAATCACATCTGTTCTGATTGGCTGCTCTTTACTGAGTCTTTTAAAAAGCAATCTTTGCTGAAACACTCCTTATAACTTCAGTGTGAAGGACTAAGGCTAAACTGCTGTAGGCTGAATAGGCGTATATATGTAAATTAGTTAGTTCACAACAAAACAATGAATTCAAAACTGGATGTGTTTGCAGTGTAGTTTCCATAAATGAACAGCATGGACTAAACAGTGAACGGCATGTACAGAAAAAATATTTACATATTACATCAAACTTTTCAATTTAAAGTGAGGGAAATTTAGTTTTCAGTTAATATGGGCCCTTTAATCTCATTTTTAAAATGCGGATGATGGCAGGAGAATAATAAGCCTGGGGAACCAGAGAACATCCAGATGGTTTGTGCCATAGATGAACATGATGATGCACTTATTCCGAGTGCTTGCGTTATTCAGAGAGTAATGTTGCATGCTTCTGAGATTGCCATGGTAGCACTGATGTCAGACTAGTATCACTATAATAGGCTGACTGCAAACAAATTCTGTGACTGTTTGTTCTCCTTGCTGAGGCAAGTAATCGACCAAACAAATAAGCAGCCTACCTTGCCAAGTAGTTACATACTGTTCAACTCTGATCCAGTGCAGTTTGTCATAGACCTACTAAGGGATGCAAACTTGATCTGACAAGTGGTGGGACCTCAAAAAGGTATTGCCTACGTATTACAAAATCAAAATAAAATAAAGTGTTACAGTTCCAGCTATTATAATCACATTATCTATAATGCTCTATATATCAATATTAAAACACAAAGACAACCAATATTATGAACAAACTAACATCAATTTTTGAATAATATTTTACGTAGTGACTCATTTTTATTGCCTATTACAATGGCATTCTATTTCTTTCCATTGTGTCACTGAAATTCTTAATCTTAGTCTGAATGCTGCTATTTTAGCAAATTACCTCAACAATTAAGATGGCTTGACTCTTTGCTTTAAATGTATTATTCTTCTGAAAATTACATTTCTTTCTCCTGCGACACCTGTCCCGATAGAATTGCCCAACCCTTTTATGATCGGAGATCCAAAACCCAAATATCAAGCTTGTGACTTGTTTAACTAATTGGATGTACAGTTTTCTCTAAATTTTTTTTCTATATGAAATGATTGGAGGAATGTTGCTCTTACACTGAATGTCATAAACATGACGTACAAATTCACATCCTTACTATCAACCAGTTAGGATACCATAGCCACCACCACAGATATGATAGCAACCACCTGGAACATGACACCAAACACTTAGCAACTCCCTAGCAACCATAAGAGAAACATAGTAACCACCTAACAACACCTAACAACACTCAACCACCAGAGATACCATAGCAACTGCCCAGTAGTCACCTGAAATATCACATCAACCGCCTAATGATGCCCTGGTAACCATCTGGATCACGGAAGCAACCCCATAGCAAACCCCTAGCTACCACCAGAGAAACCACAGCATACACCTAATAAAACCCTAGCAACCACCTTAAATACCTTAACAACCACATAGCAACACCTGATGAAATAACTAGCTATTTTAACTGTTATTATTTAGGCCTATTATATAACAAAGGTTTTTATAACTATCTATTCTCCTTATACAATCTATTTTAATTTTTAAATGTATGGGAATATTTGCAAACATCACACAGCTCTTTCATCTAACTCGTTGTGAACGAAGCAATATGTCTATTTAAACTAACAGGCAGAAATACATTGTGTGAGGTCACTGAAGGGTCTCCTTCAGGTGGCAGACTCTGAGGAGCCACCTCTCCAAATGTAATCATGTAATCTTATTTCAAATAAAAGGTAGTGAAGTTAGCTGTTAGGATAGCTTCTTTGATGCTGCACACTAACATTTCAATTAAAAGTTACAGCATAGAACAAGGTTTTTAGTGAAATGAGGCCTCAATTTCATCTTCTGTTACAAATGGCATATATTTGTATTCAAATCACTGTAAATGCTATGCAAAAGGCACAAACTTTGAATGCCGTTGTCTCCTGGGGCCTCAACATCAGCACACGGCCCACTGATATAACAGCATTACTGTCACACCTTTAAAAAGGCATGTCTTTTCTAGTGCTGGTCTCCTTTTGTGAAAGCACCATGGCTGACTGATGGCCTACGAAAAGAAGTGGATCTTCACTCTCACCTCAAAACATCCTTCTTCTGTCTTCTGATATCCTAGACGGCCAAGTTGTTTGTGAATGGACTTCTGTAGCATTGTCCTCTTATCGAGCAAAGCCTGGACATCCTGAGACAGGGCCAACTGACCCTCTAAAGTGCAGCTCTTCAGCAAAGCAGCAGTTAGAGTTTCAATCACCTGCAGACGCATATCCTCCTGACCCACAGCTTGAAGCAAGTCCTGTAGGGACAGGTCAGCTTATTATTTGTATGTATGAGTAGCAGTGTGTGTGTGCATACACTGGGGTTTCCCAAGCATTTTTATTCTGTTCTAGAACCAAACACTACTCAGCCAGGTAGTCAGGGGATGTAGAATGCTGATTAGTTGTTTCTGACACGTTGGGAAATGGAACTCATTAAAACTGTGGACTGCATGGGGACCTCTGAGAATTGGATGTACATTATTGCCAAAATTGTTAATAATAATAAAAAGAATATTAGACAGACAAAAGTGGGGCAGAAAAATGCTGATGTCTGAATTGAAGATATTTGAGCATAAGAGAACAAACAAATGGATCCTTGACCAAATCAAGCCTCACCTTAACCTCCTGATAACTAAACTAAAGCTTTGATTTTGGGCATACTATGGGATGAACGAATTCATTGGAAAAGACTTGAAGGTAAAAGAGGAAGAAAAAGACCAGCAACAAGATGAATGGAGACAATTAAATGAATCATTTGATATTATTAATTATCGTTAACTATTAAATTAATGTATATTGATGGTCCTGCCCATTTTGGTAACCACAGAGTGTAGGTAAACTCTGCAAGCAATTCTGGATGGCATTACTCTTTCTTTAAGAAAATTATATCAATTCACACTACAATGTCCTCTTGTTCAGAGATGTTTTTCTCAACTTCGTGGTCTTTTTACTCTCCCTAATATCAACATAAAAAAAAACTGCTAGTTAGCTAACTAACTACCCGTACTGTCACAGTGATTTGTGCTGTTGCAACTGAATAGTGCACATCGTCAACTAGTGTAAAGAAGTAATGACTGTTCAAGTTTTGTTGCTAAGGAGGAATATTGTAGGAAATGAGAAAATACCTCAGGTAAGCATTGTCAATACAGTAAAGTGTTTGTCTTATATATCGCTGTTGTCGGATCAAAACCTCATATCTCCAAAATGTAACTTTACAGGAGAAGGAAAAACATACTTTACTTTTAATGTAAGTCAATGGAACCACACACACAGGAGGAGTACAAAATAATGTAAATACCACATGAAATACTTCCATTCATTTGATCATTCCAGACAATTAGTCATTTACACCTACCATATACATGCCACGATGACACTGGTGTCAATGCTGTGCTGAAAATGGCCTAACACCTCAATAATATCTCATCAGTAGAAGCCAGACAGTATGAGTATTTCATGTGGTGCTTTCCTTTTTTGTACACACTGTGTACAACAACTTTCTAAAGCTGCTAAACCTAATTTGTGTAAAAGCATACTTACTTTAAGAGCCTCCAATTGAGACTTCTGGTCTTTTATATGAGGGGACCCAGATACTTCCTTCTGCATTCTCCTCTCCAAGCAGTCCAGGATTTCACTGCACTGTTTCAGCATGAGACTGCAGTGCTGTTCTCTCTGAATGCCCTCATCAAGACCTTTACATGTGTCCTGCACATATACACAACACATCTTGCTTTAAACAATTAAAAGCAGTAATAATATGGCTTTTAAAATTCAGTAGCACCAAGTTTCTCTACTATAGAACAGAAGAAAGGAAATAGAACACTGTTGTTCTAATTTTGTTCTAACTTTAATGTGATCTATATCCAAAAGTGCTCACACTGAGTTGTTGGATCAGGCTGGAGACACTGTTCTCCAGACTACAGCAGGACAGCTCAGTCAAGCTGGAGTCTTCTATGAGCTGAGTCTGCTCCTTCATCTGGTCTCTCAGTATTGTTATTTCAGAGCCCAGGACCTGGGCTGTCTCTAGGAGGCCATGCGCCTGCTCCAAAGCCCCCCGCCTCTCATCCAGCCCCAACCAGGGGAAAAACACAGACAGCTCTGCGTTTTGCTCCTTCAGCAGCTGCAGCCTCTTCTCAACCTGCTGCAGCTGGTTCTGTAGGGCGGGGAAACGCCCCACTTCACCCTGCGGGAGTCTAGCACATATGGGGTTCAGATATCAGGATGGGTTAATACACGTAGTCTAGAAGGTCTGTGAGCTGGAATGTGAGCATGAGCTGATGATGATTAAAATTTTTTATAACATCTGAATGAAATATACTGGATTTTAAAGTGCTGTTTAACACTGGAGCAATAACAAAACGCCAGAACTTTGTACAGAACAATGTACAGAATGTATACAAATTATATACAGTTGTGCAAAGGTCTTAAGTTACCTAAGACATTTATAAAAAAAAAACATGTCTACCAATGTCTCCCACTGAACTGACAAATGGTATCTGACAACTCTGATGTCATGAAATGAGAACAAAATAAGAATAAACCACAGACAGCTGATGGCTGTGTATAATTTGTTCTATTCCCAAATGAACCAACAAAAATTATTCTAATTAATTTTGAATTTTTTATTTTTGTCATTTTTAGTCATTTGTCATCATTTAGTCATCGTGCTTTTAAATGGCTTTTACAGCAATACTATAAGTACCTTCAGCAGACTATGGTGGACAGTGCCTGCGAGAGAACTATGAATAAATCAACGAGCAGTCACTTAACAGAAGCAACAGCTAAGTGGAAAAGCTACACTTTCCCCTCAAGAGCCTCCACTTTAACAAGGATTCATGAGCTGTATGAAACCCCTGAATGAAACTCCCGACTGTATGTATGGTGCATATAATATATAGACTCATTGGCTGGAACATGCAGTCACTGTTGCTCTCACTGGATGCTATGGGTGGAAAATGTTAAACTGCGATCACTCGTTTCATATGAACCTGGCATTCTTTTGCATAATAAATGCATTCAGATAAAGCCCTGGGGCCATATTACAAAAACATCCTAACTCTGAAATCTTATCTGCTTAGTCACCATGACAACTTCAGTTAGGACTGACTTTAGGACACTAGCTATTACAGAATAACAGTTCATAAGTTCATTAATCTTATCCTAGCTCCACATAAGAAAACGGTATCACAGAAATATCATAACTAGACAAAATTTCTTAAATACTCTCCAAACTTTGGGACAAACCTAAATGTGTCCTAACTTCTGTTTTAACAATCCATTTCTGTTGTTTTTAGGCAGCTGTGACAAGCAGCATAACAAGCACAATGATGTGACATTTATTTATACTACTACTTATCACTAACTCATCAAATAAAATATTACAGTGATGAGGAGAATTAAACTGTAGCTGTTTATTTGGAGGAACCACGTTAGCACAGCTCGCACATGACTGCTTTGTAAAGGCGAGGCCATGAGAAACAAATGCCAACTGAGAAAAGCTAGCGCGACTGGTTTCTATATGCCTGACGGTAGGATGGGGCCTCCCTCGGCATTGGATGCACGCTCCTGTCTGTTAAGGCAGACTTGGTGCTATTATTTGCTTCTATAGAGGTCAGGTACAGAAGTCCCTCCTATAGGTGAATGTGGCGCAGTTCACATGAAAAAGAATTAAAACTTACATCGGCAGTGGTAGCTGCCTAAATAAGTAGCATTTTTAATGTTATTTTGATTACATGTTTATGTTTCAGGTGTGCACGTATCATTGTTTGGTAACAGATATAGCAATCGATCATAATCTTTGAACGAGGATTTCCTAACCTGTGGTAAGATTCTGTAAAATAAGATGTAATTCCTAGAATAAGATTTGCTTCTGTAATACACATTTGTGAAAAATCTTATCTTGACATTTTCTGATCTTAGTGTGGGCCCCTGATTCTGATTTTCAGTTGCATATATCTATAACAAAATGAACTGCTTTGAACATGAAAAAATCTTTCTTCAGGGTCAAATTTGAGCAAATGAAAATTTGATTAACTGAGATTAACTGCCAATATCTGCAAAAAATAATGTGATGCATCATGATTAATTATTATAATCATTTGACAGCCCTAGAATAAATACAAATAAACATTTATTTTAGATGTCTGTCAATGTGTTAGCTTAACCATTTCCAAACATCTCATCAAGATATCCCAGTATTTGTATCTACCCTTCAACACCTGGTTGGGTTCCTTCATGAAATTAAATGAGGTGTTCTGGAGGTACATGGAATTGCTGAGGTGCCATTAAGAATAGATGGAATCAAACTTGCATTTTTCTAAGCATCTCAACTATCCAACCATCTCATAAGACATTTTCATTACTTTTCAATGGCTGGCCTAAGACCTTTGCACAGTACTATATGTTCTTATCATGCTTATCATTAAATGCACATATACTGTATGGTAAAAGTCATATCAGGCCTGCAGTCATGCACAAAGTTGATCAGCAGACGTATTCATCACTAGAGTTATGGATACTCGTACTATACCTGTTCTTCTTATCTTTGTCACTGAGCAGATGTAGGATTTCCTGGCTTTCTCTCTTCCCTAGACCATCTCTCTTGAAGGGGGTCTGACCTTTGACAATCTCCTTCAAGTCACTATTGTCCTCAGCCTTCAGTCCCAACACCACCTGATCACAGATCAGAAAACATTCAGCTGACAAAATTGTGAAACTGCGATGTTCTACTCTGCACTGAAGCTCCAGTTTCCAGTATTCAAAATTCAATTTTAACAGAATTAGGATAATGATGATGTCCTGAGCTGCCAGATGAGACATTTCTGAACGTTTCCTGGGCTACTTTCAGATGTCCTGAATGATCAATTCCATATCAATCAGAGCAGTAATGTGACTGTCTGGCGCAAAAGAAAGAAAATTTGGAAAGGTTAAGATGTTACTTAGAAATGACTCTAATTCTCAGGTTTGTACGTGTTTAACCTTTGCAGTACAATTTCATCTTTTTTGGCAAATTGGCCTTTTTTGGCTTGCTCCTCTAATAAAAAAATTCAATTTACCTTCGAGTTATTTATTTTTGTGAGTCAGGTGTGCTTGTCTGTGCAATACATGGAAAAGAATCAGAAGCTACAGCCAGGTTCCTAGACCAGCTTTCATGGACATTATATACTGATCCATGAAATATCCCTCCATCATATTAATCATATGAAATCAAATGAATTGCAGGTTAATAACCACAGATGATTTTTCATATAGTTTTCCACCTGTAACTTTTCATGTTTTCACAATTTTCTGAGTGATTATCTCACATTCTCACATCATGGCTAGAGATGGTACTGATCACATACCAGGCATTAGTGTCGGGCCGATATTACAAGAAAATGCTGGATCAGATCACAGAGTGAAAAAAAATATCTAAGTTTCAACAGTGGGGAACCCTTTGAGCCTTCTAGGCCTCTACAAAAAGTCTAATGATAACGCATGTCTGTTATTTTAAGTTGATTTTTATTCACTTTAAGGAACATGTTGTATTTAAACTGCAAGTATTGTGGTAATACTACTAAGTTTGGGTTAATCATTAAGTTTTGGTTGGAAACAGAAAGGTTAAATTCTTAAAATGTCCAATGAAAAAAATGATCCAATCTTTTTTCAAGGTAGATACAGCCAAGTAAGCTCTTCTATTATTTAGGACATCAGGAGTTGTCCAAAGGCATCAGATTAATCACTAACATAATCAGGAAGTGACTGTGTAAGGGTCCAGCCCATACAGCAGAGGGCGACGTCGGCAAGGCGCTATTAGCCCGAGGAACTCCAGTTCCCAGAAGCCCACAGGCTAATCAGTGCCAACCAGACACACCTGTAGACCTCTGCATTTAAGGCTGTAAACAACCGTCAGTGTCACACCTTTAAAGAGGGGTGACCGGTATGGTAACTAGAGTGTCTCTAACTAACAGAAAAGCAAGAGAAAAAGAAAAGAGAGCTGTAAAAGAAAAGAAAAAATATACAAACCACTCCAAAACAAAAAGAAAAGTAAAAGCGAGCTTAAAAGAAAGTCTGACCCAATTTTTAGAGAGTTTAAAAGAAATTCTTACTCCATATAAAAGAAAAGAGAAAAGTTGAACTCAAAACTGATCTTTCTCTTATAACTAAAGACGTTTTGTTTTTGCTGTTTATTATTTATTGTATTTCTGGAGAGCTTCATTTGTTTGAGTACTCCATTATATTTCTATTAATATATTATATATATTCACTATATAGCCAATCATTCAGCAAATCTCATCTGCTTGATTCCATTACAACTTGGTACTCATGAGTTTTTCTCTTGGCACTTGGGTCCACGCCCTTACCATACCGTAACAGACAGAGTAATCGACCAAACATGTTTTGATTTACAAAGGATGTGACTAATGCAGTGAGAAAAGGTCAATGTAGACCTTCCGGGATCCCAGATACATCACTGACCGTGAGTGATCAGTGCATTCCTGTCCATTGTTAGAAATGGAAAACAGCAGCAGCTCTATGCCAGCGCTCTTTACTGAGTCACTGTAAAACTACTATAAGGTAAAATATGTTAATATGTCAGTTACAAGCTTAACATAAAACAAAGAATGAAAGAAAGCTTCAGATGTCCGCGTTTAATCTAGAACGACCAAAAAACAATCATTTGAAATGCCATTAGCTTAGTGCTAACATGCTACTTTAATGCCATACATATGCAACAGCTGAAGTCAGCATTATTGTAGAGATGTTTCTGACATTGTAGAGGAGTTTGGACATTTATAGTCCAAACTATAGGCCTAGCTCTAATAATCACTTCGCCACTTGGTTTTAATTTTTAGTGTCAGGAAAGAAAAAGTGGTATCATACCATCTCCAGCCCTGACTCAATTTCACATGTGTAACATGTTAAAATGGATTTCTACAATCCACAGTCATATAAACATATTAATAAATGATGAAACGTGATTGTGTTTTTCACGTATTATTAACAACTAAACCTGTGAAAAGCATATGATCACATGTGCAATGTATCTGATGTTTTCAGTAAGATATAGTTTAGACATTTCTCTCACCTTTGGTTCCTTTAGGTTCTCCACAGTGTCTGTCCGGGTGCCTGTGTCCAGTATGTCAACCTGCAGTCTGCTGGCCAAGGCAGTGCTTTCTTCCAGGTGTGTGACATCCGTGAGCTCCTCAAGGGACTTCTCATTTTCTTTGCTTTCCTGGGGTGAATCTTCTGTTTTGTGAGAAGATGGCAAAAATTGGCCCTGGGGATGCTGAGTGTCACTGAGGTTTGGTTGTATGGGTGGAAGATCTTGGGTCCTCTGAACAGTGGAGCCTTGAGAATTAAGACCTTCTCTCTCTGTATCATTGGCGTTATTGAGGCCGTCCGCCTGTTTTCCCCTCAGCACAATCATCTCTTTGGCTGTACAGATGCTTTCCTGCAGGCGCGCTCCTTCCTCAGCCAGAGTGTTCAGGCTCTCAGGGCTGGCCACACTGGTGAGCAGGGCCACTTGCTGCAGCACAGTGTTCCCCTGCTCTTCTTCTGCCCGCAGTTGCTCAGATAATCCCTGTGGGAATAAACAGTGAGGGCACCCTTAAAGGCAACCAACAATGCAGTAGTTAACTCCTACAAGTTGTGGTTATCACCATAACATTATACTTTACTGATTGATCGCTCACTTGTGGTTCACTGAAACTCACTGAAACTAGCAGAGCAATTCTTAACATATGGATTCTACACTACCTTAATAAGAAACACATTTGTACTCATAATTTAAAGAGAAGATATCTGATATTATGATTTGAATTTGGTGAGACAGTATTGTTTACACTCACATGTAATGCACAATAGCCTGATCAGTGCATTTCTGTCCATTGTTAGAAATGGAAAACAGCAGCAGCTCTATGCCAGCACTCTTTACTGAGTCACTGTAAAACTGCTATAAGGTAAAATATGTTAATGTGTCAGTTACAAGCTTCATATAATTCAAAGAATAAAAGAAAGCTTCAGATGTCCATGTTTAATCTAGAACGACCAAAAAATGCTGTTAGCTTAGTGCTAACATGCTACTATAATGCGTACATATGCAACAGCTGAAGTCAGCATTATTGTAGAGGTGTTTCTGACATTGTAGAGGAGTTTGGACATTTATAGTCCAAACTATAGGCCTAGCTCTAATAATCACTGGTCATCACTGGTCAGGAAAGAAAAAGTGGTTTCATGCCATCTCCAGCCCTGAATCAATTTCACATGTGTAACATGTTAAAATGGATTTCTACAAGCTAGCATGTGATCACATAAAACTCACATACTGATGAAATGTGATTGTGTTTTTGCAATCACACATTATTAACGACTAAACCTGTGAAAAGCATATGATCACATGTGCAATGTATCTGATGTTTTCAGTAAGATATAGTTTAGACATTTCTCTCACCTTTGGTTCCTTTAGTTTCTTCACAGTGTCTGCCTGGGTGTTCTCTGTGCCTGTGTCCAGAATGTCAACCAGCAGTCTGCTGGCCAAGGCAGTGCTTTCTTCCAGGTGTGTGACATCCGGGGGCTCCTCAAGGGTCTTCTCATTTTCTTTGCTTTCATGGGGTGAATCTTCTGTCTTGTGAGAAGATGACAAAAATTGGCCCTGGGGATGCTGAGTGTCACTGAGGTCTGGTTGTATGGGTGGAAGATCTTGGGTCCTCTGAACAGTGGAGCCTTGAGAATTAAGACCTTCTCTCTCTGTATCTTTGGCGTTATTGAGGCCGTCTGCCTGTTTTCTCCTCAGCACAATCATCTCTTTGGCTGTACAGATGCTTTCCTGCAGGCGCGCTCCTTCCTCAGCCAGAGTGTTCAGGCTCTCAGGGCTGGCCACACTGGTGAGCAGGGCCACTTGCTGCAGCACAGTGTTCGCCTGCTCTTCTTCTGCCCGCAGTTGCTCAGATAATCCCTGTGGGAATAAACAGTGAAGGCACCCTTAAAGGCAACCAGCAATGCAGCTGTTAACTCCTACAAGTTATGGTTGTCACCATAACATTATACTTTACTGATTGATCGCTCACTAGTAGTTCACTGAAACTAGCAGAGCAATTCTGAACATTTGGATTCTATACTGCCTTAATAAGAAATACATTTCTACTTATATTGATATAATTAATATGTAATGCCCTCTTTTAATTAGGTGCCACTGTCTGACATTCAAACAAAAGAAATGTGAGAACAGCAGACTCAAATGTTAAAAGGGACCTATTTTGCTTTTCCTTCAGTGTGTTGTATACCTAACTGAAAAGTTCACACCAGAGGGAGTAATTCTCTCTCACAGAAACCACTTTTCTCAGTTGCCTAAAACACTGCATTGGAATCCCAGCCCTTTTCCTTTGTTACCAGATGACGCAATCTCAGAACACAATCCTTATTGCCACCGCCAAGCTTGGCATGTCCTCACACAGCACAGCAACTACAGGAGGCCAGGAGGAGTTTGTTCAGATTTGTAGTCATGTCGAAATGACGCTGACCTGACTTTCAGTATTGGACTTCGGTTCAAACTGAAAAGGCAGAACCAACGGCACTGGAAAAATAGCCATATCGGTGTTTAACGCTGCTCAGGAAATAAGGGTCCGTCTGAGGACTGCAAGACAGAGGTGGAATGTGCGGGGGCCAAACTGCTCTGGTGGTTGACTAATCAAAACAGAGTGGGCAAGCTGACCAATCAGAGCACACTGGGCTCATCAGGAGGCGGGGCTTATAGACACAGGAGCTCTAATAAAGCGTTTCAAACAAACCGTAAATAGAGATGTACAGTATGAGGAAAAATAACGGGTTTTGGAACATTGAAGCATGTAAATCTATTTACCAGACACCAAAAATAAAATGATCAACACTGAAACAAGCATAATGGGGCATAAGTCCTTTTCAATAGAGAAAGTAAACAGAATGCAAATGTAATTCATTATGCACTAGCTATGTAGTTAACTACATACTTGGATAATTAAATTCAAACAGTATCACAAACTAACAATTATAACTAGATTTCTGAGGGTTAATACAGGGACCCAACCATAAATAATGGACCATAACTTCACTACTGAACTGCCACACAATACTTAAAAGTAGTAGGACATTATCAGAATAGAATGAAGGGTCAATCCGTTGAACATTAACAAACTGTTACAGGCAAGACAACTGCAGTTTTTCAAGTTTACGTATTTTGGCAGGAACCATGTTGATATAACACATTCATGTGCCAGCTTTGACACACTGCATCCCTTCATGAAAAATTATGTTCTTCACTTTTAACTATACTTTAAACTAGGCATGCACCAATATACTGAGAAAAGGTCACTGTACACCTTCTGGAAGTCCCACATACATCACTGACAGTGAGTGGTAGCCTGATCAGTGCATTTCTGTCCATTGTTAGAAATGGAAAACAGCAGCAGCTCTATGCCAGCACTCTTTACTGAGTCACTGTAAAACTACTATGAAGTAAAATATGTTAATGTGTCAGTTACAAGCTTCATATAATTCAAAGAATAAAAGAAAGCTTCAGATGTCCGCGTTTAATCTAGAAGCGCCAGAAAATGCCATTAGCTTAGTGCTAACATGCTACTATGATGCATATATATGCAACAGCTGAAGTCAGCATTATTGTAGAGATGTTTCTGACATTGTAGAGGAGTTTGGACATTTATAGTCCAAACTATAGGCCTAGCTCTAATAATCACTGGTCATCACTGGTCAGGAAAGAAAAAGTGGTTTCATGCCATCTCCAGCCCTGACTCAATTTCACATGTGTAACATGTTAAAATGGATTTCTACAAGCTAGCATGTGATCACATAAAACTCACAGAATTCCATAACTGTATGAACATACGAACAAATGATGAAATGTGATTGTGTTTTTGCAATCACACATTATTAACGACTAAACCTGTGAAAAGCATATGATCACATGTGAAATGTATCTGATGTTTTTAGTAAGATATAGTTTAGACATTTCTCTCACCTTTGGTTCCTTTAGGTTCTCCACAGTGTCTGTCCGGGTGCCTGTGTCCAGTATGTCAACCTGCAGTCTGCTGGCCAAGGCAGTGCTTTCTTCCAGGTGTGTGACATCCGGGGGCTCCTCAAGGGTCTTCTCATTTTCTTTGCTTTCATGGGGTGAATCTTCTGTCTTGTGAGAAGACGACAAAAATTGGCCCTGGGGATGCTGAGTGTCACTGAGGTCTGGTTGTATGGGTGGAAGATCTTGGGTCCTCTGAACAGTGGAGCCTTGAGAATTAAGACCTTCTCTCTCTGTATCATTGGCGTTATTGAGGCCGTCTGCCTGTTTTCTCCTCAGCACAATCATCTCTTTGGCTGTACAGATGTTTTCCTGCAGGCGCGCTCCTTCCTCAGCCAGAGTGTTCAGGCTCTCAGGGCTGGCCACACTGGTGAGCAGGGCCACTTGCTGCAGCACAGTATTCGCCTGCTCTTCTTCTGCCCGCAGTTGCTCAGATAATCCCTGTGGGAATAAACAGTGAAGGCACCCTTAAAGGCAACCAGCAATGCAGTTGTTAACTCCTACAAGTTGTGGTTATCACCATAACATTATACTTTACTGATTGATCACTCACTAGTAGTTCACTGAAACTAGCGAGAAATTCTGAACATTTGGATTCTATAATACCTTAATAAGAAACATATTTGTACTCATAATTTAAAGAGAAGAAATCTGATACTATGTTTTGAATTTGATGAGACAGTATTGTGTACACTCACATGTAATGCACAATCCTTATTTAGTTGCCACTGTCTGACATTCAAACAAAAGAAATGTGAGAACAGCAGACTCAAATGTTAAAAGGGACCTATTTTGCTTTTCCTTTAGTGTGTTATATACCTAACTGAAAAGTTCACACCAGAGGGAGTAATGCTCTCCCACAGAAACCACTTTTCTCAGCTGCCTAAAACACTGCATTGGAATCCCAGCCCTTTCCTTTGTTACTAGACGACGCAATCTCAGAACACAATCCTTATTGCCACCGCCAAGCTTGGCACAGCAACTACAGGAGGCCAGGAGGAGTTTGTTCAGATTTGTAGTCATGTCGAAATGACGCTGACCTGACTTTCAGTATTGAACTCTGGCGAATGAAGCATGTAAATCTATTTAACAGACACCACATTGCAACTAGCTATGCAGTTAACCACATACTTAGATAATTATATTCGAACAGTATAACAAACTGACAATTCTAACTCTGTCCTTCTAAAGGTTAATACAGGGACCTAATCCTAAATAATGGACCATCACTACTGAACTGCCATACACTACTCAAAAGTAGTAGGACATTATCAGAATACAATGACAGGTGAATTGGTTGAACAAGAACAAACTGTTACAGGCAAGACAACTGCAGTCTTTCAAATTAACATATTGTGGCAGGAATCATGTTGATATAACAGCTTTGACACATTTAAATCATGTAAATTCAAAGCACCTTTTTCAGTGTACAGTGTTACAATGCTAAACATCTGAATTATGAAACTTTTATTCAAGCTTATCTGCACCTGAATTTCCTGAAAGAACTGTGGGCTCCCAGATGCATGGAGTGTGTTCAGGGTATCTTTTATTGTGAGTGTGGCAGACATGCACTCTGCCATCCTGGCTGCCACCTGAGCCTTGACAGCCACCAGCTCCTTGAAAACATCACCAGTTTCAGCGAAGAGCTCCTTCACCTCTCCCATTCTCTTCCTCAGCTGGCTTTCAATCACCTGGAAGCCACAGAAGAGCACACACATGCTGTACAGAAAAACTTCAGTAGCAATTGTTATCATTGGACCATACTTATTTTTCACATGCACTGATCAGGCCAGGGCAAACTTACCTGTAGCTCCAGTGGGTGCTCTCTGTTCTGTAGCAGCTCCTGGATCTCAGCAGACCTGCAATGAAAATGTTCTATGTTTTTCTCCTGGGTCCTCAGCTCCTCCTGTGGGGGCAATTGGACAGGGCTGTTTCAAGTCCATAAAATCAGAGAATCGACCTCATTAATAGAAGTTGTGCTGCTACTATGCAAATTGTATGTAAACATTGTTAAAGACTGAAAATGTACACTTTGCTCCCCAGTCCATACAGCCCATATATGGAAACTAAGTTTTGAATCCATTGTTTGTACTTACACATATCCACCTATTCAGCCAACAGTTATTTATTTCTACCCACTCACTGTGAAGTTATAAGGAGTGTTTCAGCCTGGACTACTTTTTGAAGGAGGCACAATATAGGACAGCAATAAGAAAAATATAATTTACATGTGAATCTGAAAGGCACAGTAACGAGAACAGCCTTTAATTCTAAGGGATAAAGAAGTTGGAAAATGATCATGAATGAATCATCAATGAATGAATCGTGACAAAAAATACAAACAAATAAGGCTCTTTAAGTCACTTCAAGTAGATTTTTTTAAAGAATTCCTTAATGAACTTTCTTTTTAAAATAGCTGTTAATAATATCTTCCTAATTCAGTTGGGACAGGAACAGGTACAATAGGAATGTACAGTACATGTCCAGCTTCCTCATTGCTTTCCTAACCTCAAGCTTGCCCTCCCTTGCAAACTATGAGCCAGACCTTAAAGTTGATTTATCAGTTTCTGTAATCAGATCTGGGTGTGTCAAGTGAGAGTTTAACCATTGTCACAGACTGCATATGACAGTCATACTACACAACAGTATAATGCTGAGTGTATACAAAAAGATCTGAAAAAGCATTTGCATTTGAATAAAAAAGTTTGGTTAGTGCTTCATTTATTTTAAAATGGATGTGGGCTATGCCACTTCACCTTTAAAATGACACAAAGGCATGCAGTTCAAAAATTCTGCACAGAATGGCTTAATCTTACATTTATGTCTCTGTTTGTCGACAACATACATATTGGCATGACACACAAACAAAAACTCAAAAGTCTGTTTAAAAAGCTAAAACATGCTATTTTTGTTCTGAGGGTGCTACCATGTTGAAATGGATTAGCAATGAATTAGCAACTCTGAGAAGTTTCTCAAGAGTCTCAACTTCCTTGAGTGAGAATTGTGAGTTAGAGGGATGTTCAAATGGATTTTGCCCACTTGGAGGTCTGACACTTCCCAGTTCCAACTTGGTCAAGAATACAGAATTACGGTCACCATCCAATGCCTGCTTTAGCTAATGAATCTTGCATTAAATTCTTGTAAATTAATTGATGAGTAAGAAACCAAACTTTATTTTTCTAAGATAATATTTTGTTTAAAAGAAGAAATTCTCATGTTTTACTGTATTTTTGTGTTTATTATTATTATTATTGTATTATTATTATTATTATCATTTATGTTTATTTGTATTTATTCTAGTGTTATATACATATACAATTACTGCTGAGATCAATCATTTTTAACAATTTTCCATCACTGACTTTTGTACATTATATATGTAGTGGATATAAACCACTTGACCACTAAATATTGTGAAGCATAAAAGCACACACAACCTGTGCAACAGGATTTGGATGCCAAATGCTTGACACAACCTCAGAGAATGTGGAAATGGCCTTCAGTATGTTTGCTGAGTGACACTCGTCTTTCGAGTTTGGCCAAAATGAACTCCGCATGAAGTCTACAAATCCACAAACATGACAGCATGTTGGCATAAATTCTGCCTGTTTGTCGATAATGTCTGAAAAGCACTTAAGTCTGTTATTTACCTGCATAGCAGTGACCTCCTGCTCTGTCTGAAAGGGCTGTGACTGGGCAAGTGACATCAGCTTGCGGGTGGACCAGCCATCCACTTCTCCAGCCAATAGGAGGAGCTTCTCCCATAAGGACAACCCAACCTGCAGGTTGTCTAGACGACAGTCTGTCCTCTCAGTCACCTGAAGAGGAAGCCAAGAGGAACAGATATTGTGTATTGTACATATTCCATTTCTGTAAAGTGAAAATAAGCATGTGATGTGGGTGGTGGGTGTGGCTTCACAAGTCACTCCAAACAACAATATCATTCTAAACAGTAGTCAGAAAGCAAAGCAGCATACATCCAGCCAGCGGTCCATGAGTGCATCAGCCTCGCTCTCAAATGGAGCGTCTAGGCAGTCTGGAATCTTCCTCATCTGAGACTGCAACTGTCTGCAGACAGCCCTGATCTCCTCCACCCTATCCCCAAGAGCACTCAGCTCTGATTTAACACTGCTGACCTGCACACACATAAAACACACACAAAGAGTAATAACAGCTTTATGGAACCAATAGGCATCACTTTTATCCATTTCAAAGTCAAAGTAGTTTGCCTTTTCTAAAACCCTTTTCTGGGTTTAGTTTCATTCTGTTTTGTTGGTTTAGCGACGTCATAAAAAGCAAAGAATATAACGTAAACCTCACTTACTATACTGATAGCTGTAACATAATACTCAAAGGTTTCTTAACATTTAGACCATTTAATTACTCATTACTTCTTATTATTTCACTATTAAAAATTACTTTATGTATCCCTTAATGTTAAGTGATGTTCTTTACTTCTAACTATACTTTGAACTAGGCTATTTGGAATTGTAAGCATATGTAGATATTTTTCATGCACATATCTGCTGATGCCGATATATAAACATCTATGAAATGTAGAAACTGGGACTAGATTCACCTGGATAAGCGTTACAGAGAAGCATAACATTATTTCATTTTATAGGATTACAAATGCGGTAAAATGAACAAAAGTGTTTCATAAACATTCTGCTCTCCAGGAGCACAAATACATCATATATTGATCAAATCTTGAACTTTATAACTACTATAAATTTTATATATGTTGCACTATATAGTATTTGGTGAAATGTAGCCTAAATCCATACTCATATTAAATTGCTGGGTAACACTTTACATTAAGGGCCACAAATGGATTATTGCTCATGCTGTTTATAACTCATTGATCACCCATTACTGAGATATTAGTTAACTGATAAATAAGCTTTATTTATTATTAAGTAGCTGATGAAGTTCTCAGAAATTCGTAATTGAGTAACTTGTTAATTGAGAGTATCATTAGTTCCTAGTTTGTTTACTCATTAATGTAACTGAACTGCACAAAATAATCTGGATAAAATATACATTTGTAACATAATGTGGCTAATGCTGCCATCTACTGTGCTCAAACAGGGTATTACAGTGTATGTGTGTAATAATGGTACATCTCATACTCTGTCTATGAGCCGCTGAAGATTGTCTTTGCCCATGTAGGAGGCCTGCTCACTGATGGTCTGCTCCGCTCTCTGCAGGGTGCTGCCCAGATGGCTGCGACAACTCTGGAACTTCTTCAGTAGCTCTATCAGAGAAAGGCACTCCTCCTGACTACATGAAACCAAGCAATATGCATTATTCTCATGCAGTGACAGCTTTGTATCTAATGTTTTCATTTTCACACTGTTTTAACCACCGAATTATTTTGCTCCACAGTGTTCTTACCTTTCAGTTATCGCTCTGTGTGTCTCCTTCCATAGTGCCTCCAGCTCTGTAAGGCCCGCTGTGTGTGCAGATGCATCCTGCAGACTCTGGATGTCAGAATGTAGGGCATCTAGCTTACTCTCCAGGTCTGTCAAACAACGCAACCTTGAGGAGAGAGAGGGAAAAATATAAACCTGATAATGATACTACATCAAAATGTTATAAAATAGTGAAAAAGGAATTAGGTTTATAAAAGAGAAAATGAAATATGCAACATCCGATATGTGTATCTGATATATGTATCTGATACACTACTCTGCAAAAGTCAGAGGCTGCCCTTCATTTATTTAATTTCCAGTCAAAGCAGCCATTTGGTGTGAGTTATTCACTTTTAGCATCAGGGAAAACAAAGAAAATATATATTTAACAGAAAATTACACAGAAGCCTCAACAAAACACATCTTTTTCATATTTAGTGTGTCCACCATTTGCCTTTTATTACAGCTTCCATTCTTCTTCCACATCTACAAAGTTCAGTCTTAGAAGCTGGTTGCATTTTCTGCTTAACACATTCCAAGTAATCCCAAACACATTCAATGATATCCTTTCAGGCTCACAGCATCATATTTTTTTTCTCACAGTGGAAAAATGGAAAGAAACACCAGCGATTTTTCAGATCTGAACTAAGAGTGGAGCTTGATTTTCTCCTCTCTCTCAAAGATGAAAGCTTGAAATACTGTTTATGTGATGGTGACAGTTTTGGTGGCCCGCTTGGTTTTGCACAGTTGCTAGGAGCCACCTTTTCTATATATTTTAATAATTTTTTGAATTCCAGTTTTGGAAATATTCAATGAGTAGAGCGTTCAAAAGTAAAAAGTGAACCAATGAAATGCTGATAGATCAGATGTTATACTTGGTGTAGGGGGATTTTGTGTAATTTAAATTCATTGCTAAATTTATTGCTTTTTTATATGTTTCCTTCTTTTTGATGCTGAAAATGAACTTGTGCTTAATGGTCCTTTTGACTGGAAATCAAACAAACGAAGGAACAGTCTCTGACTTTTGCATAGTACTGTATAGTCTATGGCTGTTTAACCATAATGATACAAATGGATTGACTTTTTTCTCACATCACATTTCTCTGTGTGTGCATATTTCATGAACAGAAACATAAGCATGTGCACTAAGGCTTGTAATGTAAACACAGCCTAGCCATGTGACAGCATGGTGAAACAAGTTTTGCAAGGATGCCTGCCACCCTTTCTAACCTGTGCTGCAGGGCAGGCAGAGTGGGCTCCTTCAGGCTCTGTCTCTCCAGCGTTCCCTGCACCTCCCTGAGAGCAGCCAGCAGGGCTTTCTTTTTCTTTCCTAGAATTCGGGCCCTCTGCTCTTCTTCCTCCTTTCTTTGTGCTCCTCTCAGTCCTTCACCTCCACTTGCCTCCATCTCTGCAGCACGGCTGACCAGTGTAGACACCATGTCCTGACAGCTGCCTGTCCAAGTGCCCAGTTTCACACTCATCCCTGAATCCTGCAGCATATGGTCTAACCCCACAGCTTCCTCCCTCGCCTGCTGAAGCCTCTCTGTGATAGATGCTGCTGATGATAACGCAGGTGTGCCTGGTGTTGCGGAAAGCTCCACGTCCAGCTGGTGTAAGCGGGGCAAGAACTGTTCCAGAGTCTCCAGCGCTGACCGCGCTCTCCCCAGTCGATGGTTTAGCTGCTGCAGACGGTGTGTGCAGTTCTGAATGGTTTGCTGTAGAGGCAAATTGTTCTGAAGTTCAGCCTCATTCAGGCCTGCAGAGTTGGCCACCTTACTCTGAGACTCAGCCAGGATCTTCAGTTCTTTTTGAATATTCTCACCCAGAAGCTAAGGAGAAAAATAAAGCCAGTAAGCAAGGTTGCTACTAGAATCACACTATAAAAGAGAATTAGTATATAGGCGAATATGGAATAGGAGGATGCAGATGACAATGTGAAACTGCACTTATAAAATTTAAAAGTGATGATTTGGCCAAAAATACCCCAAAGTCAATCAGACAAGACACATTTGGTGTCTGAAGTTTGCTTCCTTTGTTTTGCACTGGAGATACATGCCTAATGTAGATAACAAGTAATGGAAGCTTAGAGTCACCTGTTAGCATCAGACAAACTGCATTCATTACTTGCATTAATGAAGTAACATAAATTATTATATTCTTGACTCCACATTCAGTTAAGTAATCTTAAGTACACTTATGTGGTTTTTGACACGGTATGACATAAAAGTATAGACATTATTTAAAGATGGCTGTGACAACTGTTTTTAGCTACACCTTTTATAGATAACATTGCATCACACAGCGGCAGAAAACACACAAGAAAGTATTTCTGAAATAACGCAATTTGAGCTTCCATACAAACTTGTTTTGTTTTATCGTTTACATTTGGAAAATAAGGAGAACTGTGTACATTTGATTTTTGACAGAAACATCTCTTTAAGGGGCTTAGCAAAATCAGGCTGCTTAGCTGTATAATAATTTTTTTATATTTTGCTATATAATATCTGCATAATAAATTTATAAGACCTGTATTATTATTTCATAAGAGCATTGCTGTACCTTCATGTCTCCATGTAGAGCTCCGCGATCAGTGAGGGCAAAGCCAGTGATGTCAACAGGTTTTTGAGCAAGTTGGTTAAGCTGATCAGAGATCAGTTTGATATGAACATCAACGGGCTCTAACAGCTTTAAAGCATTCTCTATTGACTTCATCCTATAAAATGAAAAACATTTTTTTTGCGTTTTGTGATACAGTTTAATTGTCCAAAAATTGTGTACTTGTGTGTGTGTGTGTGTGTATGTGTGTGTGTGTGTGTTACCTGGCCTGAAAGCAGATCTGCTGTCCCCTCCACTGCTGAATGAGCTGTACTCTTTCTGACTCAACACTGCAGCCATCCTCCATGTGTGGAGAGCTCTGGAGGTCAAGTCCATCCAAAGAGCCTCTGTCTGCTGCGCCAGTGTCTATACACAACACAACAGCATATAACGTTTATGAATCTGTTCTAGAATTAAATTATTCTAAATTATTTTTTTGTTGCAATCAAAATGCATTACCCCTTCACTGCATGGTGTTGCCATATGGTAACAATGCAATTTTGCTATTTTTGCCAACTACAATTTAAACTGAAAAAGAGGGCTAAAATGGGTACAATTGTTTAACTGATGATTTTCTGTTATAGTTTGTGCTTCTTACACACACCACATGGTGAGGTCTAGCATCTGCAACACTCCCCAAGTGCATGTAATTCCATATTTATAAACTACAGAAAAAGGAAACACAGTTATTTCTTTTTCATAAATAAATTTAGATGCTATCAGATTTATATAAAGCTATCAAATACAACTATAGCAACAGCATACTACAGCAACTACATTCTGCAAAGCACAAAATGTCAAAACAAAGCCACTGGCCTCACTGGACACTGATATTTTCACAACTTCTTATATTCCAAGTTAATGGTTTTATTATTATACTTATTTTCATACATCTCTAAACTAAAAAAAATAATATAAATATAAATAAAGATTAGAATATTTTATTGTCCATTTCATTTACATAAAACTTTACTTAAAACAAGAAATTCTGTCTGTGGCACTGGCATGTGGAAACATTACAACATACACACAAAACACACTAAAAATGTGGCAGTTGTGTGCACATGCCTGTGTGGCAGCATATTCATTTAATTCTATGCAAAATCACAGTAAATGCATTTGAAGTCAAATAAATACTTTTTTTGCTAAGAAGTAACAAAGGTAGAAAGAAGTCCCTGCAAAACTTAACTCATCCTTTTCAATAAATATACAGTGATTCTATATGCATCACTATAACTCTGTGTGTTTTCTGGCTATCCATTTAAAACTTCAAAGACAGAACAGCGCTTGATAAATATCAGGGGAAAACCTGGAGTTCTTGCAGGTGTGCGTTTAGGGTGGCAGGTGAGAGGCTGGAGCTTGTAGGGAACTCTGTTCTCAGCTGCTCAGTGTTCATCTGTAGCTGCTGCTGGAAAGCTGAGTGGGCAGCACTGTGGGTGTAATAAAACCAAACAAACATCACTGCAGAAAAGCCAAGACTCATGTCTCTTACTGAGAAACTCACAGATGAAGCATCACATTTGCTTTAGTTTACATCACTTTTTTATTTGAGGTGTTAATACATCAAACATGCGCCAAGAAATGAAGGTGTCAAAAGTGCTCCTTCTTGTATGCACAGTTAATATGAAAGGGAATTACCTGCTGTGAGCTTCCTGAGAGGTGGCCCCCTCTTCCTGTGCTTGACCAATGTGAATAACAGTCCTGTTGGGCGTCTGTTTGGTCTCCACGCTGTTGGCCTGAACGATGCCCTGCAGGAGTGGGGCAAGATGAGGCTGAGTTACAGGGTCACCAACTCCAAGAGCAAACGAGTGTGCTGTCCAACAACCCTATCCAATTACAGTGGATTAACTCCAACAAGCTGCTGCTGAGCTTAAGAGGGTCATCCACAGCCAATCAGGGATGGCAATTTCTTGTAAGGACCATCAGAATGCTTAGACACTCTGAAGTATGGGTACAGGAACATGTAATCATCTGATGAATGTAAACACTGAACGTTGTGTATGCGTCACTACACGTATTTCATGCATACTTATAAAAGTTCCATAAAGGGGGAATAAAGATAATAAATGCTTAAAAAGTAATACAAAACTCATGCACCCTTCTACTGAGATTTTTTTTGCGCAAACAACAGAAATTTGAAATGTCATGATCATAAAATTGCTAATAACAGCTAGTTAAAGAAGAATTCCTACAACATTTCAACACTTCTGCATAATGTGTTTTCTTTGAGTACTATTTTGCATTACAATACCATGCTTGTATCTCTCCTTTATGAATGTGTTTTTGGCCAAAATCTCAAAACTATAGTTAAATAATGGCACAGACATCAGGCAGCATATTTGTATCTGTTTTGTGTAATAACTTTTTGCTGTAGCTATTAGAGACATTAATGTCTTTGAATGTCTGGTTCCCATCACCATCACTGTAAATAATTCTAATACCATTCCACATCAAAACACTCTAAATGATTTTGTTTACATCTTAATGATTGAATTATGCAAAGATCCTAAAAATCGCTGGAATTTCCCTTTAACATTTTCCTGAAATGTAGATTTGAAGAAGTATATCGACACTGTAAAAAAAAAAAAACACAAACTCTGTGGGTTCTTTTCCTAACACCGTTTAAAATGTCAGCTGCCCTTGACATGTTGCCAACATTTAATGATGAATGGACAGTATGAACAGAAGTTTCAAGTTATTACAGTAAAGGTTTCACACGTGCACAAACACACACATGCACGTGCAACCACACATACGTCTATATATGCACATGTCCATGCACATGTACCTGTGAGTGTACTTGGTTTAGTGATTGGTCAGCAGGCAGTCCAGTCTCTCTCAGCAGGGTGCTGTCCTGGGCTTGCTCCCCCCTGCTGAGAACACACACATACACATAAACCTACACAAACAGCACGGGCCAGGCCATCAGGTTCAATCAGGCCATAACAAAGAGCATGTGCAAGAGCACAAGTAGAACTAAAGGGAAGTAATCTTGCACACATTAATAACCAACATATCTCTCTCTCTCTCTGTCTATATATATGTATGTATATATATATATATATATATATATATATATATATATAGATATATATACATTTAACAATATATAAATATACACACATATATATATATATATATTCAGAAAATATGCACTTTCCACATTGCTAGCTTCACTGATTGCTAACGCCCCGCTTTGTCGCATAAACAGTCAACCACTCTCCAAAAGAGCCAAGGGACATTTCTATTGGGCATTATTGGTCACACTTCCTTTGTGGATTACCCTCCAGGTCCACTACTGTGCAATGTTCAAAACCACTCCAGGCCTCACCTGTGTTGATACTGAACAGTCTTCAGCTTGCCCCTGCTCTCCCTCAGATAAGTGGTGGCCAGACAGGAGCTAGCTGTGGGTTTCAATGTCTCACTAAGCCCCCGCAGAACCTCCAGACGCCCACTGGGCTCTACAACTGAGGAACATGCCTGGAGGTAGAAGCACAACATGATGTGCATGAAAGCTGCAGCACAACGTATGCATTTGAGATGTCAAGGGGTGGCTAAAGTACAGTTCTTAATTATAATTAGTGCAGAATCTTCATTAACAATGTTTGATTGTCTAAGGTTGAATCTGTAAATCACAGGGTAATAAATACAACATACATTGGGAAAATACAGTAAAATACAGTATTAGGGTGGTAATGTGCCATTCTAGTAGCAAGCAGCTGTAACTCAATCCGCAAGTGCAGGGCTTTGTGCAGAGGCGCCTGTACGATGACCATTTTGAAAGTGAGGTGAAAATCTCATTAGAGGTAATACGACTTGTTAATGTGGCTAACTGAAGTGATTAGATAGCAACGCTCATGCCAAGTGTTTACTAAGGCAAAGAGGCAAAGGTGTTACGCCTTACAATCTGCCCAGACATGCACAACAGCCATCAATCATAACTGCACTAATCTGTTTCTGACTGGCTTCATGATAGAACACATAAGGAATTTTTGGGAGCTCTACCAAATCGGTAATTAGACTTGGGAGGTATTCCAGAAATACCTTAAAGCAGAGCTATTGTACCATGACATTACAAACCTATTATAGGTATAATATTTCCCTTACAATGCTTTTTTTTGCACACTTTGAATGAATTCTTACATGTTTCTTCAAACTACTGCCTTTTGAGACAAGATGCACCCAAAATATGCATTTTACTTTTCATTATCTCTATGGTACGATCTAGACATGAGACACTTGTACTGACATTCCTACTTTAAAAATCCTGAATTATTAGTTCACATTCGAGACTCAACCTTAATAAACTGTATACTACATTGTTTGCATTATATGCATATACCATATGTTTGCTATCATATCAAAACCTTGTAACTACTGTGGTTATTTTTACACAGTCATATTCAAAGGTTAAAACACCCCTGATCAAATCTTTTGTTAATTAGGTTAACACATCATCTACAGGAAACAAACTTAAATATGGTATTTTTCTGCACACTTTAGTGCATAATAATAATAATAACAGTGTTCTCTGTACAGGGTGTGCTAACTTAGTTTAGCTAACCTAAAAATTCAACTACAACTGTAGCATTTAAACATTTAATTGCCAGCTGCCCTTTACATTGTGTGACCATCATGGCAAATGGTAGTGCTTTACTGTAGGGCACTGTTTATAAGGCTACATAACGCCTACATAAGCTCAAAATTACAACTGATATACACCTACATAAACATTTACAAAGACTCAGTAAGTATCTGTGATAAAGGCTGCTTTTGTTAACTTTGTCAAGTTAACATTTAAATAATTTAACTCCTTTGATTTTATTTATTTTCTTCCTTACATTGTGTTGTGTCATATTTCACTTTGTTCAGTCTGCTTGACTTCGCATATCATGTCATATTATCAGTATTATGTCACTGTGACATAATCTAACTACAACATCTATGCTGTTTCAGAAAATGTCATGACACAATCTAATATCAGTAAAAATCAATCTGACATCAAAGCTTACAATGACAGCTATTGGAATAAGCATCTATAAATGTTTCTGTAGGTCTATGCTAGTCGTTATGAAGAGCTTATGCACAGTATATGGCTAAAAGTACAACTGATCATCATAACCCTTTGAGCTTGCTGTACATCCCATTCCAAAACAACAGGCATTAATATGGCCCCCCCTTAAACAGCCATGACAGCCTTCAATTTTGTGGGAAGGCTTTCCACAAGATTTTAGAGCATGTCTGAGGGAATTTGTGCTCATTCAGTCAAAAGAGCATTTGTCAGGCATGATGTTGGACAAGAAGGCCATCAACGTTCCAATTCATCCCAAACATGTTCAGTGAGGTTGAGGTCAGGGCTCTGTGCAGGCCACTGGAGTTCCTCCACACCAAACCCGTCAGACTACATTTTTATGGACTTTGCTTTGTGCACAGTCATGCTGATACAGGAAAGGGTCTTCCTCAAACTGTTGCCACAAAGTTGCAAGGATATAATTGTCTAAAATGTAGCATTTTAGACAAATGCTGTAGAATTTACTTTACCCTTCACTGGAACTAAGGGGTCCAAACCCTAAAAAACAGTCCAAGACCATTATGTCTCATTTACCAAACTTTACTGATGGCACTATGCTTTCCGGCAGGCAGTATTATCCTGGCATCCTCCAAATCCAGATTCATCCATCAGAGTGCCAGATAATGAAACATGATTTATTACTTCAGAGAACATGTTTTCAATGCTCCAGAGTCCAGTGGTGGACTCCACTCCAGCTGACACATAGCACTGCACAGCTGACACGTAGCACTGCACAGTTTGTAACTCCGTAGTGAGAAATGCAACAGATGATAGGCGATTTTACATGCTACATAATTCAGCACTTAGCAGCTTCGCTCTGTAAGTTTGTGTGGTCTACTGCTTTGTAGCTGAACTCTTATTGCTCCTACACTCTTCCATTTCACAATAATATCACTTACAGTTGACCACGGTAGATCTAGCAGGAGAGAAATTTCACAAACTGACTTGTGCTAAAGGCATTCTAATGTTTATTTATGAAGACTGCATGGCTATGTGCTTGATTTTGTACATATTTTAGCAATGGGTGTGGCTGAAACACCTGAACTCAATAATTAGGAGGGGCCCCACATACTTTTGGCCATATAGTGTAGGAGGCATGTAGCCTTATAAACACTGCCCTACAGGGTAGTGTCACCAAATTAATTTTGGACAGGCAATGTTATGACAGTGACTGTATAGATGTAGAGATGGGAAAAGAAGGAAAGAAGATTGTGAAGAAGTCTGCACGCCTATTGCAAGCAGAAGCAGTGGAGGTGGTGTATATCTGATGCAGGGTATACAGATGAGGACATGCGTTGTTAGGGTACCTGTTCACGGCACACTTGGTCTGGAACACAGGCAGTGTTAGTGTCTATTTCACATTTCAAAACGGCCATGTTAATCGACTCCCTTCGCTGAACCTCTCGCCACAAATCAGGCAGAAAGGACTCTATTGCTGAACGCACAGCCTAGGCAGTAAGACAGAGTAGAGGCTTTTAGATTCACCTCAGAATCCACCTAAACCACATAAATAATTATGACAGCAAGTTATGCCATGCATCTGCAATGTTCCAAGATCTCAGCGATTTTACATATCCTACATCCAGACATGTGATACTGACAGTGAACTTGCACTGACTGGCTCACTCACCTGAACATTCCAGTGAGCTACAACTATAGTATACAAATGAATACACTAGGATGATAACAGCTTGTGGCAAAAACAGAGTCTAAACCAATCACAACAATCCACTGATCCTTATAAATCCAATCAGTGCAGAGAGTTCTGCTGTCAACGCTTTGCTTCAATAGGTTAAATTTAATGTCAGTCCTGGGCAACATCCAAAAATTTAAAGCCAAGTTAGTCAGGCCCTGTTATTTTATATACCTCCCACTGGGCCCTGACAGACAGAGAAAGATCCTCCATGACTGCAAGTTGTGCCTCAGAGCAGAAGGCTCCGACTCCTTCTACAGCATCCAGGAACTCTTCTAACACTGCTGGCTTAAGCTGTCGCAGTGCCCCCTAGAGGTAGAAAAGATTAATACACTATTCAACTACATGGAACAGACAATACTGCAAAATTCAGAGGAACACTCTTAAAAATAAAGGGTTCTTTGGAATGATCTGAATAAAAGAAACCACTACTCGTTCCCTAAGACCTTTTTTATGATGAAAGAACCATTTTTATAAATAAGATGTGTGAAACAAAACAGAAAACATTTAACCAAAGCCTCAACAACTAAATAATTAAATAAGTACTTCATTGCACACTGTCTTTATTTCAAGCTTTCATTCTTTTCAGAAGACAGCTTTTCTGATGTCTGAATTTGCAGCACATTGAAAGTTGATTACAAGTAAGTGTGTTTTTCTTTTTCATGTTTCACAGCTGTCATAACAAAGCCTCTTACAGTACTCCGCAAAAGTCAGAGACCACCCTTCATTTATTTAATGTCTAATCAAATCAGCCATTAAGTTATTCATTTTCCAGTGTAAAGAAAATGTAAAAGAGAATTATACATAAATGTCAACAAATTAACACAGTATTGAATTTTTGAGCATTTAGTGTCCATCCCTTACTTTTACAGCTTGCTTTCAAATTTGGTTGCATTTTCTACTTCTCACAATCCAACTAATCCCAAACACATTCAATGATGGTGAGGTCTGGGCTTTGGGGTGGTCACTTCATTGCTCTGAAAATGTCAGCTGTCTTTTGTGTGAATTTCCTACTCTCAGTAACGGCTTCCTGACAGCTACACATCATTTCAGACCCAAAGCATTGAGTTGTCTTTGCAGAGTGGAAAGACAAAAGACATTTATCTGACAGTGACAGGTTTGATACTCTACCAGGTCTTCCACAGTTATTAATAAGAGTCCTTTTTTCCCACTATATTTTAATAATTTTCAGCCAGTTGTTGCATTTATTTCCATTTGACCTTCTCCTTCCTTATGCAATGGGATTATCTCATATTTGAAACATCTCCTAAATAACCAATAACATATATTTTATAAAATAAATGACAGGCAGTCTCTGACTTCTGCACAGTTTGTTACGTTAGATAAGAAAGTAGTAAAGAACTACAAGAAGTTCATTTTTTTCTGGATTTACCTGCTTCCTCTTGGCTTGCTCTTCAGATATTACTCTGTTGCTGAAGATGGTGATGACCTCCTCTATGTGTTCATGCAGACGCTGTTTGGCCTTCTCCATCCGACTCCTAGCCATGGCCTGAGCTTTAGAGTACACTTCAGTCTGTCCAGGGATCTGGGCAGCGCCTGGAGTTTTGCCTTGGCCTCGCTGTCTTTGGCATGCTGCAGGGGCTCAGAGCTTTCGGTTTGGCCTGGGCTTGTTTCGGAGTGTGGGGTGAGATACCATGCTGGGTGTGTGTGGGTGTGTCACCCTGCGTATGCAGCTTGGTTTGGGCTTGTGGTGGTGTCTTGACATGTGGGTGTGTTACCTCCAGAGACTGGGGAAAGAGCTGAGCCTTTTCAAGATCAGAAGGCCATGTTGCTGATGTAGGGTAGTAGTTGTGGTTTGAGGCTTGGACTTGTACTGAGCATCAGTATGTTTTTGTTCTGAAGCCATGGGTTGAATACTACACAAGTTTTGAGAGCTGGTGTCGGAGATGGATGAGCCTGGACACTGTTGAGGTGTCTCCAATGACATCCTGCTTTGACTCTGGCCTATAGTTAAAATCTGAACCTCTTTTTCGGTCTCCATTTGACTCTGTTTTCCCAGACGTGATGAGATCACAGCTGGGGTTTGTTTTAGAACATTGGGCTCGTCCTGAGGACCATCCAAAGAGAGGACCTGAGGTTGGGTGCCAGGTTTGGCTTTTACATGTTTCTGTACCTGAGAACAGCCATAACTCTGTTGGCTCTTTGGCTGAGTTAGACTTTCTTGTGGAGTCTTAGGTCTCTGTAAGGTTCCTGCTTGAGGCTCTGGAGTGATGTATGCATGAACAACAACCTTCGGAGGGGGCTGACCACCTTCAGTCTCTCTCTCATGTTTTACTCCCATACCGCTAAGGATCTCTATAATCTCCTAATAAAGAGAGAATGGGGAAAATGAGGTGTTTAACAGATGTCAAGATGCAAAAGTTTTGACTGACTGAAAGCTTAAGACCTAACACGTCCTCACTGTCATAACCATGTTTCTTATATTTGTTTCATACGATTCACAGCAGTTACTGAATTATATGTTTTAAGATTAATATCTGAATAGTTTCTATTTATTGTACATGCCATTCTACTTGTTTGTTTTATATTTGTCTAACCAAGGACAGGGCTTCAAATTTGCTTTGGCTAGTATCCCTATTCATCTGTGGCATGTTCATGTAACTATGTTTCCTCTGTGCTGTCAATGTCAAATCAGTAAATAGAATAAATATAAATTGACATAAGAAGCTGTGCGTTAAACAGTTCTGTTTAGTGGCTACCTGGCAGTGTTTGACTGTGCGTTTTTCTCTGTCTTGTAGGGTAGATATGCTGAGATAGGGCAGGGAGGAGCTCCTCTGCACATTTTCCAGTGTAGACTGCAGAGCCTGTGCCTCCATCACCACCTGGCTTTCCAACTGCAGCCCTCTGCTGATCAGCTTCTATAATGAGAGCATACTGCATTCTGTTCTGTTTTGAATCCAAGTTTGGTCTGAAATGTGGTAAAATGACACAGAAATGTATTGATTTTTTGTTTACTTTCACTCTGGGGTGAGGCCCCTGGTGCCTGTGTTGCCACTCCTTCAACTGTTGGCAGACCTCTATGGCCTCGGTACTCCAGTGACCCAGCTCTGCAAGCCTGCCTTCCAGCAGAGACGCCCCTCTCTGCAGGCCCTCACAAGCCTGCTCCACCCTGCTGAGATCCTCCCTCATCTACTCACAGTCACACACAAACAAACTTACAGAAAGGTCCCGCTGGGTTCAGATAAATATTTCAAGCTTTATCTCTAATAAGGTAGAGATAAAGATATCTCTAACAGGCTAGAGATAAGTGTGATTTTTCTTTTCAAAAGCATTTGCTGTCACCTCTAGAATTGTGGTTTTAAGTTTCTGCAGCGCCTCCTCATTGAATTCTGGAGATGGAGATAAAGAGTCCAGATCTAACTCTGATATCTTCTTTACCATGACCTGGAAAGAGGATGATAGAATAGGACAGACACAGATAATGTGAATATATAAACAGAGCAATACTACAATAGTATTGAAATGCTACAGCAACTCTCTGTGTTAAACCTAGGCCATCTGACATGAAGAACGGTGGCATGTGGTACCCGCAGTCTCTTTCTATATTTGCGCAGAGCTCCAGACGACACTTCCACAGCCTCTCTCAGTGTCCACCCTGCCTCCTGCAGCAACATCTGTGTGGCCTGAGCATCCGGAGCTACACTACTAGGCTGCTGAGGTGCCACTGCCTGCAAAGTATGGGTGAAGGTCTTAGCATTAAAAAATACTCTAACTACATGCAAAAACATCAAATGTAGGGCCCAACCAATTTCCAATTTGGCTAAGGTTCTATGGATTTGTCAGCACTGGCACAGTACCATTACTAAAGCACTCATATTTTAGGCAGACATATCTAGTATTAAGAGAATCACTCATTTGAATATTGCAGGAATTTCATGCTCCAATGTCTTCAGGGATCCACCCAAACCTAAACTTTTGATATGGGGAACTTTTATGTGAAGAGAACTAATGAAAAACAAGAAGACCGAGAGCTAACAGAAACTAACTTAACTGCTAAAAATGCTTGGAAGCCCCAGACTTCATTAGTTTCTGCTGTTCACTTAAGTTTTAAAAATGTGACAATAATGTGACAATAATAAGACAAGACAAAAGGCTATTTTAAGTAAACTGAATGAGTTTTTGGTTAAGAAATTCATTTTTGCAGTTTTCTGAAGGACAAAAACTTCTCTGGGCAGCCTGAAGATGCGCCTCGCCCTTATTTACTCACAAATTTAGTCCTCTTGATGAAGTCAGCCCACTTTGTATTGAGTCTACTGAGCTCATCTGCCAGGGACCAGCTTGTGGAGCTCTCTGTCACCTCAATCAGGTAGTTGCCTGCTTCATTCAGCTTGGCCTGGCAGGAGCTCCATTCAGACAAGCTGCAGGAGGTCTGCTGCATAACAAACAGACATGACAGAACAGCTTCTAAAGTTTAATAAGAATAGGATTTTCCTAATAAATTCCAAAGATTATCTCTACAGCTCTTCTGGCCATCTAGTGTGGAGTAGATAACAATACTGTACATATCTCTGATCAAGGTTTTACATGTTGTTAAAAAAGACAAATCAGCAAAGACAGTTCACTACAGTAAAAAGGTTCTATCTATTGTTTAAAAAGACAAATGAGTAAGGACAAGGTATATACAGTATAGTGCAAAATCAGAGACTACCCTTTATTTTTTTTTTATTTCCAGTCAAACAGCCATTTGGTACAACTCATTCTTTTTTCAGAAGATATTTCTGAAGAGATCAGATACAAGATAATCCTCTTATAAGAGAAAAGTCAAAGGGGAAAAAAATAAAGGGGAAAAATGTTAAAAAAATGATTAAAAGATACAGATACAAAGGAGACTCCTAAGAATTGTGCGAGAACTGACAGACCACCAAAACAGTCACCACTAGATAAACAGCACTTTTCCATTTTAAATATGTAGCTGTCAGCCATAGCTTTCACTGAGGAAAGCAAATAGACAAAACAAGATAGGAAAATCTGCATTAAAACACCAAAACTGGACATCTGACATCTGTGATTATGAGAAGCAAAAAATACAACCAACGTCTACGACTGAACTTAGACTGGAAGTGTGGAAAAATATGCCTACAGATTTTTTTTTTAAACTAAAAGCAAGTCTCCAAAAAGCTATAATACAGAAAGTAAAGAGTGGAAATACAAAATACAGGAAAAATATATATATTTAGTTGTTGAGACGTTTGTGTGTGTTTCTGTAGAATAAGCAAAATAAGTGAAAAAATATGAAGTTGTACTTAATGGTTGTTTTGCCTGGAAATTAAATAAATGAAAGGGTGGTCTTAAACTTTGTATATTTTTAAAGAAGACAAATGAGTGTGGACAAATCAATATCCTGTAGAAGAGATCTGTACTCTTGCAAAGCATGGCACAAATTTGAGCATTAACGTCACTTTTCCACAGATGGCACACATATGGTTAGCTAGTTCTACAACACACACACCCAACTCCAGGGCTTATATTTGGTTAAATTCCACTATAAACCAGTCCGGCTCCAAGACTACCACCAATACTGCAGGCAATGCAGATGTGTTCAGCAAGCCCCCCCGCCTTAATGGGTTAAACACACACTGTGTCATTTTTGTCTAGTCAGCTGATTCAGTACCTCTTTCCCTGCAGTCTGAGTCTGTCCCTCTAGGAAGACCTGAAGAGAGTATGAGCAGTCTTTGTAGGATTCCCATTCAGCCAGCACACGGCCCATAGTGTCCTTCACTGCAGCTGCTTCTTCTACGCTCACTTCTATCTCCCTTTCAGTCTCCTTCACCTGCCTGCTCACTGCCCCAGAGGCCTCTGCTGCAGAACAGAAAACATCAGGAAAAAATTACCCATATGTTACAGAAAAAACATTTTCTTTCCTATTTATTTAGCAGATTCACTCACCCAGGGCTGCCTTGCTTGTGTATGTACTGGCAGTCTGTTTCAGTTTATGAAGAGCTGCTTTTAGCATAGACACCAGGCCCTGTGTGTTGATACTATCCTAATTTAACAAACAACAATGAACACTTTAGTTTATAAGTAAAACAACAAAAATCTTTCAGTTCTCAAGACGTTTAACTGGCTTTTAATTCTTTCTTTAAAGAAATTTGCAAAGCCTTCATCATTTGATGAACTTTGCTAAATATGTACAATTTCCCCTTATTAATAATGTGGTCAATCAGTCAAGACATGTTTGGTGTCTGAAGTTTGCTAGTTTTTCATGGTAGCTACACGGCTAATGTAGCTAACAAGCTTATGCACAGCAATTAGCAAAGTGCAATCTGCGTATCTAAATCATTACAATCTTGCCACAAACAATGTGTCGCTGTAATCTGAAATAGACTTGATAATGTGGTTTCTGATACTGTATGACACCCTAGTATCTATAAAAATAGACAAAAGTGTGTCACATAGCTAAAATCAGTAGTGGCACCAATGCAGTTAAGCATGCAGTTCTTACAGTCCTAACCACCAATTAGCTTCAGTGCAAAACTTAAGGAAAATTTCAGATGTCAAACATGTCTTCGGTGCGGTGAGGAGTGAATTGTGAGCATTTGATTTGTTGTCCCAGCACTGCAATACGACCTACATGCCAGTCCTGCATCAAGGACAGCACAGCCTCCTGAGAGCCATAGGGTCCTCTCCAGGACTTCAGCTTGCTCTTCAGAAGACCTAAGAGCTCATGGACATGGTGCCACTGCTCTTGGTACTCCAGTTTGATGCCATGGTACTTTGCTGTCACTCTGGCATTGGTGAAGCTATGGGAATGATAGTTTATATGAGTATGTGGAAAAGCAGTAAGAAGCCACTGATCAAAGGTTAAAAATTACATGCACACCGTCTCTTCATTTCATCAAGCTTTTCAGCAGGGACTCGAGAGCTGGCATCATCCTCTGGGTTGCAGAACTGATGAAGCGTGTCCAAGTGCCCACTCATGTCCCCTAGCAAGACCTGAAGGGATAACAATGTTACATACACTATATGTCCAAAAGTTTGTAGACAAAAGGTTTTCAGAAAGAACCAAAGGTTCTTCTCAAATTAAATGTATTTATAGGGAATGTCTCCCCCCTTTGTTGCAGTTACAGCCTCTATTCTTCTGGAAAGGACACTACATGTTAGGACTTTGATGAGAGGATTTGACTACACTCAGTCAGTTACTGATGTTGGAGAAAGAGCTCCGGATCACAAAAACAATTCTACTGCTCCACAGCCCAATGCTGGGGGCCTTATACCCCTCTAGGTGAGGCCTGACATTGGGTATGACTACCTTAGGCTCATGCATTGCCGTTCCAGAGCATCTCATTCTATTGGCAATAATTTCTATGGAGATTATACAAGCTGTGTGTGTGAGACTAAACTCCAGTGTCAGAAACGGATGAATCTTAAAGTAGCTGAATTCACCAAGTAGAAGGGGTATCTGGATACTTGTGGACTGATAATGTAGGGGAATGTAATTGACAACAAAATTGAATTGAACTGAACTGAAATGTTAGCCTTACAAACCTTGAGCTTCTCTTGCTTTTCTCTGGCATCTCTGGCTGCTCCTGCATGGTCTTCAGAGTCACCTTGCTCCTCAGACAGCACTGACTCTATATTCTGTAGCCATTTACCCAGAGTGTGTAGAGGAGCAGGCAGAGCTGCATCCAGTTCAGTTTTGTACTGCTGCAACTGCAATAAACAGGCTGTCTTTGCATACCAGAAAACTATGAACAACACAATGTGGCACACTGCTACTGACAGGAGGAAAAAAGCTTCTGACTGCTACAAAGAAGGCACCATTTATATTGACAAGTAAAGAACATGAATATGAAAAAACGTAGATTTTAAATCATTGTGTAACAAACTACTATGAGCAGGAAAACATATGCATATAAATGTAAGTCTCACTCCAGTCACCTTTTATTGTTAATGTGATGAAACAAACAAAAAAGCACTTATGGCTAGCCCCCAGTGCATGATAATTGGGATGATTTTGAGGCTGATTTGCCCTCTCAGGCAGTCACAAAAGATGTCCCAATTTTAAGAAGTTCTTCAACTTTTATCGTCCTTTTGTGTGGGGTGTGTATAATCCAATCATTACCATTCTGTTCCCCCCTAGCACAGTCATAACCAGCATGGTTTCAGATTCAGGATCTGAGAGACAGGACTGTTCATCGGGTCACCAATCTGTGAGCATAATCTGACAGTCTGTAGTGTTTTGTTCTTGGCGATTGTTGTAGTAGGGAAGGCTTTGTTGATTAAAGGACGACTAAAGACTACAATCAGTGGTGTCTTTCATTATGTGTGAAGTATCTCATAATTTCAACATCAGGTAGGATTGGAAAAATGCTGCAATGTGGGCCAGGCATTAGTAAAAAGAGAGAGTAAATAGATAAATATCATTCTGAATGTGTGTGCATGCCTGCTCAGAAACTATCACAGTGCATCCATCAAAAAAAGCAGCCTCATGTTTCTTTACATAGTGAAAGGAAACATGGTAGCATATAGAAAGCTACACTTCCACATGCTTGTTCATTTTAGTATGTCCAGCGATGATAAATACACATCCCAACTACCTGAAGGGCAGACACTCCAAATATAGGTGTACACACTCATACTACAACTCACCCTCTCCTCCATAAGATCCCATGCCTTTCTCAGGGCGAGTTGCTCCTCACTGAGTTTTGCACTGCGCTTCATTGCACTCAGCATTGACATCACAGGGCCGTCGCTGCTCATAAAATGACCCTATAAAGGTCTGGAATGCCTACAAAAGATTCAAGTACAAATGAGGCACAGACAAATCAACATATGTACTAATAGAAAAGATTCAAAAGACAATGAAGTCTTAAACTTACCTGATACCTCTCTGTGTACCCTTCACCCTCTGTCGAGGACCATACATCCAGCAGTTCCTCATGCGCTTGCTGAAGCCAGCAGGTCATCTCTCTGACCTTCTGACTGGGTGATGCCTACGAGTATTTTGAAAGAAACAGAACTGGACATGGTTATTTTGACATGGCTCCACAGCTCAGTAGAATTCCAGGTATTATGATGTTTACTTTGAAATGGCTTTATGGTAGAATCATGCTTGCTTCTACTCTGCTTTGCATGTGTACCTGACACAAGGGGGAAGCCAACACAGCAGGTGTGAAGTTGGTGGGAAGATTGATAGGAGAGAGGCACTTGGGAAAGAGTAGAGTTTGTAGCTACAGCCAAGAAACAACAGAAAAAGTGAGCAAGAAAAGGAAAATGTTAAGGGTTAGGCTCAGAGGTGGGAAAAGAGAATAGAAGACAAAGCAAATAAAAACAGAAAATATGAGAAAAAGTACAGCTTCACATAAAAGATGAAAGATAAACTGCAGCTAACATACATTGAAACAGATTAAAGCCAGAATAGGTTTTACTGTCAATGGGAAATCTAAACTTTAGAAAATGTTGTCTAGACCTTGTTAACCCGCCAACATCTTTTGAAATCTTACCTCAAGGTCATCATCTGTTGAGGGCAGATCATTGGAGTACTGCAGGAACTGAGCCACATAGGTCATGATAGACTTCTCATCTGGGTTACTAATATCGATATCTGAGAATGGACATAAGAAAAGACATTCTGCACAATGCTCTCTTCTTAAATTACATTAAAATAATACAAACTAAAATTCATAATGGACAGCTTCAAACGACACCCACCCTCAGGTTCGAGCAGTCTGGGTATTCCCAGCTCCTGCTGGGCTATGACAAAGGCCTCTTCCAGGTTTTGGAGGTTGCTCCTGGTTTCAGTTAAGGAGAGGTCCACCAGGTCTGGTCTCAGGGAGCAGAGGATGGCCAAGAATGCCACACCGCTCCTCCAGCTTGACTTGAAATCTTTTACGCTGACAGAGCAGCCCACTCTGGGAAGAAAATGATAACGGAGAAAAATAAAAGAAAATACAGGGCAGCAGAGAGAACCTGGTAATGTAGAAGCTGGTAATGTAGTGAAGAAAACTGTCGCTGTCACATTAAAACCTCATAACTCAGCTGCTTTTAACACTGTTTAATAGACAACTAATAAACAAATTAGCTAAAGAATTTGTCCAAATGAACTTGGAATAAAATTGCTACATACACATACATTAAAGATCAGAATGTTTCCATTCAGGAGATACAGCAGAGTGCAAAAGTCAAGAGACGACCCTTCATTTATACAGTTTCCAATCAAAACAGCCACTAAGTACAAGTTATTCACTGACATGAGAAAATGGGACTCCTAACAACCATGCAAGACCTGGCAGACCACTAAAACTGTCATCATTTGACTGAAAAAAAATGATAGTGTTAATTTAATATATGTGATTTATATGTTAATTTATTGATGATTCTGTATAATATCTGTTAAATCCTTTTTTGACATCGGAAAAAGGATAACTTAATGGCCGTTTTGATTAGGCATTGAACAAACGAAGGATCTCTTACTTTTGCACAGCACTGTTATGAGGTTTTGTTATGACAGCTGTTAAACATGAAAAAGAAAAACACATTGACTTGTAAAACAACTTTCAATGTGCTGCAAAGTCAAACAATAGAACGCTTTATTGTGTTTGAGAATATGAGCTGGTGGGTACCCACTTCCGACACTGGTCCCGCACCCACAGCAGCAGGGCCTTTTTAGCAGAGAGACGAAAGCGTGTATGGAGCGGTGATGCTCTGCGTGGGACAGGACTTCCTCGTACAGGGGTTCCAGGTGCTGAATCCTGACTGGACAGAGACTCCAGAGAGGAGGAGCGTGAACCAAAAGAGAGAGTGCTGGCTAACTCCTCTATCTGCAAAATTCACAAAACTTTACACTTAGAATGCTGATCTTTGGAAATTATCATAGAACAACACCTTAAATGTTATCCAGGCAAATTTATTTAGCTTGAGCAGCTGAGATGTGATATCAGCTATGTTTTGTTCTCATGACAATGCCCCTGCTGTGAGTGCTACAAAACAAGCATATTTTCTTTGTACCTCAATGACTGAATAGAATAACCATAATTTCATCCCAAGTGCCCTGACCCAATTTATTCAGAGTGCAATGAAAGAGATGAATCACAATAAGCCTTTTGATAGAGTGAAAGCGTCCATTTCAACAGGAGATTCCAGCCTACATCACTGAATAACATGACACCTCCACTACTCCAAACAACGCTATGGTGTTTGTAATCTGAGGCTGGATGAGCGAAACTAGAATCTACCCTAAAGCAAACATGAGAAAAGAGTCACATGATGTAGTCCTTCAGGTAATACTTACTGAAAACATACAGATACTCACATGACAGTGCAAGATGATGGTCCACACCAGGCCCAATATAATAGAAGGTTTCCCCTCTATGATGTCTGGGATGTTGATGTTCACCAGCTTGATCTGAGAAGAAACGTTCAACATTTAACATTTAACTCCTGTGTACAGATGTATTTCACATAATAACTTCACTTATACTTTCACATTTTTAGGGAGAGTGTAGTGTAGTATGATTCAACAGAGATATTACAGAGCCCTCACTGATTTATTTTTTAAGAAGTTCAAGGCAGTTTCAACATTGCCTCTCTGCTGGAAGACTCCATGGCCCTTCTCTCGTTTCTGTGAGCAGATCAACAAAGTCAACTGTATGTTACGGCAATGAATTCTCTTTAAATTTACGTATACTACTTGGTGTAATTGATTATACTCAGGTAGGCTTTGATACTAACCATGCGCTGGCCACTCATGACCTCTAGCAGGTCCAGCAATCGAGTTCCATCACTAAGATCTGCAAAGAGATCCTGCACCAAGGATGGAGAGCTCCTCTGGAAAAACAGAAATCACAAGCACAGCACTTTGGGTACAATGAGAAGAATTAGACGAAACATCTGAAATTCCAAGTCATTTTTCATTTACCGACAGACTGCAAGTCTTATCACCTTTCATAATTAGGGTTGGGTATGAAAAATGAATACTTTTAAGGTACTGATGAAATTGTGACAATACCAATACCAATACTATGCTTTAATTGTTCAATATCAAATTTCCATAACTAACTGGTGAGTTTCAGCAGCATCCATGAGCCAATATGCATATTTCTTTTACCAAAATGTAGTCTGATGGGCAGCTGTCTAAAACACATTCTAGCAGGGTAATTATGGTGGTAAAGAAAACTTAAAGTAAAGGAAAACAGTGGAAAAAACTACAAGAAAATCACAGTCTTCAACCATTCACCCCAAACTTCCACACCTAGTGCTATAAATGGAAATATACTGGTTAATTAGCCAATCTCTGCCATTCTATATGCTGTCAGTTATTATTGAAATTATGAACATAAATGCAAGGTCGTCAATCTTGTGTTATGTTTAAAATTTCATTTTTTTCCTCCCTGGTTAATTTAACTACCATGAAGTAGCCTAGTTGGCTAGTTGGTTGTTGCCAACCTCCCTACAGTGATGTTTCTTGCTTTAATTTAATGCTTGCTAGCTGGCCTTCTTAACCTGTAACCAGTGCCCCATAATGAAACATTTAATTTACATTTACATTTGCATATCCTGTTTAGTTTACAATTCATTGTGGTCAGTAAATATATCCCACCGCCAGCACCTTTTCTGGTTTAAGTCAAGTCTGACAGCTCAAAAGATAAAAATCATCTGATGCCAATGAAAATGTTATGAAATGTAATTCATCTTGCTTTCTTGTAATATATAAGAGGAACGCAAAAACATTGAGTTCCTGCATCTTTGTGCTTTTTTCCCACTTTAAACAAATGAAAGTTAGTGGAACCAACAAAGCTTTTTAGATCATGATATTTAGATCTAAGTCTGGATATCAGTTTTAAGAATTTTCAAAAAATACTCTACTTATTCTGTAGGAGCAAATATTCAAATTTTCTCTTACAAAGTATTAAAATGCTTTAGCACTCAATCATGTGCTTAAATGATTTCTGGTTTCCGTTGCTTAACAGATCATAACTATATAACAGAAGGAGCATTACTGCAGACCCACACATTATCACATATACAGAGTCAGCTGAAAAGGGGGTCTAGTGGAAGAGGAGAAGGCTGTCGTCTCATATTACAGACCGTCAAAGTGGGCCGCTGCTTGGGCTCTATAAATAATCCATAAAGAATAAATAAACCCTCTCATTTACTTGAAGACCTCATGACAGAAGGGGCTAACTACACTCCCGGCAGTGAGTCAGCACTTCAGCTAAGGTCAATGCATTGTTGGATATTGTCTAACAGTTGCTCAGTGGATGAACGTGTTACAGCATAAAGGAAATATACACTAAGTACAGTACACTGTCTGTTCAGCTTTTTTCAAGACTTTAACTCACTGAAAGGACGTAGCTCTGCTAGTGACCCATAGCACTGCTCTTGCCAAGCACACACCAGGCCACCAGTCTGACAAAACACTTACCACTAATTTCACATTAAGGACAACTATGTGCAGCTTTACAACTTTTCATGGTTTACCTTGGAAAGCTGAGCGTTGATCCAGTTGGTGAATGTCCTCTTCTGGACCTGTTCCTGTTCCACTGCAGAAGACAAGAAACACAGCCATGGAATCAGACACAGTTAGAACAAAACTGACACATTAACATGAAATCCAAAGAGCAGAAGGCCAACACTGCGAACACTGAATGTGCTAAGTGGTTTCTACATGGTTTCTCAAAGTCAAGTGAAGCTTTGCTCTGGCTTTAAAGTAGAATATATCCATGCAGAAATATGTAGATTTCTTGCCAAAACAGAGCTTTGTGGTTTCCTAGATTAAAGCCAACGTCTCACTCATACAGTAACTATTATTAAGCTCAGAACAGAAATGTCTCATCTACTGGAAACCTGGCTCAACACATAAGCCTCTGAGGAGTGAATGAGTTCAACCTCGCGTCGAGGTACATAATTGAAGTCATTTTCCTGTATCTTGCCTGCATTGTTGTAGCTTCAGACACCTTCTCTCCTGGCAACATTATATCTGATTACAGCTCTATAGAGAAGAAAGCAAGGATCTCCCATCCACCCATCAGTTGTTATATGTACTGTATGAGTTGAAAAAAAGGTACCACAAGGGGTTCCTCGAGCAATGAAAAAGACATTTGTGAGAGTGAAGAACCTTTTAAAGGCCTTCACATCATGTAAATGTTCTATACCAATTTAAGGTTTTTTTCTAGGACCGTTCCTTTGTGTGCAGGTTCTTTTTAATTCTTATGCTTCTATAATTCTTACACTTTTTTAACAAACCGGGCCAGAAAGGGTTCTTTGTCCAATGCCATAAAAGAGTGGTCACCAACCCTCGTCCTGGAGATCCGACCACTATCTGCCACATTCACTCCGGCTAATTAACTTTTTCAGAAGTCCCGATTGGCTAGATCAAATGCATTAGTGTTAGGTAAGGTATTGGCTCCATTTTAGATGCAGGTTGGAATTAAGCTCTGCAGGAAAGTAAATCTCCAGGAGGAGGTTTGGCAACCACTTCCACTTTTGCTTCCCTAAAAATCTTTCAATGGATCAAAGAATTAGAGAACTACTTTTTTTAAAGTTAAAAAAATCTGCACATAACAAAAGTTCCTGGAAGAACCCCTAAGACCCTTTAAATTATGTGAAGGTTCTTGAAGACTTTAAAAGGCTCTTCACACTCACAAATCTTTTCCAAACATGGTTCTTTAAAAAAACAAAAGTGGTGCTTCTATGGCATTGCTCAAATAACCTTTTGTGACGGTGTATTAACAGTCAAGGCTTGACTAGTGCAACTCACTCTTGGCTGGTCTTCCTATGCCGGCCACCAAGCCTCTGCAACTCATCCAGAATGCAGCAGGACGGCTCGTCTTCAATCTTCCTAAGTTCAGTCATGTCACCCCACTGCTGCGCTCGCTTCACTGGCTTCTACATTTATTGTAATATACTGTACTGCACTTATTGAAATGTATTGTAATGCACTGTGCTGTGTTTAACTCTGTTTCTTTTCTCTATGTATCAACATGGACTTTTGTTTCTAGCAGTATCTGAGTTTAGGACTAGGACTTTCTCTCTAACCTATTGGTAACTAGCAAAGATACTTTCTCTAGATAGACAAAGCACTTTTGGTAAGTTGCTCTGGATAAGAGCGTCCGCTAAATACTGTAAATGTAAATGTAAATGTAATATTTGGCTATAGAGGGTATGCTGATGCTATCTGACAGTACAGAGTGAGGAACACATGATTTAACAAATCTATGCAATGCATCTATGAAACGTATGTTAGTCTGACAATATCAGTCGTCTGAGTAAAAGTAAATGGATTTAACTACTTTTTATTACTTATTACTTACAACCCAATTGCAAAGGTGTACTGCAAGATAATACAATTCCGGTAAGTCTTTTACGCATGCAACTGTCATTGTACCCTTTCTGGGTGTCTGTTCAAACTCTCACAAGAACAAACAGACTGTTAACGTCATGTTATTTAACAAAGGGTACAATAAAGACTAATTCATATGAACCGTGGCTGTGTTAAACACACCTGTATTACAGGTTATTGTCCTGGGAGGGCCCTGGCACACAGTGCAACTATCACAAACACTGTAGTTTTTCTCCTCCACACATCTTGGACCTGCTTTTTCTTTCTCTCTCCCATACCAACTGTATAAATGTTACACCCTTTCTCTTTTAGGCATAATATTCAAATGATTCACATAAATGCCATATTCATCATTCAAAACAGCAAATTTCACTGAATGGCAAGTTTGTATGTATGCATTCGGGATCATATGAAAATATCGTCCCTTTTGACAGCCTACAAACCATTAAAAATTTAAAACAAAATAAAATGCTGACAATAAAACATTGCTCTTCTAATGTGTATTTATGAAAATACTGTATAAAATAAAGAATGAAATTGTACATTTTGAGTTGAACTGATGAAAGGGTGAGTGTTGTATATCTCAACGAGTGTTGAAGAAAATAACTATCATCCATTAGCCACCAATATTCAAGTTATCACTTCAGATAGCTTTCATAAGCAGTGAAAAAAAACGACAACTTTAGAAATCAACCAACCAATTTTAGTGTTTAACATGGACATGAAGCACTTTCTTGCAGAATAAAACGCAAGGAAACAAGCCATTGCTGTAAAATGAATCTGTTAAATCAGGGTTGTCCAATCTTATCCGCAAAGGGCTGGTGTGGCTGCAGGTTTTCATTCCAGTGAAGCAGGACTGCATACGATCAGTTGTTTGACGGCTGAGCAATTGATTAAACAAGTGGAATCAGGTGAGCTCTAGCACGTTTGGAATGAAAACTTGCAGCCACACCAAGATTTGACACCCCTGTGTTAAATGAATTCGACAACTATGTCATCACAAGTTTTCATACTGTACACAGAAATCAATGTGATCAATTCTACATCAATTTCAGACAAAAATGAAGTGGTAGTGGACTGTCTTGGCTATTTACACATAGGAACCTTTTTGCCCCAACTATTGGAAAGTTACTGAAAACAAATTGCAAATACATAAAAATGAAATCAACAAAACTTATATTTCTGCTCCTTCTTCATCTTCAGCATCCATTCTGTTCCACAAATAAATATTTCATTTACAGGCACTGAATTCCATTCACTGCAGCTACGTTAATGTTATCCAGCCCTGCCAGCACTCCTGAAACCTTTCAACTTATACAAATTTTATAATTAATAAAAATAAAATACTGTATCTCCAGACTGGCCAAATAAATGACCATGACCTGCTGCTGAAGAAGGGGATGATTATGAAGAATCTTTTGTGGCTGTAAGAATCTCTTTCAAAATTAAGAACTCTTCAAATCAAAGCTTTTTGCGTATGCATTCAAGATTGTATTAAAATATCAGCCATTATTAATTCACATTATTGAAGTTTAAAATAAAAAAATATAGACAATAAAACTGTTGACTGTACAGTTAAGACTGTATAATCAAGACTGGAATTGTGTATCCTAAGTAGCACTGATGGAAAGGTAATATTTAGTTGTACAAAAGTCTGAGACCACCCTTTCATTTAAAGAGACACTAAAATTCACACAAGAAACTTCCCAAACATGTCTTAGTTGTCTTGCCAATTTCTTTTTCATGTGCATGTAAAATGACAAATTTCTGAAGAGAACAGATACAAGATAATTCACTTGCATTAGGAAGCATAAAGTCAAAGGAAAAAGAGCAAAAAAAATGACTAAAAGACCTGACAACCATGCAAGACGTGATAGACCCCCAGAACTGTCCCCATCAGATAAATAGCACTAAAAACTTTCATATTTGAGAGAGAGGAGAAAATCAAGCTCTTGCTTCAGATCTGAGAAAATCAACAGGTGTTTCTGTCCATCCTTCCACTGTGAGAAGGCAACTCAACACTATGAGTCTGAAAGGATGCGTAGCTGACAAGAAGCTGTTACAGAGAAAAAGAAAGAGACAAAAAGAAAAAAAGTGCACTAAAACTGGACATCTGAGATCAAATTTGTATTTAGGATTACTTGGAAAATGAGAAGCAGAAAATTCTAAGACTGAACTTGGGAAAAACCAAAACCAAGTCTCCTAAAAAAAATTAAAGTCGTAATAAAAGTAAATGTGGACACACTACATACTGAAGATTTTGATTAAATATTTAGTTGGTGAGGCTTCTGTGTAATTAACTGTTAAATATGTTTCTTCTTTTTTTCCTATGCTAAAAATTTGAATCTGCTGTCTCTGACTTTTGCACAGTCCTGTGTTTTCCAAACAGCGATGATGAAAAAACATTGCATCATCTAATAGCCATTAACATGTAGGCTATCACTTCAGATACACCCGTGACTCAAGAAGACTCTCCTGTCATAGGCTCTTCTGTAGTCATAGCAAACACCCTCCGGCCCAGCTATCATGCACCAGAGAGCAAGTCTGTCTGCCAGCACTCACAGATGGTTCTAACAGACTGAGAGACAGACACACACGAGAGACACAAATGACCCACACACAAAGTCACTGACAGCGGAGACAGACTTCAAGAGCATCTGTACGGAATTGGCTTGTGTTACTGATTACTCAAGGAAATGGAGTCACAAAGTTTCAACTGAGCTAGAAGTTAAAACATGGAAATCTTTATATAAACAGGAAATCTCAATCTCTTTATATAAAAAGGAAATCTCAAAACGTCAAGCCACTGCAAGCTCAGCATTTTGTTGACATTCAATGATGACTAATGAAATATTATCCAGCACATTAGACAAATAATGATCTAATACAAAGTTCAACATGACCTACATTCGTTCATTCATTCACCCTGGATATGTTCACTTTGGAGCCGTACATACACTTTTAGCTCCACATTCAGGTCCATTTCACTCCTGACTGACACTTGAACTGTTCCTTAGCTAAAAATATCCACTGGGGAGTTTGGGAATGACTCAGAGAGAGAAAGAGAGAGAGAGAGAGAGAGAGAGAGAGAGAGAGAGAGAGAGAGAGAGAGAGAGAGATCAAACAGGAGCTGAATTACTGAGTCAGGACTCACTTGGTCTTCTTGCTAATATAAGCACAATGCTGACTTCTCCATAAAACTATAGGATCTGCAAGCTTTAAAATAAAAAAAAGATCAAATTTACACTGTAGTGTGCAGCTGCACAATGCAAAAATGTTCTTATTACATGCAAACACTGAAACTGCACTATATGCATTATAAAAAATGAAATCCAGGTCAACTTAAAATCAAAAGGCAACTTATTTCACTAATTTCTGAGTGATGGTCATGTAAAAATGAATTATGACCATTTTTGGAACATAAACCCACACAATGTTGTAAGTGGGCCTCAAGAGAAAAATTAAATACAAGAAAAACGTAGGCCCTTTACTTCAAAACTGTAGCCCAGCTACAAATAATTTAAACTTAGATCTAAATTAAACAGCAATTTTTTTAACTTACTTATTTTATTATAGCTAAATATTTTATATCTTTCTAGTACTGAGGCGGATTGTGTTGGACCCACTAAAATTAACATTTTAAATCTTTTTTTATTAAAATCTTTAATTAACAAAAAAAAGATACATAGGCCAACATATTTAAGATGTATTTTTACAGTATGTCCTAAAGTTTGTAGACAGCTGCCCAAACATACTATTAGTAATTAAACAAATAAATTAATTAATTAAAATAATAATAATAATAATAATGTAATTATCAGTATTATTGTTTATTAATATTATTATTATTATTATTATTATTAGGAACCTTGCTGCAGTAACAGCATTGCTGCGAGGATGTGATTGCACTCAGCCACAGGAGTATTTATGAGCATATATTTACATTCTTAAAAATTAAGGTTACTAAACAGTTCACGGCTTTGATGGTTCTCGGAAAAGCCTTTAGGTGGTATAGAACCTTTGCATTATGTAGAAGTTCTTTAAACTTTAAAAAGGTTTGTCACACTCACACATTTCATTTACCAAAATTGGTTCTTTAAGGAATCTTGCATGGAACCAAAAGTGTTTTTAAGAGTATAGATGCAATGGCAAGACTGTTGTCAAGCAAACTCTAACAAGAGCAGGATGACAACACATACAAACAGCCACACCCTCTCACAGTGTTTTGTTTAATGAGTTGCTGAGCGGTGAGTCAGCGGTTTAAGAGGTTTACACTTCCCACACTCTGAGCACACAGACTACGGCAGTGTCTGAAGAAGAAAGGCGAATCAAAGAACCAGACGTGTGCACAGCCACAGTCGCTGACCACTGAATAAATATGCATTTCAACACAAGCTTGGCTCTTCAAGCAACACAGAGGTTGAAGCTCATGAAGTTAAATAACCTTAGCTTACAACAGTCATTTATAAAATGGGCATCCCTGGTCAAATTACAGTTTTGTTCATTTTTCTAAGTGAAAATAAGTACATGCTCTCTACAGAGAACACACTTCTGCACATTTACTGTTTATCTGCCGAATTTAACTAATTAACACGTTAGGAAAAAAACATACAGGTCAACATGTGCAAAAGCTATGGCACATTTTATATTTTATTTCTCCCAAAATGACAAATTCAGCAAAGAAATTGTGCAAAAAAATGAAAAATTCCATATTTAAGTTGTTTGTAAAGGATGTGTCAACAAAATGTGTAATCTGAGTATCTGAGTAGGGGTGTTTGCATATAACTGTATTTTTCTACTGACTGGAACACCCAGTTAGAAACAAATCCAACAGGTACTATCATCTTCCACCGTGTGAAAATCCAACAGCTTGTGTGAAGATGATTCTGACCTTGCAGCAGCATATGGACGTCATCAATATCCAGCGGGACAGCCCTTGCATCCCCAGGGGGAGCGTCAGGGTCTCCCTCTGATGCCATCTCTCCTCTCTGGGGGGGCCCTCAACTCTTCAGTCCATGCAGCATGGTGAAGTGGATACTATGAAAGGATAACAAGATACATTATAACTAAAACATATTACTATTAAACATATCACACAAGATATAAACCTGTACAAGAAATAAAAACACTAAACCTGAGGACATTATCCCTTCTGAGCACAATACTGAAGATTTGCTAACTATTCTCCAACCCACAGGAAAAACTCCTGTACGTGCATACATCTATGTCTGTGCTTTATTACTCCTCCCCTCCCTTTTTAATAATTAATCATTCTTGCTGAAGGTGGAAAGTCCCCTAACAGATAAAGTGGATTACACTGACATTAATAAAGGCTTTGCCTTAACTGATCACGGTGAAAACATAAAATCACACAGTACACTGAAAGTGAATTATGCTACTTTGTTCTCTGCTATTCTATAAAAAAGGTGAATTTAACACACTGCCTTCACTGAGCTCTGTCAATCAGGTGATGTGAGTAGGAGAACTAGTTTTAAATCTGTGATTTCCATTTACACAGCTGACCCTATTGGAATGAATAGCCCAATATTTTTTTAAGTAAACCTAAAATTGTTCGCAGCTCTATGGCCTGTGAAAATCTTTAGGAGGTTTCATTACAAAACCTCTTTTGTAAGACAAAAAAACCCAGGGCAGCTGCCCTTTACATTGTATGAAAAATTGATAATTAATGGACCAAAAATGCTCTATAGTGCTTGGAATAAAATCTCTTTCTTAATTTTAAATACAAGTTAATGTAATGTTTGTATCTTCTCCTGTAAAGTGACCATTTGCACATATGTTTTTATGCTTTTGGAAGAAACACACCGGACTATCCCTCTAAAAAAAAAAGAAAAATAAAAAATCAACAGCTTTTCACTTTGCCAATTTGGGCCAGTGCATCCTAAACTACAGCAGGGTGCTGCACAAGTTTTACACAGGTAGTCTGTATAGCCTTCTTACTTAACAGTGGAGAAGAAGTCAATTCAAGTCAACTCAAAATGAAGTCAATTCAAAAGTCATATCTTCCAATGAAACATATCTTCTTATGATGCTGCAAAGCCAAATCAGGTGGAAATGTGCAGAATTTACAGCATTCCTTTGATACAGGGTTATACAAGAACTCCACTGACTGCTGACGAGGGCTCCCGTAACTTAGGAAGTCTACAGGCAGTAATTGCTGCATTACTGATGAAGCACTAAATTGTTTTCTGAAAGGGGAGCAGTTTGTATACCTCAGTTGTGATTGTGTGTGAAGAGCGCGGGGTTGGCGCCAGTGTTGGCAGACTCCAGAGAGGCTTATGGGCTTAGAACCCTCTATACAAGTAGTGCTCTAGGAGTGATTTAGACATATACTGCTGTTTAAGAATCTCAGTGCACATTTCCAGTGAGTAGAGAAAGTGCAGCTGTTAAACACAATTACACATCTCATTAGTAAACAAAGAACATGCAACTCATGAAGAATTACTCACAGACACACTCACACGCTAATGCTCTTAGGGACACAAACACCCTGTGTGACCCCAGTGTGTAACATACACACATGGCCTGTGTGTTTTTGGTTAGAACTCTTTCACAACAGTGAGGAACCTATGGAACTGTGCAAAAGAACACCTTTTATTGATTTTAAGTCATTAAGAACAAGTTATGCACTTTTCAAGAGATATTTTTAAGGAGACTAGATAAGGAAGAGAAAAGTCAAAGGAAAATAAGTGTTCCTGTCCATCCTTCCACTGTGAGAGGACAACTCAACACTATGGGTCTGAAAGGATGTGTAGCTATCAAGAAGCCATTACCGACTGAGATAATGAAGTGGACAAAAAAAGAACATTTGCAAATCAAACACAGAAGCTGCTGGTGTTCTCACAACAATGGATTGACCACCCCAAAGTCCAGACTTTAACATCCTTGAATGTGTTTGGGACTACTTGGATTGTGAGAAGCATAAGACACAACCAACTTCTAAGACTGAACTTTGGAAGTGTGGAAAAATTTCCCTGCATGTTTCTTTAGTCTCCCAAAAAGAGCAGAAGCTTTGATAAAGGTAAGGGATGGACAGACTAAATACAGAAATATATTTAGCTGTGGAGGCTTTTTTGTAATTTACAGCTAAACAAATGAAGAGTTTCAACTCAAAATTCTGTACATCCATTTGTATGAGAAAAGAATAACAGCAACAGAACTTGTTTTTCTAATAAAGCTGGCAAAATCATAATAGCATCAATATTTCTTTGATGTGTAAAGACCACTTAGTGGTAATATCAAGAAGAAAAAAGTATTGAAGTGGTCTACAATGTGTCTACAATGAAACCCTTCACATGGTGTGTGCTTTTTTTCCTGATGCTAAAATATGAATAACTTGTACTTGCCAATTTACCTAGAAATTAATGAAGGATGGCCTCTGACATCTGCATAGTACTGTATATGATTCCAAAGTTTAAAAAATGGATCATTATTGGCATCTAAAGATTAGCAACAGTCCTGACTCTTCTAGAACACCATTACCTATTCTTGTGTATTCACAGAAACGCACACCTGCTGTGGACTGGGATTTTATCACAACAGCCACTGCCAAACCACTATGGAAAGGTCTAGTCGGTGAACAGGGGAAGCTATCCAGGCAGCTCTTTCTACTGGGCCCCCAGTGCCAGCTCCATGACATCAAGAGGGAAAAACTGCTTTAGTACACATTCAGTACTCATAGCCTGTCGACCATGTGCCCTCTCACATACACATGCAAAAGGACAGGCAGAGAGAGAGTGGGAGAGAGAGAGAGATGGAAGGAATCTACGGGGTCTGAAAATAGGATGCACTGATCTACCACGTAGATACTGAGTGGCAGGCAACACTTGCTGTGTGTGTACGTGTGTGTTATGAATCTGGATCACCTTCACTTACCCTAATTCACCTCAGCAAGCATGTCTACTGTATTGTTTTGCCATTTGACCTCATGGCAACCTGACATTGTATATGCATGTGTACAGCTCAAAATTTGTTTCAAACCGGACCCTCTCCAAACAGGCTTATAAATAATACTACATTATTTTATGAAACTTAGCTAAACATCAAATATGCAGCCAAAGACACTGTATGTACTTACAGATGCAAAAAGTGCACCACAAATGTGTAAATGATAATCAGTCATGCAGAGGGCATCTACCACCTGTTATATAAATCTCACAGCCTCTTCGCAGCTTCTCAGTCTTGCCTTTGTTGTGTACTGGTTAAGATTAGTAGAACTATTAATATTAACAGAATAGAAAACAATAACAGAACTAGAAAACTTTAAGAGTCAAAGCCCTATTTGATTTCTTTTTACTATGGGAGCATCTTTGACATCTCCCCAAATTATCACAGCTAGCCTTAATGTCCATGCCAGCATGACGCGACACGCGTGGCATTCAATAACACTTTCAATAACAATAACAATACGACTTAGAGCCACATTTGCTTCAAGGTTTTATAATAAAATTACTGTAAAGTGAATTTGAACAGGACTGTTATCACTGAGGGAGCTTCATGCTCTGCCGGTTACTGAAGGTCATTCAGTCTGGGATTATTACTACTGACTTGGAAATACCATGCACACTGCATACTCATGCTGCATTCAAATCACAGATCTTGCCAGTAATCACTTAAGGTAAAACTCAGGTAAAACTAATTGGTAAACTTGAGACTACGGCTCAACTGTCAATCTTTCTCCCCCTCAGAGTGAGAGTGAAACTGTATCAGATCACATTGTTCCAGGTGAAGAGTTTATTATTTAAAATATAATTTCCTATTTTCTCTTGGTGCTTTATTCAGCAGCAGTTTGTACTTCAGGCACCCTAGAGAGTAAATACAGTTCTACTCTCTTCACTGGAGACAAAACTTACCAGTTGTGGCATATATTTTCAGTTCTTTGGTGGTATGCAAATAGTATGACTATAACAATATCTCCACTAAACAAGACCAGACCAACCTCTGCAAGGTGCAGCAGGACCAAAACATGGGTGTGGAAAAGTCTGATTATCACACTACAATAGAAACATTACTCACCCAAACGGCCAAGACGGGCCTGTTTCTGCACATAGCAGACTTGTAGAAGCAGACGCAGCCAAATTAATAAATAATGAAGGAACAGATTGTGCAATAGGTTGTATATCTGCTAGTTCAAATCTTTCTTAGATTTTATTTTTATTATTAGAATATAATGAATCTGAATATGTATGTTGACACATAGTATGTACTACTATTCTAGGTCTATCCATCCCAGTCTCTGTTGGAGATATGAGTGGGCCACCTGTGCGTATGACACAGAACTTACAAACCAAAGTACACAGTTACCTTCCAACATAGGCCAAGTCTGCATGCAACAATTACAGGTCTCCTGGCTTCAGGTGTGCAGTGAGCACTACATGAAGGCCTTAACTGGCCATAGCAACGGTAATGGTTTTGGTTAAATGGTATGCACTTGAGTGCAAACACGCGAACAATATTATAAACGCCTTGATTCTGAAGTGGGCCTGCAGTTGTGTTGATAAATTCACTCCACACAAATACAAGGAATGTCATCCTGGACAGCAAAAGAGTCAAGTGTTGTGAAATAACGACAGACATCAATCTTCCATTCTTTTGCTGCTGCAAAGTCTCCTTGTGCCACCTTCTGCAGGCCCAGAAAGCATGCAACAGAGTTAAACTCTGAGCCCATCCCTAAGAACTGTTTTCATCAGTTGTGAAAAACGAGTACAATGTTTTGTCAAGTTTCACAAACAGGATTACACCATTCATCATTAATATTTACTAATGTCAAAACGTCTTGCCACAGTTTGAACCCCTGCTTGGCATTAGTTCCACAACTTTGTACAGAATTGGAGAATCCTCCTTACTCCAGCTATTCCCTCGTTGATGTGTTACCAAAGATGTTCAGCAGGGTTGTGGTCTGGTGACCCAACTGGCTTCCTCAAAAAAGTATCTTTCAAACAGCTGAAATAATGTTTACCTAAATACCTGCATCACTTATTAAATAGCGAAAAGAAAACAAATGGCAGTGGAGGCTGTGTGGGTTATGGAAATGACACCTTAGTGACACCCCACTGTCCTTAAACATACAAACTGAACTCACACATTTCTGTTAAGGACGAGCTACGGGCTGAGCGCGCGCGTAAACAGACCGTAAACCTCACCGTGGAGAGATACATGCTTGACAAAGTGCCTCTCCTCGCACTTGACCATGAACAGAACCCACTACCAAAGCTGTACACAGCGTAAGGACGGAACGACCACTACTACTCACGGAAACCTACTCACAGAAAATGTCGTAGTCTGGCTTTTTGCGGCAGAGCTATTTTCTACCCCCTGAAGAGCTCCTGTGCAGATGGAGAAGAGCACAAGCTCGCTGTCACGAGCGCGCAGAGTACAAACACAGGTCCGCCCATTGAGCGACGGAGGTGTTTTAAACCCCGCCCATTTTCTGGCGAACCTCGCTTCCTGCGCTGGGATTGGCTGGCGGCCCTCCTGCGATCCGTCTGCAGGGCCGTAGCACCGCAACTTCAGCCCTCTCACTTTCAGCTCCCTGCGCCTGTTTAGGAACGGCAGCCGCACTTTCGACTCTCATGAGTGCTGCATTACTCTAATTCAGATGAGACATTTTAACATTTTTAACTATTTGTTTTTATAACATCTTTGGTTCTTTCGGTATGCTTAGGTGCTGCAGGCTGACGTTAAGTATGCACAGGTGTATAGGCGGAATCACAAGCGGCTACATATATGTAGTACACTATGTAGGTCTTATAATAATGGCTATGGCACCCAAAACAGTGCATAATATGGCTAAAAAACAGCCGTTTGAGATTCAGCCACATGTGCACAATTCAGCAGTGATTCTTAACGCCGATGCTAGAGGCCCAGTGCCCTGCACATTTTGTGCCTTTTCCTGCTTTAACATAGCCACTTTAACTGTCGGAAAACGTGCGTGTTAAAATAAAGCGGACTGTCCTTGGCCTGTTCTAGAGATCCATCATACCACCTACATCATCAAATTGGGGGAAAATGGGAATTATATATCAAACCTAAGTAATAACAGCTGTAATAACCTCTCCAACAAAAAAGCAGTAAAGCTTGAGGTTTTGCAGAAGTGCAGTCCAAAAATGCTGGACATAAACAATGGTTAACTAATTAATTAATTAATTAAGAATACTTTTATTTTAACGTGTATTTAAATGCTTGTAATAGTTCTATTAAGTCCAGTAATTTAGTATGTCAAAATGAACTGGATGCATATAACCTGTTACACTCTATGTTGGTTGGAATGTATGTTTCTCACGTTTGTTAAAAATGTTATAGATCTGTGTTGTAAAGCTCTACAGGTGAACTACAGTCTTAACTTGCTTACTTAAGAGTAAAGCAGGGTCACGGTCTTGGAGGGCACAGGGCAGAGAATTGGCACGCCATACAACGACAGACCACTAGAGGTCAGTGTGGGCTACTGTCATCCAGATCATTCGCTGCGCTTCCAGGGCAGCAGGGGGCGGTAAGGGTCTCTAAGTTCCAGGCGTACAAATCAGACTTACAAACTGAGAATTTAAAAGTTGAAATTCTGAAGTGCAAATTGCAGAAAGCGGTATATTCGAGTTTATATTCATTACTGAAGTCTCTCCACATGTAACGGTAGGCAGTTCCGTCTTCATCTGTTCATTTATAAAGCGGAACAGGCTTGTTTTGGCTGTAGAGCCTCCAGTGCAGTGATTCTCTCTGAGTGCATCGTCACTGAAAGTGCAGTGAGGAGTCACGACTAACGCACAACCCTCACTCTTAAAAAGGTGGTTCTTCCAGGGTTCTTTATTTAAAACATTGGTTCTATATAGAACCATTTGCATGGTGAAAAGGTTCTTTATACTGAGGGAGAATATGTTGTATATAGTTCTATACAGAACTTTTTTGAAAAGGGTTCTAAACAGCACGAAAAGGTTCTTGGTACAAGCTTGACATTGTAACAATAGCAGAACCCTTTTTGGTGCTAACGCTATATAGAACCATATAAATCACAAGAAAAAACTGCATGGTGAAATAGTTCTTCATATGGATGGAGAATGTGTTGTATATGGTTCTGTATAGAAGCTATTTGAAAAGAGCTCTATGTAACAAAAAGAGTTCTATGTTACAAGCTTGACATCGTAACAATAGTAGAACCCTATTTGGTGCTGTATAGAACCATATACAACACATTCTCCAATCTGAAGAACCATTCCAACATGTTTCAGATTTGTTCATGGTTCTACATAGAACCTTTGTCGTTACTAAAGAACCCTTGAAGAACTTTTTAAGAGTGTAGGTTTTAAAACTGTCTCATATGCACGATTTGTAGTCAGAGGTGGGGAGAGAATCTAAAGTCAGATTGCTCTGTCCAGAAATGTATTTGAGCTTAAGTAAAATAATTATTTTAAAAATATTTAAAAAGTATAAATACAGTAAATGTAACTACTGTCCACCTCTCTCTGATCTGTTAAAGAACCAATGGAGTTTCCGAAGCTTCCACCTCACGACGGAGCTGTTTTGTCTGTGGTGGACATGCACACCGGAGGAGAACCTTTACGCATCATCATAAGTGGTTATCCAGATGTGACTGGGGACACTGTCCTTGCCAAACGGCGTTACGCACGAGAACATCTTGACCACCTTCGGAAAGTACTGATGTTTGAGCCCCGTGGTCACTATGATATGTATGGGGCCTTGCTGGTCCAAAGTGAAATAGCAGAAGCGGACATTGGGGTTCTGTTCATGCACAATGAGGGCTACAGCACTATGTGCGGCCATGCTGTTATTGCACTTGGGCGTTTCGCTGTAGACTACGGCCTGGTTAAGGCCCCAACTTCACCAGAGACCCAAATAAACATCCACTGTCCATGTGGCTTGGTGAAGGCTTTTGTGGAGTACTCCAACGGCAAAACGGGAGCAGTGAGGTTCCATAGTGTCCCAGCTTTTGCTTTTGCGACAGGTGAAAAGGCACTTTTTGGAGCCTACAAAATTCAAATGTTTTTAAGTGCAATAGATTCCCTCCAAGAAAAAGCAGCATGTGGTGTGTTTTGGATGTTGGTATGCTGGCCAACTAGCATGGCCATGCTGGGTGACCAGCTAAATGAGCATCAGGCCAGCATGAAAGTAATGCAGTTCTCTAATCTTCTGCTGATTTTTCTCAGATTTTATTATAAACCTAATTCCAAAAAAAGTTGAGACAGCATGTAAAATGTCAAAAAACAGAACAGAAAAACACGGAAAGCTGTAATTAGTAAATTCTATTTGACAAGCATTACATTGAACACGGTACAAAAACACTATATTTAATGCCCTATGGACTCTATTGTTGTGTTGAAGATACATGCTCATCCAAATATGCTACAGGCAACACATTCCAAAACAGTTGGGAAAGGAGCATGTTTACCACTGCGTTACATCACCTCTCCTTTTAACAGCACGTAATAAACGTTTGAGGACTGAAGACACCAATTGATCCAGTTTTGAAAGTGGAATTTTTTTGCCATTTTTCTGTTATACAAGTCTTCAGCAGTACAACCGTATGGGTCCTTGTTATATATTTTGCTTAAGAAGCCATACTGTTGTAACATGTGCAGAACGTGGCTTGGTGTTACGTTAAATTAAACATGGACATCACTAAAAACGATGACATCTAAAAAGCAGCATATGTTGCTCCAAAATGTGTATATATCTTTAAGCATTAATAGTGCTTTCACAGATTACCCCCATACCATGACGGACCCTGGATTTAGAACTTTATGCTGGTAACAATCTGGATGTTCCTTTCTTTGGCCCAGAGATCACAACGTTCATTAATTCCATTAACAGTCTAAAACGTTGACTCATCAGACCACAGTACACGTTTCCACTGTGCATCAGTCCATTTCAAATGAGCTCAAACCCAGAGAAGTCGGCGGCGTTTTTGCACATTGTTGACATACATCTTCAGCTGTGCTTAGTACAGTCTTAACTTGCATTTGTGGATGCAGCGACGAGCAATGTTTGACAACAGTGTGTCAAAGTTTTGGCTTGCAGAGATTTTTCTGGATTCATTGAATCTTGATAATAATATGTACTGTAGAGGTTCTAATACCTAAAGTCTTTGCAAATGCTTGTTAAGGAATGTTGTTCCTAAACAGTCTGACTATTTGCTGATGCATTATTTAGCAAAGCGGCGAGTCTCAACCTTTTCTTTGGTTATGAAGAAATAAGCCTTGCTTGGATGCTTCTTTTATACTCAGTTATGATTACCTTACCTCTTTTAAGATGTTTCCTGAACGTTTACCAGCACTCTTAGTCTTAAATTGCCCCTGTCCCAACTTTTTTGGAATGTGTTGCAGGCATCAATTTCAAATTGAGGGTATAAAGGGCATTATTCTTCTCTCTCATCTTTGTAGATGTGAAAGTGACTGTTCCTGGATATGGTGAGGTCACAGTAGACATAAGTTACGGGGGAGCTCTGTATGCTTTTGTCAGTGCTGACAGGTTTGGAATGGACGTCAGTAAGTCCAGAACTAGAGATCTGGTGGATGTAGCCACTGCTGTGACCAATGCAGTCAAATCTCAGGTACAGCACAGATACCATTCATAGAGAATACTCATGAGAAAATGATGCTAACAAATTATTACTTGATCAGGACCTTCAGGTAGCTCTTGAATTCAGTTTTTGTTTTACAGGTGAAGTTACACCATCCTGTTAGTGAAGATCTAGCTTTCCTTTATGGTACCATCCTCACTGATGGCAAAGATGCCTTTTCTGATGAGCCCACAGCCAACATTTGTGTATTTGCTGATGCTCAGGTAAGACTCAGCTCTCGATCTTCTCTCCAGCTTCATCAGTCTTGTCTGATCTTCTAAAAAAAATGATTTACTTATATTCGAAACAGTGCTCTTCATATTTCACTGCAGTTTGTACCGGTCTAGGTGACACTGGAATTCAATGCTGTGCCAATAACTGATAGTTTGTGTGTTCTTAGGTGGACAGGAGCCCCACTGGGTCAGGTGTGACTGCCCGCATCGCTCTGCAGTACCACAAAGGTCTGATCCAACTGCACCAGACTAGGAGCTTCAAAAGCGGAACCACAGGAGCTATATTTACAGGAAAAGCAGTACAGGTACCTAACACCAAAATAATGCTAAAAATAAATAGTGTATCAAATAATACACCAGCACTGGCATCACAGTAATATTGATTTTTGATCACTTTTTGTTTGCTGATAGATAAAAATAAAATAGTTAACTAAAGTGCGTCATCTGCTGGGTGGTTCAGATTGTTTTGAAAAAACAGTTTAAAGTACATGAAAACTGCGGAAAACTCATTTCTATTTGGTTAATGTTTACCGAACTATGAGAAGCTGAATTAAATAAAAGATTTAAATCAAAACAAGCTGTTCTGGATTTGTGAGACATTCTTTTAGTATGGTGTTCCAGTACTAAGGAAACATAGTTTGACAAACTTTATTAATGCAATATCATACTTTACCCTAACTTAGGTCTACTTATTTCAATTCTGCCATATGGACACATACATACGCATACATATATTACTTTTTGTTATGTCTTGTTATATTATATGTCTTGTCTTGCTACTGTAACCCTGCAATTTCCATCCATCCAAAATAAGAAAGCATGAACCACATATGAAGGCTGTAGCTCACAATTACAGTTTTGCAGTTACAGAATTTGACAAATATTATGCTCAATATGATGGGTGACAGTTCTCTGGTTGTGTTCGTACTGTTTGTATTGCTGTATCCTTACCAAAATGGACCCAACCTGTGTTTGCAGGAGACCACGTGTGGGGACTTCAAGGCAGTGGTGGTTGAGGTTGCGGGTCATGCTTACTACAGTGGAGTGGCCAGCTTCACTCTGGAGAATGATGACACCCTGAAGAATGGCTTCCTCCTCCGATAAGTCTGCTATGGTACTAAAGCAAACATCTGATGAGCTGGAGTGAAGATCTCCATGTCCTCCAGTAATTTATGCCATTACACTGGGGAACTGCTGGGGTCCACATGTTATTTTAAATCTATATTTCTTTTGCAGGAAATCTGTATGAATAAATTACTCTATTAATGATTGTATATTCAACAAATAAAGTATTTTAACTGTACATAGTTACAGTACATCTGATTATATTATTAGTGCACGTCAGTTCTAGCGTAACACTGCTTGTACAGTCAAGCAGAGAAATACCAGAAAAGGCGTTTCTCATCATGATAGTTTAGTCATGAAGAAGTATTAAAGAAGTATTTAAGAACGGTCAGCTCTAATGCATTTAGTCCACAGGAGTTGCCAGATGTATGCGTTGACCACTAGGGTGCAACATGTACCAACAAAGCTACAATGTTTAACAGTCCAGTTTCATTATAAATGGCACCTTATTTACTATTGCACTGTATTTCACTGCTAGAGTACTAGGGCTTTATTTATAGAGCACCTTTCACACTGGTAGCAGCTCAAAGTGCTTTACAGATAACAGGTGGTAAAGTTTAACAGTAATAAACAAAACTAAGTCTTCATTTAAAATCATATGACAATGACAGATTAAATGAAAAAGATAAATATCAAAAGAGACACAGAATTTAGAGAGATACATTTTCAAATGGTTCTTAAAGTGAGCACTGAGCTTGGCTGCCTAATGAAAGGTGGAATTGTGTTCCACGGTTTAGAAGTATAACAACTGAATGAGGCCTCTCCATGTTTTCTGTATTTTGTCGAAGGTGTGGAAGGCCAGTATCTGCAGATCTAAGATCACATGTTGGAACATAGACAGACATTCTGTGATGTAAGCAGGTGCATTAAGGTCATTTAGAGCCTTAAAACTAGAAGCAGTATCCATCCTAAAAATACAGGTTGCCAGTACAGTTCTTTCAAAACAGAGGTTATCTCTCTTTTTTCTATTTGTTAGGATCTGAGCAGCTGCATTTTGTTCAAATTGTGGAGGATGTATTGTTTTCTAAGGATGCTGTGTGAAAAAAAGCATTACACTACTCAGCTTTGCTTGGAAGAAATGCATGAAGAAGTTTCTATGCATCACTCTGAGACAGAAAAGGCAGAACTTAAGCAATATTATTTTGTAGATAATACAAAGCTACTTTAGTGACTGCATTTACATGCTGGATAAAACAGAGCTCAGAGTCTAAGATCACATCCAGGTTTAGTATACAAAGCTAAAGAACCAAGCTTCTCATAAAGCAGCTTCCTCTGAATTTTAGTCCCAAGGATCAGTATCATTTTATTGATACTGATTTATTTAGTTGTAGAAAATTGTGACATCCACTGAGTCTTGATTATTACAGAAGAAATTAAAATGTATAATTGCATGTCATCAGCATAGCGTGAAACCGATATGTTTCCTAATAACATCACCTAGAAAGCACATGTAAAACACAAAGGCCCTAAAACTGAACCTTGTGGGACTCCACAAGAAAGGTAAATCTTTTTTAAAGAATGATTGCCCAGTGAAACCAAGAACTGTCTATTCAATAAATATGATTGAAACCATTCTAGACAGTGAATTAGAAACTTATGATCAATGGTATCAAAAGCTGCAGTAAGATCGAATAAGGATTTTGTGCATTAGCGCTAAGCCTGAGGTCTTTGATAACACAAACCAATTCTGTCTCAGTACTATGATTAGAACAAAAACCTGATTGAAACTTCTCAAATAATTTGTTTGATATTAGATCAGATATTAGATTAATTTTTGAGCACGGAAGGGTCCATGCTACTCTTTTTTTAGCCTACACCAGGGCAGTTTTAAAAGCATCTGGTTTTAAAAGCACCTCTTGACAGAGACCAGTTTACAATACAAAACATTTTGAACGCAATCAAAAACAGCTAAAAGACAAAGGTAAGGAAAAGGTCAAAATCATGCTGATCACAACAGAAAGCTTAAATTTTCTCCCATTTATTCACCTTTAGATCCATTGTACAATGGAAGGCATTTTAAATTACAAAAGTCCAATGGAGGCATCTCACATTGTAAAAGGAAACTTTGTCACAACATAAAACTAGACTGCAGATAAAAAGACTGGAGCATATCCAGCAAGGAAGGAAGAGCTGACGGAGAGAGTATTGCATTGATTTGGTTATTTACGTTTTTTTTAAATAAAGTCTACATTTCACATGATGGTCCTCAAAACAAAAGACCCAACAACATAAATGCATAGAGTCTGCACAACTGACCACCCACAGTGTTCCAAACGACGTGGGCCTGGGCCTATACCTAAAACTTACCTTTAAAAATGATCTTTAGCCAGCCTGTGTCTGATATCCAACGCAATTCCATATTATGCTGTAATAAGCAACCCACAACCGTGTATACCATTATTAATATTCAATAAAAGCACTCTATATAAAAATGGTCCTTAATAGTAAAGAACACAAGGTTGTGGAGCTGCTTTGTGTTGAACTCTGGACTAAAATTAAGAGTTATCTTGGACCAGATTACACGATCAATGGATTCACCATTGGTAATTCTTTTTGAGTCTAGGGACAGGCTTAAACTGGGTGAAGATAACCAGCCCAGACTGAAATACCCAGGTTCTTTCTGCTTGGTATCAACCAGTCCAGCGGTGTCTTTATTTTCTCTTAACTGTTCCATTTATTGGTGGAAAAAGTTCTGCGTGTCTTGCTGGCATGGAATGGTTTGGTAGTTTGTAACTCTGCATGCTGTGTTTCAATGTTGATGAGCAGTTTTTGTTTCTGTGTTGGTTTCTTGTGAAGTTGTGCTGAAGGTTAGAAGAGATCTTGCAATGGAAAATCGAAGGGAAGTGTACCTCTGCTGTGAGTTCCTCTCAAGTCAAATCCAGATTTGACTAGTTTTTTTCTCCTTGTCTTAGTAATCTCGGTACACCAGCACCAACCCACTCGAAGACGAAAGAACTGCATGAGGTGTTTTTGGCAGCTGTAAGTCTTAAAATCCACCAAAAGTCTCTTTCTTTCCACTTTTTTGACAGGTGCTCCATTTCAATTCATAATTAAGTGTAGGCAAACCCTCTAGGACTTAACGCCCTCTCCCTCCAATATGCTCTTTTCATATACTTTGTCCATTTTATGTCTATTAAAGGAGAAGACTGCTCTCCCACTGTCCACCACTAAGGGGCAGTATTGTCCAGTCAAGGAACCGAACGCTTGTGGAACCCATGGCTGATGACCTCAGGTGCTGTGTGGCTCAGTAATGAAGCTTTTTGACTGGCCAAACAACAATGTGTAGCTCAGAAGTTGAGTTTGGTGATGGGACGCTCCCTCCCCGTGTCAGTGGTTTGGCTGTTGATGCGTTTGCGGTTCCGCTTCATCTTGGACAGGTCCTTATCGAACACCTCCCCGGAGCGCAGTGCTGACACCAGGTCATCAAACTCACCCCCGTCATCCTCTCCGTTCTCTTTGGCCTTCCGGGCCTTTCTCTCTTTCTCTCTCTGCTCCTTCAGCTGTGAGAGGGGAAGAGGAGCAGAACATGAGGCACAGCACAAGAGCTAGATAAATAGAGCTGAATCACAGAGACAGGGCAAAGAGGTGGAAGACCATGTGTCCATTTTTCCTGAACGAGTTATTCTGGGCTGACTATTTAAAATCTGTTTGAAATTAACTCTGATTCTTCACGTTCCACTGGCATCAGTCTTTTAACAGCTTTTAAATGTGTCTAACCCAAATTATGGGATCATAGGTATTATGGCTTGTTTTTGTCATGGATCCTTTTATTTATATGTACTGTGTGAAAGACAGATGCATCATTAGCATCATTAAAAAATGCTCCTAAAACCACAGTAGTTACAGGCTTACAGTCCAGTCATTTGGCTTTAACTGGATACTATTTTTCCAGTAAAGTTAAGACAAGAGGTAAGCAAGGTTATAATTGTCATTAGTTATGCACCATTAGTTGAAGCATGAAACTAACTCCAGCCAAATCAGGTAGGACCAGTTTTAACTATGCACATGTTTCTTTTTTATTTGCATAAACTGTGTCCTCTGACCAGCCTCAGTACGTCTGTATAGAGAGCGAACAGGTCGAGTTCCTCACCTGAGCCTCCATGCGTGCCCGTCGCTCCTCTTCTTCCTTACGCCGACGCATGTTCTCGTTCTCCTGCCGAGCCTCAGCGAAGGACTGCAGGAACTGGTCAAAGATGCCAAAGAACTCGTCTGGCTGCATCTTCACGGCATCTTCACCGAAGTGCTTTACTGCCTTCAAAAACTGTAGAATATGAAAGCAAGATGAGCTTAGTGTGACTCCTACATGCTTTGGGTATCTTCACTCATTTGTTCAGACTGCTACCACACAAGTGTGAACCTGAAAATGTTACAGCACTGATCTAAATTATTAAAGTCAAACAGACTTACACACACCCCTATACACTGCAAATCAAAAGTTTGGAGACGTCCTGCCATAATGACCTTTCATTTTTTCGGATGCCCATGTTGGCCGGCTAACATTCACCCACATTGGCTTGCATTGTGCTGAGTGATGGGGATTGAACTCATGATAAACAACTCCGAACTCCGACAACAGGGCCAGTGCTTAGACTGGTATACAACTCAGGAGCCCCTTTGCCTTCTTTTGAAATATTAATTTTCTCACTTGTTTTTAATTAAGTGATAAAAACAGCTGTTTGCTGATATTGGATACATTTTGTAACATTCAGTTTCATGTTAATCAAAATATTTTTCAAACTGATGATAAAAAAGACTGGAAATCTTTTGCTCCAAAGGTGGTTTAAACACTTCCCTGCAAAAATGAGATCCTGTCAAATTGAAATTATCTTAACATCTAACATTTGAGATGGTTTTGCACTTATAATAAGATTATCTAGGTTATTTCCGGAAATGCTTTACTTGTATACTGGCAGATAATTTTGCTGGTTTCAAGCATATTTCTTAAAACAAGCCCAATTATCTTCCAATATAGTGAAATAAATTTACTTAATAAAATTACTTAAAACAAGTAAAACATGTCTAGAAATAAGTTAAATAATCCTTAAGCTTACAACAATCTCACCAAGAGAAATATTGGATTTCTTGACTATATTTAAGATACTTTTACTTGACAAGATACCATTTTTTGCAGTGTTGAAACAGTTGAGTGCTAATGAGTGCTAATATCACAAGGGAAAGTAAAATTTGATTGCACCCTCACAAATATACTGCTTTCCTATTCCTGTTAGTCTTTAATGTTAGGTCAATGCAAACTGAAAAAGAAAACATGCTCATTTATATTATTTTGAAAGGCTAGGTGTCCCCAGCCTTTTGATAAGCTGTCTTAATTCTGTCTGTTTAAAAGTAATGGCACTAATTGTAAAAGTACATGTAAAACAGTAGAAAAACAACATGAAGTGAAGCTGACAGACAGAGGAAGAATCAGTAGGGGTTTAATGAAGCTGCAGTAAATTAACCCTGTCACGCACGGCTGACATTCTTCTACCGGTAGCCCAACTCAAAGCTCTCTCGTTAAGCTATATTTTATTGGAGGCTGATTACAGCCTGAACCCAGGGGGGGCGTGTACAGAGAGAAAGGGGACGCTGCCATGGCACCAGCACTGCCTCGTGCCGTCTCTCCACAGGGGAGGAGGCCTAACCTTCCCACAATGCCTTTGATGTGCATTTATCACTGCCATATGGGCCAAGCCCTCTCTAGGGCAGCCTGCGTCTTAGCCAAAGGGCACCTTTCAAGTTTTTATTCCATTCCCTCCTTCACTCATTCCTTTCCCTCTATCTCTGTCTCTCAATATAACTTTCACTACACTGGAGGCCCAGTTTGGGGTATAAACAGTAATAGGCTGGGGAACTCTTGCCTCATTTAATGATATGGACCCTTAGATTGAGCATTTCATGTGGGTTCGTGGGGACATCAAGAGATTGAATGAACAAAACTGGACAGCGATCTTACCTTTTCATTAGTGTAAAAGTGAGTACAATACCAAAACTACAGACACAATTATACTAAAATTAAGGTTCAGCCAAAACATATACAGTATATACAGTTTTCCCCTTACCCCGAAAGCTGACCAGCCAAGATGTGTGGTGTTTTTAGTTTTGCACTGGAGCTATGAGGCTAATGTAGCTAACCAGTAATGGAAGTTTACAGCCAGTAATCACCAGTAATACTGTGAAAACTGCATGTCCAAGGGTGCGTTCAGACAGACCATCTCTTTAAACACCATTATCCTATGGCATCACATACTTGTCTCATACTGAGTTGAGTTGTTAAGTAATCTCAGACCTGATTTTGTGTATTCTGACACTGTTTTATCTATGGATGAAAGTATGAAGAGGTAAATTTCAGATACCAATCATGTCTTGGTTGACCGACTACATTTGACATAAGGGGAAAATAGTGTAAATTAGATTTTTTGGTAGGATGCACTGTTCGAACAATTTATCTCCCTAAATCAATTCTGATAGCTAAACTCCAGAAATCTGCTGATACAGAGTAGCAATGCGATATTCATATCTTCTATTTAAAACCTGTATACCTCATATAATGTGTTGTTACAACTGAAGAGTTCATTCTGTATCTATTTTAAGAATTTTTGGTAATTAAGGACTTTTAAAATTAGGCACACAAGATCAGCATTTCATATTCAACCATATTCTTCTAATTACTACATTACTACAGACTACAATGTTTAACTGATCACTACAGGCATATTAACCATCACCCATTACTTTATTATCCCAAAACCACCCAAAAATCTGACAATGTAAATTTTTTGCATACATGAAATTGATAAAGAGTCTATAAGAGTTACAATGCTGGCGTGAAGCACAACAGAAAAAACTCTAATGCACAGGGCTTTTACTCAGACGCTCTGACCCGCTTTGCTGAGAGGGGCTTTAATTTTGACATGCCGCGGCGCTTTGTAGAGAAAGGTGCATGTCCTGAGTTCTCCTTAAGGACATTAGTTTGCCTGTAATGTGATCATTCATAATTATTAGCTGTATGTGGAGTATTCAGTTCTGTTAATAAAAACACAAAATGAGAAGTTTGTGTGTGTCACATTTTGGAAGGACACTCTTTAATTTTAGCGCAACAGTGTCAAGAGCAGATCATTCATGCCTGGCAGACACCTGATAAGGTCAATAATAAGGTCAGTATCGGTCCCAATGCTGATCCAGTGTATCACTAATTTTGACTTCCCTTTAACATCTCCAGACAAACCATAAGCTAAGTGTCTTGTGCTTAGTGTCAGTAGTGTACCCAAGTGTGTACAGCACTTCCTTCAGCACGGATGTAGCACTCAAAGCCAGCATTAGGTGTGTGTCCTGTTCTGCCTCTACGTCCTGTAGGGCCCCCAGGGACTGAGCAGAGCGCCAGGGTCACTACATAGGAAGTGCTCACAGCAAGAGGCCAGAGGTCAGCTGCTGCACTCAGCAGGCAGAAGCACAGGCTTTACTGCAGCCTGTTTCCACAGCTGGCCTCTGAAGGAAACACAGGGAGCTCTGCATCGCCTCTCACTCAACACCTTACACACACACATGCACACACTCACCAGTTCCTTGGCTTCGCCGAGGGAGTCTTCCACATCAGAGAAGCTGAAACTGGCCAGCGTGACGAACTGGCTGACCACAGACACAAACTTATCCCCCACCTCCTGAGGACGCTTCTTCTGGAACTCCAGCTCCTGTACACGATAAAAACATCAAAGAGATGCTCATGGGGGAGTAAATAGGCTCTGAGAACCAAGTAACAGATGGATGCGAGTACAGCAGGACTGATGTTTGGGCAGATAACTGGAAACATGCAGGAGAACTGAAGAGTGCTTACACTTTCTACACTCTTCAAGCCACTGCGCAGGTTGTTGATCTCCTTCTCCAGTTCTGTCATACTGTTTTAATGGAAAAGAGAACATGACAGAGGGGAATGTAAGATATTGGAGAACATGCTGTACAGCTTAATCACACAAAAACACACATTTAGAGCCACAATTTGTGTTCTAATGAGCTAACGAGTGAGAAAAAAAACAGCTCTCTGACCCTTGTAAAATTATCATTTTTGTTTTACTATATATTACATTATTTATATCTGCATAATTACTTACACAGAGTTATGTGATTGATTATATTTACATTTAAATTACATTCTGTTGATCTACACTTACATGTTTGGGTCTGTACTACTGACCTTTTCGATTGGGGAAAAAAAGGCCAAAAACATAAGAATTCTGGTAAAGTACATCTTTCTTCAGCAAAATAACAACATACATTGACAAATTTTCATCAACTTCATGTCATAACAAAACATATTTATAAATGTGGTGTCAACCAAAAGATCTGTTGTTTCCACTGCACACTCCATGTCACCGAGTCTGGCTAGGCTGACACACATAACTGAGTATTAGCAATATAAAAGTAAAAGGCAACATTGTGTTTACATATTACGTATGCTAAATTAAAGTAAATTAAAGGAGAACAGTAAGGGCCCTAAAACAGAGCCTTATGGGACGCCTTCTATGTTAAGAAAACTCCCCATCTACGCAAACAAATTGGAAGCAGTCTGTCAAAACCAAAACCAGGCAAGGACACGTCTGTCTAAACCAACTGTGTTTTCAAGCCTGTCCATTTGAATTTCTTCGTCAATTGTTGCACTCAAATCTAGCAGTACCAGAAAAGAGATTATTCTGCAATCTGAGGCAACCAGTAAATCACTCATCACTCTAGCCAGCACTGATGCTGTGCTATGATGCTTCCAAAAGCTAGACTGAAATAATTCATACATACTTAAAAAAAAGAACACAGCTGTTGGGCAATGACTTTCTTCAAACTCTCGGACAGAAAAACAGTAATGGGAATAATACAAAAGCTTTAGAGAATAAAATTACAACATGCATATTTCAAAACTTGAAACTTTTTATTTACAGATGGCGATAACAGACTTCTAATGGTTAAAGTGGGGCTGCTATTCTGAGCAATGCAAAATAATCTCAACATTGTCTGTGCTGGACAGATAGGCGACTGGCTTCGGTCAGTGGTACACCCATTTTAGCCTGTGCACAAACGGGCCATTGTGTGAGACAACTGGAGAGAGAGAGAGGTTTGCATACAGAGATGCAAAAACTGCAAACATATCCAGTACACACTCAAACACCCATTCATTCACGCATCTGTTGATCATCACACACATTTTACGAGACGTGCTTTAGGGCTCTCGGTTGAGACGTATTTGGATGAGGCAATGAGAGTAACTAGCAAACACTGACAGACATGAGACTGTGAACAGTGTCATCATTCCCTTTGAACAATGGCCATTCTGCCTGTAGTAAAGTGATACACAGAGACACGCTGTGATCTCCGCTCTCCTTGTCTTCAGTCTCTCATATGAGATCAAGCACTGGTCCAGTCTTGTGACAGCTTCACTCATGGAGCATGTGTTATCACATTAGCCGCCCTGGCTGGACCGTGGCTCTTACAGTGAAAGAGCAGCCTTGTTATTGCTTATCTACACTGTAATTCGAAAAGTTTTAAAGGTTTATGCAATACTTTTTAAATGTGTCACACAGTCATAATTTTATTTTGGGGCAACTAGCAAACATTAACACCCAGAGAACTCTATAGTGTGGATGATGACCAACAACTAGCCTACTTTATCACTGTTAAATTGGTAGAAATTTCTCACCCTTTACCATAATCAGAACGAAACATTTGGAATATTGAATACAACATACAACTGTTTACATCTAGGGTTACTTATTATAACAACTGACAACATACTAATGTTGGATAAAGGCTAATTAGCCAGAAGCCTACCTACACTAGCAGGAGGTTTATAAGGCAAACAGTTGAGGACTATAATCTTCTTGATCTTCCACACAGTATAGAACTGTATGATCAAGAACTACTTACAATATATTAGCTAGGTAAGTAGCCCAGACGAACCCACACAGCTCAGCTAAGGTCTCATCAGAAGAAAGAGTGGAGCAAGAAAGAGTGGAGCAGGCTATAATTTGTTTACATGTCGTCAAAAAATAAATAAAACAAAACAAAAAAAATCCTCTTCCCTTCTGCATGACTGTTGGGGGCATGCAGCCATGTAAACATTGCCATGGTGATATATGTGGCGATAGTACCTTTTGCCCATGATGACCTTTTTTCCATCTGATACATATTTTAATGGTACCAAATGTACAGGGGTCTGCCAAACTATGCCCCTGAGACGTTTTCCGAACAAACTAGGGAAAGCTTGACTGCAACTTCAAATAAACACCAGAGCTTAAAACCTAAACATAATGGGACTGCTTATGAAAATAAGTCTTCTCTTCTTTAACACAGATGATTATTTGACGTTACGGTCAAGCTTTCCCCACTTTGTAAACATGGTGACGTTTAAAAGTGTTTAAAACCTAAACATCTGAACGAGTGTGTAGGCTTAGAGAACATGGTTGCTCTTAAGCATGAAGCCAAAGACTGCTAGAATGGAATTTTTCATACATTTCTGGCCACAATCCAAGTTCTAACTGAGCTTGGATCCAATAGCAAGGATTGAGTCCTAATCCTTTGAAACCTAAGCAAATCCCACAGTGCTCAGGCCAAGGTGTTGTTGACTAGACAACGTATTCCTGTTCTGTCTGCAATGGTGGCCATGACACTCCATCACTGTGGTGCTGCTAAAGCTCTCAGTGTCTCTGGGGAACACTACACATTTCAGCACCTCTCCAAGTCGAGGCCAGGGCCTCATTTCCTCGTGGCATAAATTAGAGTTTCACTCTGCATATGCGAGCGGCTCTGGCCGCTATGACCCACCGGGTAGATTTGAGCCCTGTGATGGAAGGCAGCGAGACCACAGAAAACCATTTCCGAAATCCATTTAACCGAAGTAGACCTAAAGGACCAATAAATTTCAGCCCAGCCTGACAGAGCAACGCATGCTAGTCAGCCTGCCGCTAGACTTACTTGACTTTAGCAGCTTCTGGCACATTCTGCAGGTCTTCTGGGATCTGCATAACTTTGGGGTACTTCTTCTCCAGGATGGTGATCAAGTAGTGTAAGAGAGTGATGTTCCTGCAGAACATGAACAGAAGAACCTTTAAAACATCCCAAAATCAGGAACAAAGATCATGCTGACTACTTGACCAAATGTAAACACTACATATGTGTCAACCTTATTAGAGACTAGCTTTTCAAAATGTTTTTAATACAAATGAAAATACTTCCATTGTTGTTTGCAGCACTACTTTGCCAATAATGGCATATTTCATCCCACGTTATCCCTTAAGTGTAGTGTCAGCACTCAAAACGTACAGGTGTTTAAATCATCCTATACACTTTTAACGTTAGTTTGTAAGGTATTTGCCTTAGATTCTAAAGCAGAAGATACTCTTTAAACTAAGGAAAACATTAAAGAACATGAAGCCATATAATGCAAAACATACCCTTGGTATTAGTGAAAACTGTTTAATATTAACAAAATCCTTGTAAATCCAAGTAAATCCAAGTAAAAAGAACACTTTGGCCCAGTTTAACCATTGTGACCATCTGTTGTAAACATGCCTACTAGATCATACAGCATTCCTACAGCAGTCTCTGGAATGAGATGTTCCAGATTTTAAAGACTAGGAAAATGCCCTTCTGATGTATTTTGAAGGTAAAAAGAACTTTTGTACTGTTACAAATGACGTGAGGGCATGGTGTTGTATCTTTTTGAACTTTTTCTGCTGGCTGCCTAAAGTACACACACACACACACACACACACACACACACACACACACACACACACAGACACACACAGACACACACACATCATCTAAACCGCTTATCCTTCCTTAAAGTAAAATATATGAACTATTCCATCCTACTTTTTTGGATTATCAGTTTTGGTTTCCATTTTATTTCGAACAACTTTTTACACTAAAAAGCCAAGCTATGCTTTATTTATGTTTTAGTGACCCCTTTATTTTAAACACATGGCATCAAACAACGCCACGCTTATTTGATTTTTACAAAAAATCTTATATATTCTGTTTCTCATCGCAAGGGCTCAATTAGCTTACGCATCAGTGGCTACGTTATCAGTCATAAAAATTCCCCAAAATTTACAGCTAGACTAAACCAAAAACCTATTTATAAAGGTTTCTTACTTGTCAATGCTGGATTTGGTGTCAGCAATCTTGTTGAGTGAAGACACTTTAAAGCCAAAAGCATTCCCTCTTTGGCCCTTATTCATGTAGTTGCCGAATGCCAGCACCACCTCCAGGAGCTGCTTCAGATTCCGGCTCTGCAGCACCTCTTTAGAGGCCTTGGTTAATGCTGGAGAACAAACCACATGCCAAATTCAACACACTGAGAACCACACAAATTACAACATTTCTATGTAAACTATTATCATTTTCACATTTACATCACTAACTTCATATTTAAAATTCAAATAATGGTATTTATACAGTTCATCATAAACCATGTTATGAACAAATTAACCAAATAGATGATTCAACAAGTATGCAGATGTCTATTTGAGGTGTGACAGACAGCAAGAGAACACAGAGAAACACAAACACACCTTCAACTTTGGGCTTTATCTCTGCGATCCTCTCTGCAAACTTCTTCTTGAAGTACAGAGACTGTAACCTCTGCTGGTAATGGTTTATTCTGTCAGTGATTGAAGAGAGAGGAGAAGGAGTCCGAGAGAGAGAATACGCTTTAAAAGTACGTCCATGCAAAGTGATCAGCTTTCCCCTTCACATATAATTTGATTTCAAATGGGCCATAAAATGGTACTGGCCTGCTGCGCGTAAAGGGTGAGGGCCACAGTAGAAAAGAAATGCCTTGTGCTTTGAATGATGAGAGGACAAGACTGATTATTAAAGGAAAGGAAAGTAAACACCACAACCCAGAGAGGTGAACGTAACACTCCAGTGTGGCATTCAGTACTCCTGTGTTGGGAGCAAGAGCATTGCCTTTGCCTCAGCAAGCATAAACCAGCACTGCACTGTGGGATTTTAAAGGAGTGCTCCTGTGTTTTAGGCTCTATCTGCCACATCAGTAGCACACAACTGATAACAGTGGACAATAATTTCACTTAGAAAAGAACAGGAAAAAATGTTTACTCAAAACATAATATAATAGAAGCGAATGGAAAACTGCTGAATTCTGTGAAAACGCATTTATGCAAAGCACATTTTTGTAGAACATTTTCAGAAATTATTCAGTGAACGGTATTTGGGAGACTAATTTTCAAGATGGAATGCATTGTGGTAAGCTGTTACCGATGTGGCAGTATGAGAGGAGTTTTCAGATTCCTGATCACGCACTAGAAACCAAAACAACTGTAACTGGCACTGCTTTTCACAGTATTTTTCACAGCTGAATTAAACTTCATGAGAATAGTTTTGGTAAGTCATTCTATTATGAGTATCACATTCTGAGAGCTGTGTTGTTGGGCCTGTTTCACACAGGCTACCTCTTCATGACATGAATAATGTGACAATGGCCTTTCAAACATAAGATCTTGCTGAGAAACTATACAGCAGGATTATACCTCACTTTTATCAAGTTCTACAGACTTCCTTTTTCCAAAAATCAATAAATATTCAAAGCAGTTACTTTACTGGGCTTGATAAAAAGATAATTAGTAAAAAAAAAGTCCACTGCAATTGTTGGCAATTTCTGATTTGTAATTACACTTTCAAGCCTGGCAGATGGGCTGAAAAATGTTCAGGTAGCACAAATATTTAACTAGTATTTCACCTGATAACAACCATGAATTACAGAACTTATGATTTGATGTGTTTATTTTGTTTTTTGGCTTGTTTCATTGGTTGTCGTACCTAATTTCCCTTTAATTTGCTGCATGTTGCATATGGAAAAACTAGATTCTAGATTCAGCACCACATCTCTGCCACACTCCTCACAAAGGCTGCATAAATACTTGAATCTGTTAACATGAGCACCGCATCGAAAAACAAGATGTTCTGTGCCGCTCACGACACCAAGAGGCAGCATATGTAGAACAGGCTTTAGATGCTAACAGCTGTAGTTTTGAATTTGCATTATATAGTCATGTATTTCAAGCATTTATTCATGTAACTGAGTAGCTTCTGGCTTCTACTGCAGCAGGGTTCGAAGTCTACAGGTTTTCTGTTTTTCTAAGCATCAAAATTACTGTCCATGGTAAATCAACCATTCAATACAGATTTGGAAAATAGAGATTAGGTTGAAAAACACTGGAATATCCCTTAAAGCAGAGAAACAGAGGTTTTCATTCGGAGATCTCTCCTATTCACCTCACGCAAGCCAGACAGTAAAGAAAGCAAATAAAGTTCATTTTAATAGGGCCTTCTTTATTTTAAAAAAAAAAAAGTCATTTTCCAAGACACCTGCCTGGCTTTGTTTGGCTCTAGTTCCCTCTGACAGAATGCAAGAGGCTGTAACAGACGCAGAGAGACCACGCTTATTTAGTTACAGCAAATATTGATGCAAAACGGTCTCCTCAGCAAGAGCAGATCAATGTGTCATGAAGCAGGAAATAGAATTCACAGACGAGAGCTGCACGTGTGAGGCAGAGTTAGACTGGCTTAATAAAAGTCAGTGTAAAGTCGTGGGTGGCCTGCATGGATGAGATACTCCTTCTCGTAGCAGCTCACACTATGTGCTAGTGTGGGCTGAACAGCATGACACTAATTCCGTGCCAAGATAAAATAAATTGAGCAGTGTCTGAATCAGAGAAGAGTCAGAAGGTGGATTTCACAGATGGTGAGAAATCCCACTTTCAGGGAGCAGCCCATTCTCTTAGAACTATCAGTGTAAGCACGTCTGCTGTGGAACCAAGACTGGAACAATTCATAACTGAAATCTGTGCATACATTTTTCATGCGTGTATAAAGTAGCCTATATCTTAGAAGTGTACTGAACAGACAAAAGGGTTAGTTTAATACTAATAAACGGTGTTTGGAGCAACACATTACACAGAATTCTAACTTTTCCAAAGTAACACATTACATTTACTTCTTGAGAAGTAAAGAACAGTTAACAGAACAGTTAACTCAAGAATGTTGTTACTTGCATTACTCATCTGAAAACAATGTTAATTACAGTGCAATGCATTTAAAAACATACATTTTGTCTGTACCTGCTCTTATATATTTAATTTGGGCATGCATACGCTACCTGCAACAGCTGACTGCACAGCTTTGATTGTGAATATGACCGCTGCAAAGAGTTGTGGGCAACTAATTTCCACCTCTGTAAACTACACGAGTAATCTGTTGAAGCCTTTGAACTCTGAAACTGTCTGCTGAAGAGAGTAAGACCCAAACTCACCTACCCAGGACAGACTCAATTATCCTTCAGGAAAAGCTCTGCAAGCTTTATATTAAATTCCTAAAGATTTAGTGCAGATATTTTTTAATTTTCAAATATCATCATCAATCCATAATTTGAAACATAATTGTGTTGACTACTTTCCAGTTCTAAAGATTTGTTTTGCTTTTAGAGAGAAACATAGTATATTAGTAATAAGTAATGAGATACCAACCCCATACCAGTTTGAGAGAAGTGATTAGTCATTTAGGTTGAGGTTACAACCCAATACCTCTAATAAATACGGAGCCCTGCTGGTGACATCCCATATAAATAAAAATAATGCGTGGCCACCCCTCATTAACGCGTGGGAACGTTATCCTAATGCGTGGCCACAACTTAGTAAGGCGTGGGAATGAGATAATTAAGTCGTGGCATGCCTTACTAAGTCGTGGCCACGCATTAGGATCTTCTTCCCACGCCTCACTAAGTCGTGGTCACGTATTATTTTTATTTAGACAGGATGTCACCAGTGGGGCTCCGTAAATAAAGGAACATAACCTAGACCGAAGTCGTCTGGTATGAAGAAATTAATGTGAAAAGCAACAGAACCTCTACTCTAACACGATAATACAGACAGAATGTACTGTATGTATTATCATAATAATCTGAACCCTTTAAATGGGAGAATTATTATTCATTACTTCATTTCTTAATCTTAAGATAATACTACTATATTTTTTTCCGTAATTACTCTGAAACTAAAGCCCTTGCAATGTAAGGGGTTAATTCTTCATCATTGATGTTTGGGTCACATGGTTTGATTTAAAATTACTCCATATATCAGCATCCCTAACTACAATCCAAAGCAAGAGGCCAGAGTGCTGTATAATGTTTCCTCTTATAAATCAGCTCTTCAGTTAATCATCAGTCATGGGTTGAAGCAGGAATGGACAGCAGTATCTTATGTGTTGACTTTGCAAGACAGGAGTCGAACAGCAGTGCTTGATATGAGCTTGTGTTTGAATCCTTACCTGCTCATCTCGTAGAGGAAGCGGTCTGCCTTGGCCATGCGGTCCAGTTCATGTTTGTGCTCTTCCAGCAGATCAACGTCACTCTTCTCCGGGATAAACTTCAGCATCTGCAGAACAGGAGGCCTCCACAATGAGCAAAAACCACCACAGACACTACACCCTCCCAGTATTATTTACTGTTTCCCAAATGTGCAAGCCACTAGAAAAAGAAACGTCTTTATTCTGAGATTTGTCAGCCCTAGGAGTTGATTTCCACAGTAAATTACAAACATATGTAACGCTCTGTGTCTTTTGTATTACTAAAGTAGTCTGAATCAATACTTCCTAGAAGGTCCCAGAATGGTGTAAAAGCCTGATTTGAATGATTTTTTATATTATATATATATATATATATATATATATATATATATATATATATATTTTCCCCTTCAGGCTACTAACCTGCTCCAGCATATCCTTAGGCAGATCTTCCTGTTCATCCATAGTCAGGATAGCCCTCTTCATTTCCTCATTGGAGAGTTTCAACCTGGATACAACAACAGGAAACAGAAACCAGACAAACAAGAATAAATCACAGATAGCTGGCAGAAATTAAACCCAAGGAAATGGCCATGTATTTAGGCATTTTACAAATGCTACCAAGCTAACACTAGACCACTCAAACCTACAGGAAATCCTGCTCTTTTGTGGTCCAAAACCAACACTTGGCCCACTGGCATAGAGCAACAATGAGCTGGTGCATGTTTTTCATCAGGTGTGTCACACTTGTGGCTCTTTTTTCCATTTGTTCCAACCGCAACTTTGATTTACAGCTCAATCAAACACAGCAAGTTGCCCACAGTTAAGTTTCTCTTATAAATGAAGTATGATTGCACATAATTTTGGTTTAATATTTTTTGTCCTGCATTCGATCTTACCTAGATATCTCAGTCAACCTCAACAGTTGGATGGAGCTTCTTAAACCCACGCAGTAAATGCACTGTACAAATGGCAAATGGCTGAAGCGACAGTCGGAAAATTTACACAATTTCGTCCTTATCTCGAATGTAGTCAAACCAAGTCTTGTTTGGTGTTTTAAGTTTGCTTGCTTAGTTTGTGACACTGCATGACATGCTGCCATCTGTAAAAATGGAGAACACTTGGAATCTGTTCATGGGTCATTCTACAGAAAGGTCCATTTTTGTGTCCCTAGCATTTACAGATATATTACACTTGACAAACATGTTAGGGTTACAATTTATTTACATTTTAAAATAAAACAATACGTTATTTTAACAATTACACCTTCTTGAGCCATCAATTTAGCAATATTCATTTTTAAATCAATTATCTAGAATTCCACTTCTTCCACAGAAGTGACCTACTTTATTCTTAGGTAATTGTGAAAAAATAGAATACAAATGGATTAAACTACATATTTTAGTGGATATTCCATGACTGACAACATGTGGTTTGATGCTCTGTAGCCGCCATTTTGTAAAATGCATTTTTCATTACAAATGTCACGGATGTTACTGCCTCTGGTGTTACCTTTCTTATGTGTAACATCAATGAGGATCAGTAACACCAGTGACACCTATGGATAGATAGAAATGTGGACGTTTCTGTAGAATGACCCTCATATTTTTGTCCATCTTTATGTGCAACAGTATGCCATACGGTGTGAAGAACCACATAAGCAAGTCTATTGCTATGGGTATACATTTACATTTATTCAATTGGCAGATGCTTTTATCTAGCATGACTTACAAAAAAATTCAGCTACAAAAGTAAGCAAATGTAGCGTTAGGAATCTTGCCCAAGGACTCTTACTGGTTATTTGCGTGCCACATTAGCCTCTAGTTCTTAAGTAACAGCAAACAGACTTGCTTAAGTGGTTTCTGACTCTGCATCACATACTGTTATCTATGAAAATGTTGCATAGCTAAAAGCAGTAGCAGCAGCCATGCAGTTATGCAGTCATGCAGTCTACTAATAATTGGGGTGTAAGCTTTCATTGTTTGTTAGTCACATTAACCTTGCTTGTCGCTCAAGTGCCTTTTATTTCTTATTCAAGTTAAATGATTAGTGTTTCTAAAGGAAGGTGTGATGACCTATGTAAGTAAAAGCTTTCACAGCTCCCTTACTGAGGAAATCAAACCATCACAACAGTGTTAGCATGGCCAGGCTTCCTAGACTACACGCTGCTCGTAGTCAGTGTGAGGAGTGCTCCTGTTAGAGGGTTAGCCAGGCGTGGGAGAGCGCCAAGCAGAACAGGTGTTTAACAGGCCTGAGATCTGCAGTGGAGAGCTCCCTCAGTTCCTCTGCCAGACACAGAGAGCGAGAGGAAGGCTGGGAATCACAGACAGGACGTGAAACACGGCCAGAGCTCTTTCACTACACTACACTACACGCTGATGCCAGACAGTGCTTCAAACCTTGAGAGCACTTACTTACGCCTGACTTTGAATTTCATTTACGAAACAGCAAAGTACTGGGGCTTTTCCAGTGACATCATGCTGATCTTGGCTCCGTTCCATGCATAAGATATTGACTACTGCTATGCTGGAGTATTAACTAATCTAAATGCGTCTAGCCTATATTTGATGATAAGAGGAAAGTAGAGGAAACAGAGGCACTTTAAGCTTCTAAAGCAAAGTTTTCATAAAATCTTGTCATAATAGTGAACTGGCTGCATAGACAAATCCTCATGGCATAAAACAGTGTTATCAATATAGGCTACTTCATGCTCATTTCCTTCACACTTTGATTGATACATTAACACCCAGTAATGGAGACCTAATCAGCAATCTACGGGCTTACACACACTTTCCTAATAACTCAGCGCTTCCAATAACAGCACAGTTCCTCTTCCTGTGGTGCCAGAATGATACATTCACTTTAGTAAGTCTTTTAAATGGGCAATGCTGATATACTGGCTGTACAGTATATCAGTTGTTAATGGTCACTGTGATGCTGACTTTTGCAGTACTGAAATGGCAAAAAGCTGCAATATGAAAATGAGCCCTCAAACCAATCACGATGTTTTTACTGTGTGCTGTGACAGTGTTTCCCCTAGATCTTTTTAGGACGGGAGGTAATCTCTTCAAAGCTACCATTGTTGTTATGCAAATGTTGGGACACCAAATGGGTGGGGCCAGAACAGTATCACTGCATTTTATTTTATTTATTTATTTTTTTAAATACAGTGACTACTCTGTACATGTGTACTTGCTATACTGTACCTGCTAATGATAGGTGAAACACTGGCTGTGAGCTTCTTGACCAATCACAGTTTCGGATGTGTTTCTGTGTGTTTAGATGAGGCAAGATATTCGTGTGATTAAAAAAAAAAGTGAAATCTTTTAACCACTAAGCGCAATTTGCATTACTCGTATTTTTGTACATGCAGCGCCAAATCAATCCTCTGCGTCTGTCAGAATACGTGATCTCTGCTGTGGTCATACAGTGGACTGCACCCCACTCTATGGTTTTAGAGACTCATTACAGGCTGTTAGTGGAGAGCAAAGAACAGCAGACCACACACCATGATTCACAGAGCTTGCAGAAGCCACTAGATCATTTACTTAAAGAAACACATCCACTAACACACAACTGAACGCAGATTCGGATTTTAGGAGAGGCACTTTCACTATAAACAATACATATCAAGATGTCATTTTTCTAAGGCTTGATAAGTTGGAACTGCATCAGCGGTGCCATAATTATATGAATATTATTTAAATTTCTTGCTTAATAACCTAGGATTCTCACTCGCAATCTGCTGACAAGAGACGGCACAATGCCGCTTTTTTGCTCCTGATACCAATATTGAAACCTTAAGTATCAGCTGATACCGATCTGCTATTTCTTTATTAAAATCTACTAGGCTTTAAAGGGCCCACATCATGGAAAAACAAATTTACCTCTTTATTTTTAATAAACAGATGTAATGTTTAAACATTGCTAAGGTTTCAAAATATACCATTAACTCCCCACTACATATGTGGGGGAAAAAAAGCCTATTTTAATTTCATTGTTTTTGTGAGGTCATGCATCTCTCTATACAGTCTACAGCCATTTATTCCCACCCATTCACAACAAAGTTATACAAAGTTTTTCAGTGCAGGCACAATAAGGGGGCCAATCAGAACAAAGGTTATATACATAAATCAGTCTTAAACGCACAACAACAACTACCAGTTTTATACTAAGGGATAAAGAAAGGTTAGAAAACGGTCATGTAAAAATTAATATGACCACTTTTGGTATACAAACCCACACAAACGTCATAAGTGGACAAAGTGGATAATGCGTCCTTTAAAATTTGCTACTTTAAACTGAAGCACTTCGCTTTACATGAGCATCTAAAAGTAGACTATCATGTTCAAACTTCTTAAAGACTCTAGCATTTTCTATTGAACGGGGTCATGTCTACTTGACAATAAAATGAAGCCATAGACAGTTTTGTTACCCAGGAGCCTCTTCTAAACCTTTATATTAATGAAACATGCAATTTTTCAGTGTTGTGGCAACACTAACAATAACCACAATAAGCTCCGAAAAGCTTATCATGATGGAATTCATCAGGACAACAATATACCACATACCGTCATATTGCCCCATCTGCCTTGAATGCTACATACAGAAATTGAGACACTGAATGTGTAACAAAACATTCCTTTGGGTATAAAACCCATTATTCGTGGCTCAGGCCGGAAGCTGTTCCCTGAAAGTCAACAGCGAGGGCCATACCCATGCATGGAGATTTCTCATACAACTCCATATTTAATAAATCCTCATTGCTTATAAAGAAACCACTGCCATACTACACACCTCCCTCTTCATTAGCTACCCCTTTGGTAATATGTGGTATGTTTATTTTAAAAACTACTCATAAAGACAAACTAATACACCCCAATCTCCTTTCAACCACTTCAGCCAGTTGACTAATTGCTGCCCAACCATGGCCGGTCCTTCCCATGTGTCTAAAATCCATCCTTGCTGTGGAATCCAGTTCTCCACCCAGAGAAAAAAAATTAATCACCCTCCCCTCAAAAAAAGGGATCAGTAGAAATGCTAAGTGCCATTTTGGTTGGTTTCATGTTGTTTGAGTCAGAAAGATTTAAAGACGCTCTTGAGAATAAATCTCTTGCTTGCAGATGAGGCCAAACCACATTCAATTAGTGAGCCTTCATAAATCTGAGGCTGGCCTGGCTCACCAGCCGTGACCAACTGTTACAGTTTCATGGGTTTAGTTTCTCACACCACAATCAACTTCTTAGTGACAAACAGAAGTCCTGGCCTGAAGAGGGAATAAGGCAGTGGAAGGCTGGAAAGGCTGCAACATATTAAATCTTTGAGAGTGCTATTCCAAGTTACGCTGATATTCATAATTTAGTGTAAATGTGGGCAGCAATCCCAGACAAGTACTCTTACAGAGACACTTGCATAAGCACAAGCACCTTGATCCTTTAGTGGAAGCCCAATTGCTTGCCAAGAAGTAAAATGCCCTGTGAGAGAACTCTAAAAGTATTAAACTTTACATGGATGAAACAGGCATTTGATTTCAGCTCATTTTCATAGTCCAATTGCACCTGTGTAAACCCATAAACGTGTGGAGGGAAACTGAAACTGAATAATATAAACCTGATCTGAAATACTAGCAAAAGAAGCAGAAAGGCCAACACCCTTGCACAGACCTACCTGCAGTAGGAGAATGAATTAAATACCCAAATATCCCATCTATTTCAATGAGAAATCAAGGAATGAAGCTTCAAGTCTTATTGGACGGACTGTAATCACACTGTAAGTCATAACGGTACATATGTATTTAGAAAGACATTTGCTACAAAAGTGAAACCTTTCCATTTGTGTTAACAACAATGCAAAGTGTTGACTGAAAAAACTCTTCTACACCAATCAATTCAATAACATGCATTGAAATCTGCGTGCTCTTATTAATGAACTGTGAAATGTTCAGAGAAAAACTTTAAAACACAATTTACTTGCAATTGTATGAAACATTCAATATTCCGGTTTGCAATTAAGCGAGACGTCTTTGTATTTCTAATGGTCAAAGAGGACCAAGAAAAGCGACGCTCTGGGAGAGAAAAGAACGAGCCAACATTATCCCTCATCAACTGCTCAAATATCAGTCTTGGCAGAAACCAACATGTTGTCAAGTCTGAAAAATGATTTCTCTGCTTGAACGAGATGAGAAAAATATAAATTAGGGATTTCTTGACGATGAGGTAATGCTCTGGTTAATTTGCAGGACCCATGGTACACTGCGCTACAAAGAATTCAAGGAAACCACCTCACACTAATTAAGGAACTGGCGATTCAGAGCATTTCTTTGACAGGAAATAACAACGCAAGTGTTTCATTGGAAACATTGAAGAGGACACTATCAAATCAAGCATCAGAGTTCAGAGCCGTACGTGCAGGAAATGACTTCACGTCTGGAGGCCAGACAGTGAAACTCACAGCCAAGGTTAAAAGCATCACTCACCGTGAGAGCAGGATGTTGCAGTTCTGGGCCCGACGGCCGTCGATGACGGACAACTCTTTGACTTTTTTCGAGCTCAGAGTGTCGTCCTCTGCCTCTTTCTGGGGTTAAAGAGGTTAAGAAGACAGAAATATTATTCACCTGTGCATTTTGTTGCTTACAGTGTTTTCAAAACTGTTCAAACACTTTGTGAACAATGAGCATATTACTGAATATTAAATGATGGGAAATGGACATTAATCGGTGGTATTAGCTAGATAACAAGTACTGAGCAAGTAACACTTTGAAAAATGCAGCAGACAAACAAAATAAGTTTAGTTCTCTGCAGTAACTCTTACCTGTTTGCTGTTATTGACCATAAAGAAGTCCTAAAATGCAGGCAAGAAGCAAGGAAGATGCAGCACACGTTAGAGAGAGAGCGCTGTTTGGTGAATTCAGCCAAAACAACAGGCTAGTGCTCAAGATGAGATGACTGGTAATGCATGGTGAGAATGAGGGTGCATGAAAGCAGAGATGCATGGTGGAGTTTGTCACTGTAAGCACTGGCAGGTGCATGCGTGTTGAGGAATAACTACTGTTAAATATTTATCATCTTGGCTATGCCTCACTAGCACCTAAAGTGCTTACTCCCAGTTCCAGTGGATGGAATTATTTGACCATCTGTTGAAACTTAATAGCCTGAAGTACCAATTCATAATATCAGCACTAAAATGTAATTACTTCCTCATCCATTACAGTAAAAAATATAAACTATGATGAATGTAATGGTATTATAATTCTAAAACAATTATCCAAATGGCCCTAGAGAGACGGAGCAACTTAGTACAAATGTAACTCATCAGTAAGCATGCTAGTGTGAGTTCCTGAATAAATTATTAGGCAGTTAAAGTAACTAATGCACAATATAGCTTATTAGCATGGTGAATACAACAATGCATCAAAAAAGGTCAAATGAAATGGCCATAACAAATCAGAAAGGTTCTTGGTCTCCTTGCTATGTATATACAGCTTTTGCATGACAATTACACTGCAATTAATTTACGTAAGCACAATATAAATGGGCTGCCAGCGTATGTTTTTCATTAAGAACCCATCTGTTTTGTCTTATGACATCACAGCTATTATCCATTATAAACGTATCATGGCAATTAAAACACCATGCTCTGTAATTCTCGGTTGAGGGGCCATCGTAGGAAAATACAGCTCAAGCATTAAAATCATATAAACCTCATGCATGACTGACTGCAAATGCTTTGTCATTTTGTCTTGAATGAGAGTGATAGAAGGGGTAAGAAAGAGATATTTCTCTTTTTAGTGACCTGCTGTCTCTGGTATGCTGAGAAGGTTTTCTCAATGTCTGTCAGGTCTAAGATCTTGAAAACTTTGCTGTCATCCACCTCAGCCCACACTGTGCCTTCCAGCTTGTTCTGTGGAAAGGAAAAACTGGTTACGACAGCGCCCACACCGCTGCTAAAGCAACCAAAACCAGATCATATCATGACTAAACAAGAGCTTTTATAACCAAAGTCAGTGTGTTGGATGAAGTCAATATTCAACATACTTTCTAGCCCTAGTTTTACAGTAAACAGAACAACTGTCCATTTAAAGAGACTGGCATTTCATGCTGTAGTTGAGCATCAGGATGACCCAGGCTGCTGCCTTAACCTCATGTAGACTCACCTCAGATAGCTTGGCCCAGTTGAAGGACTTGAGTGGATTGGAAGGCTGAGGAATATTCTTCTTCTTGAGGGCTGGGCCTACGGGGGCTCCAGGAGGAGGAGGAGGCCCACCTAGAGGTGGACGACCAAGGGGCGGTGGAGGGCCGCCAGGTGGAGGGGGTGGAGGTGGGGGCATCATAGCACCACAGGGTGGAGGAGGTGGAGGAGGAGGCATCATGCCCCCAGGAGGAGGGGGAGGAGGTGGAGGAGAGAGAGGACCACCTGGAGGTCCGGGTATGAGGGGGGGACCACCAGGCACACTGGCTACCTGTCTCTGTAAACGTGAGAAATTGAATCCTAATTAGCACAAAGAAGGGACATACATTTGAATTATGGGTCACACTCTATTTTAATGGTCTATAGCTACATCAGCTACATCAACAAATGTTCAAGTTGTTAACTGTTATCTGGCGACACATTTATTTGAATATTAGTTTATAACTGTGACTGCTTTATGGAGTTTGATTACATGCACTGTTCTACATATTTGTTCAACAGATCTACATATCTAGATATCCTACATGTCTACATACATATTCTACATATCTCCAACAATTAGTTCAGTGTGGTTATTCTAAAAAATGAGATAAATTAGACACAAAATAAACAGTAGACTAGCATTTAAGAAGCATCTGTGTACCGTGCTGAGTTCATGTAGGCGAGCACCAAGTTCCGACACTTGTTGCTTGACCAGTCTATGTTCTGCCGTCTCCTTCTCAAGCTTCTCCTTCATCTTGTTGAGTGTTTGCATCATTTCCTCTTTCTCCTGGGTCTTGGCGTCACACTCGCGCTCCTTCTTCTCCATCTTCTGCTGAAGCTCATGGTGGTCTGTCATGGTCAAGAGTTCAATAATAAAATAAGTGGATTTCTCTCTATAACGCACATCATAGCAAAGTCTGAACATGGAAAGCTGTTTTCTGTATTCTGTCTCTTTGGAAAGAGAAGCTCTTTTGCAGAGACACAAGGAAAACTAGTTTACTGTTATCAAGCTACGGACCTTTACGCATCTTCTCTGCCTGCTCCTTCCACTGCTTGACCTCGTTTTCATTGACAAGCCTGGAAAAAGTTGAAAATGGTAAAAAAAATAAGGCTTAGATGACCAGATTAATTTTCATTATACATCATTTTTGAATAAATGCAATATTGTGATTCCCATCAGCACTGTAGTGAAGTTAAAATGTTCTTCAATGAACTAATGCAATACTAAACAGTGTTTCCCAATGGCCTGAAATAAACTAAGGGGGGAGCATTGCTGGGGGCTTGGGGGGGGCAGGTCATGGTATTCTATTATATGCAGGAATCCAAACTCATCTGTGTATTCTTTTTACTTAAAATAAAATGTATTTATTTAAAAATATATAGAAGTATATAAAAGATATATATATATATATATATATATATGATATATATATATAATGTATACAACATAAAACATTTTGTAAATTGTTAAAATGGGACAAAATATACTTGGGTGACTGTGAGTATACTTAGGGGACCACCCAAGCACAGGTTACAGGTGGGAAACCCGACTAGAGATAATGAAATACTTGATACATTGTAGGTACACAAAAGGATAGTAAAAATATAATACAAATTGTAGTCAATAATGCCAAGACAAGAAAATGCATCTCTGAAACTCACATTCTAACCACATTCTTGACATTGAAGTTTTCCAAAGGGGTGACGTCAGGGTCATGACCCTTGTCATTCTGGAGGACCATCTGTTGGACGATGCGGTCAAGAAGTAACCAGTACTGCACTGTGTTCCCACTCCTCTTATCTGCAACAGAGAACATATTTTATCTTGATTTTATGTTTTTATCAGTGTTATGATTTCACTTCAAACTGAATATTACTTTATTAACTTTAAAAAGCTTAGCAACCTGACTGAAAGCAAGAAAGAAAGACTCACGAGGCATAAGCAGGCAGTGGTGCAGTATGGACATAAAGTGCGGGTATGCATCTGTGTGGGTCATCTTCTTACGTATGAGGTCAAACACCTGCGAAGCACTTTTAGTGTCTACATGCACCTGAAAAGGGGACAAAAGTAATATTAAATAAACTAATAAACTTCAAAAATAAGTACATCAGATCACCATGTCCACTTACACTTTCAAAGCGTCTTGATACAGTGAGCTCATCATCATTTCTTAGCATTTCAAAGTAATCCAAGTGCCTAAATAAACAAGATACAGCACATGAGAGTGTGGCCACAAAGCAGAAGCGCTGTACATTATTAGCATAAACCAAAACAATAATGATGAGTGATTTAAACTTGAAGATTACTTATGAGACTTACCGGTCTAACGTAGAGTTTTCATGTGACCTGAGTTTATCAATGATGGGCTGAATCCCCAACATGAGGAACTCGTATCTCAAATGTACCCTGAACTCGAGACTGGTCTGTGGGTGAAGAAACATACAGAACATAAGCAAAAAGTATAATGTATGTGACATCTGCTGGAGAATGACAGGCATTCAGGGACTTATCTGAATATCTCTTCCAAAACAAAAGACAAACCAGCAGTGCTTTAGAGAGCTTACCTCTCCAGCCCCCTGGCTCAGAACAGCATTAATGAAGGACATAATGGCCGTCTTCAAGCTGACCTCGTCCCTGTACCGACCCGTACTTCGATCCAGATCATTCAGAAGCATCTACACAAAGATGTATCACAGTTAAGTAAGCATGGAGTCATGACAGTTACAATACTCACAAGTACAGACGGATTAAGAAGCAGCAAATATCAAATGTCAGATGTTTTAAACTTTCTGTGGCCCACCTGAAATCGTGTTCGTTCACAAGCGAATTTCTGGTAATGCAGCATAGCCTCTAGAACTTTCTTGTGGCCTCCCGGAACCAAGCACACAGCTCCCATGATCTCCAACACAGCCACTTTGGTCTTGATGTTCTCTGTGGCCAGACTCTGGGCGATGATGTTGATGCTCTCGGGGTGGGAGAGCACATGAGCGCGGCCCTGAGAGTTGTTCATCAGCGCTTTGATGCAGCCTATGAGGGATGTGTGGATCTGAGACTCTGTAGTCTCGTAGTCCATGCTCTTCAGGAAGTTCAGGATGCAGGTCAGACCATCCAGGTCAATGAACCGAGTAACAAACCTGTGACACAGGGGATACAAGGGTTCTGGTCGACAGCTATATCAGCGGTTAGTAGACTAGAATGCCCTTTTCTCTGAACTCCATCAGGTGCTGTCAAGTTTATTCCGACTCCTAGTGAGCACATGGATAGTGTTTCTCCAGAATATCCTGTCACAGTTTACTGAATTTTACTGTAACCGATTCTAACATTCCAGTCAGACGTCACCTTCAGACTGATTCACTAATAAGAAGACAACCAACTCCTAGTGCAGACAAATATTATTATGGACAAAACAGGGTGGAGTAACTAGATGCAGCCCTGGCAGGGGTTAATGGAGTTGCTCAAAGCCCAAGGTCAAAAGATCAGGGCAGTAACCAGCCATTAAACGCATGCAGGACTGCATTTTCGTCACAGGCTTAATGACAAACAGCCCCCAAAGAGCAGACCAAAGGGGAGGGTGTGTTTAATGAGAAAATGAGGTAGTCATGTGCTACTCAATGGATGGAAAACTTAATGACATATTACATCAGCAAACGTTAATGTAAGTCAACTTGAAGCAGCTGCAGCCAGCAGCCTGACTGTATGGAACTGTGTGCTTAAGCCAACAAAGGTCAGGAACCTTAGCATGCTTATTATTTATGACTGAGTGAAGAATTTATTAAAAAAACATACCAGTTTTCATATTAATACAGGGATCATTCTAAGCTATAGTTAATTAACCCTTAAATTCATAGGTGTTTCATCAAAAGTTCATACAGTACTATGCAAAATCAGAGACTACCCTTCATTTATTTAATTTCTAGTCAAGAAAGCCACCAAGTACAAGTTTATTATGTTTTCAGCATCATGAAAAATAAAGATTTTTTCAGAACTGACGCAAGAGTGGAGCTTGAATTCCTCCTCTCTCTCGAAGATGAAAGCTGTACATGCTGTTTACGTAATAGAGAACTGTTTTGGTGGCCTACTAGGTCTTGCACAGTTGTTAGGAGTCTCATTTTTTTCTATATTTTTAAATAATTTTTTGGAAACTTTTTCCCCTTATTTTCCTTTGACTTTCACCTTCCTAACATTCTCTTATACCTAAACTATACATACTGAAAAATGAATAACTTGTACATAATGGCTGTTTTGACTAGAAATTAAATAAATGAAGGATGTTCTCTGACTTGTACACAGTCCTGTGCATATCTTGGTTTGTTAGCTTCCCAGAACTTCTATCTAACACAAACTGATCTATCTGCCATGATGATAGTGTAAAATAGAGGGAGGGAGAATGAGATTGTAGGTCACAAGTGATGAAAGATATGAATTCAAGAGTAAAGTGCAATTAATTGACTGCCACTGACCAGCCTAATAATTCACTCGTCAGATGTACTATGTAAATTGATTGAACGTAATTTCTGTAACATAAAAACTGTCATTGTCTTCTAAGCTAAGGTGGGCAAACCTCATAGGTTGTGTCCGCAGCGCAGTTTTGAGGCTTTCTATGGTCTTGTTGCGTTCCTCTTCTTCCTCCTTCTCCAAGGCCAGAAGTGTCTTCCTCTGTTGATCAAAAGGGAATGTGCTATTGGACTGGGACCACAGCATACTGACTGATTTGCCTGTACACTCAGACAGGATTAAAGGCTGATTTTGAGAACCTTTAAATCAACAAACAAAAACTGATTTAAAAATGTGACAGTCTCTACTGAGAACTTGTAGTTTATGTGCACGTGCAGCAGGGCAGGTTCTGTCCAGGCCTAAGACTGGCCTGTTGGAGATTTATTTCCCCTGGTTTAGATATCACTATGGTATCACTTTACCATCTTGGGCCTTTCCCAAAAGACCCACTTGAGCTGCCAAGCCACACTGTACAGTGAAACTATAACTCAAAACAAAGCCTCTGCTTCAGAGACCAATACATTATGACTGGCAAGGAACAAGATGCTTATCAGCTAAGTCACTGCTTTTTTCCCCCATTTCTGTGGCCTCAAATCCCCATTTTTAATCTGACCAAACAGAGACAATCTCTGAGGCGATTTATTGTATTTTTGAATAGAGAGACATATTTTAATTTGGCAAAAACCAGGAGATTGAAATGGCAAGACAAAGTTTAAAAAGAACTCATTAGCTTGGGGACAGGGATCCTTTCAGGTCTGTATCGATGGCACTATTTTGCATTACATTACATTATTTTATCTCATTATTCGACTGCAATAATTTCTTTTTTCACTCAGGATACAGAGCAGTCAGAAAACCACAGGTCTAGCCATAGGTTTCAATTCTGCTGCCACGCAAACTAAGCATACTTACTGCTGCCATTGAGTTGAGCTGATCGATGTAGTACTCTGGCCAGCTAGTAGCACCTTTATTCTCTTCTTGTTCCTATAAAAAAAGAAGCAGAAACAGTCCAGGTTGGTATGAACAAAATGACTTACATCGTAATATGAGCCACATCTTTGAGAACTTGCTGAATATATGTTCACTGCATATAGCAAAACGAGAACATTAAGGTAATTCCAATACATATTTTGGCCCCACCTCATTGATAAGTGCCTCTATGGGAAAAGGGGCTGTCTGCATGTCAAGAAAAAGAGCACATACTAGGACAATAACTATGGGAATGGAGGAATAGGCAGTAACAACTCAAATAAGCTGGGTAGGAATGTATTGGCTTGGAAAGGTTATTCGGAATGACACAGTGTGATTTGGAAAGAACGGTGGGAATTGGGCTTGTAAGAATCTGCAGTGAAAAATGACTCAAACCAGTAGATTCGTACAGATGGTTTGGTGAGCTGGGATGCGTAAGTACAGATGAAAAGTCTGGCAATAGTCTGGTCAAGCGCTCCCAATTGTGCTTGATGGTGGAAAAATAGTCTAGTCTTGCTCATGTCACCTCAACCATTGCATACTGTTTTCTTTTGAATGACCATTAATCAGTGAGATGTATCTGGGGAGAAAGAGTAGATTTCAGTGAAAATTGTGCATCAAGGCACAAGCATGTTCCCATGTGAATGCACATACATTATCTTTCTCACACACAAGGAAGTAGACTCAATACATCACATTGAGAATGTTTGTAGCAGAAATAGAGCAGTGATAAAGTAGAGCAGAACAGTAAGTGCCTATAGTTCCGCAAGCAGTTCTGTTCAGAGAACCTTACTGTCCAGGAGACCAGAGCTTGACATTTTTGCCCAAACCTGAAGGGAGCCGACTGCTCATGTTGGGTTTGGATGTCATTTCTTAAATATATGCGTCAGGGCTCAGGTCGGACTCAAATTTCACACACTGGTTCTCACAGCCTACTTCCTAATTTTAAAAGATTTTACCAAGTATGTGTCCCTGCTCTAGTTTTTCTCCGTACTGCTATTTTTCTTCCTCCCTATTTTCATTACCTTAAAATATTTTAACCTGGTATGCTAGAGTTACCCACTTACGTTGCTGACCGAAATTAACACAGAGGTCGATGAGGCCTATATAAATAACACAGAGAATCGATTCACAGCTGAGAGCACAACTGAGTGTTGCCAAAGGATGTTTAATTTGTTACTTGTCCAATATGTTATATCTAAAATGTTCTATGTAAAGAAAGCACAGTTTGAGGATTAAACATGTGAAAGGTAATATCCTGCTATTTCAGCACCACACAACATGAGTATGCATGGTACTCTCCAAACATTTGGGACATAATAGAAAGCACTGCAGGAGGAATAAACTATTTAAAGCAGAATTAAAACTTTTGGATAGCTCATCCTGCGATGGGCTGGCGACCTGTCCAGAGTGTTTCCTGCCTTCTGCCCAATGACCGCTGGGATAGGCTCCAGCACCCCACGCGACCCAGAAGGATAAGCAGCTTAGACAGTGTGTGTGTTTTTTTTTTTAATTTGTGATCTAATTTATGATATTTTACTTGGCACTTTGGGTGATGATTGACCAGTTCAAAAAAAATGTATTATATGCTTCAGGTCAGGCCAGGTTCAGACAGAACTTTTTCAGGCTCAGTTTAGGACTCAAAACATGATGCTATAATTCACTTCATGTTGTACTGAAAATTCTCAGGCTGTATTCAAGTTTGGGCAAAAATTTCAAGCCTGATGAAAGCTCTAGTTGTGAGAATGAGAGACAGATATATTGGATGAGAAGCTGACAGTTAGGACACAAATTACACTTCAACTCATCCCAAAGGCATTGGATGGTGCTCCATCAGTCCAGAGAATTCAGTTCTACTGCTCCACCATCCCGATGCTGGGAAGCATCCCCAATGGGACTCGGGATGTTTGGGATTGTCCTGCTGTTCTGTTGGCAGTGCTTCTATGGATGCTATGCAAGCTATGTGTGCAGTTAAACACCTGTGTCAACACTGTGTGCACAATAAAATAGCTGAATTCACTAATTAGAAGAGGTGTCTGGATACTTTTGGGTATGTAGTATAAGAGCTGCTCAGAACAGTTGCAGGCTCAATAAGACAGACTGTATAAGGTGTTTAGTTTGGCTCAACCAAAATCAGCTTTGCTGTTTTCTTGAAGTCTGCGGAGTGTAAAGCAAGAAGAGCCAACATGAAGTCCGCATGCCATACTTAGGGAGAGAAGAATTAAACTGTACTGGGACTAGCAGAGCGTGAGAAACACTGCTTATTTCTAGGAGAAGATAAAAGACATTTGTGAGAGCACAGGGCTCCAGCTCCCTCTCAGCCAGGCAGCTTAGTTAGCTTTTAAATGCGGCCACAGTCTCTGAGTAGGCTGGAGGGAGAATCCTGCCTGGCATGGTTATGAGGGCCCTGCAGGCACAGCAAGGGACAACTCAGTCATTTCACACCCTCTTCACTTGGTCTCTGTAGGACACTGCCTGCCAGCCAGCCGATGGGCACATTATGGAGAACAAGATGCATGCTGGGATATCAGCCAAAGGCCCAAAGTGCCCTGAGTTGCTTCTGAACCTGTCCACTCCACACCCACCACTGAAACTTAATCAGGGAGGTCTTAATGTGGCCTCCAAAAACAAGGACATCCTTTACTAGGCTTCTCACAAGTCTTATTCCCATGAGAGCTGTGTTTCAAAACTAGACCCTTAATGTGTGTAATAAATGTGAGGTTTGGGGTTTTACAGATTTAAAAAGGGGATCAAAATATTTGGCTAGATGTGCCTAGATTGATGGTAAAACACATAAAACCAGAAAAGAAACAATTCAACAGTCACTGTTGACAAGAGAGTTTGGCTAAAGGCCTTGAACAAAGGCAACAAACGACAAACAACTGTATATTTTCGGTTCAGCTGAAATAGAAATTTCAACACACCAACCACACGTTTTCAAAAGCGGCATGAATTAGACCACATTTGAGGTAAGTAGCTATTATTATACTAGTGAGACACAAGAGGAGTAACCAAAAAATCTACAGCAAAAATCCACACATCATCTTTACAGATGTGTCTTTAACAATCGCTATAGCTGTATCCACAAAGCTCCAAGCTGGACGGTATCTCAAATATTCACTTATTTCTTCACTTCACTTGTTTCTCAAGTGAGAATAAGCACTGCTGTCACCTTCTCCTCACTGTCTGGTCAATCAGGCCTGGCAGACTGCTGCGGGTCAGACGCACCCTTTCCTCATATGAACTTATGGCTGTCCAGCCACTGTATTCCTTGGCCCATTGCCTGAGGAACTTGGGCTAAACAAGTGCATGTGGTCCTGACAGTTTAAGAGCCTGACCCTTGGCCTGTATCTCTGGAGACGGACTAAAATGGCACAGAAGCAAAGGCTGCCTGTTCTATCAAAACAAAACTGAGAGGTGAACAAAGAGAATAGAAAAGCCAAAGACATGGAGAAATAACATCCAAACTAACCATAGATGTTCATCAAAAGAAACAAATCAGACAATATTATACCAACATATTCCCCAAAAAAGGGTTTGCATAGAACCAACTCCTTAAATAAAAGTGTCACAAAAAATCTTTTCAGCCAGAGAAGAATCCCTTTTGGTTCTCTAAAGAACCATTTTTAAAAAAGAGATCTATAGAATGAAGAACCTTTAGGATTCACAGACATTTTAAAGGTTCTCCTTAGAACTTTTCTATCATGTGGAAGTGAAACTGAATTCAAATTTGGTTCTCTAAAGAATCACCCATGTAAATGTTCTTTAGATAACAGTGGTTCTTCTACAGAATTGTATAAATTAGACCTTGATTTTTATAGCGAATATAGAACTGTCAACACTCAAAGCATAAAGATTGCACAAATGGGTTTGCAGGGTGAGCTTGTACTTCTCCAGGATGGAAAGCTGTTGTATATTTTAAAAAAGTATTTATATTTAGCACTAAAAACGGCTAGGCTATTGTTAGAAGTCTTTTATAGGACCTTCTTTTTTACTATACAGAACCCTTTTGTTTAAGCTTGAGAGTTAAGAAATGGACATGCTAAATTTCCAGGTATCTCCCACAGTTCTAAAGTTTCTTTAACCAGCTGTTTTAAAAGCCAAGTAAAGTTATGCTAGTACATTTAATCTTAACCTTCATAAGCGCAACGGTAAGACTGCCACAACATAAGTCACTTCATTTGTGCAGGATCTGAACACTCAGATTACAGCTCCTTATCATCCTCATAATGGACCCAACTCAGGAGAACGAGATCAGTCTCCACACTGATCTTTCTTAATCCTGCCTAGCCAGGGGGGAGGACAGCTGATACCTTCAGTCCTGGCCTGGATCCAGGAGCAGCCTGCACACCTGACTGCAGCAGAACACGGAGGCTGAATTATCACTGCACAGAGTGTACGGGACAAGGAGGTGTCAGCAGAATGGGCCAGGGAACAGCCTTAAAATAACCCACGTCCTTCACATTCAATGACTTCACAGCGTAAGAGAAACTCTATAATCTTTAGTTTACTGTCTAACAAAATACACTCACCTGTAGAATAGCTAAGCTCAAAACATATTTTTACAACTTTCTATCTATTGGAGAAGTCAAGACAGACAAGGACAACACTGTTAGAAATAAAGGTATTGTGCAGGTATATATTTTATTCATCAAGGTAGAATGTAAATGTGCTCTCAAAGGTACATCAGTGGTTTTAACGTCCAACGATGTACCATAAATACGTTTTTCCCAGATGAAAAGTTTGTTTTTGTAACTTTTCATAACCTAATGTCTTAAAACAGAACAATAAATAAAAAGCCTGGAGAGGAGAAGGGGTGTGTGGAGTCAATACAACTTGGGAAATATAATTTAAATGGATTATGGTACAGTTATTTTACCTGACTAAAGGTACTGAAATGTACCCTTGAGGGTACCACCCCAGTGACAAAAGGGGTACTGCCCCAGTGACAGTTTCGTACCTTTATTTCTGAGTGAAGTTAAGACAAGCAGAAGTTTTATCTTCTAAACTTGAAT